TTTATGAAGTGTCATCCTATTTAGAGTGTAATGGAACCATTGTTGGAATTACTAACAAAGATGGAGGTCATGAACAATGCATACAAGTTGAATATTAAACAGCTCTGGAGAAGAAAATCGTGAGTTGGTTGTACCAAGGATTCGAGTTCGCAGTTCCTGTAAGCATTCCAAGACGTTATTTAGAAGAATATGAAAACCTTTCCAACCGTCATGCAAATATTGATTTCACCAAAAATCTCTGCAAATTCTCCATCTATGTGAAACCTAGGGGAATTACATGCGAATTGTTTTATTTCGAAAATCAATGGCATTTCACTCTCGATACAGAGAAAGAAGAATGGATTTATTGGGTTGCACAACCTAGAGAAAACGACGAAAAAAAGCAATTATTGGGGATGTTGAAACAACTTCCAAGCGTGGAAGACTCTCATATGACATTTTACTTCATTCTTCAAAAGAAAACAAATCGGCTTATTTTTCGAGGGTGTAGAGATTTAACAACATTGCGTGAATGTTATGACTGGAGAAAGTATGGAGAAAAATATGGATGGCAAGACCAGGTAGAACAACTGTCGATTATTGACACGACTAGCGTCTCTGATTTAACCGATCTAATTAATAACTTTTCTAGATATTCTCCATCTGATTTTGAAGGATTAGAGTTAATTAACTATTCAGAAGAGTACCAAAGCTTTTCCATTCTGTCTTCTATTCATGCCAATATACCCAACCTAAGGATATGCAACGCCAACTACATGCTCAATCTTCTTAATCCAGAAATTTTCCAAGATCCTCCTGACGAGCTTACTCAGTCCAAATATAACGAATCCAGATTATTGAAGGTCATTGTTCAAAGTTTATATGCGCAAGATATCTCTGAAGAATTTGTCATTCAAGAATTGAACCCACTGTTTCTAGTTCCCTACACAAAGATGAAGACCGCCTATCTTCAACTGTGTGAATTACTCGATCAATTTTATAGGGATAACCTCCTTTCCAAGGAAGGCGATATTGAAGCTTTCAATAGCACAGCCATCACCTTTCCTTTAAATCAGAACAAAATCACTGGTCTATTTCACAATCTCAAAAGGTTCTACAAACAAGCTAAGATTGTGTCAGCATCGAGCTATTGGAAAAATTTATTTATTTACAATGCTGAAGGAAAGGATTTTGTCTCACAGTCACGCTGTTTACTTGATCTACTATCCGCTTTCGAGAAGCTGCAAAGCAAGTGAGACATTTCCAATGTTAATAGTCAATTAATTATCTTTGTTTTAATTAAATTAAAAACGCTTTGAGTTTTTAACAAGATACATCGAGCTGTGTACGTCAAAGTGGGAACATGTCCAAGCATGAATTCAGGTAATCGTTGTAAGGAAAAACCAGTGATAATTTGTTAAACAGTAACTGGTTTTCAGATATGCTGCTAAATTGAATTGTACATATTGGTAAGAAATTTAGAAGGAAACACAGTGGTTTAACTCGAGCCAAAGTTTGCCAACGAGTTTGTTGGTTGCCTCTCGCCCTGCTGAAACCACCATGTGTAATTTGAAAAGAACTAGTTCAGAGTAAATATTTGAATTGTGCAAGATCGGAGAACTGCGTAGAGAAAATTATCATCACACACCTAAAAATAAAATAAAGGGAGTTCATTTGAAAGACACCAGCAAAACAAAAAAAATGGCATCTGAATCTTCGAGGAAAAAAAATAACACAACACCTCCGCTAGGTGTTCACATTGAGCACCCTCTAACATCTACCCAAAGAACCTATCTCCGAATCATTAAAATTATATTTAAAACTTATCTCTCCCTCTCTGCAGAGTACTGTACTAATTTAGTACCGTACAACTATCACCCGTTATAAATTGTGACCGTTGTGATCAAACTGTAATCGAGACCCTATTACGATGGCAGTTATTAAAATCAAAGCACCAATGACCGAATGGTATTTAATCAGAACTACAAGATCAGTCTCTTTATTCAAAGACAATGCAATTAGGATAATCAATAGGATCGGTAAAATAAGATCCAATCGTACAGAACTTGGATCAAAACGGAGTCTGAAACTGGACATAGGATTTAGAGAATTGACAAACACCATCAAGTCTGATAATGAAGAATTAATGATTACCAATAGGATTGCAACTCGAGCTTTCTTATATGACTGTACAAAGGATTGTACCAACAGGAAGAAATATGAAGATGAAATTGAGGAATGCCACAAAAAGCTTAAATTATTATCTCACTTCAGTAGCTCCAGAATTATCTATTCTAACTCTCAATATTAATGGTCTCAGAGCAGAACCATTATCAGCCCTAAAAGGCTACCTCAATTCAATCACTCCTGATATAATCATGCTCCAGGAAGTTAAAAGCGTCTATATTGGTCCAGATTTTCCCTCTATATATTATTCTTCATTTACGTATTATCATGATCCAAGAGATTCATGTGGTGTATCTATTTGCCTTAACAAAAGTACTTTCAAAGATATTGAAGAAATCATCTTAGATCCGATCATTAGAAGTAACGCGCGAATTATTGGAGCGAAATGTAAAGTCAATTCGATCAATACTCTAGTTATTTCTGCGTACTTTCCAAACCAACCAGCTGACAGATGTGAATTCACATATATTCTTGACGACCTAATTGAAAAATATCCTAATCACAAAATCATTATTGGAGGTGATTATAATGCAATCTTATCAGAGAATCACTCCTCAAATGAATCCAGAAGAACTGATCAAAATATATTAGATCTTATTAACAAGAGAAATCTTAATTACTATCCTTTCCCACATTTATCATGGCACCTTCATTATACTATTAACAAACAATCCAAGTCTATAATAGACTACATATCCACAGATTTTCCTATTGCATCTGGTGAAGTATTGAATGCCAATTTCATATCAGACCACAAAATGGTTAAAATTCTACTTGATCTCTCATGTCAACGAACACCTTTGTTAATTCGAAAGAAACGTAACTTCCAAGATCCCAAAAATAAGAAAGAAGTGTTGGCCATTAGCAAAGAATGTGTATCTCAAGTTAAGAATTTAGAAACTGATAACGACAAATGGCTTTTCATTTGTGATAAACTAGGCGATAAATTTGTGGAGGTCAATCCACCTAAACTTGATCCTAAAATCTACAAATATAATAAGCAATACAAGAAGCTCATGTTAATACTTGATAGAAGTGAGCACGGATATCCTTGTGACAAGTTATTGGCCACTATCGGTAAAACTTTAGAACAGGTTCCAAAATGTCTAGCAAGTGTCAAAGAGAAGATCAAGAATCATATCAAATGGAGCCATGACAAGGCTTTGAATAGGAAGATGAAATGGTGGGAACAGAATTATGCAACCAACTCTAAACACTTGCGAAAGAAAATTTACAAAACATCATCACCACCATACAAATTATCTATTGACGGAACTGAAATTAATGACCCCAATGAAGTTGCCAATGTGATCAAGGACAAATATCAACAAAATCTCAACTTTAGAGGAAGGAATCATCAAATTGACATTACCAAGTTTTTCAAGCACAAACATCCATTAATTGATAATTGCAATGACAAAATACTCGGTAGAATTACCACGGAAGAGAAAGAATGGATAATTCAGAATTTAAAATCCACAGCACCCAACGAACTAGGTTTAAGACAAAAAACCATCAAATACATGTGTAAAGAATTACAGGAGGAAATTTTTCAAATTATTGAAAATATCATTACTACTGGATTTACTCCTGAATCAATGCAAAGTGTCAGCATTCTCCCAATTCACAAAAAGAATAAGGACCACTCAAACCCTGCTAACTATAGACCTATTGCCCTCATGGACTCAGGACTTAAAATAGCTACTAAATTAATCACCAAAAGATTGAAGGAAGTTTTAAAGGGAAGATTATCATTAGCTCAATTTGGTGGTGAAGACGGCAGAGAAACTATTCACAGAGTTCTTTCAATTTACAATATGATTGCTTGGGCAAAAAAGGACAAGAAACCTTTTTACGGTTTGGCTGTTGACATCAAAAAAGCTTATGACTCATTACCGAGAATTATGCTTCGAGATGGACTGCTTTTCTTAGGGATTGATGAAATTACTGCTGATGGAATTCTGGAAATATTAGGTGAATCTACGACAAAGTTTGTTATACCTAATGGTAAATCAGAATGTTTCACTGTGAAAGATGGATTGAAACAAGGTGACACCTTCTCTCCCCTTGCATTCAAAATTGCACTTGAGCCTCTCTTACAATTTTTAGAAATAACATATAATGGTGCTAGTGTTGCAAATTATTGGAACATTAGTACAGGCGCATGGATTGATGATTTGAATTCATTTTCCAATGAATTACCTGAAATTGAAAATTCTTTGCATGACATTGAAACCTATCTCCATGGCTATCACATGGAATTAGATCATTCCAAAACTAACCTCTTCTCCGATAAGGAATGTAGTATCAAGACATTATCTGGAAGTACGATCAAAAGTAATGATTCTGTTATTATACTAGGTAATAATATTACCAATAATACTGAGGAACAAAAGAAATACACTACTTCAATTATTGAAGAAGTTAAAAGAAGAACTAACTCTATTGGCTGGAATTTTCCAATACAAAACATTGTCAAAATTATCAACACAGACATTGTTCCGTATGCACTGTACCACCTAATTCCTCTCGCTAATGACCATCTAGAGAAACAAATTGATAAATTCCTTCGCAACTTTATATGTGAAAGATTAAGAACCAAGAGAAAATTAGCTCTCGAGTGGTTTTATACTCATCAAGACAAAGGTGGACTTGGATTAATTTCTGTTCAAGAAATGAGTTACTCGGACCTAATGTGTAAAGTCAGAAAGTTCCTTGAACAATATGATATCTGTCTTGGATCTTCTACAAGATTCCTTTGTGAACGAATCAAACAGGAGCATGGTTTTGACATCCTCAATGATCCAATCCCTACTTGGTATAAACCAGACCCATGGATTCCTCAATATCTCAAGAGAATAATTTTCATGAACAAATCTTCCAATATTAGATTGTGGCATTCGAGTGACCAATGGCATGAAAAAACTCTCATCCCTTATGGAAAATTCCCTAAAGGTTTAAGACAATTCCTGCTCTACAAAGATTGGAACAGATTAAGCATGTGGGTTCCTGACCCTAAAAATTTACAAGTGAAATTACATGATGATATCAAACATTCCAATCATATCACCCAGATTCGCAACATTCTCAATAGCATGGATTTTGGAAAAATCAAAGACGAGAGCAAATACTACAAATATGTTGGTAACAACACATCCCTGTCAAACCTCTTGAACAAAGCTACACTAATTGGTACTGACGGATCATGTAACAATAATATTGCTGGTTACGGTATTGTAACTGATCAGAATGTTTCCATCTCAAGTCACACCTTAGGACAAGGAACTGCCTACAACAGTGAAGTTCAAGCACTCCACACAGCTGTTAGATTGCTAGATAACAACACTCCTAGAACAATAGTCATAGATGCGAAAAGTATTTATGACCAACTTTTCCAATTCAGAAAATCTAGAGATCCTTATGTTGAAGAAATTCGTAATTATTTAAAAGTGAAGGATCAGATCAAAATTATGCATGTTAATAGTCATACAGGTAAACAAGATATCTATAGCCGTATAAATGAATTAGCAGATAGGGCTGCTAAGAAAGGTGCTGATTGTAACAATATTCTTACTAATATTCCATCCAATAATTGGTATATTATTATCAACAATGTATTATACACTCAAAACACTAGACAAACAATGTACAAACTTCTATTTCAACACCTCCACAAAAGAACATACACGCCAAAGAACCTTCCTCCCAAGAACAGAAAGTTCACCAACATTTACCCCTCAATAGGAATCGGTTTCAGAACCATAAATCTAATATTTAAAATTAGAGTGAACGTGATGAAGACTTTGGAAAATTTAAACAAGATATCCAAGACGAACTTGCTATGTCCTTGCTGTAGTAGAGAGACAATGCAACACATTATTTTTGAATGTAAATACTATAGTGATATAAGAAAAGAAATGTTTAGGAATTTATATAATATCTCAATATATGCAAAGAATAACAGGAAATTCTCCAAACGACTATTGTACCTCATCAAGACTAAGCAAGATATCCATAGCCTAACAGGTGCTAAAGTTGGATTGGGTAAGAAATGGGACAAAGTATTTACCAAGGAAGCTTATCGATCTATTACTAAAATGTGGATGAAACGAAATCATTTTTTCATGGAAGAATTGAAACTCACCTGGAATGAATTTGAACAACAATACGATTTTAATCCCAATTTCATTGATTTGAACAAGTTTAAACTATACATGAAATACCCACGACCATGAATAATAATTGAAATTTACAACAATATTTGAAATTAACACTAACCTTGATGACAAAAACAATAATTGAAATTTACAACAATATCTGAAATTAACACTAACCTTGATGACAAAAAAAATAATTGAAATTTACAACAATAATTACACTAACTTTGATGACATGAACCACCTTTAACTGCACTAATTGCACACACAGCCATGAATAACGTTTGAATTTTCGAACAAATAAACGCATGGACAGTGATTATTAAAAAAAAAAAATGGCATCTGAATCAACTCCAAGCATCACTGCCCCTTTCTCTCCCGAAATTGAAGCAGAAAGATGGAAAGATCTCGATTACATTCTCAAACGATCAGGTCCATTTGCTCCAGAGGATTTCCAAGCAGGAGAAGAAACCAAACAATTTTTACAAGATACCTGTAAAGTTTTGATTATTGGAGCTGGTGGTCTTGGATGCGATCTCGTCAAAAACTTGGCAATGAGTGGATTCCGTTCAATTGATATCATTGATATGGACACGATCAGTACTAGCAATTTGAACAGACAATTTTTGTTCCGTGATGGTGATGTAGGAAAGATGAAGGCTGAAGTTGCTGCCAAGTTTGTGAATGAGCGTGTGGCTGGTGTAAAAGTAACACCACACATTTGTGCCATTCAAGAGAAGGACAAGGACTTTTACAGACAATTCGGAATCGTGATTGCCGGTTTGGATTCAATTCCAGCCCGTAGATGGATCAACTCAACTCTTCTCTCCTTCATTCAATACAATGATGAAGCAAAGACTGAGGTGGATATGAGTTCAATGATCCCATTGGTTGATGGTGGTACTGAAGGATTCAAAGGTCAATCAAGAGTCATTTTGCCAGGTGTTACAGCTTGTTATGAATGTACTTTAGATTTGTTCCCTACCGATGAGACAAATTATCCAATGTGTACTTTGAAGACAACTCCTCGTTTGCCTGAACATTGTATTCAATATTGTTATATTGAAGAATGGCGTAACACAAAGGGAAAGGAAGGCATCGCCGATGATGAACAAGTTGATGGAGATAATCCAAGACATGTTCAATGGATCTATGAAAAATCAGTAGAACGTGCAAAGAACTTTGGTATTGCTGGTGTTACTTATCGTTTAACACAAGGTGTCATCAAGGGTATCATTCCTGCAATTGCATCAACTAATGCTATTATTGCTTCATCATGCACAAACGAAGCCTTCAAATTGGCCACTTTCTGTCTTCCATTCTTGGATGACTACATGATGTACAACGGAAGTGAAGGAATTTACACTTTCACCTACAAGAACATGAAGAAGGAAGGATGTTTACAATGTGGTCCTGATGGTATCGCAAAAACAATTAATTGTTCTGCTGACATTACATTGAACGACTTCAGAGATTTATTAAGAACTGACAAATCTATTCAATTCAACAATTCATCATTGCGTGATTTGACAAATGAAAAGACGCTCTATTTCACCAAACCAGCCACATTGAGACAAATGACAGAACCAAACTTGAACAAGAAGCTCAAAGAATTGTTCAGCACTGGTACAGAACTCTACGCCACTGACACTGAAGTTATTGCTGATCGTGGTGTTACTTTGATCGTCAATTTTACAGACTAAGATGTAACAGGAATGTATTTATTAAAATCATGAAATTAGCTCGATGGTGTATAATAACAATATTATGCTATGGTAGGTGTGTAAATCTTCAATTTGAGGATGCGTAAGTTAACAACCAACAAAAAATGTCGCAAAAAGAAGAAGGCTCAAAAGAAGCGATCATTAACACCTCAACAACAACAAGACCGCCAACGGAAGAGGACTCTTCATTTGAAAAGAAACTAACCACACCACCATCCTCCAATACAACTCCGATCAACAATTCTCAACAACAAGATCAAGAATCTGATGAAAATGATGAGGATTATGAAGACTATGAAGATGATTCCGAAGACTTTGAAGACATAGACAATGAAATATTAGAACTTGCCAAGCTAGAATCCAAACAAGATTTATTGGATCAAATGATGATGCAGTTTGTAATGGGAAAGGATGGAACTTTGATCAAAACCGATCATGATCCTTTTGCATACGAGGAAGGAATCGGAGATGAGAGCGAGGATGATGATGATGATGATTACTACGATGTCGATGATGATGATGAATTTGATGCAGAATTGGGTGAAGAATTTTTCAACAAGATGCTAAATAGTGTAAATAAGCAAAAGTTTGATAACGTGTTGTCTCCAATGAAAAAATCAAAGAATAACACTCCCTCAAAAACTAAGAGTGTAGATATTGAAGAAGTGGACGATGCTGTTGAATTAGATTTGGTCACAGGAGGTGCTCGTGAAATTATGAAGCAATTAGAGGAAAATGAGGAATTGGATTTAGAAAATGATCAAGATTTCCAAGATGGCATTTTCCATACTTTTTCGATTGACACTTACCCAAATTTAATCCAACAAATTTCACTTTTTATCTCGACAGACATTTGCATGAGCGAAAACTCGGGCTATTATAATATATTTCAAAGTGCAATGAAACGATTTTACATGGATCTGAAGAGGTATCTTTTAACGCAAAAAGTGAGAAAAGAATCGAACGATCCTACGCTACAAGTCTCTACAACTATGTCCAGTGAAGATTTGAAAATACGTTGTTATGAAGGTTTGTTTTAATAATGTTTTCAATTAATGTTAAAGATCACAATTGTACCATAGTTCAACCAAGCGTGAATTATCTTCAACATATTGTCACCAATGCATTTCTCCCAAAATCTAATCAACACAAGAGTGAAAATATTCTAGAAAATAATGAACTCGTTCGAATAGCAAAGAAAGTGATACAATCTAAAACTGAAAAGAAGGAGAAGCTTTCAAAGATTATGAAAGATTTTGTATGGTCAGAAGATTTCGATACCAACAGAACTTCAATATCTGGTGAAGAAGAAATGGAAGAGTTTGACGACGATCCTGATGATCCAGAATATGAATCAGTCGACAATCCTGATGAATTAGACAAATTGAAGAGATTCAAGACGAATGGAGGGCACATTAAATTGCTAAAAATTGGAAACTTTGTTCCATCGGTGAATTATGATGGCCAATACGTATTGAAAGCTTCACCACTTACACAAAAGCTCTACTACAAATTATTTACATTTTTACCAAGATATTACCCTCATCCAAAAACCTTTTCTGAGAAACAATATCTGGAAAACATTTTAATGACCTCCTCTGTGAGTGCAAAAACTTTCAATACCGAAGTGTTGAGAGATTTTTCACGGTTCAAAGTCAGTCATCTGTTATCCATTGAGATTGATTATGAAGATATCATTGGTATTCATTTACAGAAAGTTCCAATTTCTAAATCTATTCAAGACCATCCACTAGCATTGTTGGTGTTAGATCTTAAACAACAACCAAAATTTTACACCAAACGAATCTATTGCACCGAATTTGAAAGAAATGACTCTAGAGAACGAACAGACTTTACCAAAAATAAGCAAGCATCTCAATACAGTAGACATTACGTTATCGGTGACGATAGAGAGTTGCGAAGAATACTATCGGTGATGATTCATAGTGACAGCAGTGGTCGATTAGCTCAAATATATGAACAAGGAATGCAAGATATTAGCTTCCAAAATGAACCTTCGTGGAAGCTCACGGAAGAAGAAACCCCCAAATTTAACAAACGAGAGAATATCGAAATGGCCATACCTTTCAATCCTGATTTACCAGAAGGATTTTTAGTTTATGAAGATGAAGAAGAGGAAATGCTCAATCATGCCAATTATGATTCTGAAATGGACGAATTTGATTTCAAAAATATTGAAACAGTGCATCTTTATGATTACCCAAACGCATCAGAAGAGTAAAATGATTTGAGTACTCAAACATTTGTTCATGTTGCATTTTGGGCGAATCTAGAACATTACACGAATTTACATGTCTATTAGTCTCCTAAAGCTTTAGAAAGCGTGGTGCTCTTCGTTCATTCTCAGACAGTTGTAGTGATTTTGTCATGCAACTGTAACATGTTCTCGTCTTGTGTGCTCTTTTCCTCACCGGCACTCCTACTTATCGTTTCTAGTTGTTGTGGTTGATTAGACTCGAACGACATGGAATGAGTCACTTGAATCTCATTGAGAGGTCTGTAAATAATTATAAACAAAATCAAAATAGCAGCCAAGGTTGAGTCATGCAATCCAAAAAAGATCAACATCGAGTTACTATTCAAAATAGTAAATGGAATACAAAAGAATCCTACACATTGAAGAAATATACTAATGGTGACCCCGATCAAGATCGTGATTGCTTTCTTTAAAGCCACACGTTTGGTATTGACTGTTTCGAATTTGGAATAGGGTATATTTTTAGATGGTGGTTCAGATTGAGAGTCTGATTGTGATTTGGGAAGTGCTACAATGGAGCTTGCTAATATTTTCTTTTCTCCTTGTTGAATCGATCGAAGTAATAGATATCCAACATACTTAAATTTAAGGAAATGTTACATTCGAACTGAATCAAAACAATTTCACTTACATGCATAAACGCAAGTTGAAGGAAAGTTAGCAAGGTAAATGCAAGAGCTGCTACAATAAGGATTGTCATGACAAAATAATTTGCAATTATTGTTCCCAAATCGGCAGCCAATATTCCTCCAACTACTAACGCTAAAACAGCAACGGAACCAACAACGACAACCAGTGTAATGGTAAAGAAATGCAGTACTAGAAATCTCAATAGTTTAAACTTCTTCTCTGAAATGGCTCCAACTTTTCGAGTGGTCACCAAACTGTCAAAAGTCATCATTAAAAAATCCACAATTCCAAACTTTGTACTTACAATAAATGTGAAACAAATGTAATCAACATAAATTCAAACAAGGTCGTCAAGCAGATCACACTTCTGTCAAATCCTTTCAAAATTGAAAACACAATCAATACAGTTTTAGGTTGAGTACTAATATAGGCCATTTCAGCTCCAATTCTCGTAATCATATTAAACAATGAACATAATGAAAGAGTCAACAACAATGAAAACAAAATTCTTTGATTTTTTCTAGCATCTCTTCGATGATTCCTTTTGTTTGTACTGTCACGACGACCTCTATGGTCATGACACAATTTCATCATGATGGAAGCAATGACAATACTCAACACCAAAAAGACAATGACGAAAGGACCATTAATACCAAAAGCAGCATATTGATAACTGGTCATTAAATTCGTACGGGTGGCATTGGCTGACGACGATATATTGGACATGTTCGAAGAATTGTCGGAGACGAGTTGCAGCACAGCAACATCGGAGAGGATCATCTTGTTCAGAGAAAATGACGGATCGAGGAGCTTGAAAGAGTGTGTGGTCATGATGGTGGTCTCTTGAGTTTTTTGAGAGAGAAAAATATTTTTTGTGTGGTACAAGTGTTTGGCAACGCACCACCGTGTAAAAGCTCTGTTTTCGAAACGCCATATCTCTCTAACTTTGAGAGATAGAAATGAACTAGGAGATGAGATACTAATCTGTCCATCGAGATAAATCAAAATCAAAAGATTCACATTGTCTTTTAAATTTTTCCAGCAAGTGAATTGTCTTTTAAATTTTTCAAGCAAGTGAATGCCAATTCAATTAGACTGTATCTACGGTCATAGCAATCTAACGTTGATTTTCCTTACTCATGAGGACATGTTAAGGTTTTTTGTGGTTGAGATGAACTCGTAACGAAAATTGCAGAAACTTTCATTACAACATGTAACCACCAATCCACGTACTGCCCTTGTTACCACTTAATAGTCGAATTTTTGACAATTTTGCACCTTTTTTTTGCCACCTCCAAACACAGGCTTGTTGATAAAATCGCAGCGATCAACCTCAGATAGCATTCAAAAACACAAAAAAAAAACAAATTCGTTCATCAACTCAAAAATGTGCAAGTATAGCTCTGGCTGTGGTTCATCCGATAAGATCTATTGTAAATCATGTGGTACTGCAATGTGCAAGCAATGTAAGAGAAACTTGGGTGATGGAACCCCTGTGAAGAGTGGTAATAGTGCTGCTTGTGGTAAATGCGGTAACAATTATTAAGAGAGAGATTGATTATTCTCTTCGTGTTCTGAATTAGATCCGTTTCAAAAGAGGAATCAATAAATTCTGTACCATATTTTCTCTCAAAAATTTTGATCAACATTTTGGAGATGGCATCCGTTCTCTTTTTTGATCCTTCCTCAGTATTTTCTACACTGGCCGCGGTATCATAATAATCGTTCGAAGATGTTTATTTGGCTCAACTGTATCTTAAGTTAATTGGTAAACCTCCATTTCTCTGACTGTAAAGTTTCGACTTCCTGTGAAATAAGACTGAGCTTGTGTGGTGTTGAACTGGTATCCGTTAGGGCAGGAAAACGAATGTCCCAAATTGCAACTGTTGGAATTGGATGAAAAGTCAGAACAGATCAAAAGATCGTTTCCTCCACCAAATGTTGGCCCATAACCTGCCACACCATAGATGGAATATTGATTTCCATGTTGTGGACCGTCATTCTTAATTTTCACTGCTGTCTTTTCTCCATTACTTCTCACCAAACTAAACAAAAAGGTTTGGTTATTGCATTGATGGGCGTTGTTGGAATTCCAATTAAGAGGAGTATACCCACCAAAGATGCAATCATTAGATGATTTTATGATGGTTACCGTTGCGCCCTTGTTGTCGCATTTGTTGTGAAATTGTGACGCATTAAAACCATCTCTTGAAGCTCTAAACAACAGTGACGGCTTTGTTTTTTGAGAAATGACATCTGACAACATAATCCAAAGTTTCACACCTTGATCTCTTGTTAGAATTTGACTTCCTTTAAACATGCTCACTGAATATTCTTCGTTGAGATGCTCCACAACATCAGCATGCTCTTCTTCAATGTAATCCATCAGACCTTGAACATTATAATAACGAGCTTCTAAATAAATACATTCAACGGCATGTTTGTCTTGTGGCATTGAAAAATTATGAATCATTCCTGCACATCTCAAGTAATTCAAAATATATCCAAAGTATTTTCCATCTCTGATATCAGTGTTGAGTCATCATGAAATTTGGGAAGAAAAAAAGTTAGCAACACATACCGATCAATAAAAATTGAGCCATCCTTGTCCAGAGTCAATGTGTGCATTCCTGATGCAATTATAGATAACATGTGAGGTTCATAGTATTCATCTTGATCATCCCTCTCTCGTGAAAAGTTTTTAATTCTTTGTGTCAACGTTTCTTTCAGAACTGCAAAGGATCTTCCTCCTACATTGAACCTCATAATTTCACCTTCTTTGAAATTGTACTTTTTTGCTTGTTCTTGAATTTTATAAAACATATTTTCTCTTTTAATCATTTCTTCATTCCATGTTTCTGCTTCTTTGTTCAGCTGTCTGATCGCTTGTTGGAGGCCTTGTAATCGTGACATTTTTTTTAAAATTATTTGATGTTTCATGTCATCCAGCTGAGGGTCAAACGTTGGGAATTCTCATCTTTAACAACAACAATTTTCACATAATTAAGAAAATCGCAAACAGGTGTTGACGAACTCGTCAGACCTTTGTGAAATAAGGTCGATGTCATTTATCACAAACAAGCAATGTGACATAATGAACACACGAACGAGTTCTCAATTTATTTACATATTCACATTTTCATGTGTAGTTGAAGAGACACGAGTCTCTTCTTCCTTTCCTCCATGCATGAGTTTATCCATTGCTCCTGTAATGGGATGCAACAACTTGGTTCCCATTTTCATGGGTGCCTTAGGATGAGGCAAGGTTGGAGCATTCTCTTTGCCTCGCACCAAATCCGAATATAATTCACTCATTTCTTGTTGAGTCATGAGAGAAGTGAGTTTTGGAAAAACAAATTGTTCTTCTTCACTCATATGATCTAATAAATCCATGATGAATTTTTCGACAGTCTTATTGAAGAGTAATTGTTCATTCTGATTCAGGGTCAGTGTACTGTGCATGTGATCAATGAAGTATTGCAAGACTTCTTTGGCTTGTTGATGATCCAAGTAGTTTCTGTCACTAATCATTTTAGCTCCAGAGTCTCGAATTTTTGATGTAATGAGAGGATAGACAAAGCGTTCTTCAATCGAGGAGTGAATACATATTTCTTTGATGAATTGTTCAATGATGAGGATTTTTTGTTGCTGTGAAGAAATACTTTTGAAATTGTTAAATAATTCACGAACATTGTCGTGGTCTTTGATGAGTAATTTAAAAGGATCGTTTAAAAGGATGGATGATTCAACCATTTTCTTTTGGGGTTGTGCAGTGGACAAGGTTGAACATTTTTGTATCGTTTGATTAAAAAGGAAAACCACCTTAATACTTACTGTCAAAAGTAAAAATTTACAAAAAGGAAACTGTACAATTTCTAAGATGTTCAGAATGGAGTCATCGATAAATTGCTACCACCCCTTTGCTTGGTTTGCAATCTTCATCAAAACATCCTTATCACAAGTAAGCGACTCATGCACAACAGTGAATAACGTCCTTTTTTGATCCAATGCTCTCAGTGTTAAATCTTTCATTCTTCTCAAGCTTTCATGAGCAAACTTCAATGAATTTCCATCTTGCATAATGGCTCGAATGACCACTTCACGATCCATTTTCAACTCTTCATCCACATAGTTCAAACAAGCTCCACACAAATCTAAAATTTTTAACACAAATAATCGATTTCGTTTCAACTGTGAACTCGCATAATTGAAGAGTAATGGATTTGGACATGTTTCTAACGCAGTTAAAATGATTTGAGGATCATTTCGTATCTCTTCATGAGCAGTTATCAAAATAAATGGATCTTTTGAAATGAAAGCCAACATGAATGTCTTGTCTCTCCATAATTCAGGAATCAATTTTTCTCTACGAATTGGGTGTCTAGTATAATACATTACTGCTTGCATCATGAATTCCTTATCGTGCTGTAAATGTTGAGGAATTTCACTTAAATTTAGCGATTTCAATTCAAGAGCTTTTAAAATGAAGTCCTTATCATTTTCATAACATTTTGGAACTTGAGATAAGAAGGACCGTTTTGTTTCTTGCAATAATTCCAACATAAAGGACCGATCTCTCTGAATTTCTTCACTTGCTTGTGTGATCTCGTTGGGAACGAGTTTAAGAAATTTCTTTACAAATTTTTTGTTCGATTTCAAACTTTCATCCAACTTGTCAAATCCGAATCCATACATTCGGTATGGGGAGGAATGGTATTGTAAAATAATTTCTGGATCAGTTTCAAATTGAGCCCGACAGTCCTCATTAGCTATTAAATAACTGGCTTCATATTTCAGTAGTTTTAACATGGCCTCACGATTATTCCGTAATTCACGACTTGCATATTGAATGACTGACTCGGGTTCACACCATGCACTTCCATTAAGAACTCCTTGCTTCACAGCTGTCAATACCACTGTTAGATCGTTTTTTAAGTCGTCATGCGCAAATTGTAGAACTTGTCCATAATTTTTCACTGCCTGCAAAACTATTTCACGATCTTGACACAATTCAGGAGAGGCAAATTTCAGAGCCATTCCATCATTTTTCACTGCTTTCATGACCACAGTTCGATCTCTTTGCAATTGAAGTGAAGCAAACTCGATAGCTCTCCCACAATTAGAAACTGCTTTGGAAACAATGGATTTTGATTTTCTAAATTTTCCGGAGCATATTTCAAAGCAAGTCCATCATTACTCACAGCTTGCAATACCACTTGTTTGTTTTGTTTCAATTCTTCGCTCACATATTTTAACGAATCTCCATTCTTGGAAACAGCATTCATGACCACTTGTTCATCATTTCTCAACTGTTCACTAGCATATTGTAACATGCAATAACCATTCGGACTTTCCAGAGCTTTCATCATCCATGATTTATCATTTCTAAATTCCTCACAACAATATTGGAAATTTGAGCCATTCAATGAAACAGCCTTCCACGCGATATCATGATCGTTTTTCAACGAGTCGGAGAGGTATTGAAAAGAGGTCGGATCATGATCTAGAATTTGATGGGCAATTTCCCGATCTTGTTTCACTACTTCACTTGCTTTTGAAAAATCAAGCACTCCATTCTTGAATAATTTGATGAGAATATTTTTTCCTTCTTGATGATCATGTTCGGAAGAGGAAGGAAGAAGAAACATGCGTTCAATTTCAGCCTGAGCATTCAAGAAGGGAGATGGAGTGAGATGGTATCTGTAACATCGCTTGGATGGCTCGCATGAAGAAATGAAGGAAGACGAAGGGGTGAATAAATACTTGGTGCACCAAATTGTACTGGCTTTGTGAGGTCATTAAATCATAATGTCCAAAACAAGGACCATATTCACTGGTGCAGAGAATGGAACAGAGTTCATTGGTACCAATTTGAGGCATTTTCACACAGAGATCTTCATAGTTAGGACCTACCAAACTAAAAAGGAAGGTACTATTTTCCTCAAACGCTTTGAGACCAGGCTCATGTGGGATTTGAATGGAACGAGAAGTGAAAAAATTTTTAGAGAAATTTGTAAAGATCCTTATTCGAATTTTACATTCATTGTCCTCATTCGTCTTGTGAGAATTATTCATAACCAAAGAAATACCAAGATTTTGATATACTATTCTGCATTTTCATCATTGTCTCTGCCTCACCACCACCACAACCACAGAATCATCATCATGATGGACTCGATCATGACAACCATGAACGCACCGAATGGTTCACTTTCGAATGCAGCACAATTTTTTACTCTTGTCAAGGAAATGACCAAATGTTATTCGATTAAATTCAATGAATTTCTAGAGAGAGGTCGAGAGGATGATTTTGTGATGGCATTTCGAGAATTCTTGACATGTGAACACAATGACATGACTCTTGATCTCATTTATGAAATTGAAGATTTTAAATTGTGTCCAAAAGAGGATTACAAAAAACGATTTAAAAAGGCAAAGAAAATGATTCAATGGTATATTAGAGATGATTCATCGAGACAAGTGAATTTACCAGCAACTCTGAAAGATCAATGCATGTCAGAATTTGAAAAGTCAACAATTTCTAAAAATGGAAATCATGACAATCTGTCCTCACTTGAAGCCATCTTTGACAAGATTTACACACATCTCCATTACTCTCTAAAAAGTGATAATTTCTTCAGATTTACATCGAGTGACCTTTTCGTGAAATGTATTCTTCAAAATTTACAAATTCTCAAACAAAAACTTCAAAACTCCAACATGTCCAATTCCTCAAACAATAACAACAACAATCAGTCACCACCAAATTCAGCTCCTTCTCATTCCAACACTCCCACCTCTCCTCGTCAACAAGATTCACAAAGTCAACAATTATGGAATAATGTCTTGGAATTATTTTTTTTGGAAATTGGAGAAAAGAAATTATTACCATCCAACCTTAATGCTCCAAACAACAATGGAAACAACTACAACAATACTGGTCATAACAATGGTGCCATTCATGACTCAAGTCCAGTATCTTCTCAGAGTCAATCATCTCAAGAAAATGATTCCAATGTCACGAATCATCCAAAATTGGTACCTTCCCAATTCTTCCTTATTGTAAATAGTTTCAATTCCTCATCAGATTCTCAATCCTCATCGCCCAATTCTTTATTGCCTTCCACTTCTCCTCCTCCTACTCTTTCTCCAAGAGGTTTAAATCAACAATTACTTACAAAAGATTTAACACAACTAGCTTTGGAATTGGATGAAATTTTAGAAGAACCATTCACTCAAAATCGAATGGTTCATGAAAAACATTTTCGATTTATTCATTCATTGGCAATGTCGAATAATTTATTTACAAAATTAGATCCACCTATTGTGAACCATGAAAAACAAGAAAATACAAATCAAAATGGATCCAACGCTCCAGTTGCATCCATGAATTGGACATGTGCCTATACTGCTGACTTAAAACATCCAAAAAAGAAGAAATCTTATCGATTATTTAAACAAACTGGAATTTTAAATGCATCTCCGTTGGAAGTTTTGTATTCGATTTTGGATGCTGAATATTCGAGAATTGTTGGAGATCAAATGAATGAAGAATCCAATCCATTGGAATATGTGTCATGTGATTTTTCCACAAATAGAAAGAGGAGAGCATTGTCAAATCCTCCGTTGAAAGAAAATGGGAATTCCAATTCGTGTGAAAACATGACATCTTGTCAAGAAGATGAATTTCACTCGACTTGGGCCACAAGAATGCTTTTCAAATTAGGTTTTCCTTTGAAATCAAGAGAGTTTTTAGTGAGCATGTCATTGCGAAATGAAACATTGGCCATGTGGGATTTGAATGGAACGAGAAGTGAAAAAATTTTTAGAGAAATTTGTAAAGATCCTTATTCGAATTTTACATTGGTGAGGGCTCCTTATCAATACAATGAGGATAAGATTGATGTTGTGAAGAATCATACACGTGGAATATTTTTTGGAGGTTGGTAGTATTTTTTGATGAATGGACTCCTAACTGTCAATTGTCAATAGGAACCATTATTGAAAAAGTTTCTGAAAACCAAACACGATTCACTCTCGTTTCACATATTAACATGAATACCAAAATACCAACATCACTCTATTACAGCTCTGCTCAAAATCGAACGGTCGAAGTTATTTCCTCCATTCAGTCCGTTGTTGAAATTCTCAGAAATCGAAAATATCAAAATTCTACGTCAGACGAACATTCAAGCAGTGAGAGTTTATCTTCTTCTTCTGAAACAAGTTCGAACATGAAATTATTTCCAACTTCTCCTCGAATTTTGGAAAACCATCAAATCAGAAATGTTATTAAGGACACTGAATGAAAATATGCAAAAAATTGGATCAAAATATGGATTTACCATTGAAGAGTTGATTTCACATTAAACAAAATTATTATTTCCAAATTCAAAAAATTTCGAAATTTGTTCTTAAAAAATCTTTCAAGAAAATTAAAAATCAACAAAAATATTGGAGATGACACCACCACTCCGATTGCTTGTAGAACAGGGTCAATTCGATCTCATTGATGAAATATTTTCGTATTGCGATAAACGATCGATTTTTCGAGTGTTATTTCAATGGTTACAATTTTACAAAAACTTCATCAGTCCAAATAATGATTCGGAAATATATCAAAATTTTTTTTTAAATAATGTGCAAGAAATTCTAGATGTGTATGGATTTAAATTTATGCAATTTCGAATTTGGAATGTTTATCGACGTGTAGTTGAAAAATTTGAAAAATACATCGAGTTGAAAATTGCAAACGATCAAGACTATTTGTTTGATAAACGTTATGAAACAAATACTCCCTGGATTAGAAACGTCACAGAGGTGAAAACTCTTTTCCATGTCTATAAAACTTTGACACAATTATTTATTACCAAAGATGGAATTATGTATATTCCCAAATATAATCAGAATGACATACATTCACAGCTTGAAACCATCAAAGATTGCATCACTCAACATTTATCTTTACATTCAAAATTATTTAACAAATTTCACAAGGACATGACTCTATTCGAAATGTATAATCAAATTCTTCATTTCGAAATCCAACAATTAACATGTAATTTTTGGAAATTTAATAACCAACCACTAGTTCGGTTACGTAGCTCTACAAAACCCATACAAAAGGATTCAAAATCTTGTTACCTCTTCACATTGCCTTTCACATGGATGATGAATTAATGAACGATGAAAATTATGATCGACATAATTTACTTCGAGATTTTGAATATTGCGTCTATTCAGAAGCTGGTCCTCTCATTCCTTATTGTAGTTTAACAATTTCTCAAACTATTATTCAAGGATTGAATTGTCGCTTAAAATTTGCACGTAATGAATCAAACACTGAGATGAATTTCAAGAACACATTTTTCAAAGAAGGAAATTATTGTGAGAAAATTGAAGAGAATTTGGATGAATTGTGGAAGAATCGCGATGCTCTTTATTTCAGTGATGCAGTGATATTTTTATTTGATTCTATGAAATTGAAAGAAATCAAGTCAGAGATCAACCTTGACACATTGGAAACCGTTGAGTTATTACCTTGCTTACGTCGGGTGATTTTACAATATCCTTTTTCTCCCATTGTTCTCGTGCTCTCAGATATTTATACTGCCAACGAGTTTGAGAATCAAATTTCTCGTACATTATTGAACTTTCCTCATGTCACTGGTGTTTATGAGTATGCACAAGATAGAACAGTATTGGAGGTGGCTTGTAACAGTGCATTGTATGGTTTGAGGAGCTGTGCACAGTTGCATGTTGACCTCACGCAACAACGAAAAACATGTGAATTGCAGTAAGAATGTACTTGTTGTTCTACTTGGATTAAAAATCAATGAGGCAAACAATTTTGAGAATAACCAAGATCCATGTTTCCATGTCATGCAATGTCTCAGGTTCAAAATCATTATTTGTTGTCGTTGTTAGGATTTTTCCACAGAGCTTGTGGTAAATCAGGTCGTTCACTTGTTTGAGGCTAAAAAACAGGAAACCTAGTTTCGAAAATTTATTGGGAATGAGTTTGTTACACGATGCCTTTTTTGTGATGGACGTATCGTTATTATGTTCGATTGTTTTGATTTTTTACAGCAATCTGGAGTAGGCAGACGAATAGGTATTTAGCAAAAGAAGATCCTAAAAGAGCCGGTAATTCTCACTCAGCTAAAAGCCCCTCTTTTAGATCAAGATCGGGATTGTTATCGAAACCTCACACACACCAACGAAAGTAGTAGAAACTGTATTATTTATTATTATTTTGTTGTTTTTGTAGTTCTTTCATCAAATCCTGGTGCTGCTGTTTTTGTTCTTGCTGTTGCGCAATCAACACACCCATCAAATCCTGGTGCTGTTGTTGTGAGGAGCGCATTACATTGAGCAACGCATGCAATACTTCCTGATGCTGTTGCTGATGCTGTTGCCGTTGCTCATACAACACATTCAACACTTCCTGATGCTGCTGCTGTGTCTCGCGCATTACATTCAACATCTCCTGTTGGCGGTCGTCAGACTTTTTCGAGTAGTCTTTGAGCTCCACTAGAGCCTTATGGATACCGGAAAGGCTTACCATGGTTTTTTTTCCTAGTGAAGACTCCATTTCATCAAACTCGGTGTTTGACTCACTTAATTCATCGACCTGCAAATCTCCCTTTTGAGGAGAGGAAGTCTTGCTTGACGAGCTTTTTGAGCTCGTTGATGAATTCCCATTCTGCTCAATGAGTACAATATTGCGCTCATTATCAGCGTCTACTGCAGCTTTTTCATGGACGCTCAGGGTTAGGTAACTTGCAGCATTATTGGACATACTGTATTCATTGGATGATGATGGATGTTGTGGAACCATTTTTTTGTTATTGGTGTTAAGGTGGTGGTGGTTCAAGAGAAACTTATAAGTGTTTCAAAGCTATTCATCACTCCCGCTCGTCCGTTGTTGGTCCAACTACAATTTTTTAAAGCCTTTGCAAAGCCTATGAATCCACAGTGAAAAGGAATCACATTGTAATTTCATGTTGTAAAACTATTACTGGTTTTCAGTAAAGCGGTAAATTGGATTTCCAAACTAGCCATAATGAGGCAAGAAATCTCAATATACTATCAACATGATACTGCTTACATTACATTTATTTTAACATAGTTTGTTTTTAAATGAGAGCAGAGCGGTGTTTGTTTGAATTGATTGAACTCACAGTGATAGGTCTTTGTTGGATGTTTAAGAAGTGACAGTCGCGTATGTTAAGTTATTTGTCTTCCATGATCAATGACTATGGACATGGTTTTGTTGTTGCTCGTTTTCTTGGGGCCAGGACAAGCATCCTGCTGTAATACAATGCTTGATGAATAAAGTTTCACACCATTATTCAAAATGTACTTGTTGTTGTTCTTCGATTAAAAATCAGTGTTCTCAAAAGTGTAGTGTTTGCAAGTTATGGAAATGTTATGCAACGTCTCAGGCTCAAAATCATTATTCATTGTCGTTGTCATGATCTTCCACAGAGCTTGTGGTAAATCAGGTAATTCACTTGTTTGAGGCCAAAACACAGGAAATATTAAGGCAAATTCTGGAACATGAATTTGTGTCATGATCAATGTCCATACTGCTTTTAACAATGGTCGTGTTTTGGATGAAACTAAATTATTTTCGAATAATAATAATCGTTTGAACCCAAACACTTGGATGAGAATTTCTTTGGCAAATTGAACACATGGATCGGAAATGTCTCTTGTCAATTTTGAACACCAGATCTTGTGAATACTCTGGAACTTGTTCCAAGAAATGAGTATTGAATGAAAAGATGCTTTTGAGAATCATTTCTCCATTGAATATGAGTGTGTTATAACACAAGAATGGCATGTCCTCTATCAAACATTCCTCATATTCAAGTTCTTGAGAGTTGTAAACTATTTTCATCCATTTTCTTCTCAAATTGATGTTAAATTTTGATTTGAATAATTTGAGTTCATCAAAATGAAATTCTGTCACGTTTTCGTCACTGATCATGGATTCATGACAACAACTGACACAATACGACACCAATTCTTCGGAGGACATAGTGGCACTCTTTTTAACAATAAAATTCTCAATCATTCTTTTCTCGTTCAATTCCAATAAACATCCAATATCCAATCTTGCAACATGTTGTTTCACATATCCTTCTCCCCCATCTAAAAATTCAATTAAATAAGTCCATGCTGCTTGTTCACTTGAGAAATAATCGAGTAGTCCACATAATCTACATGCTTCTATTTGTTTTTGATAAGAAATAGATGAATTATTTGAGTTATTTCCAGAAATGTAAATTTTCAATTCCAATGATGTCACACAATCCTCGCATGGCTGTCCATAGAGCTCTCGATTTGAACAAATTGCAATCAATAATTGCGGATTTGTCAATGAGGTTGTTTCATATTGATACACAACATGTTGGCCAACGTCTTTCTTGATAGCTGTCAGTCGAAGTAATACTTGTCCTGTGATAGGATGTGTCATCCTTCTTTCTGGAATTTCACTTTGAGCAAAGCAGGAGTTCGTCTTGTTGGTTTCATGGTCGTTGTTGTCCGAGTTTTTCAATACTAGTTTCGAAAACCAGTTCGGAATGAGTTTGTTCCATGGTGACATTTTTTTCGGTGGTGTCTCACCTCAATGTGTTTAATTAACAATGACCGGAAATAATTTTGCACACAATGAACTTGCAATGCTCACAAAGAGAAATTAGTTGAACTGGAAGGTTGATGACTCCACAAGAGAATGTATAATGGCTCACAGTGAATGCACACCTTAAACAAGTGATTTTCTAAATACCACTGAAGGTCCAACTTCATGAAATTCTCCTCGCGTAATCCATTGTGATTGAAATGTAGAAAGAGAGGATAAAATTGAGCCACCAATCCATGCTGAATGAAGCCGTTCAGGAGGGGCCACTACTTTGATTTTCACAGCAGAGGGAGCTCTTGCTATCATTTCACTGCTCACTCTTGCGCCCAGGTTGGACATGAGAGTGTTTCCTCCGCTCAACACAAGATTTCCATATAAATCTTTTCTGCAATCAATTCCAGCACCACTCACTGCTTCGAAAATTAAATCTCCTAAACCTGTCAAACTCTTGGCAGAAGTGTCAGTGTGCATGAAACATTCTGGTTGAAACATGAGCTCTCCACACTCTTGTAAATCTCGTTCACACAATTTCAAAACACCACCTTCTGGAAGTTCATATTGCTTGAATGTCGTATCATCATAAGTTTCCCAATAAGATGTCCTAATGGAGCATTGTTGTTCCTTGATCTTTTTCACTTGTTCGTGACATTGATAATAATGATTCATGCTCTTGAAAGTTTGGTTGTTGCTAGTTGCAGATAAAGTATTATTCATCATGGATGACAACTCGCCTCTCTCCATCAATCGTTTCATCAACTCATCCGTGATATCTCTTCCTCCCAAATCCAATCGTTTGATACAACTTGGCATGGTATGTCCCTCGTAGATGGGCAATATAGTGGTCACGCCATCTCCAGATTCAATACTGAATGCAGAAAATCCTCCTGAAGCATAGACAGATAATACTCCAGTGAGCTGGTATTGAGCTGTCTGTACTTGAAAACGTTCAAATAATAAGGAAAAGTATTGCAATCTATTTTCAATAGGGTTGAGAGCAGGTTCTGTAAATAGAATCATCATGGAAGTCAAGGCGTCTTCTTGAGCTGTTGAATTGTTCGGATGTTGCTTATTGGCAAGAACATTTAAATAGTGTTCTATCAATAATTCCATTGAATCCCAATGAGTAACCACTCCTCTCTCGATGGGATATTCAATATCCAAATATTCCGGAATGGTTGATGATGATTTTAAAAATTGATCTTGGGGAGTTGTTGAAATGAGCTGAACTTGAGGATCCCATGATGATGAAAAAATTGAATCTTGTTGATGATTATGATAACGACCAACCACACTTTGGAACACTACATAGGGTGCATCGTCACCAGAGAAACCAATACGAGATTGACTCGAGCCCAGATCAAACACCAACGAACACATTTTTTTGTGATTGAGATCTTTGTGCAAGTTCACGAGTTGTTGAGTGAATAAATTTATTTGGACCTCTTCAATTCCCAAACACAAAAGTGAACTATCCTAGAGTGGCTTAGTTTTTCGACTGGAACTGTTGTTAAGATGGTTATGTGTTACAACAAATGATGAAGCAACTCCAGTCCACCATCTCTACATGGACACAAGATTTAAACCAAAGAGAACAAGAATTTACCAAACTTCAACAACTCTCTTCCAAATATTCTTTCAAAGAAGGTGAAATTATTGTCATATTCTGTCTTTAAAGAAACTCTCTCACAACGCATCCATGTGAGTCGAGTAATGTCGAGATGCTACACCTTCGAAAACATGTGTTTTTCTGACTAATCAAATGTCCCTGTAATTAACCTCATCCATGTACATCCTATATTAATCAAAAAGAAACTTTTACAATTGGTTTGTTGCGTATTGCGATTTTAACTCTGCAATGAGCTTGGTCGCATATAAATATACACCAACCATATACTCATCACTTGTGATAGCATAATGTGAAAAAGAAGCTGGAACATCAGTAATGCTTTGCATTTCATCGCGTGACAAGAGTGGCTGTACGTATTGAGAAAAGGGAATGCTCCCACCAAAACATGATCCAATAAATACTCCAATGCCTTACTCATTTCCATCACATGAGTGTAATAGTAATTAAAATAGCTGTTTCTAGTGTTCACGCTCACTTGGTGGATGAATGAAACGTCAAAATCCATAGAAACTACACGAGTCATTAAAAGCTTAACACTCTCTACTACCTCATCATACGAAAATTGACGTTGAATCGTCGTTTGCATAGATTGGCGCATAACAGCAATTTCTAGTTCTGGATTGTTCGGAGAAATTTGTTGAGCTAACTTGGTTAGATCAATATTCTGATATCCAAATTCTGTAAACAAATATCCTAAAACCTTTTCAGCTGAATAGCTTGCGTAGGTGCAAATATAATTTCGTATCATGTTGATATTCTTATTGTTGGTTTCGTCATGGGCAACGCTATAAATATCTATGTTGGCTTTTCCCATGCAATATTTTGCAATATGAGGATACAGACAACCGTAATAATGGAATATGAATAATAAATCATCATGGTTGAGCAAGCCTCTAGGAATGAAAATTGTATCACAAATGTCAACAAAATGAGGAATGGCCAAGATAGGTCTAGCGTTACGCCCAAGTTTTTGTACATCAAAATGTTCAATTTCCATCACGTCAATGTAGTCAACTATCGCTTTGGAACATAATTCAAGGTCTGTATATCCCGAATAAGAGAGCGTATCAATAGCACTAATTCTACTTTCCAAAGCGTCAATGTAATCTTTCCAAGCATTTGCATTGTTGCATAGTTGAATAAAAAGGTTTTTTGTTAATCTTGCAGCGTCAAAGTTAAATCGTTGAAAACATTCCCTTATTAAGCTGTTCAAAAACCCTTTTCTGTAATACTGTTCATTGGGTTTCAGCCGTGTAGTGTTCTCAAAATTGCCAGATTGGCTAATGTAATCTTTAAAAATCTCATAACTTGATGGACGTACATAAAACATGTTAGAAAAGTACAACAATAAATGCTCATCTGTCAATATAGGATTGTATCTTGTAAAAAATCTCTCAAGATCAATATCAACGACCTGTAAGGAGTCCAAATGGTGAAATATGTAAGTGGTAATTGCGTCTAAATGCTTATTTCTGAGAATGTCATAAAGTATACCATTCTTATTTGCAACCACTTTTTCAATGGTCTTGAATAGAATATCACACACAGTTCCAGTATCTACCTTTCCGTTCAGGCATTGTACTAATTGTGATGGATAATTATTCATTATTATGTTACTCCATGATCTTGATATTGTGGTGCTGAACTCGGCAACAACAGCTGAAGTAAACAATTTCTTAAAACGGCAGCCAAATGTAATAGATCTTCCCATTTCTGATTCTTCATCTTTTTCCATATACTGTTTAAATTTTTCTCTATTTACCGCCTTTTCTTTCACGATATGCATTTCATGGAATTTTTTACATTGAGCGATTAAAACTTTGTAAACGTCGGAATGGTGTTTAGTAGGACTGTTGTTCAATAATAATTCATAATTCTTTTGATGGCTCTTTACATAATGAGATAAAATTTGTTTCCAAAATATTTCAAATTTTTCTAACCGATTCCACGATTTACAAACAAGCAGCATGTGATAAATATCAGACACTGGAAGAAATTCCATGATGATGAATACAGAGTCTAGAGAAAGCTCCGATACCATAGTCTCATGTTCGGTATCACTCTGAGATTGTGGACACATCATTTTTTTTTAAGTTGACCAAGCATTTCTGTTGTTTATTGGCTCTGATGAAGGGCTTTCATAGTCTACATCTTCCAATTCAAAAGCAAAACCAATAGTAGAGTGGACATTACAACCAATAACCGGGCGCATGGATTTCAAATCTCCAACATTTTCTGAATCGCCAATTAAGGAAGAATCTAAAATTCCAACAGGTCCCTAATATTTTACCCAAACAAGTAAAAAAGAATAAACATGATGATGTACAAACAATACCTACTGGTGGGCATCCTATTTGAATTCTATTATCGCAAGCAATTACGTTAGAAAACAACACTGGACCCCCCTCGGACCAAATTCCATATCTTCGATTCTTCAAAGAGACTACACCTTTGAAATGAGCCACGACTGGCTTTCCAAAGCGATCTGCAGGTCGATACAAGGTTGTTTCAGTCTTTCCATTAGTCATGACCTTTCATCAATATTAATACCTGTTGTTCCAATCACATACGTTCGAAGGTAAGAGCTATATTGAGCGGTTGAAAATATCTTGAAATTTCCTACCTGGGAATGTGTTACTTTCTATGCTCACAATATGTGACTGTAAATTCAGTCTCATTAAGCTACGGACGTTCTTTTGAAAATGTCACAAATCCACCAGTGGCATTAACAACTCTCTTCGAAGAACAAAATGTCAATAATTCTCTGCTCACAATCAAAGAGCCAATGACAGCTGTCAAACTCCAACAACACCAATCGAACGCAAGCCAGACCACAGCACTCCGCCTTACGCTTCTTCTTCGAGCCTACCTGGTACCAACCAGGTTAGTCGTGCTCCAACTGATGTTATCTGTTTTGGTCCAACCGTCGTTCCATATCCAGGCTTTTCTTTATGGCTTTGGTTAGTACCACAACACGAGAACACTGCAACTGATCAAGGTGCTGATAACAATCGTGAACTTGAACGCTGGCTTAAACAGCACAAACGTCTCATTCAAAAAGGGGAGCCTGTTCCTTTCAACAAGGACAGATTCGTTATCGATTGTCGCTCCAACGATGGCACCTTGGAAATGACCATTTTCAGACAAGTTAACAGTAGAGCCGCCACAAAGCCCAAACTTGAATACGTTGGCGTGGTGTCCTTCAGTTGCACTCCAAATGGTTGTACTGCATACAATGATCATTCCAAATGGAGAGAGTGTGGACATGTTCTTCAATTCTCCAAGCATAATTATTATGCCTGCATTCCGAATATGGGCTACCCACTTGTTCTCCGTTGTGCAAAGATAAAAGCACACAACCGTCTTACGATCGATGCCAATGGAATGACCACTTCTTCAAAACATTAGTTAACTCCAAACAGTAACTCAGTTTAGAAGATCGGAGGTTGTTTGAGATTAGAAACTCACGGTCAAATGATTAAGATGATCTCAAAAATTGTCAACCCTCTTCATCGATACATAAAAGTGGCGCAGTTTTTGCATGCAAAAACTGGCGATCATAGGTAGTCGTACCTAGGCCAGTTTTGGTAACAGGCAAAAACTGCTCCACTTTTATTTGCAAACTTAAGACACATCGTCTTGTGTCTTGATTTTGCAAAGATGGCAATGATATGAAAAGGGCTTTTTTGTTGAATGTGCTGTTTTTAAATCCAATAAAATTGGTCTGGGTTTAAAATAATGTTATTCAAAGTTCTTGTGTTTGCGAGAATTGTAAAAAAAAATGGAACAAAACCGTCGAACACGATCATCTCCTTTGTAAGTTTCTTTCAGTGGAATCATCATTTTCGTCTGATTTTACAAAGATCCAAGCTCAACTCCCTTCTTAACAATCTTTACTCTAGACATTCCAAACTAGTCATCCATAACGTATTAAAAGCCTCCGACATGGAACAGTTCAAAAACGTGGAACGAAAATTGAAAGATTGCTTGTATGAAACAAGACAACAATTCCTTGTCGAGTTGGAAAAGGCGTTCGACAGTGTACCTATTCATCATCAAACCACGATCACTGTTGTAAACTCAAAGAAGAAAACTTCAAAACTGAAAGAAAGCTTTGATAGCGATGAAGTGTTAGGGAAAATTAATGATGATTTACAAATGGTTTGTTTCCGATGATCATGTTCATCTCTTGTATTTCTCATCACCAACTGTGTGGCTTATCTGTTTGAAAATCATGCTTAAAGATGGACAAATATGTTAGGTCATTAGAAGAGAGTATTTCATCTCTCAAACAGTCCCAAGAGGACAATGAAATCGGAATAAGAGACCTCCGAATCGACCCAAACAAGGATCACAATGAAATCATCACTACTCCCAATAATGAAAGCATCTCAGCAAGTAAGAAAAGGAAAAAGAAGTCTAAAAAACCCAAAACCATGTCGAACAAAAAGAAAAAGACCATTCAAGTTCGAGAACCAGAGTCATCAAAGGATTCAGAGCGAGCTAAAGTTGAGACCCAAGACGAGCAATCAGCAATGGAACAAACAAATACTTTGGATGACATGGTTCAAAGAAACCAAGCGGTATCATCCTCCAGCCGACGACGAATCAGCTTTTCGTCCTCAGTGGTGTTTTATGAAGATCTTGTAGAATGTCCTTTATGTCAAAGAAAATTCACAAAATACCAAATTAAGATTCATATGGACAAAATTCATTACGATAAGGACAAGACCCTTAACAAAAAGAAAGCTAAACTCACTAAAACCATCATTGCACAAGTGAAGGAATCAGAGATGAAAAAGAAATTGTTTGGAATCTTGAACAAGTAGTAGTAGGGTCATGAATGGAAAGTGCATCTAAAATATTAAGTTAAATGAAAAGAATAATTTGTGAGGAATAGCTGAAGAAAGTTGATCACGGATCTAGATCCCGAGAAAACCTCACTCACCCACGAACATCCAAGGTGTGCCATTCTGAAAAGAATTACACTCAAATGGCATGTATAACATGTTCAAGATTTACAATAATTCTTAGAATAATTTATTATAATGATAAAAACAAAAGAGAATATGGTGTGCGTGTGTTGAGAGTAATGAATGAGGAATGTTTTGAGAGAGTATACAAGCAAGGATGTAACAAGTCAATGACCACAACAAATGGGATGAGAATAGAGAAGAATTAATATCCTTGTCCATCTTCTTCCTCATCTATCAGGTCTTCTTCTACGGCATAGAATCCACCATTTTGATCATCCTCATTACCGGTATAGAAAACTCTAGCAGTTGCTTTAAATACAATTCTTCTTGTTTGCTTTTGTTCTTCACCACTTGGAATTATGATACCAGTTGGAGTGTAACCACTGGTAGCCGTTGGGACTGCTCTAAAGTTTGGATTGAAAGAAATTCTTTGTTCCTCTTGTCGGATCTTCAAAATAGATTTGAGAGGTTGTTGACCAACAGGAAGTGGATTCTTCTTAGTGACACGTTCATAGACAGTATTGTTAGAATTTTCAGCATCTCCATTTCCAGATTCACCAATGTGAGAAGCCGAATGACCAGCTCTACGTTCCAATTTAACGACTTCACGTTTCTTGCTGTTGTTTGTCTTCTTTGGACTCTTGAACATGTTCACAAAAGGAGAAAACCATTTTGATTTTGGTACAGTGAAATCCTTCACAGAGAAGAATGGTTCAATGACTTTGTAATTGGGATGAATTCTTTTCGAGTTGGCATTTGCAATGGCATATAAACACCATGAAAGCTCTGTTAAAATACTCCTAATATCTTCAACGTCAAACTCCTTTTCTTCACTGTGAGGTAAAAACAAACTTGCATACTCTGCAACTTCCTTACTTCTGTCAGGTCTTGGTCTTTCAGCCTTCTTCTTTTTCACACGAGTTCTTGGAATACCACTGTCTTGCAATAATTGATAACTCAATGTTTGCAAGAAGGCAAATTGTTTTCCTGCTGCAGAAGTCGTGAATTTCATCGAGTCACGAGCTTTGATAGAACTCTTTCTACCATCTCCTACAAGAGCTGCAGTATCTTCAGCTGAAATGATACCCTTCTTTCGTTTTTCATGGAGATAAACTTTCAAACCTTGAATAGCTCCATTTTTAGTATTTTCAATATCACCTTGTTCTGTAAAGTAAAAATTGCAAATATCATGTCTCTTAAAGTGTTTGGGTCAAAACCAGTCTTGACATCATATTTGAGAGTCCAATATGCTTTATCAGTGAGAACCAAATAACGATCTTGACTGATTTGATGTTTGTTCACTTTGATCACATGCCATCCTTTGATAATTTCTTCATGGAAAGGATTATTGATATTTTCATCTTCATCAAATCCATCATCTTCTTGCATACCATCATCTTCATAGTTATTCATCAAATTCTCATCATTATTTTGTTGATTATTTCCAGAGCCAGGTTTTAACTTTAAATCACGTCTACGAGTATTTTCATTAATAAATAAACGTGCCTTTTCAATGACACTCTTTTCTGATTCTGTTGGAGTCCACCAATTCAAATCTGGTCTTGTCAATAATCTCTTTAAAACACTCAAATCAGCATATTCACGAACTTTGTACAATTGTGCTGCAGAGGATAAAAGTTCAAATTTAAAGAGTGGTGTGACATCGGTATTGTACAAACCAGCCAATTTGATGATTGGCTTCAATTCATCTTTGAAAAACATTCCATTCATGTCATGACCTTCTAACACAAGTCTCAATGTCAATGTTTTTGAAGATTCATGAATATCAAAATCCTTCTTTGGTTTTTCTCCAGTTCCAGAGTGTGGAATTGGTTGTAATGTAATGGCAATTGTGGTGAGACCAAGTGACAGCGCATCCACAAGATCATCTTCTTCAAAGGCACAAATGTCACTCAGTGCCAAATAAACTTGTTCAAGTACATATTGAGATTGTTCCTTATAAATTCTCTCAACAGCACGAGAGTAATCAATGGCAGCATATTTCATGTGATCCCAATTCACTTGTAATTTAAGAGGATGCAAAAATTCATTCAAGATTCTTCTCTCAAATTCTGGAACATAGTACTTGTCAATAATGAATTGTTGAATATCGGTACATCGATCGAGATTTTTAGTGATATCTCTGAAAATCCATTGAATTTCTTCATCTTGTGTGACTTCAATTTCTACAACATCGACAATGACACCATCCTTGTAGTAACCAACGTCACGTGGATCATCGCTGTATTTGATGACATATTTCTTTAAATTTTGTTGGAGGAAATCTCTAATGTGAACATGTTTGGATTTTTCATTATCTTTTTTTCATGAGATCAAGTGGTGTGAACAAGTTCAAGTTGTTGTGTGAATCAGTAAATAAGTTGTTGAATCGAGTGAGTGATGTGAATCAAGTGAGTGGTATGAATAAGTTGTGAACAATTTGGTAAAGAATAAACATATATATATAAATAGACAAAGTCATGGATTGTTATAATAAAATAATATTATACCACCTCTGTGTTGTTATTATTCAATACTTACGGTTTTGTGGAGGTTTACAATATTGTGAAATCAAAGTACCAATCAAAGATGCTGCACATGATTTAGACAAGAACGAATTCAAAATGGTTTCAATCACTTCTGGTGCTCCCTCATTAAACAAGGTATTAAACAATTCATTGAAACTCTCCCAGTCGACTTCAACTTCAATTTTTCTCTTTTCAATTCCATCAGATTCTTCACACAAAGTGTCAGAAGTGGTATTTGGAGTGACAGATGTCGAATTTGATGGAGTCGTTGTTGTAGAAGTAAATGATTGTTGATCCGTTGTAGTAGTAGTAGTTGGTGTTGTAGTGGTTGTAGTCGTAGTAGTTGTTGTAGTTTCTGAAGAAGAAGAAGAAGGAGAAACTAATGTTCCATTCATTTCAGATGAAATTGTAGCAGTTGTCGTAGAAACTGCTATAGTAGTAGTACTGTTACTATTACGTTCCTGACTTGTAGTGGTAGGAGATGTAGTGGTAGGAGATGAAGAAGAAGGAGATGCCCCTTCCGAAGGTGACGATACTTCCTTCACTACAGTAGCTACAATTTGATTATCTTCTTCAACCATTCTTTCCACTTCTTGAGCATCTTTCAATTTTTGTTTATAGATTTGACAATGAATGGGAGGAGCAAAGAGAGCAGCAGTGATCATTTCAGAGAACTTTTGAAGTTTTTCAAAAGTAGGAGCGAGGAGCTCTCCTTTCTTTTTGGAATCCATAATGATGTTATTGTTGTATTTAATGTTGTTTTGTCTGGATAATAGGATCTATGATTGGACAGAAATGAATGTTGTTGTTGGTTGTTGGTTGTTATGGAGATGATTCAGATATCATTCATTTGAAAAGAATTGAAACATTGGATGACGGTTGTTGAGGATCCAATGTTGATACAGTTGTCAGGAGTGGTGATATTGTTATTGTTTGTTGTTATTGTTGTGGATGATGATCATTAATGAAAGAAATATCATGATGATGATTTCATGTCAGAATTCAATTTTAGAAAATGTGTGTAATGAATGACACACACCGTTGTTGTGTTTCAAATATTGACATTTATGATTTCACAATCGTTGGATATCAACAATGGAAGATGACAATGATCATACCATTATATATCATCATCAGATAAAGTATATACTTTTATGAAAACATACATGAGCTATTATTGTTGTATAATGGTCAAAATTGTGAGTGGTCGACGTCAAACAAGAAGAATCATCCAATGATATCGCACTCAACAATAGAAAAGACGAAGAAGGAGGAACACTCTATGTGTGATGGAGCGAATACGAAGTGTGTGTGTGGTTTTGCTCTCCTTTTCACTTGTTGTCAGCAGAGAGAGTCAGATCGATGTTTGATGATTTATTTTTTTGGTTGATGGGTGGTTTTGACATTGAGTGACAAATTGCTTCACGCATGTTGGTTTTGCCGTTTCGAACGAACGAGTGCTGATTTGTCTGTTCATTATCCCTTAATGTGAAGCATACTTTCGTAATAGGACTTAACCGCTTGTTTTCATCACCATCGTCGAATTATCACTTGGTAGGGCTGGACACGGAGAGACCAGAGGAAGTGCTGCTATTGGAAACAATAATATTGCTGGTTGAAATGATGTTGGGATTTGATGTGATATTCGCTCCAGCAACCACTAAGGGATGTGTGTTTCTAAAGGATGCCAATGATGGTAAAGGCCAATGGTGTTCGTTTTGTGAAAGGAAGTTACTGAGTTTTGAAAGTCTAGGTAAAGCTTTGGAAATGTTGGAAAGGATTGGAGTGGAAACAGATGACAAGAATTGTCTCTGATAGGACCTGTGCATGGGCTTGGTTCTGTCCATGTAGGCAGAGATATGAAGTCCCATGTTTTTCTCTCGATCTCCCTGTATCTGAAATTCTTCTTCTAAATATCCAACCCATTTCAAATATTGTTGGGTGGGTCTGAATGTGTAGCAAATGTCAGCTGTTTTTATGACCATTTGCAATAGTAACCGAACATCTTCTTTCGAAGAAAAGTCTGTGTCATAATTACTGGGATCTTTACCCAGTTTCAAGTTAAATCGTTGCAAAGTGTAGACATGGCTACTCATATCAGAAGAGAGTATAATTTGAATCATGGTCTCTCGAATATCTTTAAATTGCTCATCTGAAAGAGAGCTCAAAATATTATTTTCAGGTGAAGAGAGTACTTCAAAAGCTGTTGATAGGTGATAGTTTTCAAGAACGGATCTATCGTTATATAACAATGCCAGTTTTGAAGAGGAATGTAATTGGAATGAATTATTAGTACCTGGGTGCTTGTAATCTAATACTATGGTTGCTAACAAACATGCTAACAAGTCTTCGTCACGAAGTAAATCGCCAAGCCCTCCTTCTTCAATAATATAGTGAACAGCTTGCAGCACATCGGCAGCTCTAAGGGGGTTGTGAAATGGATTTTCGTTGTAACTTGACTCCACAGCTCTTAAAAAATTGATCAATACGCTTTCCTTAATATCAAACTTTCGTAACAGGTCATTCTTTAAGAAAACATAATATCCTACAAATACCAATGGGTGAACGGTAAAATCAAAAATATTAAACGAGTCCCAGTTTGTCATTTTGTCCAGTGCTATTCCAAGCTTTTGTTTCAAAGGAGATAACTCTTGTTCAGAGAGATTTTGGCTTGATTGAGGTCTCCTTCTCCTGGAGCATGTTTTCACCCATTCCAATAAATCTTTGTCAACCTCGCTCTGTATAGAAGTCTTGTTGATGTTTTCTAGTCGGATTGCTTTGACCACACAGTTAAATGCGTCAACATCCAGATGATTGATTAATTTTTTAGCAATTAACTTTTTCTTAACGTCCATTAGAAAGTCTATCACAGCCTCAGTTGATATTGGGGGCGTCACATCCTTTGAGGTTGCGCCGTGCACATCTTTCTCTTCTGGTTTTTTTTCTTGAGTTTCTATATTAAGTGCTGCGGGTGGTGTTTTTGGTGTGAGTTCAGCACTTTTGAATATTTATCGGTATTATATGTCATGTTCAAATTCATTTGTTACTCACCTTTTCTGCGTCTTTTCTTCCATGGACTTTTTTACGAATTCCAAATAGTTTAACTGCTCCTTCAACCTGGACTCTGTTTTTTCTAACATGGTTATCCTTTCATCATCATTGCTTTGAATCTTTCCAAAGTAATTATGAAATAATGGTACTAAAAAGTAAGTAAATATTTTCTCATAGCAGTCTTCATTGCGTCTCATTCGAAGCCCAATTTCAGTTCTTATTTTTCTGATAGTGACCTCAATTGATAATTTTGCATTTTGAAGAGTTTCATCAATTATAACAAATGTAGGTTTCTTGAGAGTCATTGCTGACACAATTCCCTTGAACACATGGGCATTATGCACTGTTCCTCTTTTAATTTTCAAGTCCAATGCTTTTCTCTAAGCTGCGGTTATATCGGAATTTGTTTATGGTCTACTTACTAAATCCTCAAACTCTTCCGCTGTTACGTTTTTCTCAAACAACTTGTCAACCCCATCGGTTGCAGCCACATAAATATCTTGTCCATTTGGGAAGCATAAAATAACATATTTTGTTGAAACACCATAGCTTTCAACAATGAAATGAGAGAAGATGTTCGGAAGGTCTACAAGATGACGTTCAAAAGACTTGCGAATATTCGGATCAAGCTCAACAGGCTGTTGCTCTTCCGGCGGCTTTTTATCAGCCTGGTTAGTAGCCTCTTTTCCGACTGATTTTGTTGCTAAATTTCCCATGTTGATGATTATTATTTAAGAAGGGTGAGAATCAAATCTCTCTTCGATTTTCAAACGGAATTAATTTCTTGGTCTTTTTTTTAATCTCATCCAATGATCTGTACAATGTTTTTGGCGCCATTTTGCTCTATGAAAAACAAGACATGGTCAGTTACATGCACCACTTCTCCGTTAATAAAAGGACGAACAATAATGAAAGGAGTAGAGGGTGGAAAGTCATTTTCTTTTCATAAAAAAATGACACAATCCATCCAATCTTCGCATTCATTCCGATTGATCCCAATCGATCAACAACAACAGAATGTAACCAACTCGGAAAGCATCATTCACTCGGGATATGTTGTGATTGGCAGAGGAAGCTGCCCAGATGATCTAGATAATTCTCAATTTTATAGCATTGGCGAAGGAGAAACAAGAGTTTCTCACAAACATGTATGTTCGGCAATTGCTCTCTATACATAGTACTACAACAATAACACTTGTCAACTCACAATTTAAATGCACTTAGTGCTCTATTATTTATGACAGCAGCCGAGACCAATTTTTCTTACTCAACCACAGTAAGGTAAGTGTTACAATAAATCGCTCACAAACGATTTAAATTTCTTAATGATTTTAGAATGGCACTTGGTCACGAAACGGCAACCAAAAAGTTCAATTTGAGCCCGCTCAGCTTGAAGACACGGAACGATTTTATTTGGAGAAAGACAATAAATGTGGATTTGTGTTTAAGCGAGAATAATAATAAACATTTCTTCTTGGAGATGATATTGTTTATTGATCTTCAATACTGTTTTGTAATGATACACAAATATCCAGTAGACAAACGCTGCTGATTAAAATCACATGCAAATTGTTGTACATGTTGTACATGGACGTTCAACGGCTTGTTGTACCTTTTAGGTTATTTACAAAATTGGGAAATATTTGGAACTATATACAGAAAGGATACGTAAAGGAACAACAACCAAAAGTTGAACAACTTAGAAGTTAAGAATGCTATTGCAAGTAGTTGGAGGAGAGAAGTTCAACAATCCAAGCTCAGCACCAGCAAATTTGTGACCTTCGTGGTGAGTTTCGGCCATGTCGAGATCATCATATGATAGATGATACTTTTCGATTGGTCTTGTTCGTAACTCGATCAAGAAAGAAATGTCCTCTTGGGTAACAAAATTACGTTTCTTTCTGTGATCGTGACCGCTTGAACGCATTGTATGGAAATCTGCATCGTCATAACCAAAGGTACTAGGTATGCTGTTTGAGTTTTCATCGTTGTGTGGGAACACATCGTCATAATCGTCATCAAGGTGATTTTCATTGAAAATCGATTCATTAATTTCCAGTTCGATAGTGGGCGGCGAATATGTTCTAGATGGTGTGTCATGGAAAAGCATTTGGGGAGAGAAAGGAGAAGCAGAGGATCTTGTAGTTTGGTGTTTGGGTGTCATTGAAGAGCTGCTACTATCCTTGTTTTCTTCATTGATCTGGACAGGATTAGCGGTAGATGGTGCAGATGATGAATTTCTTGAAAGAATCTTGATCAATTCCTCGTTGGCAAGACGTTCTGGTGTTCCTGTAGAGAATTGTGGAGAGTGAGAATCTAGGCCTGGAGAATGCTTGGATGGAGAGGCTGTTTTTGGATGGCAAGAGGTTGAAGGAGATGAAATGTCAAGATCATTGCTTCGTGTTGATGAAGAATGTTTTGGAGTGGAAACATTTAGCACCTTTACAGGCTTGGGAATGATGATTTGCTTGTTTGACAAATGATGATAGGGAGATGAGGGTAGTTGTTGTGGAGGAGAAGCATAAGAAGACAAAATACGTGAAGTAGCGGCGCCTTTAGACGTTAAACAAGGAGAAGAATTACAGTGATGCAAGCCTCTTTGTATGATTGAAATGTTGGAGGAGGACATTTTAAAAATCACGCCTTGGAGATGATAAAGAAGCTGATGACCGTTATAATAGTGGTAATTTTCGTGCTGATGTTTTGTACAAATAATAGGACACAATAATATGCTCGTGTTCAAAAGTAGAAACACTCGTGCGTAGATAGGATGATGAATCACGTGGTGGTTGGAAATCAACAACTACAGTAGCAACTCAGCACAAGAGTTCAAAAGGATCGATCGACTCAAAATTAAAAGAACGTCTTATCAACTTTTGAAAACACAACGGCTGTTGGGATGATGATGAACGACGAGGAATTCCCTTTGCGATGGACGTTGGAACAATGAGATTTTTTCGAGCCAAGCGACCAATATTTTTAGCCTCGTCTCGCGCAATAAACACAATGCACACTAGAATACCAACAACCAGATACCAAAATTGATTGAGCCTGCGACCACAGCGTACTCGAGATGCAGGGAATATCGGAATGCTCAACCACACTAGAAAACGACAAATGAAATGTTGCCAAAACAAAAAATCCTAAGGTCTTTGTGCAAGTATGAGTAGTACTGCTTCTCTGAGTCTCAGAGATTATTTGTGTTTTTCTCTCGTGATGATATCTCCAAGCAAACTTGTAATTCAAGGTTGATAAATTCGGAATTCAACTCAATTTCAAGTGAAAGCTATTGATGTTGAAGTAATAGCCAACGATGATGGGATTATTTTGTTGATATGGTCTTTTTGGTTGGCGATATTCAAGGCCTTGAATTAGAGTCTCTTGGAAATAGAAGTAGGAATTTTGACCATAAGGTAACAAGAGGAAATTGTGTATTCGCACTCGAGCAAGCATCTGAAGAAAACAATTTTGAAAATATTCTTTCTTTGCCAAATTTTCGAAATGATAAAGGGAACCTTTTTTAGAAAGGAAAGCGCTTTCTGGTCCAACCTTGGTTAGTTCTCTGGATTAGTTTTATACAACGAACAATGACGCGTTGCATCACTTGTTGAATACTGAACCAGATCTGTTACTTCAACACGTGACATTATATCTGAGATTATTCATATTTCTTGCCCATGTACACCAAAGGCAAGTTTTTACCGCCAAATTTCAAACAAACACTACAAAAAAATGTCCTTCCGTGAATTGAGGAGTAAGTGTTTAAACATTAGTGATGAAGATATAACATTAACAATAAACATTCGGAATACAACTCAATTCAGATTTCACTGAGATTATGCGATCTCTTGGTTATCCAAGAAAAATCTCTGTAGAAAATTTTAGAACTCCTAATTATTTATTAGTTTCCGAAATTTTATATTGGCTCGTACAACGGTAAGATTTGATACTGATGTTTCAACTAGTTGAGCTGAAATTGTATAATAGATATGACCCTAATATTGATATTGTGGAGGGCACCGACACGGTCGAAGAGAGGCTGACATTTTTGAAATCAATATGTGAAGTAGTGGTAGGTAATTGCATTCGCAATTGAATTAATATTGAACATAATAAAATAGTACTACAAAGCAAGAATTAAGTTAAATATCAAACGGTTGTACCAAGCGGATGGGTATGCCGTAAAGGAAATGCTAAAACTTGCCAAGTTGTTAAATGATGCAACAGAATTAGCAAGATCCGTCGAGGACTCGGAAGATTATGAATCAGCCACTCTTCAACAACTAAACAGCTCAAAATTTCAATTAAATGTAAAACAAATAAGGAGTATTGCAACCGAGCTTACAGAGCTAGGAGCAGAGCTGCATGATCTTCTCGGAAAAGAAATGGAGTTAAAGGTATGTTTTTGAGGGAGATCACAGAGTCTTATTTTCGCAATTGTACAACAGCAAGAACGGCTGGATGCAATATCATATCCTCATAACATTGAAACGATCAAAGAACACATTGAAAAGAAGAATATGGAGGCCGTTGACATGATTTCTGAATTACAAAAATCAATTAACGATCTTAAAAAAGACGACGAAAGTTTGAGGGATAAAAAAAAGAGGAAAGAAACAGAGCTTGAGAGAGCCAAAAAACGGTTATCCAGAGTCTCTAACTTTAGACCAGCATTTATGGATGAATATGAGCAAAAAGAACAAGACCTACAAGAATTGTATAAGAAATATGTTGAAAAATATCGAAATATTGAATACTTGGAACATGAGCTTGAAAAACACAGAAAGGCTGAGGCTGAAATTGTTGAAGAGAACAAGAGAAGATTGAAATTGCTTCGAAAGAAACTAAGAGCTGACGATCTCAAGTATTTGAGAGGAGAAAACCAAGCCACCTATGATGATGAAGAAGAAGAGGAAGGTGATGAAGATGAAGAAGAAGAGGAAGGAGAAACAGAGACTGGAAATGACGAGGACGACGAAGATGACGATGACTCTGAGAACGATGTTGAAATTAAGTCTAGTCAACAAGCAAGGCCAAGAGCAGCGAGCGGAAGAAGGCCTGAGGGCAGGACAACGACGAATCAACATTTAGTGAATACAGCAGCCAAAAAAACAAGAGATGTTTCAGATGGGTACGACTCTGATGAATACTTGGAGTCAGACGAAGACAGCTATATGAACGGCAACGACGAAGAAAACATGATTGAGTCAGACGAAGGAGATTCTTTCTAAGCCGATGTACACAAACAATAATTTATTCATAGAATAAACCAAAAACCATGGCCACACAAGTTAAGGAGCTCTGTATGAAATGATGATAAGGTGGAAACACAATGCCTTGAAATGTACTTACATTTTTGAAGGAAGCTGATGCATAGTTGTCAGTTGAAGGATCCCACAGAAATCTTGAAGCAACTCGAATACCTTGCCCGGAAGTACTCGTGATCACTACTTGGACAATGAATTTATATCTTGGGTATCCACATTTCTTTAACAGATCTAAAATCTTGGTACTCAGTTCTTTGGATCGAACCACTGAGTGATTGGCCTCATACTCTTCGTTTTCCAATTCTGTCCTTAAAAATTCATTGAGTTTGTCTTCGACATCTTTTTTTACAAATCTTTGAACAAGACGGATCCATCGTTATTGCACAAAATCTGAATTGACTTACTTTTGTCCTTCTTTTGGTTTCATATGATAGGACTGCAAAATGTGATCCACCAATCATCTCCGAAATATTAAAACATACGTTCAAATAAATTTCTTCTTGAATACCATTTTCTGTATGAGTTTGAATATGTATTGCGTCCATGATGATTCCGATATCACAGTGTATTTACAAGAAATTGAGAGACAAGGCCTTTTGATGTTGTAGATTTGTTTTTGAACGAAACAGAAATTTTTGGCGCCAATTCATACAACTCGCGTTGTTTTATTAAACCCTTAATACCAAGTTTGAATCAAATCCCTTCTCATTATCCAATTCAACTCGATATCCTTGTTGATTGGAAATCACAAGAGTCTTTCCCACTTGAATCGAGTTCGAATAATGCGTGTGCCCAAATCCCCAAATCTTAATGTGATCACTAAAGTTATCAATAATGAATTGCAAATTGGTAGAAAAGGCATAATTATAGATGGAACTATCATGTTTTGGATGAGAAGTTCCTGATGTGAGTGGAGCATGATGTGTTAATATCACAACCTCTTCGCCATTCTCTTTACACTTTTCTAATTCTCCTACGAGCCATTCAACATCACCTCTGTGAAAATTATTCGTATCTTCCACTGTGAGTTTCTTGGGTGCTTCATTTTCTTCTTTTCTTATTGTAATGTACATGTAATCACTAATAGATGTTGAGATTAATCTTTCATGTCGAGAGGGTACATTAGACCATAATGTACAACCTTCATGAAATATAAAAACATTCATTGTTAAAAAGCCAATGAAGCATGTTTCAAAAATGAATGTGCGTTGCAAGTATTCATGAAACATACCTAGAAAACGAATTTTTCTATTTGTTTTCTCTTCCAATACTAATAAAGAATCTCGATCCAGTACCAAAACTCTGTTGTCAGGAAAGGATTGAGCAACTTCTTTGATTTCTTGTTTTCTAGCGTGATATTCTCTGAGAAAATGGCAATTAACATTCAACAAGTTATAAAAACAAACATACCCTCCATAAAATTCATGATTGCCTATCACGCAGCAGGTGAACAACAAATTATGCAAAAAATCAAGATCATAATATTTGAGCAATGATCCATTTCCAACCGCAATGCTTACCGAGGATGATTAACACTTTTTCATACTTGTAGTCCTCAATGCAGGACTTGATAAATGTCTCATAAGCTTTACTTGGTTGACCTGGCTTTCCAATATCTCCTAGCAAGCCCAATATTTACCTTCACAGGTGGTAGTGTAGGAACTTTGGAAAGAGGTATCTCTAAATGCAAATCGGAGCAAATGAAAAGTTCTAATGGGCCAGAAATTGTGTGGATCATTGTTGAGGTTTTTTTTTTGATTTTGATTTGCACCACAGAACTGAGAACTCGTTATGGAATAACTTGTTGTTGAATGATGTTCCTGTTGCAGAGTAGAGTTAACACTTACTACTACATATTGATCAAAAGGATACTTGGCAATTTTTTCCGAAGTTTTTGCATGTGAGGTAAAATGTGGCCACAAACTTTTAGTATTTCCCATCAAAACTGCAAATCAATCATCCAATGATAACTTTTCATAGGGATTTAAATGTATTACCCCAGAATAATCCCTACTTTTTAGATAATAATCAAGATATCTGGAAATTGGAAAAGGCGGAAATATTTCATCCTTTGTCTTGCAACAATTGAATCCGTGCAAGTTTGATAAACCAAAAGAATTTTTTCTTTTTCTCATTTTTTTATTTTACCTTTCTTTCTCAAGCAGTGGTTGAAAGAGTATGAATGAAATGGCTTTCTCGAATCATGGAATTCACTTGCTAAGGCATCTTGGGTGTCATTTAACCGAAAGGGAAAGAAGCCATCGTTCGATACTGCATGCCTATTTGAGAGTTGAGTGTTCAAAAAAAATCCTTCATTTTGTTCTCTTTGTTTTTTTCTGTTCTCTGCTCACTGCTTCTTCGGAACACCAAAGAGTCTCAATACCGTTCATCATCTTTAATATATCCATCATCAACAATAATTGAACAATTATAGACATCATATCAACATGGCGGAACAAAAAAAACAAGCAGAAGAATTAAAAAACAAGGGAAATGAATTTTTCAAATTGAAGAAATATGAAGAGAGTGTTGAATATTATACAAAGGCATTAGAGATTTATGAAGATGCCGTATATTATTGCAATAGAGCTCTTGCCCACACACATTTAGAAAACTACGGAGCTGCTTTGGATGACGCTGCCAAGGCTTTGACAATTGATCCAAATAACACAAAAGCCTACTACAGACGCGGAATGGCTCATATCGGACTTTCAAAGTTAGAAGACGCTTTGAAAGATTTTAATGAGGCTCTAAAGTTAGCTCCAAGTGATAAGCTTATTAAAGAGAGAGTAACACAATGTAAAAAGGAGCTCAAACATCAAAAGTTTATGGAAGCTATTGGTACAAGCCATGCACACATTTCCGAAGAAATCAACTACAAGGTAATCAACGTGGAAGATTCATACGATGGAGTCAGACTCGGAGATACTATTACTTTAGAGTTTGTGGAAGACATGGTCAACAGGTTTAAGGCTCAACAGAAGATTCATATCAAGTATGCTTTGGAAATTCTTGTGATGGCAACTAATTTGTTGAAGACTGAAAAATCCCTTTTCCGAGTTCACGTTCCAGAGGACAAACACATTACTGTCTGTGGAGATACCCATGGCCAATTCTATGATTTATTACGAATTTTTGAGCTCAATGGAAAGCCATCAAGGAGCAATCCATACCTTTTCAATGGCGATTTTGTGGACAGAGGATCATTTTCGTGTGAAGTCATTTTCACTTTGCTAGCTTACAAACTATATGATCCAGAATGCATGTACTTGACGAGAGGTATGTATTCAATTTTTCATTTTTCAATGAGGATTTAAACTACTTCTTCAGGAAATCATGAGTCTCGTCATCTCAACCAAATTTACGGCTTCGAGGCTGAGACTGTGAAAAAATATAATAGTGAGGTTTATGAGCTATTCCAAGAAGTGTTCAATTACTTGCCATTGGCATGTGTTATTAATGAGAAGGTTCTTGTTTTACACGGTGGAATAGGTTTCAAAGATTCAGGCGTAACATTGCAAGATATTGAAAACATTGATAGAATGAAAGATATTCCAGAGGACGGATTAATGTGTGACATTCTTTGGTCAGATCCACAAAAGTTAAACGGTCTAGGTGTAAACAAGAGAGGTGTTTCTAGAGTTTTTGGTCCTGATGTTACAAAGAAATTCCTTGATGACAATGGCCTCGAACTGCTGATCAGATCACATGAAGTGAAAATGGCAGGATATGAGGTAGAAGCTAATGGAAGACTGATAACTATTTTCTCAGCTCCAAACTATTGTGACTCGGTTGGTAATAAGGGAGCATTTATCAGATTTAATGGATCTGATATGAAGCCACAATTCACACAGTTTACTCATGCTCCACACCCTCCTCTTGGTCCAATGCACTATGTTTCAAGCTTGTATGGTCAATTAATGTAAATCGACTATGTAAATTTTCTGCATAGTGGTTCATATCAGTACAAACACATAATTTGGTAGTATGTGTTCAAGAAACTAAAATTTGTTAACCCAACAGTTTCTAAATTATGTACGGTCCATTTTCACAAATTTCCATCTCGGTTCTTAATAATTGTATTTAACACATTAGCTTGCTCATGAAGATATGGTAAGGAATATTCTTCAGAATCAATTAAATCGCTTACAGGATTGTTGTGTCCTTTCATCATAATTATTCCCATATTACCAGTATATTTTGACTGTTGTTTGGCAATAGAATTTTGTTTGTTTCTGAGCACATCGGAATTAATTGGTGGTAATTGTTTCATCATCATTGTCACATCACGATGATGTTGTTTTTTGTGATCCAACAATTGAAAAAGAGGTAGAGTGTTGGAATTTTCTTTAAATGAAATAGATTCGGGTTGATTGCTTTGATTTGTATGTTGTGTTGTGAACATTGACAACACAGAGTTTGCTAGCCATGATAGAAGGGAGGTCAGGCGTGTAGATGAATTTTCTTGCATTTTTTTTAACATTGCTTCTTGAAACCTTCACACTGGCGTTCCGTTGCTTTATTCATTGCAAATATAGTAGAATCTACTGATGCTGGCGTATCCAATAGAAGCGATACACTTGTGTGAAGTATAGAATTTTTCCATGTCCGTATGGTCGCAATTATACCTGCTATCCAACTCAGTCTCAACAACAACCCTTTTCAAAGTGCAAGAATCGCAGCTTAATGAGGAAGTAAAAGATGTCCATTTGGACCAATTTTCGCTGTCTCTTGAATCACCATCAAATGTGAGCTCGAATGAGAGTAATTGAGAAGAAAGAAAGTCTTGTTGTCTTGCAAGAACTTCTTTCACATGATCGAAAACAAATCCACTGAGAGCTACATGTTGTAGATTTGGAAGAGTTTCCTTGTTCAACAATGCCTCAAGAATTGTTCGTTCTAATTCTTCAGCAGGCATTTCCTTTCTTTCTTCCTTTTTTCTACGATAATTATATTCTTGTGAAAATCTAATACGAAGGTATTTCACTCCAGGAAATACACACTTGTTAAATAATTCCTTCCACGATGTCTCAGGATATTCAGTGTAAGCTTCAACTTGGGATTGCTCAATACTCAAAAACTGAATGGATTCAGGGAAAGTAAACTTGGATAATGGCTGAAATAATAGAACGTTTTCCAATTGGAGATAAAGAGCTTTTTTCAATCGTTCCTTAATCTGTTCTTGATTGATATCTTCTATTTTGACAGTATAAGGATCAAATGATTGAGAATGAATAGCTCCTAAGAACTTGCCCCAACCTGATGGTTTGCGAATATAAATACCTAATTTTGGAGTTCCATCATCACTGTTTTTCGTTTCTTTTGTTCTGTATCTATAATTTTCTTTCTCTTCTTCAGCCCAAGAATCTAAATAATTAGAAGTCAATAACACATCACTTCCTTCGCTCCAATACTCTTCAGTGTTCTCAGAATCTAAAGCGCTAAACATGTTTAAAGAGAGCATTAAGGATGAGAAAATAAATAAACGGAATGAGTTAGATGATTGGTTTCTAAAGTGTGAACAATAATCTTCAGCAGTCACACATAACTTTTCAAGTCTCTTCAATAATTGTGCTTTGCTGCTTTCAGCATCTGAAAAGAGCGGTTGTTTTGAGCTTGGTATTGTTTTCTTCTTTGACTTGGTTTCGTCTTCATCCTCTTCTTCTTCTTCTTCACCTCCATCATCGTCGTCATACCCATAGTCTTCCCAGTCACTACTAATTGCTTTTGAAAGATCATTCAACACCTTTCCTCGTTCATAATGTTGTATGACATTTTGAATACGAGTCATTTCCATCACTGTCCATTGATCAAAATAAACTTAAGGATCCTTATATGAAAGAACTACAAACCTTGACGTTTGTTCATATCACCTTGACCCAACTCTAAATCATCCAACAACCCAGTTCTAATCCAATATGAAAGCTTTTCAAAGAAATTGTAGCCGTTCAGCCAATACATTTCAAAATCTGTAAGAGTTTCACCATCCTCCGAATTAGAGGCAGTTGAGGTGAGCATATCATGCCAATGTTTACTGGTCTTTGTAAGATTGATCAAGGCTTTGATATTTTCAAAAGGAGGGATATAACAAGTGACTTCTTCAGACAACTTCCCCTCTCTAGCAGCATAGTATCTATTTTGATCGGTTGCTTCTCTTGATTCAAGATCAGCTACATTGACTTTTCTGTTGGCCTCCAAATCACCCACAAGAAACGAAAGAATTTGCAAAATCATTTCATTCGGAAGTGGAGCAAGAGCACCCACTGATGATTCATGAAAGATGCGTTCATAGCGCTGTACGTTATGCTTGGGGAGCTTTGGGGAGCTGGCTTCAACTTGGTCGTTCTTTCTCTTGCTTGGGGCGGAAAGAGGTGAGCGCATTTTTTGTAATCACAGTTATTCAGTTGCTTTTTAAAACCCTTTTACACCTTTGCAAAGAGAGTTACTCTCTTCTCAACTCTTCTAAATTCATCAGCCAAAGCACATGATAAACTACAACGTCTTCATCAACAAAAGAATTGTTGGAGAAGTAAGTCCATTTGTGCCACGACAAAATTTCCAAACAAAGATTTTTTAAATAGTGGAATCAGCGGAAGGAATCTGTCACACGACCTCAAACAACACACAAACAACCAACAACAAGTCTCCTTCTCATCTATTCCACTAGAAAAGGAATGAAATAATTTTTAAAATTGAGAATATTGAACAGATGAGATGTTTCAACATATGAGTCTTTCAACTATGTCTTCATCTATTCTACTCAATTAGAAAATAATTTTCAAAGTTTTTATCAACTCGAGTGATGTTGTATTCAAAACTAAGGCGCGTTGTTTGTAAATATTTTTTGAGATGCGAATCTGTGTCGAAAAAAAGGGTCTTGTGCCCTGACTAAGTCCAGATGAGACCCCTTAATAGGTCCAATAAATCGTGACATTAAAGCAAAGGGAAATTAATGAGCATGTGAACCTATTTGAACGCATTTCAAGCGATTCTTAGATTCTCTTTAGGCTTGCATTTTAGCTGAAATTGAATGAAAGGATTCTTGCACCTATTTTTCGAGAACGAGACTCTTTTTTAGACCTCAAAACATAAACCAAGTCAGAAAAAAACAACAAGAATCATTATTCCCAGTTGTATATATACAACCACACACACTCACATCATCATCATGAAAGAACTCGTATCAAAGCCTTTTGAATTCACATGTCGTCATAACCGACATGAAAAGCGATACAATCCTTATGGTTCTTCTTCAACCCAATGCTTTCATTCCTTGAAACATAGGAGAGTAGTCTCGAGAATGCTTCTTTCCACCTCGCAACGAAGGCTCTTAATGATGAGGTCGGAGGAAGAAGAAGAATTACTCCTCTACAATTCTAGTGCCACATCTAGTGGGACCACCCCTCACAACAACCCTCATTTGACGACATCTTTGAACAACAACCACTTGTCGTCCCATGCCACTTCTTCTTCACCACCACCACCACACATTTCAAATATTCCTTCTCCAAATTATACATTGCATGCGAAACTTAAAGCTCTCGTGGATCAATTCTTTGAAACTTTATTAAAAACCATGGAAACGATACAAGGAAGAAAGGCTTTGATCATGTCTGCAGATGACAGACAACGATTACAACAAGAATTGATGTTATCCACGGATTTTGTTTCACGAGTTCTCAATGGAAATTCCAATCATCATCCCAATGCTGGGGGGAATTGGTTAGATTCTCATTCGATACAAGCGAGTGAATTGGAATCGTTTGGTTTGCCACAGAATACATTATTTCAATTCGAGAGATTTTGGTTGTCCAGCGGGAAGGAGGTGTTTGTGATGGTATCCAATGTCATTCCAGGACATCGATCCATTTACTTGGCCTCTTTCTCAATAATAAATCGATAACATATCATTATTATGATTGATATTGGAACACCACCATTATTTTCGAAAGTTGTTATTTTGTTTTTTCAATTCAAACAAAAAAAAATGCCTAGAAAGAAGAAATCCGTGCTCGAGGAAGAAGAAGAGGAAGATGTTTTTGGTGATAATGAAGATGTTGATGTTGAAGAGAGGGATAAATTCCTTCGGGATGTGAATGAATTTATGGAAAAGAGAGGTACACCGATTCCGTATGATAATCTGCCCCAACTAGGAGGTAGAAGATTAAACGTTTATAAATTATGGCTTCAGGTTTGGAGTAGAGGAGGGTATGAGGCTGTTTGTGAGAATAAGCAATGGACCGAAGTGAGAGATGCATATCAAGTACCAAAAACTTGTACTAGCGCAAGTTATAGCTTGAAGATGTATTATCAAAAGTGGTTATATTCTTACGAGCAGGTGATGAAACTCGGAAAGGCTGATCCTACTCAAAAACAAACACCTCATGTGCTAGAACAACAGAAAAAAGAAGCGGCTTCAGGGGCTGTGGTGAAAAAGGTTGCTCCGACCGTTAAAAAGAGAGTATTTACATCATCATCATCATCAAGTACTTCTAAATCAAGAAAGACTGAAAAGGAATATCAACCAAAAAAGAAGCCAACTACAAATCAGAATGTATTGAATTTTCCACAACTTGCTCAAGGTCTTCAAATTGCAAATATCAGAAAACACCAAGCAGAGGTTGACCACAGTGTTTTACCAATCGAAAGCCTTGCAAACGCATTTGAACATCGTATGAATGGCTTTTATACTAGAACTGACATTGATAACGACGAGATTATGAAAGAAATAGAGTATGCTAAAAGAATATACTGCTCTTTAAGATCAGATGATCCATCTCTGGTGGAATGGGCGCTTTATCAAATTCTCAGATTATCAGAAAATGAATCGTTTCGATGCGATCATGTCAGCGATCTTCTCGAATTTTGTGAGAATTTTCTGCTAGATTATGCATGTGAAATTGAAAAACAGAATATGAGAGATGATCATGATGTATTTAATTTGAAGGACCAAAGATACATGGAATGTCAACACAAGGCATTCATTTGCATTACAATTCTGAGAAATGCCTCTTTAATACCAGAAAATCGAAGCCCTATTGGCAAATCTACAAGTCTAATGGAGACGCTTACTTTCTATCTCAGATATAACGCAAAAGATGTGATCCATTTGGATTGGCGATTAAGAATTATGGACATTATCATTAACGTTTCTGAGTTTATCGATTTTTCTTTCAACACAATATTTGCCCAAATAGTGAATAACACTCTAGATACTAATGAAGAAGATGGTTTACTGTTATCTGCTACCTGCTTGGAATGTATGAATAGTATCTTGAAGACTAAGACCAACCTACCTGTGATTGAGACATTTTTAATGCGTAACCCAACAACACTTGAGAAAGTTATTGAATTTTTGGCTTGTCCTTCCATTACCAAACCCTCTGATTCGTATTTTGATAATGACAATGACAAAGTTGATGAAGAGGAAGAAGATATGAATGGAGAAAACAAGGAAGAGTTTGTGGTTGAAAACCAAAAGTTAACCAAAGTGAACGTCACTACTAAGCTTTCCTCTCTTGAGCTGCTGTGTAGGATCAGTGCTCTTAATTTTCTTTTCCAACTTTGCCAGTCTACTACGAATTCATCTCTACTGGAACTACTTGCCAATAGTGCTAGTTTCATTGACAGAATAGTAACATTGATAGTGTGGAAATCTAATTTATATAGCAGAATACATCAATATCCCTACATTATTTTTGAACAAGTCAAGGAGCATGACCGAGAGAACTCGGAGAGAACAGATGGTAATATCTTTGCAAAAGCTGCTAATGGTGAAAAAGATGACAGTGAAGAGTATGATGAAAAGAATGACATGGAAGAAATGTATGACGGATTTGATAGCTGTTTTGCATCAGCACAAGATGAAGAGAAGACGGATACTCCAAAAATCAGTGACTCCCTCAAATTCCAAAAGAAGTGTGTTGCAATCTTGCAAGCATTGGGAAAACACACAGACGTATTGAAAAAGTCGCCACAATTCTCAACGTACAACAAAGAATTTATGTATTTGATGTTATTGAGTCATCCAACCATCTCCAACAGCCTTAGCTCTGTCATGCATTAGAATTGTTAGATGACTGTGAGACCAATTCGAAATTTAATCTCCTTCGATGAAGGAATTAGCGCTGAACAATAGAAATCTTATTGTTGAGATTGAGCTGACCTATTTATAAATTAAGCATAATAGACTGGTGAATACAATAATTGGTTCACTGTGTACAATTCATCTTCGGTAAATTGTTTTTTGTACTCTTCCCATTGCTCGTGGTGAGTCTTGTGGAATTGTGTGAATGTATGTTTGATAGTTTCTGTCAAAAATTGAACATCCACATTCTCTTGTTCTGATTTTTGATAGGAACTGAACTTGGAGAGAGTGACTAAAACAGTAGGTACGAATGAGGGTAGAGAATAGGGATATGCCTTTACAATAGCACTCAATCCTATTGCAATATAATTCGCGTCTAGTTTTGAAATTTTTTCAGCTTGACCTGACTTTTTGTGAGCAAAATGTTGTTTGCTCTCCTCCAAAAAGTGATCAACAATTCTTTTAACTCTTGCATCTGGAGCAATTTTGATAAATCCAGCCAATGTATTGCAAGCAATATCTCTAACTTCCACAAATTTGTCTTTCAAAAGGAACAACAAATGTTCATAAAAATCATCCTCAATTTCGGTTCCAATAATATAGAATTGATGTTTAAACGCAAATCTTTGAAGGAAAAAGCATATTGCCAATCGTACTCTTCTAGTGGAAGCACTTGCTTGATGAATCATTAATTGTTTTTGTAAAAATAGAATTGAAAATAACAAATCTTTGATGGTATGTTGTGGCAATAAATATGAACCGACTCGAGCAATCACTCCTGCACTAATGATTGCAATATCTGTATCATTTGAGGAAGTAAAACATTGTAACACAAGTGGTAATAAGGATGAGAAATATGGTAACGTGACATTAATTCCAAACATCAACGAAGCACCCATAAACTCAACAACAGTCTTACATAAGGACTTGAAAGCAATTTCTTCTGGTGATAATTTTGTTTTTTGACTTGATTCCGATTGCTCCAATGATCTTTGTTTGCTATAATCTGAATAAAGCTTTTCAAAGTCAGCATGAAGTTTTGGAATCATTGTCTTTTGAATAAATTCAGATGGATTGAGATTGTTACCAAGACTTGAGAGGCTAAATAAGAATGGTGGAAGTTTCAATGCACCAGTTTCATCCATAAATAAATTTTGTGAAATGGATTGAGTAGTTGTAATCATATCACTCTTCAAGAGTTGAGATAAAATTGGATTCACTTGGCAAGATTTGACAAGTTTTGGTAAACCATTTTCATCTCTAGAAGGATTCCACGATTTGAGGAAAATGAGAGCTAAATTTCGTGAGATGAGTTCTCTAATTTGTTGATATGGATATGCGAGATGATTCAATAACTTTTCTTCAATAAATTTCTCTAATATTTTGGTATCTCTCCAATCAAGTTCAACCAATGTAAAGAATACAAGTTGCAATACTTTGACTTGAACAGACACAATTCCAGAATCTAAATTTGTCTTTTCTATTAAAAAGTTAATAATGGATCTTGTTCTTCTTCCATCGCTGTCAAACATGGCATAGTGAAACGCAGAACGAAGACCTGAATCTACTGCTTGAGGTGCACACGTATCAATGGTATGAGAAATTTGTTGTAACAAGTACTCCAATGCATTCTGTTTGTCATCAAACTTCCAATGTTTTGTTGCTCTTGACAAACCAGCAAATATTTCAGCTACTAGACATATTTTAGAATGTTCTTCTGGAGCTCCACTTCCTGACACTGATAACAAATCTTCAATAAAAGGTTTCAACAATTCCAAAGCTTGAATGCCCATCAATTGAAAGAGACCTTTAAACATTTGTGCATTCTTTTTAGTGAAAGACCTTCCATTATTTTGAGTATTAGTTTCTTCAGAGAAGTACATGAAAAGTTTTGTAAGGTAATTGGGTTCAAGCATGGTGGAAGCAATGACTTGTTGTAATTCCAATGATTCTTCTCTGAATAATCTCTCCTTGGAATAGTCGTACACAATAACCTTATTTGGAAGTCCATTCCATCCGACATAGTACTTGTCCACGAAATACGTCTTTTCAAATTCTTCTTGACTCGTCGGTACTTGTGAAGAATGATAAATGATGGACTTGACTTGTTCCTTGTCTGTAATGACTTGTCGAGGTTGAATAGGTTTGTATTGTGTGAAAATGAAATCAACAGCCTTCATGCATAATAGTCTCAAAGGAACATGATCACTCACAAGATTGGTCATGAAACATTTCACTGCTTCCATTGGCAGCAATACTACACGATCAGACCGTATCAATAAATTCAAACATGATACTGTAATTAATTGATAATTCCAATAAAAGGATTGTGATAAACTGGATGCAATGGAAACAAGTGATGAAACAGTATCATGATAATATTTCAATGCTGTCTTGTTATGAATAGGTAATTCTTTGAAGGAGGTACTATATTGCATGTAGAGACCATAAATTCTCTTTTGTATGGAAGATTTATCCACATGATAGCAATTACAAATGGAAGGTAACATTTTGGAAATTAATTGCCAGCTATCGGTAATTCTTCGAATCACAGTACTCTTTTCGAGTAAGAAAATGGAACCATTCACCATGGCATGAGTAGAGTCCTTACTTTGTAAGGTATCAATAATTGGAAGAATGAATTTTTCAAATGCCCGATGATTGAATAATTTTAAAATTCCAATAAAGGCAGTTTGTGCTCGAGTTCTCACTTGAGAATATTCCGAGTCGGTTGAAAGACGTTTCAAACTTTCCAACGTCTCGAGATGAATTTCTGTACATGGTATGGTTCTCTGGAATACTCGGCAAGTAAATAACAATTGACATCGATCTAAAATGAAACATCTTGGATACTTTTTCTTGGTAGTGCTTTTGAAAAAGTGTAATTTCAATAGAGACCAAATCTTACTCATGCTCAACATTTTAGAGAAACTTAAACTTCTAAACGCTGCACAAATATGAATGGCCTTTGTTAGTGCAATTAACACTCGAACATCAACCATGGCAGGTTTCGAAACGTCTTCTTTCAGAGGTAAACCAACAGCAAGACTCTCTTTCAACAAGGTGTGTAGTGTCGTGAGGAGTGCTTCTCGATTCATTTCCAACTTTTCATCAGCAATGACCATACATCCAGCACTCTTATTAGAGAAATGATTGACCAGTTTTTTGGTATATTCACTCTTCTCATTTCGTCTAATTTCATCGAGCATGAGAGAACTTCCTTTGAGAAGGTACTTGAATTTCAAAAGAGCACGTAGTAATTCATCTCTCGTGATCACTTCCGATGGTTCTTGACGCTTGTTCAATGATACGAGCATGGAAGTGGCTTTTTGAACGGTTACCACTGGTCCTTTCACAAATTCATTGTAGATTTGAGTGGCTTGTTCAACCTCTCGATCATTGGGAACATGCCATTGAGCATCGACATTGGTCGAGTCATAGAGTTGTCCCCAATACTTGTCATGATTATTTTGAAATTCTTCACTGAACCATTGTTTGGGTGGAGCACTTCTCTTCTCAACGAGATACACTTGTGATAGACTTTGTAAAATATTTTTCAAAAGTTTACCGCATGACTTGACGACAGCTTTGGATTCATGATCAAAAGTCAATCGAATGACTCTCAATAAGGAATCCAAGTGTTTTCCAACACAGGCGTTACATTTCACAATTTTGGCTAATAAATGAATGTAATAATCCATTTCTTGTTCGTGTAAATCTCTCAATTCATTCTTGTAGAGAATCTTGGACATTAATGCATCAATCATCATTCCGAGTGGATCATAGGAACCATTCTCTTGATCCAAATAAATGACACAAGCTTGTGCAATTTCACCAATATGCTTCACTGAGTTTGGTTTAAATTCACTGGTCAAGTATTCGATAATTTTCAACACACACACTTGATGCAAGTCTTGAGAGAGTTGTTGGAAGAATAATGAAATTGATTTTGATAAATGATTATACACTTCCTTCTTCTCTTTCTTGGCTTCAGTGTGTTGTTGTTTGGTATGAACCAATTCTCCCATCACGTGTAAAATGCGACGAATAAATTCCGAAACGAAATCAGGGAATAATTCCACGACATGGGGCATTCCTTCGTGATACGACATGGTTGAAATGATTGGTACCACAGAAAATAAAGTATTGAGGAATGAAATGGTTAGAGATGTTTTCTGTTGATCATTGGTATCAATACCGAGCAGTGCCATATTCAATAACTCTGCCATATAATCCTTCACTTCAGGAATATTATGATACAAGAGAGGAATAATGATGGTATTCAATAATTCGAGAGCCACACTGATTTGATGAACTTCAGTGAGAGTTTGCAATGCATGAAAAACAATTTCAAATAATTCCTTAACAATGGCAGAGGGTCGAATAAAGGAAATGTGTTTGATGGCTTGAATGGCATTTTTCGAGACTTTTTCGGACTTGCTAAAGAGAGCCATTTTACAACTTGGAAACACAATTCTAATAATTTCTTCAATAGTTTCATCATCCAATTGGTACGAACAAGATCCGGACAATACTCCTGATACAAGTTGTTCTCTTTCACAAGTAACAGTGGATACAAGTTGTTCTCTTTCACAAGTAACTCGAGCTGCAATGGAACGGAATAATTCAGATATAAAAATACTCAATGGTCTCGACCATTCTCCATTATTACTTGGATAATAATATTGATCAATGGATTGGAATAATCTCTTGAGATAGATTAAAGTCTCTGGTGAGGATGGTGTAATCAACCATGTCAATAATTGAGCATTGTATTGCATGAGTAAATTACGCAAATCACTCAATTTCCAAAATATCGAACAATTATTACTTGGAAAACTATGATAAGTTGAACCACCAGAGCTACTACTCAATACTTGCATAATTCCAGAGGCAGCATTACTCATCATGGTTAAATTTTTGGACATTAATTTTGATGCAGCACCTGAAGCAACACTACTACTCGTTAAACCTGAACCAATATTCAAATCCATGGATCGGATCAATCGAGTGAAAATTTGATCCAAATGTGGTTTAAAATCAATTCTTCCAGCTTGATCTTTAGCAAGACGATACATCAATGATACAAAATTGAGATCATAGAATGGTGAGTTGGTATTCCAATCCCACATGGCCAATAGTTGTGTAAACCAATGATTGGTCAATGTAGATACTTCAGGATTTGAAGGAAGGAATAAACACAAGAATGCTTGAGAGACGAAAAACTCAGAATCACTGAGTTCATGCATAAAGGTCATCATTCACAAATGATCACAAATCATGATACACACAGGAACACCCAAAATGTTCACACAAATTTTGACGAACAAAGATATATATATATACACACACGTGTAGACAGTATCATATACACACACGTGCAGTAGACACAGTATCATCAAGAAAATAATAGTAATAGCACCAGTATCCATAACAAAATGACACATCAAGAAAATAGTAATACCCATAACAAAATGATCACAATATGAAATGAACACTCAAGATGATCACAATACAACATGAAACACCTACCTAAAATAAAGACTTGGAGAAAGTTCGGAAATCACTTCATCCGTAGTCTCTACACTGAAATTATTTCTCAATTTGCAAACCAATTTTACAATAGTCTTTCCGAAATTTTCAGATGGATGATATGCGATATTTCTGTTTTTTGGAAAATAAGTGTTTCGTAACATTTCATAAAATCTTCTCCAACAAGTAATAGGCTTGATGGATTGATGAATCAATTTGTGATACTTGTTTTTCATCAAAAAGAGCATGACATTGGCTAATTTAGTTTGTAACTCCATATACGAGTCAAGTTGTTTGTCAATCATGATCGGAAGAAGAGTTTCAAAGAGAGTTACTCGATCTTGGAGACTTAATGGATATGCTAAATTTGTGCTATATCTATTGAAAAGTCTAATGGTCGAATTTAATGTATGAAACCATTTGGGATGAATCGACTCAGAACCTTCTTCTTCTTCGGAGGATGCACTATTGTTGGTTTGCACTTGATGCAAAAGAGAAAGAGCTTTCTGGAAGCCAATAATAATGTCATTCTTCCAACTTTCAATCTCCTCCGAAATACCGTCTCGAACAAGGGATGGAAGTTGTGAAGAATATCTCAACCTCTGAACATCTCCACCCTGCTGATGAAGGCTTGATGAGGAAGAAGCGTTTTGAGAGGACATTTTTTTAAATTTTTAAAGTCACCACCTTTGTTATTTGCTTCGGATCAGTTATGATGATGATCATAACAGCATCAAAGCAATTGGTTGAATTTCAAAAGAGCGTCCGCTGCTTGTTTCCAACCATGATCTAGATTTGATTGAACAAGAGCATATTTTTGAGATGCAATTATTAATAGTGCGTTTTTCCATTGTCAAAATCTTTTCAAGCGTTTCCAAAACCTCCTTGTTTCTCCACACAGAAACAGTTCAAAAAGTGACAGTTCTTAACAATGATATTACATGGTATCTTTAAACCAGTGTTCAACAACAAAACGTGGCTAGTTGGGGAACTTGGAACACCATTCAAAAAAAATGTCAGCTTCATCCCCAAACGATTTTCTGCCTCCACTTGTTCCAATGAATCATCAAGAATTTACGTCCATTCATAGAGGTCCAACAGACGAGTCCAATTGGTTAATTCCTCAACGTGTTCTCATGTCTGCCTATCCAGGTGATCTAAAACAAGAACTCGCTCAACAAAAAATTGAAAAATTAATTCAAAGTGGAATTAATTGTTTTGTGTGTTTACAAACCGAAGAAGAATTAAAAAGATTTCAACCCTATCGTCCCATGATTGAAAAACATGTAAATGAAAATTGTAATATTTCATCAAGTGACGACGCACAGAGTATTGAATTTTTACAATTTCCAATTCAGGACACTTTAATTGCATCCGATTCTGCAGTCACGAAATTTATTCAACAAGATCTTATTCCAAGAATAGTTTCAAATCATAATTGTAAAATTTTGATTCATTGTTGGGGAGGTCATGGTCGGTTCGTATCAATCATCAAAATTAATTTAATCATGACCATGATTGTTATTATTTTTAATTTCTACGATCTCATTATTTCAGTACTGGAACTATAGCAGCAATATTACTAAGTCATTTATATGAATTAAATGCTGATGAATGTTTACAACGAGTTGCTCAATGCCACAAGTGTAGAATGAGAGCAAGAGGAAGAGCTCCAACCACAGATATTCAATTTAAACAAGTAAGGAGACTGTGCGTTGGTTCAAAGGAGCAAGACGAGGATGATATGGCTTAGTGATCGTTTCGTACGAATTTTATTCATATTATCATTCATATTTCTTATTTGATCAAATATATTTAATAGGTTTGAAATTGATGAATTTAAATTAAACAGATATCATCATGATTGAAATTGATGCCATGCCGATCTCAATTTTCATCAAACACATGATAAGTTCAAATTGGCAACTACCGATAAGTATAAGGCTGCAAAGTCTTTTAAGGACACAAAAGGAGAATCTTTGCACGAGTTCCAAAATGAGTTCACTCTCTCGTCATGCCCCAAAACAAACCTTAGAGGCTCGATCGTCGTGCATGTTCGTGAACACTTCGGCCAACTTGAATATTCTCGTCCATCTCTCTCTCAGAAGAATATTAATTTTGCCTTATCTCCTTCCATTAAGATGACTTTTCGTACAAGCCTTGATTGGAGATATAGTCGCAATAGGCACGCAACAATCGCATCTTGATGATCGAGTAAGTGAATCAAGGTCCCCTTTTATAGCCCAGAATGTGAATAGATTCTCAAGAACCACACCTGGCCATGCAATATATTTCAAGGAGGATTGACTATCACACTCCAATTCACCCATTAATTTAAAAAAAACACAATAGTAGTGTGTCAGTGTTGATCATGCCCTCTATGGTTAATAAGCCTTTGCGTACGTGTAGTAACAGTTCATGTTGTCCTCATGAACATAAGAGACATTATGTAAACTCTCCACTTTTGAAAACTCAAAAAGGAATTCGTAAGACAGGAAAGACGACCATCAGCATGACGACCAGACCACGTGGTCGTAGAGGCTTCTCTTCCCAGGATCATGATTGTTGGGAACGAGGCTTCTTTCATGACGCACGAGAAGGTCATTCCCAACAGCAACACCTCATTGATGAACATCATGATGAAAATTCCAACACGAGTACAGAGTTTATTGAAACGTCGAATGATTGGAATGCACCACCTTCCAATGTTCCACCACTCAATTCTCCATCGAGTCCAATGACTTCCCTTCCTTCCTTTACTTTAATGCCTTCAACATCGAACTCTCAACTTTTGAATCATCAAAACCATAGTACATTGACTCAACCCACTGATAGTAGTACCACAATTACAACAACAACTACTACTACCACTCCTAATACTTTACACCCATCCATCATGGTACATCCTTCTCAAGTTGAAAATTTCTTGATTGGAAAACAAATGCTTAAAGTTCCTCAAGAATTCCAAATTCAATTCGTTCAAAACTTAAATCAAGATATGGATTTTAAAGAACTCATTCAAGGAGCAACGTATTTGTCAGAGTATTTCATGGTCATTCCCTATGATCTACCTTTTCAAAGAAATGATGCAAATCTAGGAATTCTTCATCCATCAACTACTACAACAACCCTTCGACCCCAAGAATCCAATTCTTATACCAATGTTTCCAACCAACCGCAGAATTTACCATCCTTAAGAAGTTATTTATTGTTAAAAGTTATGAACGCTACCAAAGATATTGTCGTGACCTTGTTGATTTAATATACTTGTTCATGTATTCTTAATAATATAATATTCATCAATACTTGAGATGTTTATTTACATTGTGAGATTTGAAACTTGTTTACAAATGAGTTCGAGAAACAATTTCTTAAACGGAAAGAACACTCCATACATTCACTAGGTTCAGTGAATTCGAGAATGAACAGGATGCATTTCTGCCATCATTTGTTCATGTTGTTGTTTTAAATTACAAATATTATGATACAATTTTTGAATGAAATGTCGAGTCTGTACATCGTTAGGATCACATGGAATAGGTATTGTATAATGACATGATGGAGTATTAGAAGGAGTAAGAGTCGTACATATTGTTGTTGGAACAGTTTGGAAAATTTCTTCTTCGTCTTCTAAGGATGTAGAAAAATCCTCATAAAACATTTCTTCCAATTCATTCACTCTCAATTCTAATAAATCAATTCCAAGTATGGAGTGAAACTTAAAATAAGGTATTGCATCCTTGAGAGAATGTAATCGTTGTTTTGGTAAGCCTAAATTAGAAGATGTGAAACGTGAGCATGCTGGTGATGATGTTAATTCTTGCTCCACTGATTTTGTTGAAACAACAAGCTCAGAGTATAAAGATGCACGCTCAGTGTCACAGGATCCAATACTTTGATCCAATTGGCTGTTGTTATTGTTTGCAGTGAGAGTATCATGAATCTCTAATTTTTGAATCCATTCTTGGACTTGTTCACAGGTCCAAGAGGTTATGGGTAAAGTACTCGAAACGAGATGTTGGTTGTGATTCTTTGTGTCCTCATTCCTTCGTAAAGTGTTATTCGTACAAGCTGTCATGAAGTGTGTCATGTGTTGTGATGATTTGGAACTTTAATCGGTGTGTATGATGATCACTCAAGAAGAATGAATTCACTTGGTTTTTTTTCTTTGATGTGATCCTGTGAACATGTGTTTGAATACACCTTTTCTGGTGATTTTAGTGTATGGAATTGAAACTTGAACCGATCCAGAAATGAGCAAGCATGACTTTTATTGTAGGAAAACATGGACAAGTGTCTGGGCGCCGTTCAGTCAACCAGAGCATGCAAAAAATTTCTCCATATTTAGTGCTAAATCATGCAAGAGGATTCTGTGCGAAAGAGTTAAAGCCTTTTGAAAGCAGCCTTACAGAAGAATTTAACACAATGACATGTTCGGGCGTGAAAGCAAGACCAATATTTCAAGAATCAAGTACAAAATTTAGTGGATGAATTTTAACTTTCGTTTTTAGAGGAAACTCAATCTACAGCTTTTCGAATTATGTCTTCTTCGTGTCGCTCATTGAGTTCTTTTGAAAACTGCAATCCACGGACTGAACGACGGATTCTATTTTCCTTCCACAGCAATCTCTCATAACGCATAATTCAAGAACATCCTGTGAATACAACAACAAGTTACCGCAAGGTTGATGAGGTAAAAGTGCGTCATCCGTGCGGTTTTAATTTCTATTGTTGCCAATAGATTTGATAGGGACGATATGAAAATTGGATTGGAGCGTACTTTTCATCAACAGCGCACTTTTGAATTGTGTGAGCTTGTTCAAGATGCCATCAGCTAGCGTACAATTTTTTCAAACCTCTCTCTTTACTTGATAATTGAAATTAAAACAAAATGACAGAAACGGCCACTACAACAACAGACCATTCTCTCTATCCGCCACCACCAACAACAGCAACAACAACGGCATCAACCACACACGATATTGAAATGATGCATCAATTACCAAATATTTCTTCCGAGCCAACCAATGGCGTTGGTCATAACGGAGAGGCTGCAAGTAGTAGTAGCAACAGCAGCAACTCGTCCACCACATCGGGAGCCTCTCTCAACGAAGAGCCTCTTCAAGAACATTCATCCACTCTTCAAGAGCAATCACTCACCAACTATTCTGCAACTACTACAAACAATATCATGAATTTGCAACCAACCGACATGGAAATGAAAAAGGCTCAATCGGTTCCAGCCGAGAAATCAGGTGAATACATCATTGGTGGTGCCGATGATGATAGTGAAGAAGCCTATGTTCCAAAATATAAAAGTGATTCTCCTCCTCTTCAGCTTGAATGGAAAGATCTCACCTATAAGGTGAAACTCCCTCTCACTGCTCCTCCCAATTTCAGTCTCCCTCAAAAGATTGGCTTTAAATTGAAAAACGGATTCAAGAAGAAGGAGAAGGACATTTTACATCCCATGTCTGGATTTGTGAGTCCTGGAAGTACATTGGCCATTATGGGTCCGAGTGGTGCTGGTAAAACTGTAAGTATGATTTGTTTTTCAGAGGGTGATTTGACGATCGTTCCATCATGTTCACGAATCATTCATTCATGGATTCAATCTTGTATTCATATCACTAGTCACTTTTGAATATTCTTGCTCAACGTGTCAAGGAAACAAGTGGAGATATTACTGTTAATGGAATGAAGATTGGCAGTAGCTTTAGAAGTTTGTCTGCATTCGTTCAACAAGATGACGTATTGATGGGAAATTTGAGTGTTAGAGAAACACTTCGTTATGCAGCATTGTTACGTTTACCAAAAACAATTTCATGGAAAGAAAAGATGGAACGTGTTGAATCAATTATGGATGAATTAGGTCTTCTCAAGAGTGCTAACACCAAAGTTGGTACTCCAGGTTTATCAAAAGGAATTTCAGGAGGAGAACGAAAACGTCTCAGTATTGCTATTGAATTATTGACACAACCAAGTATTTTATTTTTGGATGAACCAACTAGTGGTTTGGATGCAGCAACTGCATACAGTGTCATGAAAACCATCATCAAAATTGCTAAGGGAGGAAGAGCAGTCATTCTCACAATTCACCAACCTCGTTCTAATATTTATGAACTTTTTGACAAGTTATTGCTATTGGCTCGTGGTAAAGTTGCGTATTTTGGACCTGCTAAGGATGCTACTCAATATTTTGCAGAAATTGGATATCCTTGTCCAAAGCAATACAATCCTGCTGATCACTTTATTGATTTAATTACAGAATCTACCAGTGATACGGATGAAGGAAAGAAATTGAAACAAGAAGACAATGATCGTATAGAGAAAATTTTAAATCATTACAAACATATTGAAACAGCGCCATCTACCTCTCACTTGGAAACTGATATTAAGAAAGCCAAGTATAATGCGAATTGGTTTACTCAATTCTTTGTGGTTATGGCAAGAGCCTTTGTAAATATTTTACGAGACAAGATTTTAACATTTTCAAGACTATTCCAAAACGTAGTAATGGCTTTATTGGTGGGATTAATTTTCTTACAAATAGGTCATGATCAACAATCTGTACAGGATAGAAATGGTGTTCTCTTCTTTTGCCTTATTAACCAATCGATGAATTCAATTTTCGGTTCTTTGGCAGTTTTCCTTTTAGAAGAAAAGAAAGTATTTTTGAGAGAACGAGGTTCGAAAATGTATCAAGTCAGCGCGTATTACCTTGGAAAAAGTGTCAGTGAATTGCCTAACATTGTATTCTTCCCAATTCTATTTGGTACCATCGTTTATTGGATGACCAATTTGAACGCAGGGGCGGATCGATTCTTTATATTCTTACTCATATTGGTTTCTATGGCATTGGCAGCTCAAGCTTTAGGTATGGTTTTAGCAGTGTTGGCTCCCTCCATGGAATTTGCTACTGCCATTGCTCCAGTGTTGTTAACTGTGCTCATGTTGTTTGGAGGTCTCTATATGAATGTTGATAACATTCCACCCTACTTTATTTGGATTTACTGGCTTTCAATCTTCCATTTCGGTTATGAAGCGATGGTGTTGAATGAATTTGCTGGTGCCTCGTTTGAATGTCCTCCATCACCAGCTGTATGTACTTACAGAACTGGTGAGGATGTTATTGCAAGAAATGCAATGGACAAACCATATGCTAATATTTGGGTTGACCTGGGATTTTTGTGGGCATACTTTTTGATTTATCGTCTAATGGCCTATCTGATTTTAGTGTTCTTTGTGAGACCCAAGAAGAAGTAAATCATAAAAAGTATTTTTTCATACACAGGTAAATTTTAACTTTGCTTAATAATTTAGTTCCATGTCAATTTGATTTATTCCTGTTTGTTCTTTCCTCCTTTTCCTCTCTTCTTCTTTTTTCTTGGAGGTTCTTGTTGTGAAGCGCTGTTTGTGGCAATGACATCTTTGGTTTGTTGTTTTTGTGGATTCTTCTTGGCATTATTTGAATTTTGTGGAGCGGATTTTGGCTTAGTGTCTTCAACCTGCTCCAGTTTTCTCTTAGCGCCTTGACTCTTGTTGGTTTGACCTCCTTTGTTACTGTTCTTATTCTTCTTGTTGTCATTCTTTTTATCGCCTTCATCCTTACCACTCACATCATGTTGTTTCGACTTGTTCTTCTTTCCCATTTTTCCTTGTTTAAATTTGAGAGCTCTCTCTGATTTTTTGCCTAATAACCCTTTTTGCAATTTCAAATTTCTAACTTTAAAGAAAATATCCTTTTTGACTTTTTCATCAGGTGGCTTATAATCATATCTCATTAAATGTTTCATGGAAACTACTTGATCCAAATCATCATCCTCCAGGTTGATAATATCTTCAGCTGTTAATCCAAAATCAGCCTTGTCTACAGACTTGTATTTAAATTTAAATGTGTCACCTGTTGCTGCGTTAACATCTTCAAAGAATGAATCATAATAATCTTCAAATAATTTGTTGACATGTCGTCTCAGAGTACTTGCAGAAGTTGGATTTGTATCTTCATCATCTTCCATTGCAGATTTGGCAAATTCTTCAATAATCTTGCGTTTTTCAATAGCTTCCCATGTCTTTTCAGTATCATCACTTTTAGAAATTTGCAACTTGTCAACAAGTGATTCATCTCCTTTGATGACCTCTTTCAATTTAAATATTGATTCTATAATTTCATGTTTAATTTTCTCTGCCTTTTCATTATGTTCTCTTTTCACTGATTCTAATTGTTCTTTGAATTTTTCATTTTTAGCAAGACGTTTTCTCTTTTTTTTAGAATCTTTTTTTTCACGTTCAGATTTTGGTGTATCAGAGTCATCATCAGAGTTATCATCAGAGAGATCGTCAGAGGAGTCATCATCTGCTTCATCTTCTTCGGCATTCATACTTTCATCTTGTTTATATTCTGTATCTTCTTCCTTTTCGTCTTGTTCTTCTTGTTTTTCTTCATCATTCATTGGTACTGCATTTGAGGTTCCACCCAATTTTGAATTTTCCAAATTCATTCGATGAGATTCAATATCCAAATCAGCATATTCATCATCTAACACATCTCCTTTATCTAATTCTTGTGCTTGTTGAGCATATCGATCACCATGTTTTTCATAATCAAAAATCCATCCTCTCTTAAATAAAAAGTTTTTTAAAAATCGATCATTTTCATCCAAATCGTTATCGGAGGCTTTTTTTAAACGATTGAGAGGATCATTGTTGTCATCGTCATGGTTTGATGAGAGAACATTGCCATGGAAATCACCTGTTTCGTCTTCTTCTTCTTCTTCATTGATATTCGTCTCTTCATTGTTGTTGTTATTATGGATAGGTTCAGTATCATCTGTATTCTCTCTGACGTTTTCGGAAGTATTCAATTTTTGAGAAGTAGTACCTTTCTTGCTCGTTGGTTGAGAAGTGCTTGTTGTTGTCAAATTCTCATTCTCTTCCGGATGAGTCTTGCTTCGGAGTGTTTCAAAGGCTTCTTCTTCCTTCTTGGCTTTCTTCAACTTTTTATGTGAAGGCATTTTTTTGAGTGTTAGGTACTAACATGAACAATAATGCATCGTCGTTTTACTAGTGAAATGAAACACGATTATCTCTAATCCTAATTACTGACTTCTCTCTGTAGAATCCTTATGATACCACAAATAATTAAATTCCTTCTTGATGGTATCATCATTACTCTCAAAGAATCCTTCATTTCCCATATCCATCTCAATAAACCATTCCAATTCAATACTATCAATATATAAACATTCTCTTAACATTTGTAATCGTTCTTGTAGAGTCAATGCATAGAATCGATTTGAAATACCTAATCGATGACTCGTGAGATATTGTTTTTCAAACCATCGTGCTCTCACACTATACAATTGTCCATCACATTTCATTAATAAATGTATAATATCATTGAGAGTACATTGGAAGACTCGATTCGAGAGTTGTGAATGATGATGTTGTGATTGGATCATGAGAGATGGAAATTTCTTGAGTAATAAATCTTCATCTTTTTCAATACTCGTACGAGTTGTTGTTGTTGTTGTTGTTGAAGAAGAGGTTGTTGAAGAAGAAGAGGATGAGGTTGAAGAAGAAGAAGATACGGTCGTCGACAATACTCGTTCCACTTCACTCAAATCAAAAGGTACACGCACTGAATGATTCATCATCATGGTGGTATTCATACTTGAGGGTGGTCTCACTCCATGTCCATCTAAAAATGTTTCAGCAATTCGAATGAGATGCATACACACAAAGGACATGTCGAGACCATCCTTAATGAGTGGTGGATGACGGTTGGACGATGGAATTATTGGATTTGAGAATTTTCCATGATGGCCAATGATGGATGGAGGTTGTGCTTGTTTCTTCCAATGACCAAAACAATCCATCACCACCGAGTAGTTACTCTCAGCACCAACACCACCACCACCACTCGCATTCTCAGCAACAACACCATTCTCAGCACCAACACCACCAGCAACACCACCAACACCACTCTCATAACAACAACTCTTCACATAAATATCATCACCTTCATTTCTCAACATACAATGTTGTAACAAGACAAGTCCATCTAAACATGCTTCTTCATTACAATGTTCCAATCGATACAAATACAAAGTCATTCGAGAAAGAAAAGACCAATAACAATTCAATTGCACTCCAATATTACATGCTGCATTGAAATATTTCAAAGCCTTATCATACAATTGTAAATTTTCATAAATCATTCCCATATTTTCTAAAATGAGAGGGAAATAAATTTCTGTATATGGATAATGTACGAGAGAAGATGCAATTCGAAAAGAACGTAATGCTTTTCGACATGAAATTTCAAATTCAGAGGTATCTAATTCTGTACCATTATGAACATGATAATACATTTCACTATATTCAAATCCATAATAAAAGGCATGATAGAACCATGCTAAATAGGATTGAGGAGAATGATCAATGAGATTTTGTGTCAATTGATCAATTTGAGAGAGTATCTTGTTGGAACGTTGAAAATGATCATCTTGAAGTGTTGTAGTAGTAGTAGTAGAGGTGTTGTTGTTGTTGTTATTGTTGTGGTTGGTATTATTATTATTATTATTATTATTATTATTATTATTATTATTAATACTATTACCACTTGTACTATTATTACTGCTATTGTTATGACCACTTGTACTATTATTACTGCTACTGCTACTACTACTACTACTTGTACTCATTGTACTCATTGAATGCATGACCAATGATTTATCATTCACACATCGATTTAAATTCAATACATGATGGTATTCAACAAGTTGATGTTCATAATGTTCAATAATAAATTTCATTAAATGATACTTGTTGGAATCTTCTGTTGCATTGGTGTGATCAGTAATTCGATCAGTCATAGGAGATGTATGATTGTTGAGAATATTCGAATGACTTGTGGTTGAATTCAATGGGGAATGACCTTTTGTTTGTATTTGATGAATTTGTTTGTAATGTTCAATAAAATTCAATTCTTGCTTAATTTTGAATATTCCCAATTCTAAATATCTTTTTTGATAAATGACACAATCTGTGGCTCTACTGACATTGGCCAAGTATAAATATAAAAGGAAATTCAATGGATCTACTTCATAGGCTAATTCATAGAAATATTTAGCCTTTGCATTTTGATAATTGGCACGATGTTGTTGTCCTAAAAAAGTATAATCAAATGAAGTATGCTTTTGTTGTTCAAGTGTAGATTGAAAAGATGACAAATAGTTGATCATTCTTTGAGTAGAGGATTTATATTCATATTTAAATAAATAATAAAGGATTGAATTTAGAAATCGTAAATTGGTTTGATTTTGCAACAAGCCTTGCATGAGGTTTTTGGAAGTTAAATTTAAATTTAAAAATAAATAATCTGAATGATGATGGTTCTGATCCGAAGAGAGAATAACATCTTGATGATGATGATTATTAAATAATTGTTTGATCGATTCAATATATCGTAGAGCATGTTCATATTTAAAATTTGTTTGTAGAGTATGAGAGAAGAGTAACGGATAAAACATGCCATCTTCATCTCCCGAAACGATTGAATCCATCGATAATATTCGATTATTCCTTGCATGGTTCTCCTTGTAAAGAGTACGATGATGTAATTGAAACATTTCATGATTCATTGAATCCTCTTCGTGATGAGAAGGTTCATCTCCCTCGCTCCTTCCATTTGCTACCACATTGGCTGTTGTTGTCAACGACGATGAAGATTGCATTTTTTGTGATCCTGGAGAAAATCCTTTTTGTTGCAACAAAAAAATTGCGCGAGTGAGTAGTAGTCGACCAATACCACCATCAACACTGTGTTGGATTCAATCCTCATCATCATCACGTACACACTCACTCTCTTCATCACAGATCATCAAGACAACGTGGCAAAATTTCATATCTCATCATCACTTTTACCAACATATTCGACTCGAACGAGAATAACTATATTTTATACCTTGTAGTCAGTCAACCCATGATCATTCTTTGATCCAATCACACATTTATAATTTTCTCTGATCGGTTTTTCATTGATTACATATCTCTACATTGAAAGAACAACTCGAGAACAACTACGACTATACTTCTACTACATTATCATGTCCACTCCTTCGAACCAATCTTCTCCAACACATTCATTGACCACCACCACCACCCATCCACACCATAATGCATCATCATCAAATAATATCAACAATAATAATAACACAACTTTGGTCACAACCTTTCTCACTCCTCCTTCATCCACTCCATCCAATTTCAACATTTCTCGTAAACAACACAATCTCTATACCAGCAAGAAGGCACTCACTCTCATCAATAACACTCCTCTCATTAAGGTGCCATACATTGAAATTTATTTAAAACAAGCGAGTCATATCTATGAGCGAGTGAGTAGTAGTAGTAGCACCACAACCATTCATTCGACAAGTAGTAATAGTAATAATAGTGAAACGAATCATAACAATTCATCCATTTCACCTTCTCAACAACAACAACATTCACACCACCACCATTCCACAACCAATGTTCAATCCTCCTCGTCTCAATCCTCTCAACAACAACAACAACAACACACACCACCACCCTCTTCACCCAATACCTATATTGTATTTATTTGTTCCATACCGATTCAAACTCTCTCTGAATTTGATTCTACCAATTACACGAGTAGTGGAAGTAGTAATATTCGAGGATATAATCGTCGAGTATTGAAATCCAATGCTATTCGAATGGCTCATCCTGTTTGGAATGAATTATTTATCTTTGATATTCATGTCTCGAATGAAAAGAATCTCAACAACTTACAACAACAAAAACATCACTCATTCGGTGGTCATCAAACATCCCTATCATCATCATCACTCCAATTGGATTCTTCTTCTTCAACTTCTCCACAACAACAACAACAACGAATCATTCATGAAACCATTCTCATGCAAGTATGGGCCAAACACATTTTCAAAACCGATGAATTACTTGGTACTAAAACAATATCTTTACAATCTTTGGTGAGAAATCGAGAAAATCAAATGACTCTCCATGTGTCAGGAATGTCTCATGCACAATGTCAAATTGATCTCTCGATTATTATTCATGATTCATTAGATTCACAAATGAATGTGAATCAAATTGGAAATGAAATGGGTGATACCACAACAACAACAATACTCACACACCCTACTTTATATGGAAGTGGTGGTACCACTCTTTGGTCTCACAGTGGTACAAGTGCAAGTGGTACAAGTGGTGGTGGTACTATGACGACAACCTCAATGAATTCACCTGGTGGAAGTTCTTCATCCTCAACAACAACATTTGACTTTTTTGATCCATTCCCATCTTCTACTAGTCTTCTTCAACATTTAATCATTCCAGATCATACTCTTATTCAAAATGGAAGATATCGTATCTTACAATACATTTCTAATCAAGCCTCTAAAGGTGGTGATTCGATGATTTATAAAATTGTGGATCACAAACAAAACAATCGAATCAAAATATTGAAAAAGATTAAATGTGAAACGATACAAAATGCCAATGATGCGATTCGAGAGAGTTGGCCTCTTTCTGAATTGAAACATTCAAATTTAATTCCCTATGAAGACATGTTCATTGATATTACCACCAATGATGTATTAGGAAGTATATTCTTTGTGTGTTATGTGACTCCATTCTATGAAGAAGGTTCACTCTATGATTTTATGGTCAAGGTTAAGAAAAAGAATATTTATTTAACACTTCGAAGAGTGAGTGATTATGCGTTACAGATTGCACAGGGAATGGAGTTTTTACATTCACATTCCATCATGCATAGAAATTTAAAACCAAGTAATATTTATTTGGTAGAGAATAATACGGTATTGAAAATTGGAGATTTTGGATTTTCGAAAAGTATTTCTCATTCGGCTACTATATTAGGTGGTGTTACTAAAATTGCTAATTTTGGATATACTGCACCTGAAATAGCATTGGTCACAGAAGTAACGACAGTGTATCGTTTTGAAGTCGATATTTGGTCATTTGGTATTATTTTGTATGAATTATTAACATTGAAGATTGATAAGGAACAATTGAATCATTGTGCATTGGCTAGCTTTCAATACGATTCCTATATTAAAAATGTGATTGAAGGTGAAATTAGAAAGATTTATAGAAATGATGCAGATGATTTCATTCAACTCTTGAAGAGAATACTCGTATTGGATCCATCTCAGAGAATGAGTGCAAAGGAGATTGTGTTGGAATTGAAGACATTGGTTGAAAAATTTGCAACCAATTCGAATAAATAAGCTGAACCAAAGTCTAATGAATTATTTTATCGCTTCTAGCCTCCTTCAGTGTTCTTGTTCTTTGCAGCAACCCTCAACAATTTTTTTATGAGATTCTTCTTCTTGGGCAGAAGACACATCCAACTGACGAATTAATTCCAAATTTCGACGTCGAGAACTTGTTGAAGATGCTGGAATCTGTTGTATAGGATTTTGTCCATATTGCTCCTCTTGTTGTTGTTGTTGATCTTGGTCCTTCAGTTGATCTTGATCCTTCAGTAAATCTCCTCCCTGCTGTAAATAATCTTTCAAAATTCCCTGAAGAGTATCGAGTTGAATCTTGTATTCCACACTCAAGTGTTCATTCATAAATTTCAAAATCTTTTTCGATGCACACACATGTGCCAATACATAACACAATCTCTGTAGAGTATAGAGACCACCCATAGATAATCTCTTTTCAGTAATATCTTGTTCTGAAAGAGAATTGAATAATTCTTCTGAGTGTACATTCGATGTTTGTTGTTGTTGTTGTAGTAATAGTAAATCATTAAAGTAAGTCATCATAAATTCTTCAATATTTTGTTCCATTAAAGTATCAAATAAATAAACCTTCTTGTAATACTTGTAAATGAGAGAAGAGAGAATTTTAGACTTCTCCAAATCATTTTCTTCAAATTTGGAAATGATTCGATCTTTCAAATCCAAGTTCAAATGTTCATCTACTAATTTCAATAACATGTTCATTAATATATTAATAATAAATGTTTCCATATCTGAGTTGTCATCATCAGAGTTCTCACCACCACTACTCGTTGTCTGCTTTTTCTTTGAATCAAGTCTAGAAAATAATGCAAAAAGTGTTTTCAATCCTCCACTCTCTACAAATTGTTGAATATTCAATTCATATAAATTCTCCATGGAATAACTCAACACTCTCATTGCTCCTAATCGATATTGTTTCTTATCTTTAATTATTTTTATCATTAATTCAATTCCTTCACATTCATGAAATATATTCTTAAAATCATCACTCATTGTTAATAGACTTGCTAAACTATTGAAACAATTCTCTGCCATTTCATCTATTTCTAGAGTGTCATCAATTTTACTTGTTCTAAATGTATTTAATTCTTGTAATAGAATATTTATAATTTCACGAGCAGGTTGAGAATGATCTTGTTGTAAATAATTGAATATTATTTGAGTTTGACTTGATACCAATAGAAATAGAATTTCATAAAAATATAATTGAGTATAACTTGATAGATTGATGGATTCATCATTAGTAACATGTTGAATTCCATTCTTAATAAATTTAAATAACAATTCTATATTCTTCATGGATATAAATTTAATAGCTTGTTCATCATGTTCAAATATATTCTCAAAAAGAGAGAAACAATCATTGATCCATTCTTCACATTGTGCATGACATAGTGTACATTGATTCAATACTTTGATAAGATGATCACACAAAATGGTAATAAATTCTTCATTTTGAGTTAATAAATCCATAAATGTCATGTACGATTGATATTCCTGATCATCCACAAAGGATCCTTCTTCATTGGATGTAATTTCAACAAATAATTGAATGACTTGATGAAAGAATGGTGAGAGAGTGTGTTGTTGTTCTTGTTTAGAATTGGATTCAAATGATTCAATATAATTTTCAAATTCAAAAATAGTTTTAAATAAATCAAGTCCATTCAATCCAGTCGCAAGGATGGAATGACTTGATTCTTGATGAGAAGTTGTTGTTGTTCCTACAAATAAAGGTAGTAAATGAGTTTGAACAGAGAGTTGATTTTTCAATTCAATCATTTGATTAGTGATTTGTGAATAAGTGTCTTGTATTTTTAAAGTATTGGATGACTTTTCCATCAAGGTAACAAATTGTTCAAAGTTTTTCTTCATGGATTGTAAATGAGTTTTTAATTGAAATGGAGTGGTTTGAGAGATTTTGGTTGATGATGATGATGACAAGGATGGAGTGCCATGTTTCACCTTTTTTGAAGGTGGAGGTAACATGTTGGAAGAAGACGATGATGATGACTGCTCCGATCGGAATGGTGTTGTTCGTTTCATTTTTTTTCTAAAAGAAACATTTTTGTAGAACGGGAATTTGCATCAATGTTGAAGGATGGCAAGGAAGTGGTGATGGCAGCAGTTCAACAAAATGGTCATGCTTCATTTACGTTAAAATTGGATCAAGAAGTTGTGCAGTCAGCAGTTCGACAAAACGGAGCTGCCTTTGCCCATGCATTGTTTGATATGACCTATGACAAGGATTGTAATAGAGTCTATAAAGCAAAATAGAAAAACCATTCAGAAATACTTGCACTTGTAGGTGAATCTTGTTCTGATACTTTTGAATTCTTACTATTTAAACCCATCCAGACATGAAAAGCAATTTATTTTACCTGTTGAGATTACATCTGAATTGTTTTGCTGATACAGCGAATTTGCATTGAGATCAAGTACAACTTCTTTAATGACGCACCAGTAGAATCCTAACCTGGCCATTCTAAGCCCCTTAATCACAAACACCTCCTATCCTAACGATACTTATATTTAACCCGAATTTATCTCAGCCACTCACATTAACCTCAACAACTTGCACTTCTGTTCAGTGACTTTCATTCGATTTCTACCTTTACATCATTGTATACTCGTTGCTTAATATACATATTAAATATATCGGAATTACTGTTTTTCATGCATCGATAAATATTATGCTATTTTAACTACATTTGTAAACTTGAATATCTCCAGCTCGTTAGGTAACTTAGACAGTGAAGTCAACTTACCAAAAGATGAACTAGTAATGTACATGTGTTTCCATGAACAGATAATTAATAGTAAGGACGACACCGACTTACGTTTATTGTAAACCCAACATAACAATAAATCGGTTGACAAAAGAAAAGTGAGGAAAACACCTTCAAAAACTACTCATCAATATCAACGGCATCAACGTTGATGTAATTCCGTGAGTTATTAACAAATTCATGGTTGTTTGTTGATGAGTTCACTACTTGCCACGGAGATATAAACTTGTCAAGTTTTGTTCAAGTACTGATTGATAGTTAGTGTCTTCGTCAAATACGTCGTTGCTCTTTGAGATTCGTTTGCTTTGCGCAAGCGGTTGCTGGTTCAGCAAGAATTTCCTTATACCGCTTTAAACAAGCTCCCCTCCGCCCCAAACCTCAAAGCAGATCGAAAATATCTTCAATGCAATTTTAGATCAGTTTTTTCACCACCCCTAAGCCGTAAGTTTGTTCTGCCTCTCTCAATACCTTTTCTTCTTCTTCTTCACCTGGTCCCAGTAATGCATGTAGTAGGTATCCACATTCAAATTCATTACGGACAGATTGTGAAAAAGTTACTTAATATAGAACTCGCAAAGTAGTAAGTAGCTGATGTCATAACCATCCCGAAAGAACATGCCCTGATTTGTTTCGTTGGCAGTTTTCCTATACTTAATAAGGAGAAATTCATTGTATTAAAGTTCAACGTTGAAACAAGATGGGGCAAGTTTTATTAAAAAAGGATAGAATTCTAATCGAAATTACCAATTCGCTGCTTTTGTAATACTATTTTTGGGCGCCAAGTGGGTTTCGTATAACCGGTCCGTATTTTTTATCACGACGCTTTGGGACTAATTAATACATTGTCCTTTTATATTCCTTCTTTTCATACCTTTCAAAAAAAATTACACTTTTCTCTCAACAACGCACCAACGAATCCATGGTAGAGCGAACCTTAGTAGAAGAAACTGGAAAAACAACAGTCATTTCCCCGTCATGTTCGAAACATTGGATTGGGTTAATGAAATCATTTTGTTTGTGTTTTCCAATTAATTCGTTACAAAATATAATGCTGACCATTTTCATTATTCAGACCATCGTTTGCATTGGCTCACTACTCATTTTGTTTTATTCAAGGTATGTTCTTGTTATATGTATACACATGTGTCAATCAACGTATCAAGTGGTAATCAATATGTCGATAATATTTCCACAATTCGAGAGGAAAATGTCAAGAGACAGATCCATTCATACTTTGCAACAGGTGGATATATATTGAAGAATGTGAGGGAAGTCTTGTTCTTGGATCGATTCTATTATGGAAATACCATTGGAAATGCATCGAAAAATGCCAAGCGAATCTTGTCTGCGTTTGCACCGGTTCAACTTGGCTCCATCCACTCCTCATGCCTCTTCTATGCCAATAGCAAAAAGCAAGTGGTGAGCATTGTGATGACACCCACTGTCAAGGAGGTGATCTATACAGCCGATGATAATTTTGATGCTAAAATTTCACCCTATAATATGTATTATGAACCCACCAACCCTCGTGAGTTCATTAGGAATTATGATCCAACAGTGGACGCCTCCTACACGACTGTCATTAGCTGTTGCACATTTCCAAAATCCAAGTGGACCAAAATTTTCATCAATCCACTCGTTCCAACCACCTCTCTTGCATTGGTCACCAAGTTGGATTTTGAAATGGTCAATGAAACAGGAGTAGCAGTCAGTGAGGTTATTTCAGTGGGTTATGATTTCTTCTATCTTGACATGTTGTTGTCTTCGACGGTTGTGGAGAATATTGACATGCAGACACGTTCTATTAAGATTGTGTTAGTGGAACGAAATGGATTACTAGTTTCATCTTCAATGAAGGCTCAAACTTACACGGGTAATACAAGATTTCACATGTCCACCATAAGCGCTCATTTTGAAAAGGTTTCACAACGGTTGATGAAACATCAGATGCTTTCTGATTTGAATTTTACTTCACCCATCGATTACAGCAATACAAGAATGGTATTTTATGAAAATGGAATTAGAGTGAGTGCAGAATCATTCACGGATGGCAATGGACTGGATTGGATTGTAATTGTTTCAACCGTTGATCATGGATTTGTAAAGATTATATTCACAAGTTCTCCAGTACTCTTGGCCTTAAGCATTTCGTTAATCATTCTTGGTACCATTGTCATGATTGTGATTTCTGTATGGGCCACAAGACGAATATTAAGAGTAGCACACAACATGTACCAGATTTCTAGAATGGAAGACCATCGAGTTAAAAATTCAAAACGAAAGTTAATATTTGAGCTAGGACTTTTACAAAATGCCTCTAGGGCAGTTCAACTCGTACTCGATGGGTTTGTCAAGTACATTCCCAAAGAGATTGTAAAAGATATTGTACATTCGAAAACAGGTGCCACTCTTGGCATGATCAACATTTACACCACCACCATGTTTACAGATATTGAAGATTTTACTAACTTGTCAGAATCTATTCCAATTTCCACGTTGATCACCATACTCTCGCATTACTTTGATATTGTCACCAAGGCAGTAGAACAGAATGGAGGAAACGTTGATAAATTTATAGGAGATGGAACCATGAGTGTATTTTCAATGCCAACGAGAATATGGCAAGATCACCCATCGAGAGCGTGTCGGGCAGCACTAGAGTCCTTGTCACAAATTGAAGATTTGAAGGTAATATCAAAGAGAGAAGGTTGGCCACGCATTAACATTCGAGTTGGAATCAATACTGGAAATGCCATGATTGGAAATGTTGGGTGTCAAGATCGTTTCGACTATACTGCTCTAGGAGACTCTGTCAACACTTCCAGTCGTTTAGAAGCTCTCAATAAGAGATATCAATCTTCGTTACTCATTGGACAAACAACCTATGAAGAGGTAAAAGATGAATTTGTTTGCTTCTTTGTGGACACGGTCAAGTTGAAAGGAAAGGATCTAGCCATTGACATTTACACCATAGAGACTGAATGGAAACATTTAAATCCACAACAAAGGCATGTACATGACAAGCTTTTTGAAATACGTGAAAGTATGCATCATCACAAGTTCGAAGAAATGAGAAATCAGATTCATGAGTTGGTAACATGTGTTGCTGAATATGAAAAGGATGCTTCAAAATCAAACATTCGCTCCAACATGAATTTTTTGGGTTGCCTGATCGAAAGATCGAACCATTTAATCCAATCCTATCAAATCCATAGCAAATTTGCATCTGATTTTGATTACTCTCTAACATTGACTGAAAAATGAATGAAATATATGCGCTAACATGGACTGAAAAATGTTATAACAGCCCATTTGCCATTCTAGTGGAACTAGGAATTATTCCAATAACACCAATGAAATTTTGAAAAACAATCTATTTTATTGCCATCTCACATAGTCAAGAGTCCTTTTAAAAAAAAACATTAAGATGTCCACAATCGAATCGTCTTATCACTTCCAGCAGTAAATATCCATGGTTGAATGGGATGGAATTTACAATCCAATACACCCAAATGAGATCGTTTCTTGTGTCCACGTAAAATCTTGACAGGTACAATCATGGTTTCCTTAGTCCAATCCTCAGGATAGACTTGTCCATGAAACACATTACATGTGGTATCATCACTACAGGTTGCAAAAAGAGGATATCTCTTATGGAAATCCACACATCGAATGGCACGTGAATGAAATCTCATCGTCTTGTAAGGATGTGAAGATATGGCCAAATCAAACCATTCCATTCTCTCATCAAATCCACCAATCAATACATGTTCTCCACTGGGATGTATGGCAATCGATGAAACATAATTACATTTCTGTCCTTTCAACTTCTTTGAGAGTCTTTGTGATTGTAAATTATAAATTCTCACCATCGATGTACTCACAACATAAAAATGTGGTTTTTTAGGATGGAACAATACTCGAATGAATTTCTGAGAAGCATTTCGAACCTTGACATTTTCTTTGAATACTTTTTGTGAAGAACGATGAGATAATTGATGAATGAGAACTCCTTGAGAGTACGAGTTGGGTGCCAATGATGCAAAATAATCTCCTTTTTGATGCCAAGTGACTTGAGTGACTCGAGATTTGTGAATAATTTGACACATGATACCATCTCTTCGTTTCACAATCGATGATGCATCGGAAGAGGTTTGACGATAGAATTTCCAAGTGACGAGTTTGATTTTACGACCTTTTCGACTCTTACTCTCAATATCACGTTCTTCTTCATTGTCATGTTCATCGTTGTTGTTGTCATGTTCATCGTTGTTGTCATCTTCTTCTTCTTGTTGTTGATCATCTTCTTCATCATCTGAAATATCATATTCATCCATACGTTCAGAATCAAATCCCTTCTGAGGGAATAACTCTTCAGTCAATTCATTACAGAGTTCATTTCCACTTTCTTCAGGTTGAATTAAAAACACTGAACTACCCACAGCCACAGCAAATAAATTAAGTTTAGCATTGGGATTCCATTCTACCCATTTTGGAACATTTTCAATATTACCATCAAGTCCGACACGTTGAGGTTTTTGTTGAGCATTCTTGTCCGTGTCACGATTTGTAGTAGTGGTGGTGTTGGTGTTGGTGGTATTGTTTGGACGGTCTTCCGTACTAGTAGTAGTATTATTATTATTAGTAGTAGTAGTAGAAGTCAAAGCCTCACGTTGAGCCTCTGATGGAGGATTCGTGGTGGTGGTGGTATTGTAATGCAAAAAATTCCAAACACGACGACAACGTCCAGTCTCAACCTCCCACAATCGTACCGTACCATCTTCATCGGAACAAGAGACTAACCATTTACCAGTAGGATCTACACTAATACTTCTCACCATACCTTCATGTCCTTCATAGATGAGTGATTGTATTTCTGGATAGGGTCTTAATTGTTCAGGACGAGGTAATTGAGGAAGTAAGGTATCGGGATCTTCAATATACTTCTTTTTCGTGGGTTGAACACGAGGTGCCAAATACAAATCCATACATCGTTCAAAACGTTCTTGAATAAACTTGTCATAGACTGGAACACTTCTCAACGATTCATAAATCTTGTATTTGAATTCTTTTCCTTCTTTAGCCTTTTCAGGAATATATTCAGGTGGTGGATTGTAGGATAAATTATGACCTGGTAATTTCTCTTTAGGAGGTGGTAGAATACCAATTCGAGCAATTTTCTCGCCAATAATTTGTCCATCTTCACCCCACATTAAATAGACAGATTCTTTCTTTTGTTTCTCTTTGATTTGATTCATGAGAGCAGGATTTCTCTTAAATCTCAATGCAATCTTGGAAATTAATTTTCTTTCAGATTTATCAGGTAGAAAATGTTCTTTGGGAACTGGATTACCATATAAAGGAAAACGAGAATCTAATTTGACATATTCAACATAATCCTTGTATGGATCATATCCAGGTGGGAATTGACCTTTCACTCCAACATTGATAATAGTCTCTAAATCTTGATTCGACAATACATGTTCTCGATCATTAATTTCATCATAGACTGTTCTCAAATAATTTGGATCATCATGTTTAGCAATTAAATGATCCAATGCATCTTTTTGTTTTCGTTTCAAGATTCTATTTCCATTTCTGTCATACCCAATATGGTCATATTCTTCATACCATTCTAATGGAACATTACCAATGGTATTAATCATGGATTCATCTTCAGAAGAGTCATCACTATCATGGACATCATCAAAGAGAGATTTTTTAGTACTGTTGTTCTTCTCAGTATTTTGAGACTCTTTGGAATGTTGTTGAGAATTCTTTTTCAAAGACCTTTCATACCAAGTCAAAGGCTTTTCATCATTAATGGAAGAGAGATTGGTGAAACTTTCAAAGACTTTAACATCCTCTTCATCACTGTCATCAATTGTGTCCTCGAGGAGATGATCATCTTCCTCTCTTTCAATATCTTCTTCATCACTCAGATAAACATCATCATTTTCATCATCGGTATTACTCACTGATGAAGAGCTGCTGGATTTGTTATTTAATTGTTCTGCACCACGAGATGAAATTGCTTCCGAAGATTCATCATCTGAAGAAGAAATGTGTTGTTCAATTTCTTCTTCTTCATCATTAAATTCAACTTGAGGTAAGTCTTTGATTGATGATGCTGTTTTTGTGAATCCATATCGTTCTGGATTGTTCTTCACCAAAGACTCGGAATCATGATTGGTTGAATCTTCATGACTTGCACTCGATGATTTTGCTTGTTGGAGTTTTCTCTTCATTTTTTTTGACGAACGAAAATCAACAAAGACCTTGAACGACGATGATGATACTTTGAAAATTTTAAATCCTCTAACAACAACAATAATGAGGAGGACTCAAGAGTACTTGGACAACATAGTCATTCATTGGTTAATCAACCTTATTGAACTCGAGAACATTAAATTCTTCTGAAGGATGAACTCGACTTGGAATCAAAACGGAAGGTTACTGAAGTTATTATTTCAAAAAATTATCTCTGTGCGTGTCATCATCCCTTGGATCAAAATGTTCAATTGGCAATCCATGTTTCAAAACAACAATAACAACAACAACAACAAACATGATGCTTCCCTCTCGGAACTCAACAAGTTATCATCATCATCTTCTCATCAAACAACAACAACAAATCAAAACACTACCAACACTACCAACAACAACCATGATTTTGAAGTGATTCAAACCACCCCTTCCTCCAATCATCATCATGGATTGAATGACCACCACCACCACAATGATAATAACATCCATGTTGACCCTATCCATATTGACCCTATCCATATTGACCCTTCTGATGACTCTTCTCATATCCATCTCGTCATTCTCATTGCTGGTATGGGTGCAAGAAAGAATCATCCATTGAGTGAATCTGTCTTGATACCAGCTGGTAAATGGTTTGATATTTACAAGTGTCAATTAGCCATGAAAGAATCCATTAATGCTCTCTTCAATCAATATGCATCGAATCAAGTGAAATCTCAATCTCCTCATATTCTTGTGAAATCCATTGATTATTGTTCAACAGTGAGAGAAGAGGGAGGATATACGGACAAGTTAAATTTAGTCACCATGAAATCAGGTGTACAATTATTACGAACCATTGCCAATGAGAGTATGATTGATGTATTAATGTATAATAGTGAAAAGATTAAGAAACAAATGCAATCTGTAGGTACAGTAGTATATGTGTTGTTGTTGTTGTTGTAATAATAATAATTATTATTATTATATCCATCATTGAAATATTGTGAATGATTTTCATGGTGGTAATAATTATTAATTGATGAATTATTATATCCATCATTGAAATATTGTGAAATATTGTAAATGATTTTCATGATGGTATTATTGAATGAACACTCAGGTTGCAATTAAACAAATTAATGAAATATTGGATGAAATGAAAGGATTACCAGTGAAAACCATTTCCATTGTTGGTCATTCACTTGGATCTGTATTAGCCTTTGATATTTTATATCAACATCAACTCTCTGAAAATACATTATTGAAAAGAACACCAACTCATTGTTTTTTATTGGGGTAAGTTGACAACAATTTTATGAATTTTTATGAATATTCTAATGGATGGAATGAATTTTTATGATTATTCTAATGTATGGAATGAATTATTATTACTTTCTAATATATACATGGGATGAACACAGATCTCCACTTGGATTATTTCTCACTATGGACATTCAAACCAATCATCGAGAATTAGAAGCTTTTCATTTTGTGAATCCAATTTCTGGTAAAAAACAATTATTAAGAGATTTACCAGTCTATCATTTGTATCATCCCTATGATCCTGTTGCATATCGTTTAGATCCTCATTTAGATCCTAAATTTGCTAAATTTGATCCATTGAGTTGTAAGTAATAGTAGAAGTGATATGAATATATATATTTGTGATATTGAATATATTTGTGTGATCATTATGAATATTTAAAAACTCATGTGTTTCATATATATACAATGTAAAATATTTTTGGTGATCTAAATGACACTTGTCAATAATAATTCATATATAGTGGATTTCTTCAGTAAGAGAGCGAGACCACCCAGTCATCCAGTTGTTCAATTGACCAATGCTGTAAGTGTATAAAGATTCATCATGAATGTGACATGACAATCGATCGGATTCAAATCTCTTTTTTTCAGTTCAATCAAATGTTAGTGACCTTTGGAATGGATACCAACAAAATTAATGATGAATATCGTGAATTAATTAATCAATATGAAATGTATGTAGAAGAATTTTATCATGTTCTATATTCTATATACTGGAACAAATCATAGTATTGATCATGCACTTCCTGTCATGTCTGAAATTGTTATCAACGAGTACTTGTCAGCCAGTGATGTTCATTTGAGATATTGGAGTAATTCTGAAGTTGTTAGTTTTATTTTGGAAAAGTTAAATCTAATTTCAGTGGATCAGACGACCAATTAAGTGTTTGAGCCATTACTGTTCGCTGATGACATTTATTCAACGAACTTTCTTCTTTGCCATGCATTTTGGTTTTATGTTTTCGATCACTGGAGGATTATGATTTTTAACGATTGCTCTAATGTATCATGACAATTAAAAAATCTTAGAAAAGTGTCGGCACTTGCTTGTCAATGTTTTCAACACCTTTAATTTGATCGCTTAGAGTTAGGCAACAAATGTTTTTATAGGACCGTTAATTAGTATTATTACAATATTCTTGAGGTGGTGCAATTTCAGGAATTTTAAATAAATGGAATGTTTGAGATTCAAAAGCCTTCACATCATCATCACTTAATTTATGAAAATGATTGAGTATCACTCGATCATCCACAACCTTTGGATCTATATCATATTGAGCAAAGAATCGTTCTCTCATTTTCTCTAATTGTTGTTCAAATGTGAGAATTTGAATATTCGTACTACCACTCGTACTACCACTCGTACTACCACTCATACCACTACCACTCATATTACTACTACCTTGAGAAGAATTTGTTTGTAGATCATCCATGAATAAACCATTCGCGAGTTCTTGTTGTTTTTCCAATGCTTTTTTTCGAAGCATTTCATCGACTGCAGAGTCTCCTCCACTCGTACGACTACTACTACTCAATCGATCACTTGTTTTCAATCTTCGCATGGAAAATGGATCTTGAACACGTTGTGCTTGTTGCCACACCTGTTGCATGTCATAGTTGGATGATGTAGTTTTTCCTGATAAATAATCAATAGCAGAATGATGAGGATGATTATTAATGGTATCTAAAGAGAATGATCCTCCAACAGATGAGAATGTACTTGTTGATTTGCTGAATGCATTCGTGTTGTTGTGTGATGAAAATTGAGAAAATCCACTCGAATTCGAAGGACGATGAGAATTCGAGTTCGTTGAAGAGTGTCCTTGAGTTGCACTTTGATAATATGGATTGGCAGTTGTATGACTTGTGGTATTATTACTATTCGACGTTAAGAATGGTGATTGTGAAAAATTAGATTTTCCAAATTGTGCAGAAGAAGGTGTAATTTGTGAGAAGGATGATTCGGAAAATGATTTGACATTGGGTCTTATAGAAGCAAAGGATGATTGTCCGAATTGATGTTGTTGTTGTTGTTGGGATTTGGATGAAAAATTATAAGAGTTTGAGTTGTTGTTGTTGTTGGAAAAATTATGAGATCGATTGTTGCCAAAATTATTATTATTATTTGAATTGTAATTATTGAATGAATGATTATTTCGATTGTTGTTGTTGTTGTTGTTGTAATTATTAAATGAATTATTTCTATTGTTTGAATTCTTGTATGAATTCTTGTTTGAATTGTTTCTTTGATTGTTGTTGTTGTTATTGTTGTAATTATTATTATTTCGTTGATTGTTGTTATTGTTGAAATGATTCTTCTTGTTCATGTTGTTGTTGAGTTATTTTTTTTTAAATTAAAATATAAATTCTAAAAAATGATTAAAATTATATATATAATATTAAAAAAAATGTTATCCTCTTCTTCTTTTTTTCCTAGTGGTGGTGATGACATGGGAAGGACCATGTCCCAGAGTCATTCTCTCACAAGACCATCATCATTTCCATCGGAACATGCATCCACCAACTTTTATGATCAACAACTTCCACCTTCTTCTTATTATCAATTACACAATTCCTTGCATCGTGATCGATCTCAAGTATATTCCAATTCATTCGGAGAAGAATTTAATCAAATGAGTTATCGATCATCATATCCACGAAGAATAGGATTGAATTCATCAACACAAAAACATTACAATCCACTCATTCATTTCTTTAAAGATTCTTCCGATTTGAAACATAAAATATTATTATTCGTCTATTTCATAATTGGTTTAACTATAATGACACTATTTGGAAGGAATTTTCATCATAAGGAATGGAAAGTATTTAAAATGGTACGAGATTTTATTCAACAATATGTCATGGGTGGTGTTTCTCATTCGAATCGTCAAGTGTCAAATCCATCGAATGAGAAACATTCCAATCTCCACTCGAAACATGTTTCAAAAACCCTTTTATCTAAATATGAAGAAGAATATTATGATTTTTATAAATCTTATTTAGAGAAACAAGAAAAGAAAAAGAAACAACAAGATTCTCGAATACTTGCATCGAATATTGAAAAATATTGTTCACAATTTAAGAAGAGAACTGAACAGGATGAATGACCTTGTGTATACACAAGGTTATGGATAAAGACTACCGTGTGAATGTGGTTGGGTGATGAAGAAGAGACTCATGCATATCATATGCATGAGTGTGTGTGTGTGAGTTGTGTCACATAAAATAATTTACTGATGAAAAATCTCTCAATGGACATTGAATTTACAAAATTGAATTTACAAAATGATGATTCATTATGTGTGTGTGTGTGTAGATAGTAAAATCATGATTTTTTGATCAAAAACAATCATAAAAGTATCTTTTTCATCATTATTCATCATCTAATTGAACTCTTCGTGTGAGACTCTTCTCGGAATGTTCAATCTTTGGTAATACAATTTCCAATTCATCATTTTCTAATCTTGCTTTGGCACCTTTGGTATCAATATATTTTGGTAAATGAATTTTCTTTGTAAATGGTCCTATATGATCGATCGAATCACTGGTTTTAATATCTCCAGAAACAGTTAAAATATGATGAGAATCATCCATATCAATGATAAGATCTCGTTTCAATAGACCTTGAACTGCAAATCTTAAAATAACACTTGTTTCAGTGTGTGTGATGGTCATGGCAGGTGTTTTGTGTTGTGTCGAAGATGAATTTTGAGTGCAAGTGAGGAATAAATCGACCTCCATCGAATCGAGAATTTTGTTCATGATTTTGTGGGAGAGCGAGTGACAAGTTCAGAGTGTCAATATTTTTTTTAATAAAAGTATTGAATTTGTTGCAACAAAGGTCTGTATTTGGTAATGGAATACATGAGGTACAAATTGGTGAGTTTCATTGTCAACAACATTGATATTCAAGACGCCAATGGTATGACGCAACTTGGTACAGTGTAATGGACTTGGTAAGGCCAAAAAATTTGTAATCAATAGAGCTTTCAAGCTCGTAAGTAATATCTCTCTCCGTTGTCAACAAACCGCCTTGAACAGTTCAAAAATAAAAAAACAACTACGATTTTGGACTTGTTGATCTGAAGCAGCCCAATTCCGATATTAGATCCTGAAGTTCTCTAATTCTAGGCCTATTCATTCAAACAACGACTCTTTTATTCGAGTATTGAGGAAAATTATTATTTTGTCTCATCATGTCATCAAAAGCATCATCAGGAAAAGGCAACGCAAAGAACAAAAACGCCAAAGCAGGAGAAAAAACTGAGGCTGACATCATACAAGAACAAAAAGAAGAAATTAAAAAGTTAAAGCTTCGTATTGAAACATTGGAACGATATATGGTGCTGCGATCGGAACAAACACAAAAAGCAAGAGCATCAGAAATGGAAATGAAATCAAAACTATCTCAACTAGATGAGGACTTTGAGAAGGAAAAGATGGAGCGATTTCATATTGCCTCGGACATGATCCGACAATACAAGGCTCTTCAAAAAACCTTAATAGAAAAATTGAATGCAAGCGAACAAAAGAATACATCACTGGCGGATCAATTGCATTTAGCAAAAGTAGCACTTCATGAAGTCAAAAAAGAAAAAGATCAAATCATTGAAATGAAACAACGAGAAATTGAAGAGCAACGACAAAAGATGCAAAGTATGGTCGTTGAGTTCAGTAACATGTTGAAAGAAACGTTGGCCAAAATGGGAAATACGATTCAGCAAGAGAAAGAGTTCCAAGATGATTCAACCTATAATTTAGTGAATAATTCAAGGCTGTTAGATTTCATTCCACCAGAAATGATTCAAAATTTGAAAATGACAGCCAATAATGCACCACCATCTACTTCTCATCCAAACATTACAAATTCCAAGTAAATATCATCATGACACAATTATTTTTCACTCCGACTGTTTTAAAACATTGAAGCCTTTGTAGAGTCTAGTATCATTCGAGCGTCTTGTACGGTGCCAATTATGGTTGTTTCAGAATATACGAGATGTGTTTTACAAATTAGCTCCTTGTACGTATTTCTTTTTTTCAAAATGCAAATCTGTTCTAGCCTGGCTCACATTAATGACTCTTGGACATCCATCTCTATCTTTCTCTTGCAACACACATGATTTACAATAATAGGCATCGGACACACCTTTTCCTCCACAAATAATACATTTACCTTGAAGACTTCCGTAATTACATTCATCACAAATATGAACTTTGGTGTGAGGTCTTACATAGGAATCACAAATAACACATTTACCATCGCAATTTTTGCAAACCTTTCCGATGGCAATTCCAGGTTGTTTTCGGCACAAGATGAGATCGGTGTGATGACGAATGGACATTTTTTAATTGTTGATGTATTTCGTTGGCTACTCCTTCATTGTTAGCAGCATTTATTTACACCAGGATCTTCAGTCTTGTTGATCCATAAGTATGGTGGTTGTCATCATGTAAGAAGAAAAGAGCACCAATTCGGTGATCCTCTTCAATCTAGTCTTGTCTTGCTCGTATGCAGAGATCGAAATTTCCAAACAAAAAATTCAATTCGCAGTGGGTGTGTTGTATCAAACACAAAAACATCGCACTTTCACGGAAAGGATTCAACAATCATCATCAACTCTGCAAATATTTATTCTTCAAATATCCTCTAATAATTTAATCATCATCCTCCTAGATTCCCTTTCTCTCTTATAATTAACCATCTTTACTCTTCCAAATCATCATATTCAAACAACAACAATAATAACAACAACAAAATGGATGAACCTCTTGAAGTCTTAACCACTCATCTCAAATCCAAAACACATCCCATCACCTACACTCCACAACATATCATTATTGATGCTTCTCATCGTTATCCAAATGATACTCGTATCAAATTACCAAACCATCAACAGTTGTCTTTGGCTCAACTTTGGTTTATTCTCAAGAATGATGATTTTGCAGCCTATTTGAAACAATGTAAAGAATATAACGTGAATTTTGTTTCATTTCCTGTCTTTCAATCCATCAAACAACATTTCAAATCAGAATTGGGACAGGATGTAGATTATGGACATTTATTTGTGTTTGGTGGTGAAAATGATACAACGATTTTGCACGGAGAGACTCTTCCTGGTAGTACTAGTGCTGGCATTAGTGTGTCTTCTCTTGATACGGCTGGCGGTAGTCTTATGGATCAAAGTGGTGCTTCTTCAAAGAAGAGAGATTTAAATGAAGTAACCAATTTGAGCACTGATCAAGATCGTAATAAGAAATCAAAACCATTTCATATTCCATTCTCATCAAGTGCTATGAGTCATACCATGGTTGAATTTGGAGAAAAAGAACAAGAATCTAAAAAGGAATTTATTTCATTCCTATCCAATTTGTTACAATCGGATTCGAGTAATGGTAGTGAGAATATGAATGTCGATTCCTATCTGCCTTATCTTGTCTATGATCGAAGTCATGTCATTAATTTTATTAATTCTAAGGAAATTCCATTTAGTACTCGAATTACTCAAACACAAATTGAAAAGGAATATGTTGATAAGAAGAATACATCTCAACCTAGTACTGTGAATGGCAGTAATCAAACCACGTCATCTAAATCGATTTCATACTTTACAAATTGTTTAGATAATATCAAAAGATGTAGAGAGCATTTTGTTCATTACAAGAAAGAAGAACAAAAGAAAAAGAAAGAAAGAGAAAAGAAAGAAAAGGCTCAAAGTTATAATCAAGAAAATGTTAAATTGAATTACAATGTGAAGGGTAGATTTGATGAAAGAAATGTTTGGCAATCAGAATTTGGAAATGATAATATTATGGATGATTTACAAATCAACACGACAGGTTCTATGATGATGGACAATAGTAGTGCAATTGGTAACACTAACGGAGATTTCTCCGCAACCACCGCAGTAACCGGCACAACCGCTACCAGCCATCCACAAGAAAGCACTCGATCAAGTCAAGCCGTGGCATCATCTTCAGATAGTTCTAAACAAAAACCAACAGCAGATTCCAAACAACAACCCTCTAAGAAATCATTACCTATTATTTTACTTCCACCTGGTAGATCTTCACTTCTCACTCTTTACAATGTGAAAGATTTTCTCCAAAAAGGAACATTTATTACAACTGAAGATAAGAAGAAGAATTTAGATCCAAATTTACCAAAACCAAAGGAAGTAATCATCAAGCATCCAAAATCCAATCAACAATTTCTTGTATTGGATACAACAAAGAATTTGCAAAAGAAAGATTGGGATCGAGTAGTTGCAATATTTACAATTGGACAATTATGGCAATTCAAAGATAGCAATAATTGGTTCTCTACAGATCCATCAGTAATATTTGCAAAGAAGAAGGGATTTACTCTTGTCTATGACAGTGATGCATTGGCACCAAATCTTCAAAATTGGAATTTAGAAAAGTTATATATTAGCAAATCAGAGACAAAAAGACATACAGATAGCACGGTTGCAAGAAAGTTTTGGAATTCTATTGGTTTGGAATAAATGTCTTTCGAAGACTTTTATCTTTGGAAGAAATTAGGATCATGATTTCTTATCGGATTTGTTCCTGAAGCGTTTGAGTGTCATAAAAAAATCTGCCAGAACGAGCCATCATTTATTGTAAATCTTCAATTAAAAAAATATTGACGATCCATGTCTTTAGCATATTCTGTATTCCTTTTCACTGATTCGCTCAACCGTGATTGTTGTTTTGAATAGCAACTCTCTTCATCATCATTTAATTGTTGCTGAGACCAAGAACAGATTTTTGGATTGTTCTCTTGTCAGTTAATCACAACCGTCGCGTACTTGTCGGTTGTTGTAAATATTTGAAACCTGATTGTAAATATATAATTTACTGAAAAGAGACATGAAACAAGCACAAGGGAAAAAGGCAACGTCGGCATTGGTAGTTGTACCACCTAGTACTTGCCTCCATGATCAAGTAACTTGTTTTCAACGGCCCAATACTTACCCAACAAGTCCTATCCATCTACCATGTAGTAGTAGTAGTACTAGATCTCATTCGCATGAATACATCCATAAGAACATTCCGTCCACTACTGTTTTGAATGAGTATACTCTCTCTTCGTTCCTTTCTCGTCAAGCACTCATTCAATACATGGTTCATGAACCTTACTCGACTCTCATCATTGATTGTAGAGATAGAAAGAATTTTGAAAAGAGTCATATCATGACTTCCATTCAGTCATGTCATTTGCGTTGGGATATCATCTTTAGAGAGGATTCGATTCTAACTTGTCAAGTTGCTACAACATCTCACTGGTATCAACAACAACAACAACAGCAACAACAACAACTCTACTATCATGAACAAATACTTTTCAAATGCAAGGATTATTATGAGAGAATTGTTCTCGTTATGGACACAATGTGGTTGGCGGATGAAAAAAATTTGATGATGAATAAGGAAAATAGAAACATTGAAATGGAAGAGTGGAATGGCAAGACGAATCGTAGTAGTAGTAGTACCACTTTCACTAAATCAAAAAAACCAAGAGTATATCTTCTTGAGGGTGGATTTTCAGAGTTTTATCATCATCACTCCAATCTATGTTGGAATTTGGAAACGATGAAAGAATTTTGCATGCATGAGCCTCAGAAAGAAATTCAGATGGTCATGCGCAAGGAAGAAGAAAATTCATTTCATCATCATCATGGTACTGCTGAGGATCATGATACTATGGTGGTGGTCCATAGGGAGAAATCCAATGGTTCTACTATTACTTTTAATCCAGTTCATTGTGATTTACTAATTCCTCACTTCTCACAACAGGAGGGAGTAACACTCACTACTAATACTTTTAATACTTCTACTATGAATACCATGAATACCATGAATAATATGAATACCATGAATACTATGAATACTACTACTACTTCATTACCCTCCATGGAAGCTCGTATTAGAAATGCCCATCAATTAATTTTTTCAAACCTCTCTCAACGAGTCACTTGCGAGAAACCAACGAAATTGTTTGCTAACTTGTTTTTGGGAAATGTTCAAAATTCAATGAATATTCAACAACTCTCTGAATTGGGAGTGACATGTATTATTAATGCTGCACTTGAATGTGAAAATGTATTTGAAAACAGTCATTCCCTTCCTGTAAATTGTACCAATAATAATCAAAGACTTCCAACCGACGCATTGTCCTTACACAACAACGGTGTGGGTGTGAATATAAAGGATGATCATACCAACATGGATCACATCCATAATCATACAATTTCAACATCTATAGTCAATCCTCATAGAATCCTCTATTGTAACATACCAGTACGTGACTCTGAAGATGAGAATATAAGTCTCTATTTTGAGAAATGTTTTCAATTCATTGAGATGGCCAAACGAGAACAAAGAAAAGTTCTTGTTCATTGTTTTATGGGAATGTCTAGATCTGCATGTTTGGTTGTTGCTTGTTTAATGAAATTCAAAGAATGGTCTCTGGAAAAAGCATTCCAATACGTAAAGAAGAAGAGACCATCCATTGAAATTAATTGTGGATTTATGAAACAATTGGTAGAATTAGAAACGAAATTATTCAAGGATCGAGTTCACACACCTACGAAAGAAACAACACCACTCATGAATGGTAATAATACAACAGCAGTGATTACATCTGCAACAAGTCATTGCTCATCTTTGAAAGATGACACTTCACGACACATGTTGCTAGCAGTTACAAAACGATCATCATCGAAAAAGATCTCAGAATTTATTCATGAACAACAACATGAAGACCAATCATTTGTTATGGCACGAGGAGGAGATGTCACTCCACCATCCTTTTCACCACCCACTCATCCACAAACACCCCCTAACCATTTTGCGAATTTTGAAGATCAATTCGAAAGTAAACACGATGATTGATTTCAATACAAATACCCAACGGTGGTTATACATTATATTGTTGAGATAGTACTGAACCAAATGACGCCGTGTGATCCTTGTGGATCTCTCTCTCATGAAATCATTGAACGTAGGTTGACAGTCAGAGATCTCTCTCGAACCATGTTTGCCTTATTAACTGCTAAAATTTTTCTCTCAAAAAAATTACGATTTCCAAGACAACTTCTCTTGAATAAGGAGTCCGGCACTGCAACAGTGTGCGCTGTAAATATATTCTGAATCATTTCATCATCCCGAAGCATCAACCATGCCGAAAAGGGGGACTGCTAAGGAAGCAGAAAAGGCTCCCACCATAGAGGAGCAACTACAACACTGTATCGCCGAGGTTCAAAACAAAGCCCTTGAAATTGAAGGACTGAAGGCTAAAACGAAGGCCTTGCAAACCTATAAGGAGATGTATGAAAAATTGAAACAAGAACATGATGCGTTTGTTGAAGAATTAAAACATCGAGAAGCAGAGTCTGTAAGTAGAGGATCACGATCTCTCTAATTTTTCATATTCGGAAATGAATCAACATGATTCCATGCAGATTCAAGTAGCAAACTTTCTGAGAAAAGATTTAGAATTAAAGAATCGAACAATTTTGCAACATCAAAAGGATTTGTCTGAAAATACACAACATCATAAGCAACTGGTTACTAAATTGGAGAAACAGTTGGAGGAAGCCAAACAGCGATTCTCAGAGGACCTGTTGACAAAGGATACAGAGCTACTGAATTTAGAAAAGGCTTTGTCGTTACAGGACGAATTAAAGGTAGGTTTTATTCATCCACTGAGGACGTTGTTGTTGTAAATATAAAATTCTGACAGAAAGAGCTGGAAAAATATAAACAACTGTATCATGAAAAAGAACAAGAAAACGAGCAAATACGGAAATTTTTTGACGCAGAGTTAACAAAATCCAAACAAATATTTATTAAGGAAACGATGAGGTCACGAAAAGAAGAGAGTGGAATTCAAGAACAATTCGAGAGAGAAGTTGAGGAGCGAGCTCTCCAGCTGATTGACGAAAAAAGTAGATCAATCTATGAACAGAATATTCTCTTGAAGGCACAGCTTGAAGAGTGTCAACAAGAACTTCGTGAGTGTTCACAAGAAAAAGAAAAATACAAGCAAGAAAATAAGAATCTCACACGTACCATCGAAATGAATAAGGATCTTCTCAAAGAATATACGAAACAGTGTTTCAACTTGTCCAAAGAATTGCGAACCATGAACCAAAAATATGACACCGAGAAGGTCTTTGTCGATTTAGAAAAGAGGTTTAACGAAGAAAAGCATGATTTGAAAGAAAAATATGAACAGCAGATTAAGGATTTAGAGAAAAAACGAGATGAGCTTTCCAAAATTTTGCAAATTCGAAACAGAGAATTAAATCATATTCGAAAGATTGGTAAGAAATTGTTAGAGCAACGAACCGAATTGGAAATGTTCTTTAACGAAGCACTTGGTACAGTGAAAGAACAATTGAAAAATCCACCTAGTAGTAGTAATGTTGTGACCTATGCAAAAACTCAAGTCGAAGAACTACGAGGACAAACAAATCAATCTCTTCCACCAATTTCTAAATCTCCAGTACTTCCTCCTGATCAACAACCTCCCCAACCCTCATTTCCATCACTCTCTTGGCAAGATAAGGAAAAAGTTCTCAAAATATTGTTTGATAAGATTAATGGAATACCTTCTAAAAATCAAAACTCGCAGCAAACCAACAAACACACTTCAAACAATTCCTTTCAAGAAAGCCCAAAGCCAGTCAAGCTTAAACTTCAAAATTCATTGGCTAGTTTGAATCAAGCGTTTAGAACAGGAACACCATCCAGTAATCGATCTACAGATTTTATGTTTGGAGATTGAGGTCTTACTTGTCAAAAGAGGATTTTCATCCTCATGGAAAACAAATTTGATTGGGCTTTTGTTTACAAGAGGAGAACAACAGAACAACGGAGGCACAACAGCAACAAGAAATAAAAAAATGTCATCATCGGCCCACACTCAAATCATTGACTCGTATTTTCTTCCAAGTGATGTGTGTATAATTTCGGGAGCATCCTCAGGCATTGGAAAGAAGATTGCATTGGAATTGTCAAAATTTAAGACCAAGTAAATATCATGATCGGTCATTGTGTTTCAATTAATTTCTAATAATTTTTTTATATAATCCAAGTGTGATATTACTTGCAAGAACTAAATCATTATTAGAACAAGTATCTCAAGAGTGTCTTTCATTGGGTGCATCCTCAACACTTGTGGTCCCTTGTGACGTGAGTAATGAAGAGCAATGCAAGTATGTATTTTAAGAGTCATCATCAAGTGATCGAATGATATGTTCGAAAAATGATCATTCATGTAAAAACATGTACAATTCAATTAATTGGATGAAATAATCCAATGAACAATTTTAAATATGATGAAAATAATTATCATATGAACAATTTTAAATATGATGAAAATAATTCCAAATAATTCCAAGAAATGCCATTCAAATCATTCACTCCAAATACAATGGTCGTTTAGATAAATTATTTCTATGTGCAGGTATTAGTGGAAGTGTACCATTTGAACACATTCAAGACATGTCCATCTTTGAACAAATGTTTAAAACCAATGTGATGGGATATATCTATCTTACTAAATTCGCATTACCATTATTGAAACAATCAAAATCGAATCCACACATTTGTGTCATGAGTAGTATGAGTGGAATCATTCCAATTCCAATGAGAACTGCTTATTGTATGTCAAAATTTGCTGTTGAAGGATTTTTTAGAACTTTGAGAACGGAATTGAAAAATACCAATGATACGAAACATATTTGTATTACCTTAATATGTCCTGGATGGTATGTAGAGTTATATATATTTGACTTTTTCTCTTTGAATATTCTCACAATTTCTTTTGAATTTGACATTCTATGCATTCACATGTGAATATTCTCACAATTTCTTTTGAATTTCAATACTACTCATTCACCTGCGAATATACTCACATTACTTGAATATCTAAAAAAAAACACTTGAAATATTTCTCACCACTTGATGACAATATATGAAAAAGGGTGGATACTGAGATTCGAAAACATCACGTGACTGAACATCAAACCAATTATGATAATGGATCCAAGATGATGAGCGTTGAAGAATGTGTTGAACAAACATTGAAAGCAGTGAGACAAAAGAAATCAACTCTACGTTTCAAAACACTCTACAATTGGTCTCCCATCATTTATGAATTGTATCCAAAATTTATTGAAGATTTAACTGTGAAAAAAACTGGATTTACACAATTGATGGAAAACCACTCTCAAACAAGACAATCCAAATTGTAAGGATATCATGTTCTCGAATATGATGCGTTTTGGATTGAATTTCCAAACAAGCAAATTGTAAGGATTGAATTCAATCCTTCGTATCCTCTCAAAAACACTTCCAAACCTCACAAGAACATTTGATTACAATTTCAATAAAAAAATGGCTCCAAAACGCAAATCCAATGCCAGCTCGTCATCATCGCCCGGCAAAAACACCACTCCCAGCAAAAAGAAGAAGAAAGATGAAGAAGTAGAATCCGAAGATGAAGAATCTTCTCAATTGGATGATTTGGCTTCTCCTGCCAAGACCACCGTATCGGATCCTAAAGAATTAGGATTGTTGGAACATTCGTATGATCCCGATACTCATTACAAATTCATTAGTTTCAATGTCAATGGAATTAGTGCACTGATGAAGAAGGAGAATTATATTAAATTATTGGGAGATTCTGAAAAACCCTATTGTATTTGTTTGCAAGAGACTAAACTTACAGCAAAGAATCAAAGCAAGTTTGAAAAGATTCTTCCTGGTTATACAGCTCACTTTAATCATTGTGTGGCAAAGGTAAGTGAAATTTGTCCATGAATACTTTTGAATACATGTTGATTGTCATGACTCCATACTACTGTGTTCCACATATTCAGAATGGTTATTCTGGAACTGCTGTTTTTACTTTGGATTCACATCCTCCTGTAAAAGTCTCTTTTGGAATGGGAATTAGTAAGCATGATAATGAAGGTCGTCTCATTACAGTCGAATACGAAGATGTTTATTTAGTGAATACCTATGTTCCAAACTCTGGTCAGAAACTAGAGAGACTTGATTATAGAACTACAGAATGGGATGTGGACATGTTAAATTATTTGAAGAAACTTGAAGCAACCAAACCTGTAAGTAATATTTTTACAAAAGATAATACCCTTTAACCTGTCATAAAAAGGTCGTCTGGACTGGAGATTTAAACGTTGCAGTATTGGATATTGATGTCCATAATCCAAAAGGTAACAAGAAAACTGCTGGGTTTACAGATCAAGAACGTAAAGCCACTCCAATTGTTCAACATAATTTTATTGATTCATTTAGACTGTTCCATCCTCAAACACCCGATTGTTACACCTATTGGGGTTATCGATTCAATATGAGAGCAAAAAATAAGGGTTGGAGATTGGATTATTTCATTTGTTCTCAAAGCTTGAAAGAAAATATTGAGAGTAGTTATATTTTGAGTAAGGTACTTGGAAGTGATCACTGTCCAATTTCATTAGTTTTGAAAAAGCCAAAGAAGGAGTAAAGAGTGCGTTGACTCAAGTCAATTGAAGAATATCATAATTTGTTTGACATAAATTCTGATTGACATCAAGTTGATTGCTCGAAAATAAATTCACTGCGCAAAAAAATGTTCAGGTCATCCCGTGTGCTATTGAACGAGGCTAGAGCATCTGTTTGTCGATATGTAACAAACCAATCCATGCATACCAACATAAATAATGTAATCCAAAGACACTACAGTGTCTGCAGCTCCTCGTCCTATAATCCTCACAAATATCAAAATACTCTTAAATCATTTGATCATCACGTACAACCATCATCATCGCTCTTGATGACCAATTTTCAATCATCCTCGTATCCAATCAGCAGACACTACCACACGTCCCATTGTACAACTCTCAGCAATGATGATGCCAAATCCGAAAAGAGTAGTAGCAAGATTCAAAAGAATGATGAAGGCAATCAAGGATCAGCCTTGAATCCACAACAACAACAACGTAATGAACCTACCCCACCCTCTCAACAACCATCAGATACTTCAACTTCTCCATCATCAGAATCATCTTCGGATCCATCACAAAATACTGGTAAGGCTCAACCACAAACCTCCTCCTCTTCATCATCAAAGCAAACACCAACTCCCAAATATTCATTTAACTATCAAGACTATCAACAATGGATTGGAAAGGCTTACAGTCTAACGGATCGTGTCAAGCAATATTTTGATCGGGTGGTGTATAAGTTATCCTATTATGGTAAATTTTATTACCAAGGCTTACGAACCATTGTAACGGACACTAAAAAGTATTTGGCATTGAAAAAGGAAATTAACAACAACAGACCATTTCACTTGGCGAATAGATCAGAAATTCTATTTACTACTCAATATTCTATTGAAGTATTGAAAGCAATTCCATTTATTGTATTAATATTTCCATTTTCTGTAGCTTATTATATTATGGCATTTATATTTCCAATTTTATTACCTTCACACTTAGTTTTGCCAAGAAGAAAGGTTCAAATTTTAAATAATATCAATCGAATTAGAAAAGAACAGAAACGATTGATCATTGAAAGATTACTACAATTTACAAATTTAGTGAATAACAAATATATCAAAGTAGATGATGAGTTAATGGCACAATGTAACCAGTTCACAAACATTTTGGGAAATATTTCTAAATATCAAGATTCAAAGGCTTCTTTCAAAACCCATCAAGAAAGAAAAGAATTTATTTCCAAGCTGTTGAACGATATGAAAAAGTTAGACAGAACTAAATTTGTAGATCAATACTTGAAATTTCATTTCATGTCTACTACTCTGCTCGACGATATTTGTAGGTTTGCATTGATTGGAAGATCACATTTGGGAGGAATTAGTGGAGCTGTCAAAGAAGACAATACTTCCTCAATTTTAGGCCTCAGAAAGTATGATCCAAATATTTTACAACAGTTACTGTTCAACTTTTTAGATGTTCTTGCTTCACATGAGCAAGCTCAAGCTCTCACTCCTAACGTTATCAAGATGTATCAATTGAATAGATTTATCAAGCAAATGAGAGAAGATGATAAATTCATTTTCATGGACGAAGAGCTCTCAAACGTGTTAAACACCAAAGAAGAAACTCCAATCAGAGAATGGCTGAAAATATGCTACGTGAGAGGTCTTGTTGATGATCCAACATGTTATGGAGGTGTAAACACAGTCCTGATCACTGCCGATGATTTGAAAATGGCAGGAAAGCATGCACCTCAAACCTCAACAACAACAGTTGCAAGTATTTCATCAGAAAAAGTTCAAGAATTGGTTTCAGAACTCAGAGAGTTGCATTCACTCTGGTACAAATTTACTGAGGATATCAAATCCAACGAATTGCAAATTATCACTTGTGTCTTGTTAAAGTAAAATATTGTTAGCAATATTTGGAAATTTCAACGTGTTGTACAATTGCACGGCATATTGTGCATATTTAGCATCTTTCTTTGATTTCACAACATTGGTGAGACAAACTTTACATCTCATCAACAAGTCTGGATACCGTAATGCACACTTGCAAAGTGCATTCAGCAACAAGTTCATGTTGATATTCATATTGGCCGTGAGGAAATTAAGTTTTTTCATTTGCATCATCTTTTCATAAACGATTAATTCGAGACTTTCATAAATGGATTGAATGACCTTAATCTTGGTGTTTGGTTCACTCACAATTTTTCCAAATGTGTAACACACGGACTGGAATAATTTGTCATTGTTGCTATGAAGAACAGTTTTCATCTTGTTAATGATGGCACTACTACTGCTACTACCACTTGTAATTCCAGAGCTACTGACATGAGTGGTTGTATTCGAGAGAGAAGGAGCTGTGGTCATATTTGTGTACACTTTGTGAACTTGTTGGGTTAATTGTTCAATAATGACATCCTCATAGATGTTTCGTGTTGGAGTTTCAACTGGTGCCATCATCATCATTGTGGACTCACTCATATGTGAACTCTCATGTAATGCATGATTCTCTCCATTAATTTTATCAATCATGATGGGAATCAATACTTGCATGTATTCATCATTGATACATTTTGAAAAATAAATTTTTAACAAAACATTCACATGACTATGATAGATGGGATCTGAGAGTTGTGTTAAAATATGAAAAATCTCAGTAAATGAATGTTCATTCACAAGACATGGTAACAGTACTTGTATCAAGTGATGAACCTTGTATGGAATGATTTCAAATATTTTGAAAATAATCTTGTAGGAATATTTGTAAACATAGGAGAGATCATTTTCCACAATAAAGGAATGATTCAAAATGAGCATGTTCAATAACTCGACATGCAATAAAATATTGGTTTTGAAATGAGTCCAATAAATGGAAAAGAATCTTTCAATCAACATGTTTGGATCATAAATAAATGTATATGAGTGATGCATAAAGAATTTCACACATTCCAATAGAACCAATGAGCATGAAGAGATTGCTGATGGATGATTTGAAATGGTTAAAAACATTTTCTTGAGAATTGGAAATATTTGATTCACAAAATTTGAATCTCTAAAACAAATAATATCCATTTGTGTGATGGATTCTAATAACACACTTGCCATATAGGAAATATGATCTGAATCATTCAACAAGTATTCACATTGTTGCATAATTCTTAAATTATATTTTAGAATGGATTGTAATTGTTGTTTAGAGAGAGAATTAAAATTTTCAAGTAATTCTTGTTTCAATAAACTAAAACAATAATTTGATTGAATGGTATAAGATGAATGTTGTTTCACTCGATTTAAAACTGTATAGATGGTATTACTATTACCTGTTTTAGATGATCCTTGAATAATTAATGGATGAATAGTATGACCATCACTTTCATAAATTTGAATTTTTGTAGAATCTGAAATTTCAAATTTATGATTCAAATAGAGAACATCTACAAGTGAATTCATAGACTTGTCTTGAATTGGAATTAATTGATCCAAGAGTGAAAGTTCAGAGTTCATGGTTCTCGTATAATATTCTAGATATTTCACATAGGGATTTTGTTGTTCATTGATTTGATGAAATTGTGAAAAATCATTCAATTTAATATTCGTTAATATCAATAGAATTAATACTTTGATTTTCTTCATCGTTTTAGTATTAATTAATAATTTAATTAGAAATAATATAATTCCACTATGATTTGTGAAATCAATTCCTCGATTTACACCAACAGGTAATGTTATAATTTGATAGCATTCTCTCAATAGATCATATAAATCACGTGATGTCAAATTTGGTTGAATTAATTTTTTAAATAATATTGTTGGATAGATTTGGGTAATTTGTATCGGAGGAACATATTTTAATTTTTCAATATATCTTTCACTGTTTTGCGCTGATTGATTTAATGATGAATGTAAAATTAGAAAATAATTTTGAATTAAACTTTGATCTGTGTTTTGTGTTGATGATGAAAGAATGGATGATTTGGAAGAGGATGGAGAAGGAGGAGGTTGTTGTTGTGGATGAGTCGTTGACATTTTTTTGATGAAACTATCAATTGACAGACGAGAGTGTTGTTATTATTCTTCTTACGGAATTTGAAAAATCTTTGCCTGACTCGGTGTTGGTCATCACACAACAAAAATGCAAGAACACCAAAATTCAATGACCAACACGACGATCACTCCCACTCAAAAGCTACATCAACACGAATATCATAATTACTTACAATTTCGAGAAAAGATGATCATCCGAGATACGAAATGTTTTGTTTGTTCTTCTCCTGAATTTAAAGATTATTCTTTGGAAGAAATTTTAGAGAACAAGGCTTTGATAGATACTCACTCGATGGAAAAGGTAGAACAACAAGTTCAATTTTTGAGAGAGACACTGAATAGTAATGATGGTTTTATATGCTCGGATCAGGAAATTAAATTCAAATTATTGCAATTTACAGAACAATCGGAACAAGTTGAAATTCATCCGAGAGAATTATTCATTCCCTCCCACTCGTTGTATCAAAGAGCCTACAAGTATTACTTGGCTGATGCTAAGAATGATGAAGCCATTAGTGGTTTTCATACTCTGAACAAGATATCACTCACTGCATTATTGATTGGAATTCCTCTCATGATGAAACACTATGCCATTCGTAGAGTATGCTCTTCATTACTACGTACTATTTTTAATTCCAAAGTTGCTTGAAGAGGGACCAGTACAGTACAGTAGATACTTCTCGGATGGATGACCCACAAGCAATGATCATTGCTTAATGCCTCATTGATGTCCCATCATCAAGGTGATGATTTAACGCTCAAAAAAAACCACTCTCAGATTCCTAATGCCATCACCATCTAAACGACAGCTATTATTGCCAATAGTATTAGCAACGATATTTGTATCACTCTTGATCATCCAACCAATAATGGCATGGTCTTTTCTTGGCTGGAGTTTTGGTGAAGTGAGTGAACATGTTGAAAAGGGAAAGGAATTGCTCGGTCACTATAAGAAACAATCTGATTGGTCCAATTGTTGGAGAGATGCAGTGAATGAAATGGTGGAGCATTGTAAGCAGATTAAAACAGATGAGATTACTAGAACCAAGCTAGCCATCCAACTAACAAACTGCCATTTGAGCAAGTCAGGGCTCATGACATATCAATGCAAAGACGACATGACCATTCAAGAATGTACAAAAGACATGATTACTTCACCCATAGCTTTCAACAGCTATACAGAGTTTAGCACTCATGTTGACAATATTTGCTTTTTTATCAAGTCAGAACTATTTCAAGAAAAATCGGATCAAATAATTAATAGTTTACTTGACGAAACAGTTCGAACCTTGGAAAGTATTAACTCTCTCAATGAAAAAGCTGTCAAAACAAATAGCATTGTTCAAACGTCCATGGAAATGCAGGAAAAGGTTCTTCAAGGTCAAAACAAGTTTGATGCCACTCTCAGGACAATGAAGAAGCTCGAATACGAATTCTTTCAAAACTTAACACAGGAATTTCTGAAAGTCAACTCTCTCTCTAAAAATTTATTTGACGAATTACACCATATATCAACAGAGCAATCGAAGCACAGAACACAAGTAGAAGATCATTTTTATTCACTCAATAGTGCCAACAAAGAATTAAGTAGAGCCTTAGATCGGTCTCTCCAACAAACCAAGCAAATGAGCGAGGACCAATCATCTATCATTCACACATTGAATGGATTGAATCAAAAGCAAAACGAGATTTATGAAATTTCTTCACTTTCTCTTCAACAGCAAGATCAATTACTTAAAGCCCAAAATGCACTCCAAAAGCTACAACAAGATCTGCATGTTCTCACTTCAACAAAATTGGAGTCTATTGAGGTTAAATCTCTAAATATCGAGCATGGGTTAGAAAAAAACATGGAATATCAAAATTTACTTTTTGAACAACAGAAGCAAGCAGAATATCAATTGACACGTCTTCAGGATCAACAACAGTTATTGTTTCAAGACGCCAAGAAATCTCTGGAAGAATTACTCAAGTACAATGAGGACGCAGCCACGAGTATCAAAGAACAACATGTTCAAGTTCAGAAAATTATGAACGGAGTTATGGATCTCATTACTGTGAACACTTCATTACTTGGAGAATACATGGATATCAAATCCATATTGTTCTACTCGCTGGCTGTAGTGCTGACATTTTTATTAACATCCTCAAAGTTCACACAAAATGCCAGATTTTATATTTATCTAGTTTTTACTTTAAATTTATTTGTAGAAAAGTATGTCTTGTCAAACTTATTGGATCCACTCAACACGACACGAGTCAATTATTGGAAAGGAGTTTGTAGGCAATTGAGTTTATTACTTTCATTCCTATGCCTTACTTGGTCTTTCTTCTTGTACAAGGATTATAGTCAAATGAGTTTTGAAGAAATTTCTCACCTCAGAAAAGAGATTCTAGATTTAAGGAAAGCCAATATTTCGAGTAATAATTATCAAATATTTTCTCCTTTTCGTTCTGAAAAACACTCAGATCGGCGTGGAACCTATCAACCAGCACCTATACATGACTGGAAGCAAATCAAGTATTAAAATTAATTGCCAATTAATGACACAAATTTCTGGCACTACAAAAAAAATGAAGTTGTGGATTTTTCTAAATGCTTTGGTGCTACTCGCGCTTCTCGAACCATTCTCGAGAAGTGATCATTTCATCATCGGAAATCAATGGGTGTTGGCCAATGCTATTATTATTGATCCTTCCAATCCACAATATTCTGTGGATCGATTGGATTGGAATCAAAGAGTTCCTGCAAAAAATCCTTCAGCTCTTGTCTATTGTGAGAATGCACAAGATGTTGCCAATTGGATTTCCTATGCAAGAAATGAAAGAGCAAGAAATGAATCGTATCAATTTTCAATACGAAGTGGAAGACATTCCTATGAAGCTTATTCAGTCAATAACGGTGGAATTGTCATTGATGTCTCTCGAATGAAATCCATCTCGATTGACACCATGCATCAACAAGTCACTATTGGTGCCGGGATGAGAAATTTTGAAATTTATCAATCGTTATGGAATCATTCATCTGATCTTGATGGCAGATTTGCATTCACGGGTGGAACATGTCCCACTGTTGGCATTGGTGGATTTGCATTGGGAGGTGGATTTGGATATTTGGCAAGATATCATGGACTTGCCATTGATAATTTAGTATCAGCTCAAATCGTCATGTATAATTCCCAAATATTAACTGTGAATCAAACAAATGAATATAGAGATTTATTTTGGGCATTACGTGGAGGAGGAAATGGTAATTTTGGAGTGGTAATTTCTTTCACTTTCAAATTAATCAAAGCTCCCTCCTTTGTGGTCAAGTATGATTTGGAATGGTCCAACGATGATCACATGTATCATGTATTTTCAATATGGCAAGAATTAGCTCCAACCATAGACTCTCGTCTCACTTCTCAATTCACCATTTACAATGGAACGTTTGCTTCACAAGGATTATTTGTGTTTGGCAGCGAAGAGGAATTGAGAGACTTGTTACAACCACTCCTCACAGCTAGTACCAATAATTTACGTAAAATTCAATTCAAGACCTATTCCTACATGGATAGTGTGTTGGAATATGCTGGATGTAAGACCATTCAAGAATGTGAGGCGATCATGCACTCTCAACCCTCGTATGAACATCCCATTCTGTACAAAACGAAAAGTTCGTATGCCTTTGAACCTCTCTCACGACACGCCATTCAACAATTTGCGAATATTCTCTCGGCACCGTATTCGTATGCGGCATTGGCTGGTTCTTTTTCGTGTGTTCAGTTTGATTCTTATGGTGGAGTGATTGGTCAAGTCGATATTCAGAGTACAGCATTTCCTCATCGACGTGCACGATTCCATGCTCAATATATGATTTACTATAATAAGAGAGAATATACAGCAATGGCAGAGGATTGGATCAATGCATTCTATGAAAAAACAGCTCCATTGTACCTTTCCAGATTTTCCTATGCTAATTATTGTGATTCTTATCTGAAACACTATGAGCATTCGTATTATGGAGAGAATATGTGGGAATTACGAAAGGTGAAACAAAAGTATGATCCCATCAATTTATTCCGATATGAACAATCCATTCAATTTCCTTAAGAAGAGAAAATATTGAGGTGGAATCATCCACCCATACCCTACCTACATCCATACATGACTTGGTATGTAAATGACTCTCATATATTTAAAGGCTTTGGTGCATCATGGTCATACAACATCGTTAGCGCTTTTATAAGGCTTTGTATGAAGACGAGCATAAAACAACCCACCCACACAATTTTAAAAATGCCAACAACAACGACCTCCCAGCATTCATCCTCTCAACAGCAACAACCCTTTATTCGGGACGGAATGAATCAACAACAACAAGCACAACATATATTCTCCGAAGAAGAGGAAGAAGAAGACATTGATGAAGGTATGTTTACATTGAAGATGACTGCAAACTCTCTAACTGTATTACCCATGCAGAATATTCGGAAGATGAAGAAGAAACAAGTATTGAGGACAGCAGCCTGATCGAAGATAGTACAACCGCTGAAATGGTTTTGAGGAAAAAGTTTTGGGCAAACTTTGAAAGAAAAAAAGGAACTCCTGTTGACTCTGATATATATTTAATCATTGACGAAGTAAATGACAAGAGAGTTGATCTAGATCTGTATATTCAACAACTAGACAAAATCAAATGTATCAAACGGTACACTCCATATACAGTGGTAGTACATCAAGCAACAAACATTAATGTACCACATGAGGAGATAAAAAAATATGGCGAACATTCCATTACGGTGGACTATCGGTTATCAGGAACATTATTTCATACTCATACCAAAACGTGGCTCAGCCGTACATTTTATGGACCTTATGTGGGTAGAAATTTTGTGAAACAAGTGAAAAAAGACCATCAGAAAATTCAAGAAACAGTGGAGTTTGAAATGCCTCTATTTTTCTATAGTAATATCGTGGATGAATCTGTTGTACTTGTCGTAGAGGTCATTACAGCATTTCGACAAAAGTCAACAATTATCCATGAATTTTCTTCCGCCTGGACGATATTAAGAATTTTTAAAGAAACAAAGTATGGCAAGTCCATCGACACCATTCCTAATTTGATGTCATACGTAAATGATGAAAATTTTAACGTTTCTAGAGAATGCTTTACATTCGAAGGAACACCTAGGGTATTAAGCTTTGTTGCGGAGCCTCTCGAAGATCAGTTGACAAAGAAGACATACACAAAAATAAGCTACTCCTTTTTTACTCACCCTGAGTTGAAAACTAGTGGAGCTGTAAATTACTTCAGACCTAACGACATTGTCAGCCAAAAAGATTTTATTCCTGGCATCAAATTTAATTCATCAAAATATATTACGGATTTGGTTAATCCAAGACTGTCCGATGATTTTCAAGCAAACATTGTAGATATTCAATTTACCTTACCAATTCAATTTGAACAAAAAATTCTAAGTTATATGAAAGAGCAACGTAGAAAAGAACATGGAGAATATGTCAACAACGAAAAAGAGGTGTCCTTGGTGAAAAGAGTGCTGAGTATTGGCTCTCATAACACTTTTACGTATATACAAGGGCCATCAGAGTCAACCTTGGTTCCGGTTAAGAATGACATGTCAGGAGAGGTTGCTAGTCTGAAGCTTGACAATAATTTTTCCTTTAAAGTTGTGAAACAGGAGTTGTGTGCCATCATTTTCGAAATCCACTATATTTTTGAGGTGCCACTGCCTCTTGGAGAATTCAAGAGATCATTTATGGATAAGTTAACAGGAAGCAACAAAAACAAAAAGACCGTTCCAGAAATTGACTTTACAACACACAGTGTTTCTGTTGGGTATTGCTTATTTTTCCCTAACTTTAAGAAGTTTGGAAAAATCGAGCAAGAGATTATATGTGCTCCTGGTCTGAGTTTTTTAGGCAAGCCCATTTTCAAAGCATCAAATTTGGTGACAGAACAGCAGCAGGATCAAAAGTTCACACTGCAATTCAATTACTTTAGCATTTCAAACGGTGATGTAGAGGAAAAAATTGTGAAAGAAGAAAAAAAGAAACTGGTCAAGCAACAATCCCTTAAAGACGAAATTCAAAACACATCCCCACCTCCTAAGGATGATGTTGGTGTAAATTCCTATCCATCTGTCGAAGAAGATGTTGCAGTAATTCCAAGTTGCCCTTCAGAGCCTCAACCTATTGAAGAACCCACAATAATAGCGCCACCAGAAATTACAGAAGATGTTCTCCACAATCAACAATTACCATCCACTCCTAAAAACAACAAAGAACAATCAGATTATGTTCTAGAACAACTAAGCTCTCCAGGGTCTGATCTTGATGCTCTTTCAGCTCCCGCTATTCATCATTACCATGAAGAGAAAATTGAGCTTGGAAGATCTAGAGATCTTACAAAAGAAATTAAGCAACTTATGAACAGCCTAAAATTCAATGTTGTCGAAGACATGAATGGAAGAAGGCTTCTCAGTGATGGGAAAGAAATAAGCGTTGACAACAATATGGAACTGCAGTCTCACAACATGTACATCAATTTTCTTTCTTTTATTCCGAAAAAGAGTAAGTTTTTAATGTTGTAACATTGAACAATGTATCATTGTGTATAGGCCATAACATACCAAAATCTATTTACTTCAAATTTCAATTCTTCACATTTTCACAAACGGACACTAGCAAAACACCTCTGTATTTAGTTGAACCAACCTCATTTGAAGAGAACGAAGTTTATGCCCTATCTTTAAAAACTCAAAATGATTACAATGGAAATTATGGATTACAGCTGAAATTTACGCTTGACCCAAGTACTGTCACAGAAGAAGAGTATTCAAAATTTTTGTCATACCTCCATAATGATAGCTTATTTATCAATATCTTTGACAATGAATCTAGATTCAGTTATGGTGTATTTAGAATACCTCTGGCACTGTTCATGCGAGATCCATCAGAAACAAGTGTACAACAAACAAGAGAATATGATGTTATTGAAAGCTTAGAAAGTATAATCACAGACGAAGGTTTTACTGAAGAGCTAAAAGGTACTCACTTGGGAAAGATTGTTGTAACTGTCAGTAATGTAGGAAAACCTGCTGAATCACAGATTAACAAATTTGTGAAAGCCAAACAAAAATATGAAGCCACATCTCGTAAGAAGAAGTCCGATGGGCCAACTCTAAGTCTGTATGACCAGTATAACTTTTTAACCAGTCTCAAAGAACCATCGTTTAAGGAGATTGAACAAATGAACAACCAACAACTGATTGAGTATTGCTCTGTAAAATTACAGAAGGTAATGGAATATCGTAACAAAGAAAAGACGAATGTGATTCTTCACAACATTGAGGAGATGCTCACTTCACACAAAGTCATCTATGCATCTTTTGGGGAGCTAGAGTATTTTGAAATTCCTTTCAAAAATATGTATACTAAGGATCATGCTTTCACTGTAGAGATTGAGCAAAAAGAATTGAGCTTGTCAATGATTGTAGACGAAGGCGAAAGGTTATTATTGAGTGAATTTCAACAAGATTGGAAATGCATTCAATTGCAGTCTCAAGGAAGTTACGCCTATAGGTTCTCATTACAAAGTAATGCACAAACCCAACTTCCTTTCAAATTTCAAAGCTTTTCAGATATGGGAGAAAATAGCAACGTCGAGGAAATGCGAGTTGTGGTGAAAAATAGTTCTGGCTCAATTTTAAAGATTATCAAAATAAGAGTGGTACCTAGAAGCTTTGTCATTCATCAGAATTTTGAATTTTATCATCCCGTGACTGAAACTGTCGGACGAGTATCATACAAAAAGAAAGTCAAATACTCTCTCACAGAATTTGGGCATGAACATTTGCATGCCGCTAACATTTTTGTAAAAACCAATGGCAACGTTTATGCCAGCACGAGTTCCTATGCAAACGTAAGTATTTCTTGATGGCAACTTTCATGACCTTTTTTGCAGAATTCATCATTCATAAGCATTGATTTAAAGTCCACCCTTGTCAATAATACTAAATCTTCTGGCCATGTATTGATATTTGGAGATCAGTATTTCCATAGATTAATAGAAATATGGAAAGTGGTTATTATACCTGTACAAACATTCACATTTGACGCATTCATTGGTCAAACGAATTATTCAGAATTCCACATTCCAAAACTTTCATTGTCAAGCGACGCATATGTTCGATGTGAGAAAATAGATAACGAACATATTGATTGCTCTGTCGAGGACGAAATATTGCATGCCAAATTTACAACCGAGTTGAATTCGGAAAGAGGAACTATCTACTCCATGTTCCATATTCTAGAAACAACTAATTCAGTAACAAAACTACTGGCAAGATATTTCTTTAAAATTAATCTCCAGCAACAAACACCCTCAAAATCCTACAATCACATGATTCCCATCAACTCCACAGAAAAGCTAAAACTTTCATTTGTCAATGCGGAGCCAAGAACTATTGACTATACGATTTCCTCTAATCATCCTGAGCTGTTAAGATTTAAGGTAGAACAGGTTACTCTTGCTCCTGGACAACGACATGTGATATATATGAAATTTTTCCCTTGTTTCACAATAGGTTCTCAAGAGATATTGCTATACATTAACAGAAAGGAGGATAACCAAACAGTTAAGTGTCTAGGTATTAATGTCAAGTATCAATAAATTAGTCGTATTTGAGAGTGGACAAGAATGCATCAACATCTGAATGATCTTTGTCTGCCTTTGTGTTGTCTTCAAATAGTGTTACACACAGGCCAGTATTGTCTTCGATTTCAAATCTTTCTCGTTTGCGTTTGCCAGTTGTTAAATTTTTGGCATGAAGTGGAGATTGGAAAAAGAAGGATGGTGAATTGAAAAAATCATCAGCTGAGAAATTTGGTTCAGCTGTCGACGTGCTATTTGGAATGCTGCCAAATATTTTCTGCATGGTCGTTGGTGAAGCTGTTGATTGGCCTTTGTGACGAGGTGTCTTGGGAGAAGATGACGAAGGAGTAATCTCCATGTTTCCATTGTTCTCTTTTTGATCTGAAGATGAGTAATTCGTGGAGGCAGGTGTCGAAGAAGTTGTCGAAGGTGGAGTTTCAATAGGATCTGGAAGTGTAATTGGAACTGTGGTGCTAAAAGGAACTACAGTTGGTGGATACATTGGAAATGGGAAACATGCATTGATTGGAGGAGGTGGATAAAGAGGAGGTGGAAAAGTAGGTGGATGACATGTTGTGGAAGAAGATGCCTTCTTTTTTTCTACAGCCTTACTCGTTTTTGACTGTTTCTTTGTCTTTGTTCCATTCGTTGTTGTCGATGAAGTCTTCTTTTGTTTGCTCTGCTTTTGACTTGTGACAGTCACTTGAGATGCAACAGAAGCTGCTGACACACCTGAAGCTACTGAATGATTCGTCGACGAAGAATGAGAAGAATGTGAATGAGGTGATAAAGCACCACTAATGGCATGAGTGGGAATCACGGTAGATGTACTTGCTGCAGAGGGAGAAATGGAAGGTGTTGTACAAGAAAGTGTCATGCCTGAGGATGAAGATGTGGTGGTGTTGTTGTTGTTGGCAGAAGAGACTTGTGTAAATTGAGTAGTAGTAGTAGTAGTGGTGGAAGTGATATCATCACTTTGATTGGGTAGACACGTATAATAGTGATGATGATGACTTGTGGTTTGTTGTGATGGATACTCATGATATACATTAAATTGTTCGTTGGAAACACTTTCTAATAAACTGGTCATGGCTTCCAGCAAGTGACTCACAGTCTGTTGTTTCTTTACATCTTTACAAATGGATTGAACGAGAGCTTGTTTGTATGCATTTTGTTGTTGTAAATTAGAGAGCTGTATATATTCAGTGAGGATTTTGCTCAAACCTTTCAACTGAGAATTCGTATCAAAGTCAGCCAATATTTCTTTGGATTCTCTCTTGAAAGCCTCATAACTCTCTGTAAAATTCTCTTCTCGCAAATATTGCAAGACAATGAAAGCGACATCACTCCGCGATACTAATTGTGTGTTGGGATCTTCAGATTGATGATGTTCGTCGTGGTGATCGGCTTGATTGGATGATGGTGCAGAGGAGGACGGAGTGTAACGAGCATGCGAGGTAGGAGGAGGAGGCACAGCAGCTGTTGAAGACATTTTTTTGATTTTTTTTAAACAATGGTTTTAACGCACGTTTTGGGCGGGTAATATTTTCTTTTGGGTTGTTACATTCAACTCGCTTGAAGGCTTCGGTGCTTTAATCTTGTTTGCTCTTTTTCTGTTCTGGCTCTTCAACATGAGTGGATGCTCTCAGAGAGAGTTGAGCCATCTTCAATGCACTTTCATAAGATTTAGCTCCTCCAATGAAACCAGAAGCATGTACAAAGACACATCCAGGAATTCCAGACTTGTCACTCAATTCTTCATCTCTGATACCTCTCCAATCTTTATGAAGTGGAATTCTCGATGCAAATGATTGTTCCTCAACTGGTACTGCTTGTACTCTCCAATCTCCTTTAACATCTTTAAAGAGAGCATATTTGATGAGACCTTTCACGTTATATTTTTCTTCCAAAACGAAAAGATGTTCTTTCCATGGACAGAATTGATCCACAACAATAATTTCACCTGAGGGATCAATGGATTCTCTTGCTAAGAATGCCTTTTCAACAATGGTATATGCTGGAAGCCATTCATTCACATAAATATCCACACTGTCAAGGAATTCAGAACGAGTGAGTTCAATTGCCTTTCTAAAACCAATATTCTCATCACTTGGTGCATTCCATTTGGGATTGAGTCGACCCACACGATGTGGAAGAGCTGTTGTAATTTTATATTTCAATTCACCATCGGAAATTTCAACACCATTATCATTGGCCTAACATTTGATATTTCAGTGAATGTTATTTGATATTTCAATGAATGGATGAATGTTCCAATGAGAATTGTTTTTTGAATTGCATAAAAGTTCCAAAGACAAAAAAATTCATCATATTTCACAACACCCATCGTTCCAATGTCGTTCCGAGAATTAAAAAAAACCACAAATAACCTCTACCTACATCAATATGCTCAATAAAATTTCCATAAACTCTCAAATAAATATCATCTTTTTGTTCCTCGGTTGCTCTATCTCCAATTAATTCTTCTAAAATTTGTCTTCCGAAATGTTTGTAAATGAGACCAGCACTGGATAATCTAATTTTGGTAAATTTATCCAAATTCAAAGTATCCTTAAAACTAGCTTGATGATGATCGTATCTATGTCTTGCAGGATCATAAACTGCTCCAACATCAACAATAATATCACACTCAGCTAAAATTTTTTCATCTCTTGTTCTAATCACAACACCATCTTTGTATTCTTGTAATAAACTTAACAGACCAATAGCAAGAGATTCATCACAATGAAAGGATCCACTGTGAGTACCAATTTTCTTTGTTGTTGGCTATGTGTGTCATTATTCATGTATCAAGATTAAATTTAAACATTTTAAATAATTATTTAGAATTATTAAAATGATTTTTTACATTTTGAAAATGCACTTGATCGAATCCGAGACACAAATGCTCAACAACAAAACGTACATTCAAATTTTCTGGTATTTTTGAATAGACCATATAAACGCTGTTATTAGAGATGGAGGTCATTCTTTTGTGGAAGTGTCTGCAATATTGTTGGGAAGATGAAGCGATGAATATTGATGATGGAAGGAGATGGCTTATTTTTTTAACACGAAGAACCGACAAGTTCATTGACGAAAGCATTATTTTTGAAATGAATTTATTGACTCATCTTTGGCTTTCTTGAATTAATAGTTTCGAAAATGATTGGAAATAATACAAGTTTGGCTGTGGCGAAAAGGTAGCCATTGTATAATGATAAAACGCCATCGTTTCTAATCTCCTTAACGATATTGATAATATTTGTATGTTCAGGATGGGATTTGGAGAGCATCCTTCTGTAAATGGTTTCAATTGGATGACTGAAAAGCAAAGCAACCATATTTGAAATTAACAATTGTACAACTTCGTAATTCTTGTACGGTATTTGCAATTTCGGTATTGTCTTATAAACTTGTTTGTAAATAACATGGAATACCACTATCTCAGTTAATTTTGTTCCAATTCCAGTAAAATCTAAAGAATTATAAAATGATTTTACCATACTGAACAAAGGTCCATTATTCCACCAGTCTTTCACTGTTTGCCACATGGTTTTTGAATAGACTTGAACAGGAGGCAACGCCTCTAATTTTGTAACACCAGATGACAATGATGTTTCTTCTTTAGAAAGACTTGTAAAGTCCAAAATCATTGCCCTTGATTGCTTCAAATACATTGGATATAAAACTGTATTCAATATGATCTTTGAAATTAGAAAGGATCCCACATTGTATCTCTTTAGAATTGGCGACAGAGTTTTAATTACAATCCATCCAAGCAATGATTGAGGCAATGCAAGGTACAAGTGATATTCTATTCCTTTGAAAAAAGCTAAAACTCCATCTGTTTTAATTATTTTCCAAATATTGATGTGGTGGCCATACACTTGCTGATTTGCAGCAATAACAGCCAAAGGATGCGTGCACAATCTTGCAAGACAACTATAAACCGTAACCCTCCAAAGCCTCTTATTGGTGAGGAACGTTAAAACGAGATCTTGTCTATTGTTTGATGTGCTGTTCATCACCGATGATGATTGGTTATGGTGTGCAAGACCTCCTCGAACTCCCGTGGATTGATGATGCAAGCCTGGCTTGAACATTTTTTTAATTAGTATGATAAATTCCAACATATTCATCTCCCCTTGAACAAACGGATAATTTACTTCAAATTACCAACCTGTACTATGTATGACACTGAATTTATCATGATGATTAGAAGAGATTTAAAAATTAACTTGTAAAAAATGCAACCAAGTTCTTCTTCCAATCCACCCACATCATCATTCGTTTCTAATCCGATAGAGAATTTGATTCAACAATTTCAATCAAAATGTAAATTGATGAAAGAAAATATTCTAAAGATGAAGGTAGAGGAATTGATCGGAAATGAAAAGGATCGAGAGAAAGAATTTATGAAAGGTTATGCTCAATTATTGGAGCTCCAAGCACTCCAAATCCAAATTAATTTATTTCAAAAGAGAATGAATGATTTGAGAGTTGAAAGGAAAAAAGAAATGGAGCTTCCTCTTCTGGAATATAACAATATTTCATGTGAGGCCAAATACTTTCGTCGGGATATAGCCATTTCCAAGAACTATTATTCGAGACATGTGGAAATCGATCTTCCCAACGAAGAATACTTTGTTAAAAAAGCGCCAAAGAGTTATTCACAAGTGTTGGCAGAGTTAGAACAACTGAAAGGAAAAGGAAATGCCAATCAAGAAGAGATCATGAGCAAGCAGCACCAATTGATGATGAACCGGTTAAAGTTTGAGCTTGAAGAGCGCGAATCTCTAGAAAAAGATATTGAACAATTGAAGTTAGAACAAGATAAGATCAAACAGGAGCAACATAATATTGAAAAATATATTAATAATATTCCAAAAAATCTCGCAACTATCAAGAAGACAATGCTCCAATTTGAACCAGCGATCAATCCTCTTAAACACAAATATTCTGATTGGTTTTCCACTGAAGAAACTGATTTACTCAAACAATTACCAACTCCTCTTTTCATTCTTTACAACAAGCTTATGGAATACAAACAAACATGTGACAATACGATATTACTCTCCATAGTTGGAGACACAGAGCGAGCAAAGCAAGAATGGGATGATCTGGAACATTCTACAAGATCAACAGACACTTCTATTGTAGAGGAGTTGAATGGGGAGCCCAAAAAGAAAAAGTTAAAACCTGCGGATTCTAGTAATGAATTGTGTGCCCTGTTTCCACTTTATATTCAACTGAGAGTACACCTTAAAATTTATGGTAAGTTAACAGCAAGCAGAAACGACGAGATAGGTTCTTACAACTTGCAACCATCTGTTACTCTAGACACAAACAAAAAACTGCTAATTGAATTTGGCTACCTTCATAAGAGTAATTTAGTAGTTGTCAATGAGGCAAAGAGCGCTACTTCTGTTCTTCCAACATTGATACCAGGTGATGATGGTGCTTATTCACCAAATATTAGTGTAATGTCTGACTATGATTTCCGCAATTTCGAGAGAGGAAGACCCTATCGATGGCTGCAAAAGATTTGTGGACTTGAATTTATTCCAATGAGAATTCCATCTAGCGATCAATCCAAAGGCAACAAACCAGAAGAGGACAAGGAGTACTCTCTCCATTATATTTTGAACTTTTTCAAGTACAAGCAAAAAGCAAAGAGATACTTACTGAATCAACTCAAATCTTTTGATAACCTTGAACTAAGAAGCGATTTTCCATCTTGCTTATCTGTACCTCCAAAACTTGAATCTGCCAAACAGGTGTTCAGCGATTACACCTCACTTACATATATTTCTACCATCAGAGTTGACAAGTACCTTTTCGAAGTCGAGATTTACATTGATGTCACTGAATATCCATTGAGAGCACCTCATTTCAGAAAGCTAACCCAATTAGAGCCAACAAACGACAGTAACGAACTCAATAATATTCCTGAACAGTTTAGAACCATCATTGAAAACGATTCAGCTGTGGAACAAATTAGACATGATACATCAGCCTCCAACTCTGCATTATATCAAATTGAAAAAGATGTGAACTATTCATTTGTCTGTGAATTCAACAATGAGCATATTTATCAGGCAGATGACCCTCAGAATATTGAGCATTTTTGCCTTATATCCCATCAAATACATCGTCTCATGACAGGTCTAGCAGTATTTGTTGAGACTAAGAACCCAGAATCAAAAGCCATAATGGTAAATAACGATAACCTGCTCATTGGAAAAGAACTATTATTGCCACTGCATTACGACGAACGAAGCAACTGTTTTACTCACAAGCTGCTCTAGGATTAAATTACTCATTGCGTTAATACTGTTCAATTTTCATTAGAGATGACAATTCTACTTTTTTGACTGTTGTGATAGCTCCTTTTCAAATTCAGCTTTTAATTGTCCACTGGCATCTTTCTTCTCAAAAAATTCGTCCATTATTAGTCCAATTGTTAGATATAATAGGGATAATCTCTGATGCACAAGGAAAAAAGTATTTGCATCACACAACGTAACTATTGCCATAAATCGTTGGGCATCCAAGAATGATGCATCTTTCTTTAAAGTGAAAAATTTTCCATCGTGATATGCAGTCAGTTTACCATATGGTAATTGAACGTTCTTGAATGCAACGTCTTTTGCGGCATACATTCTTTTATATTCAATGTCTTCAATCTTTTCCAATGGCATGACGCAGTAAATGGAGCACAGAGAAATTAAAGCATTTTCATTGCATGATAATTCCTTCCAAAATAATTCGGGAACTAAATGGTCCGTAAATTCATAATCATGTTTATCAAGAGGAGGTTCTTCTTTCATTGAAGGTGAAACTTCCAGCAATATTTCTTTTCTATTACTTTCGGAAAGATGTTTTGTCCACCACTGCGAGAATTCAGTTCCGAACTTTTTCCAAAATAAACAGCACTTGGCATATAATTCTTTTGTATTGTCTTCACCTTTAATAAAGTTGGGACTCACTGAACTTTCCTCTGCCGAAGTAGAACTACTCTTTGGTTGCGAAGTGGTTTTGTTTTGCGACGAATTTTTCATTTTTTATTGTTTTCTCTTTCTTGCGTTGTCATTTCAATTTGCTGGCACTTTAACGCATCTTCATTTATAATTTAATATTTATTTGACTTAATCTTCTCCAATGCTTTTTGCAACTTTTGGTGTGAAAAATTATAATATAATTAATAGCAAGGAAATTAGATGATCCGTTCAGATAAATACTTACGAAATTTTGTACACGTTTTCGTTCTGCAGCTGGACCAGAAACGTTATCAAGTCCGTAAGGTGGAACAATAACACTATCCATGACTAGAATGTCCTTTCCTCTCCATTTACATGGTAAAGTCTTTGACAAATTGTCGAATATAGCTTGAGCTTCTGATGATACATTAGATCCTAATCTTTCTCTTCTGTCGTGGATGGCGATTTCCTCACGTCTCATGATTTCCTCACTATCGACTTCTGGCAATGGAATTGATGTGTCCGCAAAGGGGACTGTATCCAAAAACTTTTCCGATGATGATCCTGATTGATTAACATGAGCAGCCTTTGTATTTGATACAACTTCAGCAATAGAGCCCACTCTAATAATTCTAAAGTTCTTTCGTGTTGATGAAGCATGTTTTCCCTCGTTGATGAATAGGGCAAGGAAACCTAACTCAGGATCAAAAGCAAATACCTCTCCTTCCAAAATATTTTGGGCTGGAAGTAATCTTAAAACCACATGATTACCAACATCCGTATTATCCAATGTTAATAATGGTGCTGATTGAGTATTGGTTGTGGTTGATACATCGGTTTGATTAGAACCAACAGCAGTTGAGCTCGAAACGGTTGTTGGTTTAGATTTATGATGAATATTTCTGTTATGATGATGATGTTGTTGTTGGTTACTCTGTGTTGTTTGTTGTGAGTTTGGTCTATTGACACCGGAAGAATGAAATGTTGTAGAAGAACCAGAGGTGTTGCCAGTGGTAGAATTGCTTGATCCGCTACTACTCGAGGAATTGCCTGCTGATTGCAAGGCTTGTTTGTAGCTGGGCGTTTCTCTTCCTACCAAAGTGGTGTTCTTCTGGTCATTTTTTTTCATTTTTTGTTGCTTCCAAATTAGGCGCATGGGCGAGCTTTATGTCGATCCTTACTGACAGCAAATGTTATCTATCGATAACCAATGATTTCCAAGAACATTTCCTCTTTTAACTTTAACGTGAGTTAAAGATACCAAGCTTGTTATGCAATGACACTATAAAATTTCTTCATTCCAGTTTGAAAATCAAGCACGTTGAACTCAACGTCAAATGTTTTTTTCTTGCATTGTGTCAAATTAAATGGAGACAAGTGCTTTAGCATCTCCAAGATCTCAATAACTTTAAAACGTTATATTCCATGCATTGATATAGGTACAGTTCCACTCCAACAATTCATTGAAAAATAGGTGTGTCTTTTCCTTAAGTAACGCCTTCGACCTGTCTCCACAACCGATATCCTTGATGGAAATATTCATGACTCCTTCCAATTTATTATCTAAATTCAACAGAACGAAGCCTGTACTTGTTAACAATGGTTATTTTCAAATCATGGTCCCATCAGTGTCCGAGTCTGCGTCTTCCTCTTCAAACGCTATGCTGGAGCTCAAAATTCAACAATTTTTTGAATACAAAAAAATATTATCATAACTCAACGATGGTACGTTATTAACATTTGCTTGAAGAGTTTGTCATCATCATTGGATATTGAACACAAACGGGGCCGTATACGGCTTGTCGCCAATGTTGAACATTCATTTAAATGGAACCCTCGGATGATTCCGTTGCTTTGAAACTCGTGACTTGATACCATAATAACAACAAACTATATAACAACAATAATCATGATGATGAACGGAAATGTTTACTTTTCGAATTTACTTCAACCCTTGATTTGTACATGATACAAACAACAACTTTACCATCAACAGGCAGAAGTAAACCCAAAAGCATACCCACTTGCTGATGATGATCTCACTGTTTCTATTCTTGATTTAATACAGAGTGCTCACAATTACAACCAAGTCAAGAGAGGTGCCAATGAAGTTACCAAGGCTGTGAACAGAGGTATCGCTTCTTTTGTCATCTTGGCTGCCGATGCTGAGCCAATTGAAATTTTGATGCATCTCCCAGTGTTGTGCGAAGATAAGAATATTCCATATTGTTTTGTGAAAAGTAAGACTGCTTTAGGACGTGCTTGTGGAATCTCTCGAGAAGTTATTAGTGCAACAGTGATAAATAATGATAACAATGCTGCTTTGAAGAAGCAAGTCAACAGTTTGAAGGATGCCATTGAGCGTATTATTGTTTAATAAAACTACCTCTAAATTACTTATCAAAAAGAGTTGTTTATGATAGAAAGAATTACACTATTTATGTGAGGACGATGAGGGTAAAGGTTTAAGACCAAGTTGACAAGCTTCTAGTTGTTCCTTGGTCAACTTGTAAATCTTGGGCTTTCCTGAAATGGGATAAGGAAGAAAGAGTCTACGAGGGTTGGCACAAATAAATACGTAATCAGAGTCAGATTCTTGTTCCTCACTCGGGAACCGTTCTCGGTATTCCTCACTCGACACACAATCAATTACGTCCACACAACCTACAATGACACTTGTCGGATAGTGTTTGGGATAACCTTGCATTCTATTAAAATTGGTCTTGTAGTACGTCTCAAGTTCTTGAATGCTTTCATCAGTTGGTTGTTCAGCTGTACTTGCAATCCACAACCGTCCTCGATGAGCTGTATTCCATGATCTCCCTTCGTGTCTTTTAATGCCATAAACAAGAAGTGAACACCAAGGTTGATGCATGGAGAGGCAAAAACCTTGATCATCCTCATGTGTGCTTATTGGTTCACAATATTGAATGATAGGTTCAAGCCCATCCACCGTATCTGATGTTCCTCCTTGACATGTGGTGCTATCAGAAGAAGACATGTCACATGCTGGCTCATCATCTTCAATATAATATTGATTTTGTACAACTCCACCAGATTTGCCTTCAACAACCGGGATCACGGTTAGCTTGTTCTTTTTTTCCTTTGATTCAATATATTTGAGCTTGGTGACATCTAATAATGCAGATCTTTGGGTTCCAACAGATGATCCTTCTCTCGTGATAACATTTTCCATTTGAGAAGTATTATTCTTTGGTGTTGCCACCTTGAGACTTTCCATTAATCTGTCAATTTCCTTTTGTGTTTCGATTTGATGAGATTCATCCAACAGAATTCTTTTTCCAGCAAAATCAAAAGTGTACTTCAGAGGGCCGCTTCTGTTTTTCAATTGTTCCTTCAACTCTTTAATTCTTTCTTCAATTTTCTCACGTTGTTTCTTTTCTGAATCAGAAAGCCAAATATCTTTTGATGTAGAAGAGTTACCATACTCGGCAGCTTGCTCATCAATGACGGCTGTTGTTTGTGAATAATTTTCATCCCATCGTAACAATCGATTTCGCAATTCCAATGCTTTTAAATAATCTTCGTTTCCCTTCTTGTTTTTAGAAATATTAAAATCATCAGCTGAATTATAATATTGTGTTACAGCTTCTGGTGTTATATTCGTTTGACAAAAAGAGCATGGACCAAAGCCTTCTTCAGCCGTGATGATTTTTCCACAACAAGTGCAGTTGGTGAGAACTTTGTTGTTCTTCAACAAATTTCCAAATTCAAAGGCTTTGTTGATACGACTTAAATTTTCATACGCTTTATCGGAAAGATCATTCCTATGTAATTGTGGTTGCGAATGTTGAGAGCTTTGATTCGAGGGCTTGTGGCTGTAGAATTGATGACCCGATGTTCCTCCTCCCTTTTTCTTTGCAAATTTTACAGGGATGTGTCCAATAGCATCTCCAATCTGTTTGTAGGATCTCTCTTGTTGTGGTAGTGAAGGAAACTCTCCTTCTTTCTTGTTGGACATTTTTTTTTGTTGCAACTGTTTGTTCCCAAATTGAATTCAACTTTGGTTTTTACTTTGAAAATACGTAACACCGAAGGATCGTTCTGCTCTTCATTCCTACTCTTCATGTCTAATTTCAAGAATAATTTTACCATTGTTTTTGTTTTGTTCCATGTACTCGTGTGCTTTGGACACATCTTCCATTTTGAAAACACGATCAATATTGGGAATGAGTTTTTTAGTGACAAAAGCGTCCTTAATGTAATCCTGAAATTCTGTGAATAATTCAGCCTTGTATTGTGGAGATCTGTTTCTGAGGGTGCTGTATTGAATACTAAGTCTTTTTCTTAGCATTTGAGAAAGATCAATAGTTGCAGATGCTCCTCCCTAGTACCAATGAATATCATGAACACCAATTTTGATGATTGCATTTACAGAAATTATTAACGTACCATGGAGGCAATGCCAATAATTACAGCGTCTAATCTTGCAACTTGCACGTCTTGTTCCAAATAATGATTTCCTCCAATGGGATCTAATATATAGTCTATGAGAGGAACTACTTCTGTCTTTTCTGTCAACAATTCCGACAATCTTTCACTCCATTTCGCATGTTCTTTATAGTTCACATAGTGAGTGGCCCCAAATGTTTTACAATACTCCCCTTTGTCATTACTTCCACAAGTAACACAAATATTCGAGCACAATCCACTGAGTTTACAGAGCTGAATCAACGCTAGGCCAACTCCACTAGCACCTGCATGAATAAGAACATTTAAATCACCTTTTCTTTGAAATAATTTTCCAATTTTAAAAAAGCACTGAAATGCAGTAAGAAATGCTTCAGGAATGGCAGAAGCCTCTTTCAAACTTAATTCTTTTGGGCAATGGAATAATTGTGTGATTGGAGCAATGCAAAATTCAGAATAGCCTCCTCCTTCAACAAGAGCCATCACTCGATCTCCCACTTTAAAACCATTTTCCTCATGGCTATTGGTGCTAAATTTTTCAATATAACCTGAAACTTCCAATCCCAATATGGGACTACTTCCTGGAGGTGGAGGATACTTGCCATTTCGTTGCATAATATCAGCTCGGTTGAGAGCAGTGTAATACACTTTGATCAATGCTTGAGGAATATTATTATTATTTGAAAATGATGGTATTGGATACTCGGGATCAATGAATAAATCGGAGGCTGATTGAGTATTTGGCTCTGCCACTCGAACGACTCGCTGTGTGTGGTTGGACATTTTTTTGATTGAGATTTTAAATAAATTGCATATTGAATTAATAAATAATATTAAAAAGTAAATTGGCTCGACGAGTTCGTTTATTCAAAGGTTGAAGACATTTCATCATCATCATCCATGTTTCTCTCTTCATCAAAGAATTGGTCAATCATTTGGCAAATGGTGGCTTCTGTATAAGAAATGTATTTGCTCTTGTTGCTTGTAAAGTCTACATTACGAAATTGTTCTACAAATTGATTATAGGGTGGAAGCACTTCCTCTCTCGTCCTTTCTCGAAGTTGTTCCTTTAGCTCAATATCTCGAATACAATACGTTCTTTGAGTGGTATGAATTTCTTTGAGTTGTTCATTAAACTTGGAGAAGCGTTTCTTAATTTCTTTCTTTGGATATTTGCCGTTCTTATCTGGTTTTAGTTTTTCTTGATCTTTAAAGACTGAGAGTGTGTCGTCCCATGTTGCAACAATGTACGTATTAATATCATCATCTTTCAATTTCTTATATTCTCTCTGTTTGGATTCTGGAACATGTTTCTTAATGTTTGGATCTTGCAAATTTTTGAAAATATAGTAATGGTTGTTCAATACAAAAAGAGCAGCCAAACTCTTCTGCTTGGCTCCGTATTGTTTCTTTTTTTCCTCAATGTTATGCTCTACAGCATCCAATAATTGAAGTAAATATTTTCCAAAATATGTTTTGACTTCTGTGTATGAAAATGTTCGTTCTTTGTCAAATCTCTTTTCTTTAAGTATGTTCTCAATGGATGGATATTCGAGAAGCCTTCTCATAAAAGAAAATGCATTACTCGTTGCTTGATGTACCACACCATCTGTGGACCCCTTGATTTGGTTTGTGTGAATATTTTTATGGAACTCAGATAATAGCTCGTTAATATTATTCTTAAAGGTTTCGCTCAAACTACGGAATGCTTCCAAATGTTGAGTATGTGACAATACTTCCTCAAAGTTTTTGAGTAATTTGCTTTCAAAGTTTTCTAAAATATCTAACAGCACAAACACCTTTTCACTAGTTCTGTTCTTCTCAGCTAAATCTTCAGCTTGGTCTTTGAAGATTTTTAAACTAGGCGAAATGACATCTCCATAAATTTGATTTTTCTGAAAATCCACACCAACAACCTTCATGCAAATCTTCCTTTCCGATTCTAACAACTTCAAGTAAAAATTCATATAAAAGATGAATGGGTGTGATCCTTTCTTGTAGTATTTCTGACTTAGGATCATCTCATCATCCTTCTTTTTCAATTGCTTGATAGCATTCAAATTACTTGCTACTTGAATGGCTGTTTTGTCTTTCTTCTCGGGAATTAATACATTTAGAGCAGAGTTGATCAACTTGGATCTCAATTGAATGTACGTTTTTCTAATGTCAATCTTGCTTTCCAATCGTTGAGAAATCAATGCGAGTTGTTCAACCTTATCCGGAGGAATTAAATCGTTGGTTAGATCGAAATCATCTCTCTCTAAATCTTCTTTCCGATATCGGAATGGATCCATCACGACAGACTTTGCTCCAACGTTTTGCAAAATCAGCTGAAATTCTTGCTCCAGTATTTGGATAGCCTTTTGTCTCAACGATCGACACTTGTCTTCCAACTTATCAGCACCTTTGTAATTACTGTGTTTAGAAAAGAAATTAATGGTATCATCGTTTTGTTTCATTGCCGAGAGAAAGCCTTCCAAATCATTCATGACTCCTTTTTCCAGCCTCTTCTCAAATATTTGTGGTCGGTTATATTTCTCTAGAGCAGAATCAACCGTTTTAATGGTTTTATCAATATTATCATGAGCAACTTTCAATACATCAATTCGTTCGTTCATGGTTGTCATTTCCTGCTCTAGTTTCGAAAATCGGGATTCAAACCGATCCAATATATTTACAATTTGATCTTTAATTTGCTCACTCTTGTTCAAACTTTCTTCCAGCACTTTGAGATTCTTTTCAAAGTGACTGAAAGACTTGGCGGAAACATGTTGTTGTGATGAGGACATTTTTTATGGTTTCACATGTCTTCAAAACCTGGGAGCTCGGGAAAGAACAGGATGTCGAAGAGCAAGTTTATTGAGTCATTTACCAAGTGGGTTTATGTCTTTTGCATGGTCACGATCCACTTGATTAATTGGTGTATAAATCTTGGCTAAAGCTTTGCTTGCTCTGGTGAGTAGCTCAATCTCTTTTTCCTTGCTTGTTACGTTTTGTTTTTTCTTCTTGATGAACGTATAAAACACATATTGACTCAAAATCGTATAATCAAGAAACTGATTGCCTAAACTGCTTGCTAACCATGGTATCTTGGAGCTTAAGTATGATGAATCAATACTGAAAAGGAAAATACTCAACGCATATAATAAATTGCCGACAACAGAGCAAATAAATAACACAGGGTTCATACCTTCAGTTGAACCTCTTCGAAAATTGTTAACAATTTGTGCAATTCTGGAGCCCATATAACAAACTGTAGATACACAACCAATAACGTATCCAACAATGGCATAAGGCTTTACAGGAGGAAACTCCCGTGCGTTGTGATCTTTTTGTGCTGTTGAATCTTGAGCTGTTCCGTAGACCAATCTACTTGAAAGAAGTTTTCTTCCTGTTTTAATAGTTGAAGCCACTTCCTGTGAATCATGTTTCAACGGAGTTAATATCTTGTAAATGGAACATGATAGTATTATTAAAATTGAGAAAACGATGAAGAATGTTGAAAAGGAATATAGTTTTGTGTTAGGGGGTTTTGGGTTAGAAGGGTTATTGGAAAAGGCTTCTGAGGTCGTGGTGGATTGAGCAGAAATTTGAGAGAATGGTAAATGTGAATTTTCAGGTAAACTAGAAGCGGTAATCACAGGGTCTTGTATAGATATGATTGTTGGTTGGTGTGGTACGTCAAATTCAATGTGAATATTTTCTCCCATGGGAGAGCTTGTGTCAGAGGATGTTTCTTCTTCACCTTGGTAATGCAAATGAGCAGGCATCATTGCTGCACCAACATTTACACCAACACCAACCCGTGCGCTAACATCTCCCGAGATATGTACACCTTCTAGCACCTCTTTTCTTTTGGTATCATCCCTTATTTCCATTGGATGTTCATCATGAAGCGTTTCTGCATGAAAATCGGTAATGGTTATTATTTCTGGGTGTTCGTCATGAGCTTGTTTGGGGTTTACAACATTTGACAACCCTGATTTTAAATCCTTTTTCTTTTGAACATGCTTTCGCCACAGCTTTCGTGAATTATAGAATAAGTACTGCCCAATGAAAATAAAGTCCATCAGAACAAAATAAGCAGCCAATAAAATCTGGGTAAATAACTGGCCTGTTAATGCAGCCCCTATTAGATTACTTCCGTCTGCAATCATCCATTGAGCAAGAGTTACTACAGAAAGGCCGTCTGCATGCCCTTTCCTAAACGTTGTAATCACTTGTGGAATACCACCAAATAAATATAAAACTAAACTTAATAAACCAACATAGAAAGAGGCTTGTTCTAAGCCACTGTGTACACATTCTCCCATTACATCATACATCCACGGAATATAGGGCCGACCGTCGGGGTCTAGTTTTAAACAATCTCCAATGTACAAACTGGAGTTATTTGGAACGCTTGTATTGGTGTTGAGGTTCAGAGCTGCATTATAACTGGGAATTGATGATAGTATATCATGTGTGAAGGACATTCTTGAACTACGGTTCCATCGGGAGAAGACTCACGTTGAAGGGTTGGGGAGGAATGTTGCTATTTTTTTTGCTGAATTCGGATGAAGCAGTTGGCAAACCCATTTTAGGACATTTTGAGCAACATTTGTAAACTTTATTCCCTCGCTCGAGTAAAAGATTTGCTATTCCATTACAAACCACAATATCGATGGGTATGAAGTTTGATGTTATCAATCGCTGAAACTGAGCAAGTGGTGTTCATGAATGAGTGGAACATGAACCGGTACGCTGTTTGAAACGAACTCCTTTCCTGGCACAAAGTAACGACAGATCAAGTATATGTGAATCACAATTATGATGTGGTATTGATGTTCCATCTTCGTACTGAAAGGTAGTATCACTTACTTGGTTTTCATGTGACTATTTTCGGGTATCTGTGGAAGCTAATAATTTCTTCTTGTGAAAATCTTTTGCGTTGTACTTAAAAAAATGTCTTGTCGTCATGCCCTAACGATTGAAGCACTGACTCCAAATGCTCACCATCTAGCAAAGGAAATAATTGTCAAAGGATTAAAAGAACGTTTCGGAGAGGAAAATTTTGATGAATCTTTTAATCCTGATTTGAATCAATTACATGAAGCATTTGTTTATTTTTGTGTTGGCAATGTCCAAAGTGTCAATGATCACGAAGACTCATTGAACGATGAAAATTATTCTTGTACAAACCACTGTAACAACAATCAATTAATGATTGCTACTGGTGGTCTTTCACTCGATTTTAAATATTTTGGAAAGGATGAGTGTTGTTTTAGAATTGAAAGAGTTTCTGTTTTGAAAGAATTCAGACGAAGAGGATATGCTTCACAAATTGTTTCACATTTAATGGACGTTGCAAAGCAAATCGTTGCAATGATGGATCGTAATAATATTCACACAAGTAGTAGCGGCGGAGTTGATCATGGTTCAAATGTGTTTCATGAGGTGTATGAAAAAATTGAGAAATTACAACCCATGAAATTGAATCGCAAAATTGTGGTCGAGACTGATACTCCTTGGATTGAAGCTGTGGAGCTTTACAAAAAGAAGGGATTCACAGTGGTTTGTGAAAAAGAAGGATGCACCCATTTTGAACTTGATTTTTAATCAATTTATGGGACAGTTCAGCAATCAACAATCTTTTTGTTTTTTTTGAGGAATGTACTCAAAATTATTGATAGCAAAAGTTATTGCCCTAGTTCAATTTCTTTTTGTAAATCCTTAGTTTCCTTCCATTTTTTAAATTCTGTTGTTAACTCCATTCTAGAAAAAGTATCCATAATATTTAACATAATTTGACCGTGCAATGTGCTTTTCAAATCACTAAATAGTATTTGCAGAGCATCAGAATCGTTTTGAGCTCGATTCAAAAGCTCATTAAATTGTTTTCGAGCCGTTGCTGGAATATTCACTTCAAAAGGAGAAAATCGTTTCATAAATTGCTCGTCAATATGTTGCAAATCTTCCAAAGTCACATATTGAGAATTCTTTTCCAATTTTTCCAACTCTTCATACAATTGCAAATTTTCTACTGCATATTCATTCACAGAGTAGTCGCGAAACATTTGTCTAAAGGTTGGATCTGAAATAAGAATTTCAAATAATGGTTTTTGATTACTTTCTGATTGCAATCGAGTATATTTAGAGGATCCATATCGTATAAAATATAAGAGAGACATGGTCAGTTCATAAATGATCACATTTCCTCCCACTACCAAGTAACAAATCACTAAAAGTACAAATAACAGAGCTTTGGAAGCTTGTGTGGTTTTTTCTCCAAGGCCCAAATAGATGAAACATGCGAGGCCTGCCACGACAAACATGAGAGCCAAATCAATTCTCAAGTAAAATGGATCATCAAGGAAAAATTTGATCTATTGTGGCATGTTCAAAAATTCATCCAAAAACAAGTATGTGTGAATGTTAACGTTATAAAAATTTCACACACATATAACATTCAAAAACTTACAAATCCTTGTTGTTGTACCTTCTTTCGATTTGCAACTAAATCGACCACAAGACATACAATACAAATGAGAGCGAGTAGAATTACCAATGATGCAAATGGTACTAGTAAGAGTAATTCTAATTGAGTATTATAGGCTGAAATAGTTTGAACACTACTTTCTCCATAAACATTAAAGTAATAAGCTAGCCAACATCCAAAAACAAAAATCGTCACAACAATGGTTGAAACAACAGATACTGGTTTAGAAACCATAATTTTGTGAAATTTCATATTCTTGGAACTTGTACTTTGAGTACCCAATTTGTTCATGATCCAATACAAATTCTTTAAATAATAAAATCTCAATACAGTGACACTATAGGTTGCAAAAAATAGTGAAATGAAAAAGTTTGGATAAATTCCAGTCACTGAAAATGATGTTTTCGATCGAAAGAGGTCAATATATTGACTATTCCAAACTGGTTCAATAAAGTAAATAGGAAGAGCCATAAAACAGAGTGGCCCAATGAAGGGTAACAAGAATCTTCTTCTCACCGTAATATTTCCAGTCTTTCGATGAATAAAATACGTCAAAAATAGTCCCAAATAGAAAAATATACCAACAAAGATAATCAAATAAAGCATCACATCCTTATATACAAAGTAGCCATAAGCATCCACATAATTATAGTGATACATGGTGAGATAGGAATTATACGAACTGAAACATGAAGTGGGTGTGAATAATTCAGAAATGAAATCTTGAGAATATCTTCTCAACAGTGTGTACAACGCGACCATATTTACAGAGGAGAATGGACTCGATGTGTTAAAACTCATATTCAATTCGGGTGTGTTAATTACATGATCTAAATCACCCTTTTCATATAAATCTTTCATTGCATTCCAATAGAAATAATTAGTGTAGGAAATGGAGGGCATCTCGTACGCTTTTCCATACACAACTGCATTGATGTGAGCCAAGTAAACCATAATGGAGATTATTTGTTTTGAATTTGTCCATCCAAAACCCATGATAAATCGAAGTAGTGCATTGTGATAATCTCTCATATCTTGTCTTGCTGTGGAATTGTAAATTTTACAATCTGGATAATTCATGTCAAAACGTTCAAGAATGTCAATAATGTTATTCGTGATATCCTCTCGAATCACTTCAGAAATTTCATTAATTTGTTCAGATGTGAATAAATTTGTAATATTTGTAGTGATATCAATCGGAGTGGATGTTCTCAAAACGAGTACTGACTTGACACCATCGGTGGGTACTGCTTTGAAAATATCTCCAAATGTGACATTTTGTATTTGATCCAATGTCAATGAATTATTCACGTGAGAAGTTTGTAAATATAAATTATTCTTTAAATTTAACAACAAGTGATCCAATAAATCAATTTCCATGGTCACTGCTGAACGACTGGCCCAATATTGATCCAATAACCAATGTGTTTCTCCCATTTTCACATTAAAATTAGCTCCACTTAGAGATGTTTTCTGTTGTTTTACACTCACTCCATTCGATGTAGAAGATCGTGGTCTTTTAAAGTCATTCACTAGTTGTCGTTGTCGTTGTAATAATTCATTCATTGCCAATCGATGATTCGTACTACTACTACTACTACTACTAGTTGAAGTAGTTGAAGTAGTTGAAGTTGTGGTAGATGTCATCCATTCCCAATCACCATTACCCAGTGAAACAGTCAAATTCGAATCGACATAGAAAAGCTCTGCTGCTGTCCATCCAACCATCATGGCATCATCATCGACACTGCAACATGCTTGAGGCTCGACAAAGTTTTTCGCATATTTCGATAGGAATACGAGTAATTCATATGGATTGTTAACAGTTGAGAGTACTGAAAGAAGAGATTGATAATAATTTTCAACATTGGAATCTGGAACTCCAGTGGTATTGAAGGTGAGGAATGGTTTTGGTGTCACAGTGATTTGATGCGACCGAATATGAATAATGTGAATATAGTAATGAGTTTTGTTATCATCTAATATATTCCAATCATAGTCTTGGATGGCTTCGTAGTATTCTCGGATGCTGAGTTCTTCTATGGTGACATTGAGTTTCTTGTTGGTATTGGATGAATATTTGACAAGTTTTGAAAGTGAGAAATGATTCGGAAGGAAGGAAAGTAAAACTAGAAGGGATATTGTTGTTAGAAGGAGAATGAACTTGAGTGTATGAGAGGGAGAGGGATTGGTTCGTGAGATTGGTTCATGCATGATTTTGAGTAGGAACGGTTTCATTTTTTTTTGTTCTAAAAAATTGAAAGGTGACAGCTGCTGAGATTCCAAATAATCGTTGGATTAAGGGTCAGTGATGAACAACAAGAAGTTGTATACTCTACACAGAAACAATTTAAGATCCAATATTTTCAAATAAAAGAGCTCTCCATATGTAAGAATACCTAGTTTATAATTTTCAATTTACTTTACCACATTAATTTAGTTTTGGAGCAGTCGCTTTCCATCTCCTGTATGCCTGCTGTACTGCGTTGAACACAAGATTCAATTCACAGGTCAATAATTCAAGGTCTTGCGCATCCATATCGGTTTTAAGCAATGGTGATTGATCTGTGTGAACAATAAAAACAACCTTCTTGTACAGCTTCAATATTTCAGGTCGTTCTGCGGAAACGGGAAGCAACAACGATGCATGATCTTGCTTATTGGGATGATATTTTTCTACGACGTGATTTAGCACTTGTCTAAATGTTTGATTTTTTGTCCAAGTATTGATTTCTTCTTGAATTCTATCTTTTTCATTCTGAATATGAATTCGTTGAATGTCAAATTTTAACTGTTCCAACCTTGTTGTTTCGCAAGCACTTTCGGTTACAGTAATGATGATCTTACTTATTTTCTGCTCTTGAAATAAAAAACAACTGTATAAACTCCTTTCCATGCAGGGGTAAAAGATGCTTTCAACTTTGGCCCGTTTTCATGAAGGTAAGTTGCTTTGATTGAGGTATGATTAGGTTGAAGAAAGTCAGCATATTCGAGATATTCGGTAGGAGCATCGTATCGAAGTTTGATTTCAATGTTCTCCAAGTTCTTTAATTCTATCTCGTTGTCATATGCGTCGACTGCCGTAAAAACCATTGAAAGGGCGTCCATTGATGTATTCAATGAATCATTGTTAAAAAGAATGTTATAATGATCAAATATCGAAGGAGATATCTGGCACGTCAACCTGCTGTCGATTGGATCTGTCGAATTCAAGCTCGCTCGTTTGTCATCAATTGTGTAAAACAGCTCAATGTCATAAATTGACGCTTTCTTGCTGGAGAATGCAATGACAATCTTTGTTTCAGATTGTATCATGTCAATATTCAAGTGAGAACTGTCTTCACCACCGATGAATTGACCATTCATCCAATGAAATCTTGATTTCGATGTTACTTCAAAAATTTGAATTTCCAATAATTCGAAATTAAATCCGGAAAAGGATGGGTTGAGAAACATGTCACAGGTATGCACGTCAATGAATATCTGGTCATTAGCATTGGCGACTGCGTCACCATGAAAACAAAAATGGCTATGCTTCAAGCAAAATTTGGAAGATTTGATAGAGACAGGTATTCTCTTTTTCAATTTCTTGTTTCTATGACACTCTAGTTCAATATATACTCTCCACTAATATTGGTTGTGAAAGCAAAGCATGTTTTAGCTCCTATATGGGAGCAAATGTCACAAACTTGATGTTTTTTCAGCTGTTTGACATTGTGTTGGCTTAAGGTTTGAGCGATAAGTGTCGCCTTCCATATGGGCTCTAATGTTGTTATTTGAAAGTCAAGTATGTCATGGCTCAACAATGTAAATGAGACTGGTATTCCAGCGAAGGCCACAATTTTCACCTCTGATGAAATAGCGTGAGAATGGTTGGAATCATTTGGGGATTGAACGAGTATGCATGACAAATTCTCGTTCATTTGTAATTGGTCGTGACATCTCAGCAGCCCATAAAGAAACATGATTCCGAATGAAAGGTATGTGTTGAGATTTTCAAATGAAAAGGATGTTGGTGTTTGATGATTGGCTTGCAAAATTGTCAGCTCATTGTCGTGTGAAAGGTCAACCTCTCTTATTTTTGTGATATCTATTTGTTTTTGTCCATCTATGATTTCCAAAATTTCATCTTCTCCCTTGCGAAAAATGATTTTTCTTTGATGCGGTTTTCCATGCAACGAATTATGCTTCCAAACATTGAACTCGATTTCCTCAGACTGCTGCAACAACCAACCATTCTCTTTCATGCGTGTGACCATCTGCGCCAAACGTTGATTTAACACATCAGGCCAATCACAAGTGCTATCCAATTTTAAGGGCCCTGCCTCTTGATGCAACAAAGAGTGTCGAACACTGTTAGCTGATTCTGCTGCTGTGGAATCCCGTCGATGAGGCTTTGAAGGTGGTTTTTTGGGCATTTTTTTCTTCAAACCGGAAACAACATTCAATTCCAGCAATGAACCATCTCAATTTAATCTTACATCCTTTTAACCATCTCTATGCATAGCATGACCACTCTAAAATTTACGATCTCGAGTGGTTTCTGTTTGAACTCCCGAATTCTTTCGTTGATGAACAGCAATAACGAAAAGAATGATAGCGACAGCAGCAATTAACCCGAAAGAAACAATGAAATGAGCCTTTCTTCGTTGTTTAGCTTTGGCTTGTTCGAGAACGCCTTTCACTCGTTCGCCCATAGCTGCTTGTTCTACTTTCTTTTTAATATATGCTTGTTCGATGATAAATTCCAAATCTTGGTCTTCTTTTGATTTTGCGGAAGCGGCTGATGGTTGTTGCTGTTGGCTTGTATTATTATTCTGTCCTTCTCCTTTTGGTGATGAAGAAGCACCCGTCCGTAATTGAAAAGATGTGGAGAAGCATCGAGATCGGGATGATTCCATAATTCGGAGTAAACGCTTGAGAGAGTGTTGCGTTCTGTTGCAATGAACGGTGAGAGGAAGTGTTCGCCACACAGCCATTTTTATTTCTTGTCGAAACGCCTTCAAATTTCAATGATGGCTGTACGTGCGCTTCATGGAAGAACTTTGGTCATATCAAAATAACAAACTATAAGGCTTGAATATAACTCATGCTTAAAATCAGTCAAAGAGTATTCTTCCAACGGTGCAATGTTAAATTCAAATAGTTTTGACGAGGAACGTTTCTCCTGTTCCAGCAACCCACACAAATAAGCAAAGCAATCCATCCACTGCTGATTTCCAAATGCAGTTTCAATTTTCATGGAGCTATAAAACATCAGTTGAGGACATCCAAAATGATTTCTATCAATAAGGGTGGCAATGTCTACGACTTCCGTGGAAGAAAAGTCAAAGCTTAAAAAGTTCAGGGTACCAGTAAGTGTTGAAGGAATGTTTTCATAGGGATTGTCATTGAAAAACCTTTTCAGTCGTGAGGTCAATATAGATTCAATAATCTTTGAGTCTTTACATGGCCTGTGAAAACCTAGGGACGATAAATATTGGGCCATCTTATTGAAATCATTTGACAAGATTGTCACTTTCATTTGAATTTCCTCTTGAGTAAAATGCGAGGATGATTCTAAATCTGATAAGTGTTGGTAATAATTACAACAAAGAGAATGAAGCAAATTGAAAGGTTGTTCCTGCAACGATTCTTCCATTTCTTGGAAGTTCTTAATCATCTGTTCAATTAACTGAGATTGAGTTTCAAAACTAATATTCTTTACAAATATATTGTTGAGAACTGAAGCAATAATCTCTATTCCCGATTGATTTTGTTCCAGATATATCTTGGTGAGAGAAACAATGTCAATGAACTTATCATGATGAAAAGTTACAAAGTCCAGCATATCTTTAAGACGGACAAGGTAATGTACTTTCTTGTTCATAATTGCATTTGCAATGCTTTTCGTAGACTCGTAATGATGTGAAATAAAAGAAAATAATGAGTGGTCGCTATAAAAGGAAATAGTATGGTTGTATGGTTCGCAATAAGTGTGTAGTTCGTTGATAATACTTTCAAATATTGTAAAATGTGACACTGGGAATGGAAGCACAATGTTAGAAGGCAGTCGTTCAATGAGAGAAAATTTGTTTGTTAGTGAAACAGTCTCCAAATATATCCTCTTAAATATTAAAGAAAAAATGCTTGAATAGGACGATCCTATCAGAGACCATGAATAATACTTTCTCTCATTCAATTTTTCTAAAATCTTGATAAAATCCTCCTGTAAAATCTGATCAAAGTTTGGTTTTTTGTGATATTTAGCCACACAGAATCTATAATGATCGCAAGCCACTTCCAACAGTTCTGAATAGGCTTCTTTCCTGTCAATAAGCTGATTGATCGCTTGTAAACGGTTCTTAAATAAGGTATCACCAGAGACAATGGTATGTAACTGTTCAATTTCCAGTTTCAATAAACTGCAAGAGCTCTGAACAGCGTTGCGAAAAGCAAGAGAAAGAGAAATCTGATAAGCCTCTAATTCAAAATCTAAGGCACTTCCAGCATACTCATTGTCATATCTCATCTTGATGAGGAATCTTTCAAAATTCCGTATGAGGAATGCATTATTATTCGCCATTCTTTGCACATGAAAATTGTTTTTAAGGTTAAAATCCACTTTTTCCAAATATCTATCGAGACAGATACCCTGTGAAAATCTTGGAACGAATTCATGATACCCTGTCGAGCAAACCACTTTCCGATAGATGGTCAAAAAGATGGTTTTAGGAGGATCATCTCTCTTGATCAATCTTGTATGAAATTTAGTTTTTTTGGCCAATACAGCCAACGAATCTACATCTCTAATGAACTGTCCCATAGTGGGAACGGAACCATAACATCCACGATTTTTCTTGACATGAGGCCACAACATGATATGAATCATGAGCTTCCAAAACCAGTCGTTTTCGTGAGTCATTTCATAGATCGTTTTACAACTCAAAAATAAATTCCTGCATTCCCTAAAGTCTTGATCAAACACTCCATATGCAAGTACCTGAATCCATTCAATATTAGATAGTTTTAAAAGAACAATGTGTGCTCGGGAAGAGTCCTTCTTAAACAATCCTAAAGGAAGAGATGAGTTCAAATCTGTCTGCTTCTTTGGTTGATCATTTGCGCTGTTGATTTTCATTTGATTTTTTTTGTAATTTCAGCCCACGATCAAGTTAGTTCATTTTCAAAATGCTGTTGCTTGAAAGTTCACCATCACCTTGTAATCTGCTTAATTTTCCAAAATGGTTCAAAAATCCAGCTACCATTTGTGCTGTAGCGCTTTCCCTTCTCTTTGAAACAAAATGAACCAAAAGCTTTCCTCTCTGTTGCTTCCCATGAGCTTACATCATTTTATCGGAAGGCCATTTCAGTTGGTTCCAACTCCTTGTTTATTGATTGACGAAAAGGCCTATGACCGAAATTTAGTATTAATGAAGCATCTAGTCCAACAATTGAATGAAAAGGTCATGATCCGAGCACATTTTAAAGCACACAAGGTATGTTGCTCATGTTTTGACTTTTATTACGATCATCAAGTCATTGAAAGTGTCCCGAAATTGCAAAAGATCAGATTGAAAGAGGTGGAGCCATTGGAGTTTGTTGTCAAAAATTGAGTGAAGCTGTAGAAGCTATTAAAACGGTGGATGATGTGTTAATTTCCAATCAAGTGGTAAATGTGGACAAATTGAGAATTATTAGAAATATGAACGAAATTTCAGGAAAGAATGTTTCTCTTTGCGTTGACAATGAACAGGTTGTATCTTTGATCGATGATATAATGTCTGAAAACAATGAATCAAGCCGAAAGCTTCAACTTGTTGTTGAATATAATGTAGGTCAAAACAGATGCGGAACAAATTCGGAAGAGGAAACATTGAAATTAATCAAACATATAGAAAACTGTAAACACGTAGAATTTAAAGGACTACAATGCTACAATGGTGCCAACCAGCACATTGTTAAATACGAAGATAGAAAAGAAGCAGTGTCCAGAGTTGTTGAAAAAGTTAAAAGACTGTTAGATTATCTTTCTCAACACGGAGTTATTGTTAAATATGTGACTGGAGGTGGTACTGGCACTTTTGAATTTGAAGCATCTAGTGGAGTTTTTACAGAGGTACAGCCTGGTAGCTACTTGTTTGGTGATGCTGATTATGGAAAAATTGTAACAAGTTTAAACGGAAAGACTATGTTAGAGGACGAATCAAGCTTTTCGCAAAGTCTTTACATTCTTACCACAATAGTGAGCAAGGTTCCAAACACTCGAATTGTAGTAGATGCAGGGTTGAAAGCATCTTCGCTTGACAGTGGAGTTCCAATCATTGCAGACATTGAACAAAGGAAAATACTTTCGAGTTATAAACCTGGTGGTGATGAACATGGTATTTTTGAAGCTCATACAGAGAAAGCTCAAAAGTTAATTAATTCGCTCAATATTGGCGATGTGCTGAGATTAATTCCTGGTCACGTAGACCCCACTTTTAACATGTATGATTTGGTTGCTTTTTACAATCCGGATAATCACTTGATTACTCGAGTGGAATCAATAACAGCAAGAGGGCCTGGAATATAAATATGCATGGTTTAAAAATTTCAATCTGATTTCACACCATGTTCACTAAGGATTAATCTGTTTTGCACAACTTGATGCTTCCTTTGTCAGACAGCTTGGATGTGAGTGGAATTTCAACTTCATGATATCTGTAATAACTTTTAAGTGCGGACACAATTGTCCAAAGAAAATATCTGATATATCCAAAGTTACACAAGCTCTCTATCATAGTCACATGTTGTTCCTTAAAGCATCCCCACAAATAAGAAATTAAGGCTTTGAAAGGATATCCGACAAAGTTGAACAAATCCAGAATGGAGAATAATATTATTCCCTTATATGAAAAATTATTAGAGTTATAAAATTGTCGTGAATATCTCCAGTTCAATAAGCAAGAGTTGCTTAAAGCGAAATATGTGATTGCTGCAATCATTGACGCATGAATTACAGGAAAAGGTATCTTTTGAGGGAAGATTTTGCACTTTTTGACAGAGGTTCTAGGATTTAACTCCACAATAACTTTCTCAACAGAATCAGCCGAGTTAAAATCAATTCGAAAATGAGTGTCAAGCGCTTTCACAATTCGTGGAGTATCATTCAAATACAAACTCACATCGTTCAGAACGCCAGATTTCAGGTAGTTAATTTTTACGATGGGAATCTCAATTTCAGTACCAGGATACCAATAATGCTGGAGGATAATTGCATGACGTACAACATCTTCAGCAGACTTTGTAGAAGAACGCTCAACGCTGGAAAACATAGCACGCTCAAAGCTGGAAATTTTAGGGTACCATTGCTCTGAGAGCTGTTTGGTCACGGTTTGTTCCTCTAATGGTGTGTATCTAATATTTTTCATGTCAAAAACTCCGTCCTTAATTGTAGCAGTTCCTCTGATTTTCATTGGTTGTTCAAAGTTAAATTTGTTGGACAAATACATGGACAAATTACACTGGGCATGATTCATCAAAGGCCTGTTACAATATACCAATTCTACATCCACTCCTCCTCTCAATGTTTTCAAAACAATAGGTTTTTGTTTTTCATTGATCTCATTTGCAAGAATGAAAATAAAAGAATTTCTCTCCACAAAACTCAAGAGAAATTGCAATTCAGTGATGCTCCATCTCTTGGTTTTAAATTCAGAAATAGCCATTTCTTTCTTCTTCATTCTATTGGATGGTTGTGGTTTTTTTCGCTGTAAAATGTTCTTTGGAATAATTTTCAATTTATCCAAAAACACGTATTTGAATTGATCTGGAACACAAAGTAGGGTACAAATCTCTTGCTCAATATTATCATTCCTATACATGTATGGTAACTGTCTAGTTGTATATTTCAAAGTGTATTTTAAAATTCGTGAAAGTATTGCAATAGGTCCAAACATTGGTGAAAGGCTTTGAAATTGTTTCATCACATGATGAGTGAGAAATTCTCTCCAATAAATTTCTACATCTCGATGATGCATTGATTGTTGATTCATCCATCCATCTTGGCCCATATCCTCTCCTTGTGTTTTGCCATTTTCCATCGCTTCAATCGAATACACCTCAATTCCGAGAAGATATTTGAGAGGAATCAAAAAATAATTACTTAAAACCAATTGGAGAGGAAGAAATTTTGCAATTTCAATCACCATCTCGGGAGGAAGAGAGGAGAATGTCAGTATTTGTTGAGAAGAGTGTGTCATAGGTCTATTTTTTCTTTTTTTTTTGATCAGATTCGAATAACACATTCTTGCTCACACTCTTCTCAACAAATACTTGAAGGTTGTGAAATTAGAACTAGGAAAATTATTACAAAAATTAAAAGTTCACGTCGGTAAGTGTTGAACGTCGAGATATGAAAGTGATATGAATTTAAAAGCACAAAAAAAAATAATCCCCTTTAAAAGAGACCATGAGCCTCCAATCATCATGACGGAAGAAATAACAAATTTAAAAAGAAACTCTTCAAAAACAACTGAGGTATCCAATAATGATGACCATTCTATTCCGAGTAAAAAGAAAAAGATTTCATCATACTCGACCATCGTGAACAGACACAACCATCATGAAAATAACATTATTAATTTGGTCGATCCCGAAGAAGATATTGTTGCAAATTCTATAGTGAATAATCACGCTTCAAAAATACGTTAATATTTTTTGGAATGGACTTGGCAGATGACATGATCTTCCACATGATGGAATTTCTGGATCCTGAATTTATTTTCTGTGTGTGTATGATCGTTTCAAAACTGTGGTACGCCAAAACACTACAAATTTCATTTCGTTTGAAATTTTGGAACCAATCCATTTCGAGAAAAAAGTTACAAAGTTTAACGCATTGTCCAAATATTTATAATTTAGTAGAATTAGATTTATATTCCCAACTTATCGGACCTGCTGGCGTAGAACTCATAACTTCAAGCCCCCATCTGAGAAATTTAACTGAATTAAAACTGGAAAAAATCTAATTTCAGCACAGGAAGTCACATTAATTGCATCAAGCACTCATTTAACGAATTTAACGATACTGGACTTGACCAATAATTTCATTTCAGATGAAGGAACCCAAGCCCTTTCTCAAAGCTTGAATGTTAAAAATTTAACACATCTGATCATGAACCAGACAGCAATGTCGAATGTGGGTGTAAAATATTTAGCAGAAAGTGCCTACTTGAAGAATTTGATCTATTTGAGCTTGTCTGGAAATATCATCAATTCTGATGGAGTGAAATATATCACAGGAAGTGATTCTTTGAAAACATAGTAAGACTAGATTTAGAAAAGAATTTTATTACCTTTGAAGGTCTTCAATTTATATTAATGGGTGTCAACATGCGAAACTTGAAATATCTTGAATTGTCTGAAAATCGAATTGGGAGTGAATGTGTTGAATTTCTCTTAAAGTGCAGTAGTGGGAACAATTTACCTCAGTTAGAATATCTTGGCTTGTATGGCACTCCATTAATTAGTCCAGAGAGTCGTCACCAACTTCCTCGTTTTGTGGTCATTTAGTGGATGCTAATGTTGTTGTTACTTTTTAGAGATCATTTTGAACATTATTCCTTTTCCATATTTTGTAAACAAAATGTACGTGTGAGCATGAGATTCCCTTGGGGGGAGTACGATGGATTGAGTAAATGTTAAAATCAATGGACACAAATCATCCACAAATGCTTTAGCATTCTCCATTGTTGTCATGATAGCATTATTACGCAATAAATGATCTATATGATTACGTGTGGATTGATCTGGAATGCATGGCAAGAGCAATCTTGCAATACATCTCAGTATTTTAAATTGATTTGAAAGGACTTGAAATTCATTAAGAATAGTTGTCGTATCAAATATGAGTGCGTGATCCATAGAAGCTGCTCTTTGATATTCATCAATTAAAGACGAAGCTGAACATGAAAAAAATCTACTTATGGCACAATCATCAAAGTCATCATATTCAGCCGTTAATTCATATCTTTGTCGAATCAGTTCTTGAACCAATTCTTTGAGTCGAATGTCAAAGAGAGAATCTTGAAAAAACCATGTACCAGCATTAACATCATACATCACTTTTGGGAGTACTTTCATCCAATAAGATATCAATCCAAGAGTGGAAACAGGTGTGAAAGAGAATTCAACGGCATTGGAAAAAGAAACGTGGCGAGTGGGTATTCCTGTAACATTTACAGTGCTTGTAACTCTAACTTGCTTTGGAGCACATCGTAGGGCATAAATTTGTCTCATATCTGGCAACTCGCTCAATACTTGTTTCAAACTCTCCTTTGAAGATGTTATGGTCGTTGAAATAAAAGCAGCCCAAATCGATTCCTGTTCATGACACGTGAAATTATTAAAACTTTGATACCAATCTTTGCAAACCAAACTTAATGATCTGAATTGTGGAATAAATTTGTTTGGAGCGTCATGAAAATCAATCACATATGGTAAAATATTTTGAAGCCAAACAACAAACGGTATTAGTTGATGTTTGTTGTGTTGAATTAATAATATATTTGAGTTCTTTTCACATGAATTTTCGCCGGATGACGTCAATTCGAAATTATGCGAATTATTGTCTTTCAAATTGTTGTTGGTAGTCATCATTTGATCGCAATTCCATGTTGACATGGACGGCAAGCTCGTGTTTGGATCGTCATAAATTTGCTTAGCACTACTGAACAACACCACAGTTGGAATTGTCATGTGTCGAAGACATGACAAATTTTGTGTGACACGCTTGCAAGTTATCGTTGTCATGATCAACGTGCAACAGTTCGGTCTGTACATGATCTAATTAGATTTAATGATCTCGTTCCATTGTTCTGGATTAATGACTTGAGTTGTGTCAGCTTCGAGCAAATGCTTGGTTGACTCATAATAACGATTGTTTCTTGCGACAATTCCCCAGTCATTATTTCTAACGCCATGTCTTATCATTTCAGCATTGGCTTTACGAGAAATGGCTTCACGAATATAGAATGGCTGATTTGGAACAAAGTGATGGATAATGTGAGTAGCACCAAAGTTAAAGCAGAATAATTGGAATGGCCACATAGTCCAGTGATCAATAACTTGTCCTTGATAGAAAACGTCACCAGCAGGAACATCTCCGTAATAGTGGCAATATGAAGCCATCAAATTCAAACAAGCTTGTCTCAAAATGTTAGGCAACAAGATCAACACGCCCAAATCTCTTACAACTGGCCAAGCCCACAATGGCAAATACAAGACTGGATCAAAGTCAGTAATGGTTAAACCAGTAATTGCACGAACATAGCCAAAGAACAAATGCCAAAGAACAGCGAATGTGAAAACTGTTGGGATACATGTAATAACAAGTCCCCATCTGCTCCAGTCAGAACGGTTATCCTTTTCAATATCATCCAAAACCATGGTATTGGCCCAAGGAGTCAAAACAAGAGCAAGACGCAAGAAACCAAATGGTAGACCGCTTCCAATGAGTCTTTCCTCTAAATCATATTTGGATCCGGAGACTTGATGATGACGCAAGTGCATAAACTTTCTGTACCATGGAGTTACGGAGAATTTGGCAACGTAAATAAAGGCATACATGACATGGTGAACCCATTGATTGGTTTTAAAGTAGAGATTGTGGATGAGATCGTGCTCCAACTCGTGCAAGATGGAAGCAGGCAAAGCCAACAATGGAACAACCAAAGCCCAATGAAGACGACCTTGCAAATACAAGTAACCAACAGCAAGCATTGAAATTACACTGATGCTGAAAGCCAACAAGCCCAAGGCATCTTGATATTTCAACCACTTGTACTTTCTACGAAGACGAGCTTCTTCGTTCTTGATGGTGTTACGGATAGACTTTACAGCAAGTTGAGTATCCTTCTCGGACAAGAAGAGCTCGTTCTTCTCAGCATAGTCATGCTTTTTCAAGTACTCCTCGGTTGGAGCAAATGTTGGTTTGATAATCAATGGCTGAGCTGCGCTGTTGCGGTTTGTAGAGTTAGCGGGAGCAGAGCCGGTAGAGACAATTGTCGCAGTAGTGGATACTGACATTTTTTTCTTTTGAATATTCCTTATGGTTCAATTTACAACATCATCCAAGCAAGAAGGAATCACATCTCATCAAATCATCCAAATAAAAATTCAATGAGAATACAATGACAACAGGAAGTCCGTGCAACACCAATGTTCGTTTGTTGTCCAAATAAAGAGTAACATGAATTTTTTTAAACCACAATTTTATGTGCATCATTTAGGTCCGTCTGGTCGAACTACAAAATCAAAAAGCCAATATTTCCGATGTTGAAGTGAAAAATGTCAACTCCAGACATTCAACCATCATCTTGCATTCAATGATTAGAATTACTATTTATTCCTATGGTGCTGAAGAATCTGTGATCGAATACTTATCACTGAATGAGAAAAAGCAAAAGATCATGTGAATTTTGTAAAAATATTTTGACGGTATCGTTTTAAAAGAGGATCATCTGTACTTGCTTTCATTCATCCAACATTTCCGATTCTTGATCGTGGCTGTATTGGGAAGGGTTGAAAAATTCAAAAATTAATTTGGCTTTCCCTTTCTCAAGTGGGGTTCGATTCATAATTTCTTGAGGTGATTCGCACAGAATGACCTTTGAGACAGAACCCATTCCTTGTAACAAAACACTTGCTTCATAACTAGACAGACCATGAGCAATAGAAGAGTTGACAAATGCTCGCTCTGCAGTTGCTTGATGCTGATTCATGAATTCTTCTAATTCCTTCTCACTATGTTTCACTCGCTGCTTGCGTCCTTCTACCTTACTTAACTCTTGAATGCATTGAATCATCTTTGATGTTGAGCTACAAGGAAGTATTTGCGGAGGTCGGTATGGAGCAAGGCTTTCCATGTCTGTATTGGTGTTGCTACTGGCTGCATTCGGATCTTCTCTTTTTCTCTTACCATTGATGATCGATTGATGATCATGAGTTTTAAGGTACAATTCTCTATTTGTTTGCCTTTGAATGACATGAGAAGTAAGCATGTTTTGTAACATTACAAACTTTCCTAAATGATTTTTGTTGTTGATCATGACCATCACAAAAGATCTCTCGAATATAGAGCCAATAGAACAAATGTCCTCCAGAGTTGCTTTTCTAAGCTTTGAGAAATCTGTTACTTGAGAGGAATGGTGTTGAGTCATTGTCGGTTGAAGCTGCTCCGAGTAATTGGGAAGAATAACATTCTCAATTCCAACAACAATGAAAGCTAGTCTTAACGATGGAAAAATAATATCAGCGATTTGATCATCGTCAGTTGTACTTCTAATACCATAGTGCTTGAGAAGTTCATGGCGGATTGGAGGGTATCTCAGCTTTTGGTGTACAATGACATTAGGTTTTTGAACCTGTTGACTTTGCGGAACGATTGTTTTAATTTGAGGTTGAATTGCAGAATTGGCTTGGATTGATTTGGGCATGATATGTTGTTGCGGAAGTGGCTTGCTTGCAACTTGGTCCTTACGTTTTGGTGTCTGTCGTTCCTTATTGCTTTGAGAGCCTATTGGTTGCTGGAAGCCTCGACGTGGGTGCATTGTTTTTTAGTCAATCACGAAACTGAGCCTTGTGAGGGCAACTGAATTCACTAACTGTGGACTATTTCATGACAAATGGGTTTATTGGAGAGGTAATGTTCGTATTGGTTGACACCATGTTTGTGTCACTCATCCACTTACAATGAATCAAAATGGTGCGATGACTCTTAGATTTACTATTTAGAAAAATACGTCAGTTTCGTTGTGATATTGATATCTGTCACCCTCTCGGAGAGCATGTTTGTACTGCTTCTTTGGTTGCACTGGACCTTTAACACCTGTTTTCGTCTTGGCCTCAAATTCCAATTGTTCCAAATATTTTCGATATTTTGCAATTTTCTTTTCTAATTGTTTTGGCGTCCATTGAAGATAATTTCGTTCCGTGTCCCACGCCATGGCTTTATAATCATCTCCGTAGGTATCAATCAAATTTTGAAGCGTTTTTCGTTCCGATTCATGAACAATATAACATAATCTTGATTTAAATTGTTGTTTGTTGCTCTTGATTTCTTCCAATTTCTGGGGCTCTTGCTCGACGGGTAATGTCTCCTTTATTTCTTGCACTTCCTCTTCAACCATATTTGGATTGGCAGTCAAACCGACACGAGCATAGTTGAATTTTGGTGTCAATTCACGTTGCCATACTTTTCCGGTGCTACTTTTTAATTGATATTGTCTCTTTTGCTTTTTCTTTTCCTTTCGGATTTGTGTCTTTGTTCGGTGTTCTTTGATAGCAAGACCTCTGTGTTTGACCATTTTTTTTGAAGTTCCTACTTTTGTTTGAAAACGTTGGAGAAAGAAGCGTTCGAGTGCTGTTTTTACATGAACCAACAGTTGAATTGTGTTTATTTTACACGACTAGAATAGGCTCACATCATCAACAATCTAAAGGATCATGCATGATCCCGACTTCTTCTTCTCCTGCTTGACATCAGGAGGATACAAACCATTGTAGAGAGCTTCTTCGAACACTTCTTTTACGCCTTTGTTCTTCATTGCGCTGCATTCCATGTATTTTACGGCTTTAATACTTTTTGCCACTTGTTCAGCCATTTCTTTGGAGACAATTTCCGTTCCTTGATCTTTATGTTTTGCCATGGCCGTTTTGTCTTCTCTGATGTCAGCCTTAGTGCCCACCAGAACAAAAGGGCAGTTTGGTCTATGCTTCCTAACCTCTGGAACCCACTTGTTTTTGACGTTATCCAAAGAAGTTGGGCTGTCAAGAGCGAAACACAACAAAAAGACGTTTGCATCTGGATAGGACAGAGGTCTATAAATTGTTATTGAAATTGATAAATTTAAATCGACGTGGATCTGAATACCTACCGAATGTGGTCATAACTAATGAGGTTGCGTTAAAATTAAATTATATTACATCCAACAAATATTGAATTCAAACTTACTCTTCTTGTCCAGCAGTATCCATCAATAAAAAGTTGATGGTTTCATTGTTTACCTCAATCTCGGAGGAATAATTATCGAAAATGCTAATACCCAATTAGATGAGGATGTGTAGGCAGGTTGATCATCACTTACGTTGGAATATACTTCTCGGGGAATTCTCCTTTTGCAAACACGTGCAACAAACAGGTTTTACCCTATGTAATGATAAGAAGAGATACAACCGAATATGATTAACAGGGGATTAAGGCAAGCCTTACTAGTACCTACCACAGCACCATCACCCACAACCACCAAACGAACAGTCTTTGCTTCCATTTTTTATTTTAAATTTTTTGAAAATAATACCTTTAAATATCAAGGTGTAGCACCACGCAACAATCTTCAAATAATTCACGTTTCACATTCTCCACAAGATATTCTTTGAGAGCTACTTCTCCCTGATTTCATTATAAATGTTATCAAATAAAACTGTTGTTACGAGAACACAACCCAACACGTACCTTTTCAGTCATTGTGTAACCATTTCCTGCGAATAATTCTCGTATTCCACATGCAAAATATAAAAACGCTCTCACGTCAATCAGAGAAGGTTCTTCATTCTTCAATTTCTTCTTTTCCTGCATGCTCTGTAAGAATTTTTCTTCAGTAGACCAATACAACGGGTGGCTTGTACCACTTCTTCTGACTTCTGCAAAATCAAAATCGGCACGTTTTCTAATCTCTTCAAATGATGTTGTTTGTAATTCGTCAAAATACTTATCAAAGTAAGGAAATGCTTTTGGAAATAAATGTTTGACCATTGTGTGAACTCCATTCCAATCGGCTCTTTCAATAAGAGCTCCTGTCTTTTTCAAAAAAGAATCTCGTTCTACAACAATCATTTCAAAGCGAACATTGTGTGAAATCTTTTCCTTGACATAGGACTCTTCAAAACCGATCAAGTGAAGTATTTCTAAAGCTTCTTCTTCCGCTAATTTTCCATCTTGACAAGCTTTTGTCTTGTTGGGAGTGCTATTTTCATTATTTGAAGAATAAGATGCATTTGAATGGTCAAGACAACCGTTCATCCTCTTATATTTTTCAGCAATATGTAAAATTCTTTCAACTCCATCCTCTCCGAACATGAATGCTGTTTTATCCAAGGGATCATCGGTGAGCTGAAGAAAGGCTTCTGTATTCTCTCTTCTTCCTTTACAGACGCGACCGATCAAATTTTGCACTTGAAAATGTTCTGGAATCGACTCTGGATGATGAACCATGTGATAGAATTGTTGTGGTGAATCGATCGTGATTACGGAATGATCGGAAGAGAGTGATGATGATGGTGTTGGTTTTGACATTTTTCTGGTGTGATCGTAGTACTCAACTACTAAACACTGTTTCGATGTTGGAATTGAACCCATTCCAAACCTCAAGTATTCAACGATCGCAACAGATTAAACAGAAAATCATTGAAAGCTCATTTGAGAAATCAACTCAATGGAATCTTTTTATCATCGATGCTTGAATAGCCAACTTAAAAAGGAGAACTTTTTACGGGGCGTGGAAGTTGTTGAATTCCTTGTTGTTGAATTTGTGGTGTTGGCAGTTGAAGTTGGAACTGTACTTTTTGGTGTTGAGCTCGTTGTTGTGGTTTCATTCACATGATTCTCAATTTCATGCTCGCCATTCCATAGTTTCTTCAGAGTGACTTGATCCATTACCTTTTTTCCTCTCTTTTTCGCTAATTTGATAATAAAAGTTCTAGTGTCTGGTTCCAATTCTTCATGAAATGATTTTTGAATGTAAACTTGCTCAAAGTGTTCCACTGCAAAATTGAGACACATTTCTCGAAGAGAATACGCAGCATGTACATCACAAATAGTTAAGAGTGATACAATAGTTTCAAGATCAATATACTTGGAAATGTAAGTTTCACAAAATGTCTTGAATGGTCGAGAAGTGAAATAATTTCCCACGGCCAAACATTCACATGCATTGAGAGTGGACAAATTGGTGTCATATTTTCCCATCCACAATTCTTGACAAGGTCGTTCTCCACAGTACAAGAAGTAAATCATGGGCAAGAGATTTTCAACATTAAACAAGTAATTGTCATCATCGAATTCATTTCTATCCAACTTGATGCAATGATTGTCAGAGGAATTTTCTTGCATGTTTGACACAAAGAGACTTTTGAAGAATTCTGAAAGGGATAGCACGACTCGATGACAACTGAGTGAACATAATTCTCCAGATTTGCTTGTCATTTGAAGTGTACAATCCTCATACGTATTTGGTGTTGAGAAAATTCCATGTAAATGTTTTGCAATTCTACTTTTCCTAATTTTTGGATCCTCAATGTGCACATCCCCATAGAGAAATAATCCTCGTGTTTGTCGGTTATCTTTGGACAAGTTTTCATATTTAGATTTAGATTTTGACCATGTCAGATAAGATTCCAGTAACGGATCAGAAATTAAAGTTTCAGAAATGGTTGTTTGTGAAATTTGAGTTTTGCCATTCCACAACTGACTCTCCAAATAGTAAAAGAGTTCAATCATTTTTCTTGTTGTTAAGTTAATCAGTCTGGCTTTCTGTTGATCCTTCTCTTTTCGAGTATCGAAATGTCGTTGATCCGTGTATAAATATGAAAGATAAAAGCAGATGGAGTCATAAATAATTTTCAACCCATCTTCACAACCCCATTCTTTTCTTTGTTTGTCTGAAAGTGTACAGTCAATGGTCACCACAGTTCTAATCGAGTTTTTACAAGTTGCATCTAATTCAGTAGAATATTCTTCCTTACAGTGTTGTTCGTGTGAGTCCAAACCAAAAATTGCTCCTCGTAAGAAACGATTCAATTTTTTCGATTCCACTAATTGGAGAAGAGTTGGACATCGTGCCAATAAAATACATTTGTGTAAATAAATCTCTTTTGTTTGTTGAGATCGGTAAGACCTTAATTCCAATTTAAGATCACTAAATTCTTCATTGTTGATGAATTGAGAAAACACAGTTCCAGAATCCTTTGCATAGGCAATGGCTACAGTAGAACCACAATCGATTTGATCAATTTCTATAACAAGTTTCACATCACAATAATTTTGATGAAAATTAATGAACGTGATGAATTCTTCGATTTGAAATTCACTTACTTTGACCATAAAATGCAGTCACAAGTGTTCCAAAAAAGCATCTTGGTTTCGTTGGAGAGTGTCCAAGATTCTTGTCGCCATTTCCTCCCCATGTAAAAACTTCTCCATTCTTGGTTAGTGCAGCGCAAAAATAATGTTTGTTAGAACCCCAAAATGATAGACAATCTTTACATTGTGACACTTTGATAATGTCTCTCAGTCCTGGAACCAATGTTAATCTATTGTCACGAAGAATTAATTCACCACAATACATGGTCTCATAGTTCATTCCGAGGGAGTAAACATTTCCCAAACCTGTTAACATATATTGAGGAAGAAATGATCGATTTGGTTCGTTTTTTCTGATGTGAAGAACTTACTTGATAAAAACAATACATGATGCTCTTTCACTGAACCACCAACCCAAAAACCTCCATCTGGACAATTGAGCTCATTTGATTTTACAGGAAAATGTGAAGTATTTCCATGAAATTGAAGTGTTTGACAAGTCTCGTCAGGAATGTGAAATGCAAAGTCGTTTGTACAAAGTAATTGATGAGAGGGTTGAAATCGTCGAATGGTCGAGATGGTGTGATTGGCAATTACAGAACATTGCTTCAATGCTCCACTGGCTAAGCAAAATACAAGAACCATATTTCACACTCAGTTGTAAACATTCTCTTCGATTACATGAGAACATACCATAATGTATCACAAAAGAATCACATCCATCTCCACTGATTTTCACAATTTTTGAATGGTCTATACCTTTATCCTCCACAAATGTCATGAATAATTGATTTGAATCTTTTAACCAAAATAGCTTTCCAAGGTTTGATAAACCAATCAATTGACTTCTGTGTAAGCAAACAATCATTATTAAATGCTCATTCGTTGCTAAGTCTTCCTCACGAAGAGTTATTAACTCAGGTGTTGAAATGTTTGCAAATTCACTTTCATTTGGATCTTGTGACGTCGTAGATCCTGGTGTTGGTGAGTCTGTCTCTTCATACGATTTTTTGATTAATTTAAATCGATATAATTCTCCCCCATCTATTCCAAATGTAGTTCCCAAACATGTTTAAAAGTTCATACATTGTAATTATTGATTTTAAAATTGATGAAAAAGTTTCCAGTGATTAGGGTCAACACAATTTCACAATTCACAAATCATCATTTCGAAAAAATGTTTTATATTTGTTAAACACTCACCCAACAAAATATAGAAATCATTGGATCCACTCGCAAGCACTTGCTTCACAGAAAGAGGTAAAGCAAAATTGACAAGTTTCGGAAGGTGTGAATCTCCCCATACAAACACTCTTCCCATGACCTGTGGACAATGAAGATGTCTGGAATTTTTTTATCACAAGTTAACAAAAAAAAGCATATGGAACTTGGAACAATATGAAGAACATCTTAACTTGAGCCCAAGTTTGTTGGTGTATTGGTTGAATCTCGCCCCTTGTGTCACTCTTAATTTCTTTGAAAAGAATTGTTCTTGGTCTAGAATTAATTTTTGGCTTGAAGTGGTCCCTATTAACTGAAGGATCAATTTCAAAACTTCCTCAGGAATTAATTATCCAATAACAACAATAACGTAGCCATGAATCATGCGTCTTGTGGCCTTTTGACCACAATTATAAATCCGTTTTGGTTTTAATTTGTTTATTCCTTGCATTAGAAACTGGTTGAAAACGTTTCTGATCATCTTTTAAATATATTCATTCCAAAACGATCAAGTTGTTTTTCATGGGTTTTCTCTTTTAACCAAGATACTGCCGAGATTTTATGTCTTCTCCTTAAACCACAAAGTTTGTGGGCGTCCCTTTTCCATGTTTGGGGTTTTTTTGTGATATGTTCGAATGTCTCCTTATCGTATCAGGTGCATTAAAGGAGCATGGGTAAATTCTGACCATGGTCCACGTTTAGACCTCGACTTTTTTCATCTACAGATACTTGCGGGAATATAATTTTATTCCCATTCGAGAGTTGAGAATATAAAGATGACGTAATCCTCAGACCTCAAATGTATCTCAGAGCATTCAAAAAAGATTTCCTTCCTTTTCCAACACTAACTCATTCGACAATTAAAGCGAATCCATCGATTGGTCACTGTGTCCTCCTTCACAAGACATTTCGACAGAACCTTTGAGGCTCAATTTTACCTAAGTCCCTCTTATTGGTTTAACACTTTTTAGAGCACGAACCATTAAAACGGAATTCTTCCGAGGATTCAATGGTGAGGGCATTCGGACGCGGCTGCAGCTTGCTCGAACTGTTAAACGTTTAAAAAACATCTCGCAAGAGGTAATTTGAATATCCAAAAAAAAACAACGCAAGAGAACCATGTTGATGAACAAGGAAACAATGACCTGTCGCGAACGTCCTGTTCGAAGATCACTCTTAGAGTTTTATGACCCAGACTCACCGTCCAATGCCATTGATTATTCACAATTAGCATCCTTTGTTTTTCCTAAACACAAGGATGACACACCCACCAACGAAACACTTCAAGATATTGACTTGACTGCTGCCAATTCATTTGCAGACAATGTCATACCTCATCACTCAAACTTTGAGGACAATGAATCCTTTGTCAAGTTGGAATTAGATTTTTCAAAAAACGAACCTAACAATTGTTCTCAGAGCAAGGAAGAACAAACTCTCAATTCTTCAAACGACACAAGTACGCAGTACCAAGTGTCGCATCTCTCCACGAATTTGGCCACAATTCAAATACCGCTCAATGTTGTTGTAACCATTATGTTAGTTTTATTCCAACAGATGTTGCATCAAACCATTCTCACTCTCTCATTGGCCATCTTTTGCTGCATGCTTCTGTCCCTTGTTGAAGATCATTCAAGACGAAATGAATCTCTGGCAAAAGCAAACGCTCGACTGAAAGAACTCATTCGTTTGTGTAGAGATCAAAGCACGGAAATGTTGAGAAATGAATCGTTCATGTTTGAAATCCCAAACCTGAGTCTATTTTGTGTGTTAAACCATTTACAAAGTCGATAATGAAGAACAGCACAATTTGTGAACAAAATCACCACTGCAACACAGTTTCATCTTGTTTAAGATGACCATTGCAGCTTATCAAGCATCAATAAAACCAAAGTCATTACTTATCATTGACTTGCCATATTTTTCACGATCATGAAATTTTTGAGAGAACTTGGGAGCGTGAACGTGAAGACTTTGAGTACTTTCACAGTCGATATGAGAAAGTTAAATACACTGAGAGAATAGGTCCAAATTTACATTCTTCAACAACCAAAAAAACAATTAAACTCACGAATATTGAACCACTCAAAAGATGTACCATCAAAGAAGACCAAGTACTTCAACATCATCTTCAATTTCTCATCAACAAATGGGTTATGAAATTCCATCTTCTATGCAACATCGCCACCAAGAACAATTCTATCAACATTCCTATAAAATGGAAGACGCTTTGCAAGGTCTTCAACTCGTCTTATTAGTCGATAAAAGTGGCTCCATGAAAACCGTAGATGAAGACGCTACAGGACAAGGACGAACGAATGGTATGATTAAACAAAACGAGTGGACTCGATATGATAATGTATTTCAAGTTGCAAAATATTTAGCTGAAAGTGTGTTTGAATATGACGCCAATGGATCTGTACCTATTTTCTTCTTTGATAACAATGTGGTGGAAGAGGAGGCCACAAGTATTGGACAAATGTTAGTCAAGTTTAGAAATCACAAACCTCAAAATGGAAGTACCAATATGTTGGAAGCATTAAGAATGGCATTCGATAGACACTTGAATAATAGAGAGAATATCTTGTTTATTGTGTTTACCGATGGATGTCCCAATGCTGGTCAGGAGATTAAGATTTTGGATTTGATTCACAAGAAAGTTGTGAAATCAGATCCAACAGGAAACAGAGTGAATATTTTGTTCATTCGTCATGGTGACGATCAAGGTGCCATTGAATTCTTGCAATATTTGGATGATTGTCAGTTAATTGGAGAGAATGTTGATACAAAGAGTGACAATGCTATCTTTGCGATGGGACCTAAAAATGTCATTCTTAATGCAATTTTCGAACATTTGGATGAAGAATTCAAGCATTTCATATAACTTTGTGGTGATCACTCAGGCTTTCTGTAAATAACCTATAAATAAGGCACAGTACTTTTCAAGTTTGCTTTATTCCGTAATCCTTGACAGGCCATTTCTTCACGTGACAAGAAGGGTATGCTTTGATTCATTTTCAACCAGGTTCTAATGCAAGGAATAAACAAATTAAAACGAAAACAGATTTATAAGTGTGGCCAAAAGGCCACAAGACGTATGATTCATGGCTACGGCCATATCACGATGAATGCACCTCATCCCGTCCGATTTGAGAAGTTAAGCATCGTCGAGCTGCATCAGTACTGAGGTTGGAGACAACTTGGGAACCTGCAGTGCTGTAGCCTTTTTTGACATCAACAGACCGTACACAATGTGCTTCGTAACCCTAGCCAGTGTTGAAAAAGTAACCTCATCCCGAAGCAGTTGAGATTGGGGTTACTTGGTTGACAAACAATGGATGTGGTTACGAAGGACATTGTGTTTTATTGTGTTTATAAATTTAATACACTAAAATGCATTGGTCAAGCCTTAAAACTTGCCAATCAAAAGAGCAAGAACAGCACCACCCAACACATACAAAACAAATGCAACTCGACTCATCGAAGATGCCTCTTGCTGTGGAGGATTTTGTGGTTCATTGTTGGTACTTGGAACAACTATAGCTCTGGCAGCAGGCATATCTGTAGGGATTGTCATTCCATTGCATGAACCATCGCTGGAAGCACTTGCAATATTAATCTTGACAAGTCTTGCAAAATTATGCTTGTTGTTATCATCCAAATTGCTAGGACTCAAAATTGGAGATCCATTCGAACCTGCAATCAATAAATCAGCATCCGTACGGGAAGCATTAAAGTCAAATTTTTGGGCAACCCCAAGAACAAGCCTACGCTCAAAGTAAATATGCATGGCACCCTTCACTGCTGTACGGACAATGGAAGTGGTAGTAGTTGAGCCTCCAGCGTTTCGAGGTGGTGTGTTACTGAATTTTGAAAGTAAAATATTTTCATTGAATCATGTTGAAGTGAAGATGTTCAAATTATACTCAATATAATAACATCAACAACAAAAGACTTACCTACTTGCCAAATATTCGGCAAGACCATGAGCATCAGTGTTTGGATTTCTGTATCCCAGATAGATATGAGAATTGTACTTGTCGCTACCCATCTTACCAAGTGGTTCACCATTGTCTGGATCATAGGGTAATTCATAATCTCTGCCATATCTGAAACCAACAGCTCCCCAACCACTGTGGATGATGATAAAGAAAGTGATCCGAACATGTACATTGTTGTGTTTTTATATCAATGATGCCCGTTGGGTGGTGTATGATCATACGTAAAGAGTGTAAAAACAACGTTTATCAGAAAACGTGTTGAATGATCGTTAAATAAAAACAATTCACATTGTGATGAATATTCCAAAGTGATCACGTGATGTGAAATGATTACAATGACTTACCTGTAACCACCTTGGTAAATTAAACGAGCACGAATGTAATTCTGATTATCACCTCCTTTGAATATTGACCATTGGAATACATGACCACCCACAGCAATACAATTTGTGAAATTGAGGTTTTGAGCTGTGACGTTGGATACCGCAAAGCAAAGTGCGGCTGCTACAAGTAAAAGAACAACAAGTTTCATCTTGTTAGTTACGTTCTCTGTGTGAAGGAAGAGATGACAATATCTGTCAGTTTTTTTCTTTGATGCTTCTGCTGTCAAGAAGGATCCTGTTCGTGTTATGCCTGTTGCTGATTCGAATCTACCAGTTGATTTGTGAGGAAGCACGTTTGTGTTTGATTGGTGGGATCAGTGGAATTTTTTGGACAGATGACGGCTGAGGTGTGTTATCAGGGAATTTGTTTACTTTCGAGAGTCAGAGTGAAGATTGAACGATAACAAGAAAGCGATTTTATGGACTGATTTGTATGAACTGGGTTATCATAAGAATCGTAGTGATTGGTGAATGGAAGTTTTGTGTTTTCGTTGAGAAAAATAGATGTAAGAATTCACCACTCCACCTCAAAGAAAATGATCAATTGATTCCCAGAGAGTGATGACAACGTGCTGCCTCAATGAAGAAATTTTAATAAAAGTCTTGAAAGTACGTGTTGGAAGAAGGAACATATTTACATGCTGTACAGGTACTCTCTCAGTAACCTTCATCAACATGATGAGGAGAATCCGTGTTGTGAGTCCTAATTAATGTTTCAAACTCTGAAAAATCTCCCATTCTCATAATGAACTTGTTTGTGCCTTTCGTAAACACGCCAGTTCCCATGGCTCTCTTATCACAATGACCACTTGTTTTCTTTCTCAGCTGTTCAAAAGCATCATCTAGAATTTTAAATTCATTTGGAGAGAGTTGTTTTTGATAAGAAGTTCCACTACACGAAATTGTTCAACATTCATCGAATCAATATCAAAATCAATAAATAATTATTATGGCAAATATAATGATCATCAACCATCATTCATGCAATGAGCTCAACACAGCTTTCAACCTACCCCGAATAGCTTCCCGAAGAGCTTTGCATGGGCGTTATTGCATCATAAATCAATAAATAATTATTATTCAATGAATACATGGAAAAATCATTTCCGCAGCCATCACAAAATTTCCAGATCAACACAGCACCTTTTGGTGGTTGTTGAGGACCCATTTCACTGAGATCAAACATTTTTTTTGTGTTTGAACCAAGCAGAGAGATAGTGAACTTGCTGCGAAATTCAACTCATGCAACAGTCTAATGCATGTTCGTGTGGGTTATTGTTTGCTACATAATTTGTTCTTTTTGACTTGAGAGATCTTCTTCCAATGAAATTGATCGAAATGTCTCAAACATGCCAATCGGTGATTCCAATGTTGTAATCCAATGCATTTTCGAGCACTCACTTCATCATAAGCACTAGCTCCAATATATTGCGAAAATTTCAAGGCCTCTTCATACGAGACTGGTTCTGCAAACTCGGTCTCCATATTGTTACAAGGTGAACTTGAAACATCATTGCTTGACAAAGCGAAGAGGGATTTCCATCGTTGAATTTCTCTATTTTCCTTCTTTAAACCAAGTACTTGAATGGTTGCATGTTGAGGTAGAAATTGATAAATTTCCCAAAGCAAGTGATCGAATAAGTAAGTCATAGAGCTCCAGTCATCCACAGCAAAGGCTAATGTACAAACAGTGGCATTTGACAAACTCTCAAAATGACTCTCTTTTGATGAAATGTCAAAATATTCAATATCGTAATCTTCCACACTGTGCTGAGTAATCATGTCCGTTCGAGGAATGAAACAAGTCGTGGAATAATTGTTTAGAGTTTCAGGAACGTCGTTCCAATCAAAATTCGTATTCGTCAATTGACACATTAAACAGGTTTTCCCAACTTGTGATTTTCCAACCATGTACCATTTCAGTGTTTTAGAATTCGAAACGCCACCAGTACTGAGCCTTAATGGTCCATGAACTCCCATTTCCGAGTTGTTGTGGTTATGACATGAAAAACGAGCAATCTCTTGTTCTGTATTTTCAATAAACATCCCTTGTTGAGATTTATGATACATTAACGAAGCAATGGATGGAGTGTGTTTCAGACCAGCTCCAACATGATTCTTGTCATGATCAATTACCTTCTCATTGAGAGAATGGTCGTTGGTTGATGATTTCTGTTGTTTTGATTTTTTCTGTGATTTGTCATTCATGATTTGTAATAAATAATCGGGAATGGATTCTAAATATTTGGCTCTTTCAATACGTTGCCGAGTAATGTTTTCAAAAACAGATGGCACTATGTGTTGCCAAATTTGTGAAATAAAATCTCTTCGAAAATTCTTTTGTGGAATTTCTAGTAGGTCTTCATGCTGGAAATAAATACTCAAGACTTGCTCATTGATGAATTTAATCTTTTTTGTGATTGGTTCTTTCCAAAATATGTCATGCCATGCACATGTGATTAATTGAGCACCTAACTTGGATTTACAAAATGTATGTTCGATTTGTATCATTTCACACCAATAAAATTCAAATAAAATTTCTGTTGATTGCCATCCTCGAAATCCAGCAAGCATATTAATTTCTCGTAAATTTAAATAATGTAAAATTTGGAGGAGTATGTCTGTATTCAACGGTTGACATGATTCATCCCAAAAGAATTTGAATTCCTTCATTTTTTTCATGTTGTTGGCTCAGTAAATTCAGTGATTCCATCCATGACTTCGCCAACGCCCTCAGCATCAGTTCAATTCATGACTACTGTCATCATACGACTCAATCAAAACCAAATTCTAATTTATTTTTGATTGCAAAAAAAAATGAGTTTTTTGAGAGACTTGTTCAAGAAATGGGATTCATCATCGGCCTCAACTCCGACATCAACAAACTCAAGCACCACAGGAGGAAGTATATCTTCATCCAATGTACCTACAACAGATAATAGTACTGAAATAATTTTGGCAACACGTGAATCATCGTCTAGCGGGATAACAAGACTATTGTTATCGGTGTCGGAAACAGGATTAACATTGCTATTGACTTTCTTATCTATAAAGTATTTGTTCATGCCATTATTGTCTAATTTATTAGCAAACTCGAGCGGAAAGCAAGGCACTAGCAATTTGTTACCAAGAAAAAAGAGAAAAATTGGCGAGTTGATTTGCAGGAGCTTTGGAATAGAGGAGCCTAAAAAAGATGCAGAAAATTTCTACACATCACTCTATGAAAAATCGTTAAACAAGTATGAGAAAACTGTTTCCGATTTTTTAGTACTACCCGAAGATTTGGATCATAATTTTAGCGATATTGGAGGAATGGAAAAGTTGAAAAAGGAGGTCTATGAGTCCGTATGCTTTCCACTTAAATATCCACATATTTATGAAAATGCTACCGATACCACCAGCATGAAATTGCGAAGATTACCAAAGGGTGTTTTATTTTATGGTCCACCAGGTACTGGTATGTATTACAAATTACTATTATTGTTTGTGTTGAAAATTATTATTTCTACTCTTCTTGCATTCCCTTCATTGGTAAAATTTAGGTAAAACAAGCTTGGCGAAAGCCATCGCAAAAGAATGTAACTGTGCATTCTTGAATGTTAAAAGAGAATTCCTGTCAGACTTTTTGTACGGCGAGACAGAAAAACTAGTGGCAGCCCTCTTTAGTTTTGCCTCAAAAGTGAAACCTTGTATTATATTCATTGATGAAATTGAGAGTCTCCTACCTTCAAGACAATCCAGTTTCCAAATGCATGAAGTCTCCAAGGCAAGAATTAGTATCATCCTTTCAGCATGGGATGGTTTTGAAACTTCATCAGAGGGTGATCAAGTTATGGTAATTGGAGCAACTAACTTGAAGTCCCAACTTGACGCTGCAGCTTTAAGAAGAATGCCTCTTCAATTCAAGATTGATGCACCTGATAGAACGAGTAGAATTCAAATTTTGAAGCTCTTGTTGAAGAATGAAAGAGTGTCACCAAATCTAAGCTTTGAAAAACTTGCTGATATTACAAATCGTTTCAGCGGAAGTGATCTCACAGAACTATGTAAGAAGGCTCTCTCTTTTCCCATTAAGGAGCTTATTGATCGAGAGCTCAAATCAAAAACATCCATGACCAACATTATGCCAAGAGAATTGGTTTACGAAGACTTTGCCAAGGCTAGAGAATTTGTAAATCCAAGCTGTGTGGAAGAAAGCGAACAACTGGACATGTCCCTGCTTGTGGATTAACTCGCTAGCCTTGTTTGATTGGCTCACAGTTGTTGTTGTACTTATTGAATGGCTTTGACTTCACAGTTTCTCATTGATTGTACTAATTGGTTGTAGAACTTCAAATTTACAGTGAAGAGTTTATTTAAACTTGACAAGTCACTAAAGTTTTCCTTTAATGACGATCATTAGTGATTCTAGAATTATTCTCTGGGGGTGATCGATTTTTGGTTTGATCTGTTAAAGTAAGACATGACAATCCATGCCACCTTCGCCTTTTCTTCTTGGCTATATTTTGTTCTGGTACAGGTTTTAATGTCATTGGAACTGTACTTTCTTGCAATTTTAACAATCACACTAGCACATGGTTCAATGTCTTGCTCTGTATAGCCAGTGTAGTAGTGCAAAACATCATCCCAACTATTCTTCTTTTGACAAAGCCTTCCAGCAATATAGATGCAAGCACTAGCTATTTGAGATGGAAGATAGTACAGAGAGGCCTCTTCAAGTAGAGACAACTCTGCAAGATAATATGCAAGGGCTAATTGATTGAAATCACACCTTGCACATTTCGAGTACCTCTTCAAGAATGGATAAACAGTAGCGACTGTAATGTTGAAATCCAATTCTTTCAACAGAATTCTCTCCATCTTGAGAAGCTCGTCCTTAGAAAAGACGTGTGAGGAGATTTCAACAATTTCAGCCGATACTGGATATTGCAATTCTTCATATTTAGCTGCGACAAACATACAAGTTGCAGCCAGCAATTGTAGACTCTTAAGAGGAACATCTTGCAAGGAGAGGAATCGATCCAAAAGGTTCACAGCCAGAAAGAGTGTAGCATTATTGAGTTGGAATTTCTGATGCATCTCAATCATCCAATTCACTACTGTGAATCTGTGTTTATGCCTCATGATAGATTGTTTCGAGAGATAGGTAGGATCTGCTCTGTATTTAGTTTCAATCTTCTTGAGATGAGAATGAATATCTTTCACATACTCGACACAGGATTGAGGATCATTAGCATCAGCCTTATCTATGCCTGGTGAGGTGAAGAATTCAGTGGTCTTCTTTTGGGGAGTACATGCCATGGATTGTTTTTGAGAGCAAGTAGAGGGTTCGTTATTAGCATTGGTAGAGTTATTGTTGCTGCTCGTCGTTGCCTCAGTGGATAATGATGCTGCTTGTGAGGTTCTTGATGATAATTGTGGATCCTTGTTTTCAGAGTCTTGGTTGGATGTCGTTGTAGTAGCAGCAAGAGCAGCAGTACTCGTTGAAGAGTTTGTACTCTCATTGCTCACCTTTTTCAAATCCTCGGGTTTCTTTGGCCGGGTGATCATTTTGACTCGATTCACAATGGAGGAGAGAGCGGTCCTCATTCCTGCTGTATCTTCTTTGGTGGTTAGTAATGTTGTCGTGTTTGTCTTTTTACCAATGACTGGTTTTGAAGGATGGAGCGAAATTGGTTTGATGGGATCTTTGGATTGTATCATTTCGGCAGCCATTGGATTGGTATTTTCATCGTTAGGTACCACCATCGACAAGGTGGTGGGCCGTTGGTACATCATGGTGTTGTGTTGAATTTTTTTAGTGTTTGTTTTTTGAATGTTTTGCATAACGGTTTCTCAAGGCGCAAATTTTGTTAAGGCCAAGCCTGACACGCCAAACTGGGTCAGCACAAAACATGTTGAAAATTCGTTCGATCAACATTACTACAGTGAGAATGATTTTATTAGGAAAGCTCGATGTATTATTGAGAAAGTTGGTATAAACTAGGATCTGTTAAATATTGAAAAAGTAAAGTTTACAAGAAATAATCAGGAGCTGGCTTTTTGCCTGGAATGCCACGAGACTCTTGTGGTGCAGACTCGAAAACTTTGAAATTCCTCTTTAAATTTTCGTCTAGTTCCAGAATTGCAGCTACGTTACCACATCTGTAGCAATAGTTTGGAGCAGACCAGACTGTGACCAAGCTTTCATTGAACATGTGCTTAAAGCCCTCCATAACAAGTTGGTGAGCACGGCAAATGAGTTCAATACCATTGGTTTGGTTGAATTGAGCCACAACGTCTCCTCCAAACAAATATCCGGCTCCTCTTGGGCTCAAGCCCCAACCATCAATATCTATTTTGGATTAGATTAAATGTCAAACAAAAAGACTTACCGTCAGGGTCAGACCACAACAAATCGCACATTGGACCGTCGTGTGGTACTTCTTGTTTTCTGTCAATTTTACGGATTTGATCAAGAGTGGTGATTGAAGGGGAGAGTCCTCCATGGACACAAAACACCTTATCTTCAATCAAGGCAGATAAACTCAGATAATCAAATATTTCAGTACAGTATCTCCAAACGTTTACACTTCCGTATTTTCTGAGGCATTCATCATAAAATCCATAGACTTGTGTGATTTGTCTACTTTCGTGATTACCTAAAAGAGCAACAGCCAAAACGGTGAAGTTAATATAATAAACATTTTGAACGTAATCGAAGAAGGGGTTGGCGTCGCATCATCACGACGATGGAAATAACAGTTGCGTAAAAGATTATGTGATAGGAATGGGTAAACCAACAAAGTGTGCAGCGTTCAGTAAGACCTACCTCTAATGAGTGTAATACGATCAGGATATCTAACTTTAAGGGCAAGTAATAATAAGAATGTTTCCACACTGTAAAATCCTCTGTCCACAAAATCTCCCATGAATAAATAATTTGTATCAGGAATATCACCTCCGACTTTAAAAAGTTCTTTCAGATCATAGAATTGACCGTGAATATCACCACAAACCTATTTGAAGATTGTGCATATTATATGAATAGGGATGAAGTAAATGATAGTCTACTTACGGTTACTGGAGCAAAAACACGTTGTACGTTAGCTTCTTCAATCAGAATCTCCTTTGCTTTTTGACAAAGTGCTTTAACCTCTGATTCTTTGATGAGTTCACAACGTTTTAACTTTTCAATTTGTTTGTCTAAATCGGAGTTTGAAGCCATCTTTGATGTATATGATGATGATGAAATTATTTCTTGCCTCTGAGAGGTGTTGTTGGGATATTTGTACAAAGAGCAGTTGAAAGAGATGGACAGCAAAACCGAATATTTTTTTGACAAAAAAAAGCAGTTCTTTAAATAACTTGGGTTACACGGCGCGGCAAATGCATCAAAAAATGTCGAGCAATGCTTCAAAGAAGACCTTTGAATACAACCACAGCAACAAATCGAGCACGGGATACAACAAGACAAAGAAGCACCATCGGACCACGTTAGGAAGAAATGGGTCATCAAATCAATTGCCGAATTCAATATTGAACGATTCGCAAGGAAATTTACGGCCGAAGGAATGGACTGAAGCCCACAACTTTCTAACAACGACATCGACAAGTGTTGTGAACAAATCTGTGGGAGAGGTTTTAGACGAGTTGAATAACGTATCATATCCCGTGAAAAATTTAGATATCGAGGTATGTAGCCATTCATGCATTTGTCATCATGCATATGAGAACGATTTTTGTTTTCACAGTTTTGTGCAAGTGTCATCCTATCCATTTCAGAATATCTAACACAAAATCCTCAAGATTTACTCATTTCAAAATTATGTCAATTGATCTCTACTCTCTCCGTAAAACATGAAGTATGTATTTCATAATTTTATCAAGAAAGAAAGACGTTTACCTCATCGTTTTAGATCCAATTTTCGAAAGAAACAGGAGGAAAACTGCTTATGAATTTGATCAGTTTTGTTTCATCTTCTTCGTCCTGGCTTTTGGCGGATTGTTTAAGAACTTTGAGCTTTATATTGTATGACATGGCTTCAAAATATTCACAAGAAGTTCACAACTCTGTGCTCGCCGTTGTGATTCCCCAATCTAAGGTGTCAATTTCGGATATGGAGGTGAGGAGACAAGCGATCAATTGCCTCGTAAATATTTTCTCAAAAGCATCTCCTGAATTTCTCTCTCCTTATTGCAAAACTGTTTATTTATCAATGTTCCAAAATTTTGAAATTTTGGCTCGGAATATTTCTGTAGATAGTGGACTACAAAAAATATTATTTTCAGTAATGAAAACTCTCACTTCCGTCATTCAAATTGGAGAAAGAGTTCATGTTCAAGACGTTGAGAAAATTGTGACACATTTAACACGATTGATGTTTTTTGGTACCAATTTTTTCCCAGCCTCTCAGACATCCAACTCTTCAAAGAAAGGTGAGTGTTATGCATATGTATATGTACTAACTTGTTGGTGTATATTAGACTCCAATGGATTTGCTTCCGATTCGGATTACTCTGACTCTGACTTGCCACTTGTAAATAGAGAATCCATCAAAATTCGTCTTCAAAGTTTGCAATTATTTACTGTACTAGCCAAAAAGGATTTTAAATCATTGTTTTCACAATGGAAAGCTTTTATTCCTGAGAGAGACAGTTTGAATCCAAACCCTAAATTCAAGCAAACACTGTCTACAACAATTTTATTCGATCCATCCTCAAAAGTTCGATCTACAGCTGTACAGGCTCTTGCTTCCATACTTGAGAACAGTGAGTTGTATTTAGCTCAAGCTAGCGATGTTAGAACCAAGTCTTCAGCTTTTACGTCATTCTCACAAAGTCTGGCTCTCATGATCAAGGAACTGCACCATACTTTAATTTATTCGATCCAACATGAAACTTTACCAGTTTTACCTTTATCCATTAGGGTATGTTTTTTTAGAGCTGTTCAATTTTAACACGGTAATTAAGACTCTCTCATTACTCATTGAAAACACACCTTACTTAAAAATGGATTGCGAAAGCCTATTGCAAAAAATAGCAGAAATGTTAGTTGCGAATGTAACCTCAGGGCATGTGGATAAAACCGTTCAAAATCAGTCATTTATGTGCCTTGGCTCATTGTTTGGCACAAAGGAACCTTTAAACGAGGTTGGAACAATATTATCAGACGCTAAGCTCAACATTATTGTAAAACTTATTAATTACCTTTCAGACGAATATGTGTATATTATAAGAACAGAATCTGCCCAAGTACTAGCAAATATTGCCAAAAACTATCCAGATTTTCTTTGGAACTACTGGGATATTATTTTACAAAAGATACGACTAGGTCTCAATCATCATGATCAAAGTAAGTACACATTGAACGTTTTTTACCTTAATACCACCATGAAACAGCATTAAGGTTGACCCTAATTCAAATTATTAATAACTTTACATCTCCTTTCAATGAGTCTAAAATTCCAGCTGTGTCCATTAAAAAACCAGTCGGTGGGTTCAATACTCATCAACTCACAGAGACTATTTGGGAAAAGATTACCGATACTGTTCTGGAATTCGCTATTGCTGACAATAATCAGACAATACGGTCCGCAGCTGTTTCTATATTCTCTAACATTATTCCAGAAACATTTGAAACTTTTGGAGATGGCCTTTCTGGTCGAATCATATCATTAGTGTTTTCAACGATGAAGGATGAATCACCAAATGTGAGACAATCTGCATGTCGTACAGTTGGAGTTTTTGTCTTGTTCAACAGACTGCAAAATGATTATAACTTTTTGAAGAGAGCATTGGAAGATTTTAAGACATTGCTGTTGGACCCTTCTTTGAACGTGAGAGTGCGAGCATCGTGGTCACTTGCAAACTTGTGTGATTCCTTACGACTCTCAGAAAATATCAAAGACAACAATACTGATTTAGTGCTACCTATTTTGATATCATGTCTAAATTCATGTAATGATAATGACAAAGTACTATGTAATGCTGTGAGAGCACTAGGAAACATTTCCAACTTTGCAAAAAGAGAAATTTTAGAGCATGATATATTCAAATTGGATAGTAACAAGTACAGTTTAGAGCCAAACTTACGTGCCACTCAATCCATGACCATAGAGAACTTTCTACTTGAAAAATTTATACAGACATTGAATTCGAAGGAGACTTCTGTTAAAGCACGATGGAACACTTGCTATGCACTTGGAAGCTTGCTTGGAAACGCTAATATTGCATCTACCAGCACCATCGATACAGCAGTCAATGTTTTATGTGATTTACTTTCAACTGATGACAATTTTAAGGTGAGAATCCAAGCTGTATTGGCACTCTCGTTGACAAAACACTATGGAACGGAGTTGAACAATTTCAAAGTGTGGAAGAGTTTATTAGAAGCGCTACAGGTACTCTCATCTGATAATCCCACAGCTCAATATTCAGAATACAAGTACATTAAGACTCTCAAGAAACAGCTCATTTCCACTCTGGTTCATTTTACGAACCATGTGAATCTAGATTCCTTCATTAGGAGCAGCGTTCAAGTACAGGAATACATGATTGAAAAGGGTGGAGAAATTATTGCATCTGCGTTCTCAGATTGTGAATGGGAAGATTGTTACCATGAGGCCATCAAGAAACTACAAGTTTCAATATTGGACCCTCTCGAGTTGGAAGAAGAGTCATCCATGCTAGCTGGCGTTCTCAAAAGACATACCTATCAATTCTAATCATCTAGGACTTCATCTTACTCTATTAATCTCAATGAATCAAAGAACACAGACACTTCATCTTGGACATATCTCTCGTCTTCCATGGAATTGCAATGAACCGAGTTCATTCTCTAAGGCTTGCTAGCCTTAATAGAATGGCAAAGGCTGCCTGCAGTACAAATTCCCACAACAACAACATTAAAAAAATACCACTAATTCTCACTACAAAAATATGGCCTCAACATCTGAATGTAAACTTGCTGTGGTTGGAGGAGGTACGTAGGTTGATATTGGGTGAATTGCTGGTGTTGGTTCATCATACGGCATAATAACTACAACAACCTGATTCAAACACATTTAGGTGGTGTCGGTAAATCTGCTCTTACCATCCGATTCGTCCAGCCAGACACCTTTGCTGAAGAGTACGATCCAACTATTGAGGACAGCTATATTAAGCAAGTAACAATTGATAGTGTAACATATTTCCTTGAAATTCTTGATACAGCAGGACAAGAAGGTTTGTGTTTTATCAAATTATCATTACTAATAATATTTTAATGTAATTGATCCAACAGAATATCAAGCCTTGAGAGACGATTATATGAGAAAGGGCCACGGATTTTTGCTAGTTTTCAGCATTATCGAGAGATCCACTTTTGATGAATTGAACAAATTTAGAGATCAAATCTTGAGAGTTAAAGACAAGGACAAAGTTCCAATGGTAATGATCGGCAACAAGTGCGATTTGGAAGAGGAAAGAAAAGTGTCCACAGCCGAGGCCAAGAATAAGGCTGAGGAATGGGGTATTCCTTTCTTCGAGGGCTCTGCCAAATCCCGAATCAACGTTGAGGAGTCCTTCTATGAATTGGTGAGAGAAGTCAGAAAGGAAAAGGAACAGCAGAGTAATGCTCCTAAGAACACCAAGAAAGCACCTTCTGGAAAGAAGAAGAAGGGCTGTTTGATCTTGTAAAATATATGGCGTTGAATCTACAGAGATCTTGAAGTTGACTCAATACCTACACCCCTGACAAAGAATAAAAGCTCACAACTAAGTGAAAGTTCGAAGTTCTTTAAAGAAAAGCTTTTTTGGATACTATACTCGTTCCATGCTCATCATACTCGTTCTTTGTAATCCACATATCATTAAAAGAAGGAAGAGAAGCGAGAATGGATCCACCTAACCAAGTCGTGTAGGCTCTTTCGTTTGGAGCTGATATTCTCAAAGAAGGCACGTCTTTCGGAGCTAGTTTTTTCAGTTCAGACAGCATGCGCTGACAAAAGCCTTCAAATAATGTAGACCCTCCTGCAAAGAATAAATTCGAATATAAATCCTTTCTAATGTCAAGATCTGAAGAGTTGATGGAATTAATAACACATTCATGAACACCCATATATTCTAGTCCTATTAAATGTGGCTTGAACAGAATTTCAGGAGCCATAAATCGCTCTGCTGTCATGGAGACGAGCGAGCCGTCTGGCAGTTTGAACGTTTTAGCCTCACATAAACCTTTTTCCTCTTCAAGAATTTCTTTCTCATAATTTTGAGCAACATATGTCAAATCACTTTCCTTAATTGCCTTTACAACCTCTCGCTCGCTTGATGTGTGAAAATTGTAACCTGACTTCCTCAGTAGAATTTGTAAATAATTTGTAATATCCCGTCCTGCAACGTCAATCCTTGAAATGGCATTTGGAATGGCAAATCCGTCATAAATTGGTACAGAGTGCGTTACACCATCACCACTATCCAGAACTACTCCTGTCATTGACCCACTGGCATACAAGCTCAGCACTGCTTGCAAAGAAAAAAACAATTTCGGCACGTTATACGATTCAAAGAAAATGTCAGCAGCTTTCTCTCTATTTTTCTTTGGGTTCAAAGGAGCTTCTGTTAGCAGCACTGGACTATCTTCTTTTCGAAAAGTGTCTCCTAATCCAGTTTCCTTATCCATTAAACATGAATACAAATAATCCCAAACTTTCTCCATTGCTGTCCAATCTGTGACAATTCCATGCTCCATTGGGTAAATAAGGCGTAAAATACCTCTCTTTTCCTCTGCAACTTTACCAACACAGCAATCATATTTTGGTCCTGCAACAGGCATCACTCGTACATGTTTTGTAAATCCAATACTATTTCAATAACAATGAGATGTATCCGTACGAGCATTTCACTACACTTACTAATTATTAAAAACTATATGCGGTATTTCATCTCCTGCCAAGCCTGCTTTGATGATTCCCGATCCCTGTACGATTAAACCGGGAGCAGTATCGTTCATTGTATTAAGGACAAAATTCAATGGAACATTTGGCCCGATCCTCACTTACATTATCAATCACTAAAGGAGTTCCTTTTGCCTCCATTCTTGAAATTCAATATGGAATCAATCACTTGTTGTGTTCCGATGATGATGATGATCTCAGATTGTATCACAGAGAGAGGATTATCACACCCTTGTTGTATTTTTTTTCTGTAAACGATGAACAATTCCAACATTGGGACCCGATATTCAACAATTCTACTGTGATGCATCCAACATGACATCATTGTGCAGCATGTATTGAATCATGGAGGTCATCCTAATTTCAAAACTGTGGATCTCCTTGTTTAAAAAATGTCTTCATTTATGCCTGCAATTTCATCGGAAGAAGTCTATCTTGCTCCTGATGCGATTATTAAAGCCTTTAGTTTTACTTTTGTAGTTTATGAAAAAGGAAATACGTTATCCTTCATATTTGCACTGTGTGCTCTTGTTCCGATATTTATTGTGGTCGCCATGGCTGTTTCGTTTTTTATTAACAGGGAATATCAATCGTTATTTGTAATACTAGGAATTTTGGCCAATGAAATAGTGAATGATTTTTTGAAACATCAATTTGCACAGGATCGACCACCAAATTTATTGGTAGCAAAATTTAGGAATGTGGATCCAACTACTGCTACTGAGTTAGTGGAACATTTTGGAATGCCTTCTTCACACTCACAATTTATGTTTTTCTTTGCTTGTACAGTTTTGTGCTGGTTTAAAGTGAGGTCGCAACTGTGGAAGAATGTGACATTTTTGAGTTTATTTGGATTAGCATCTATAGTTGCTTATTCACGAGTGGCATTGCATTACCACACAGTTTACCAAGTATTGGCAGGAAGTTTTGTTGGTCTTGTGACTGGAAACTTGTGGAAATTATTCATTATCAACGTGTTGGAGCCAAAGGTTATCCCTTTTCTGGATTCGTTTAGCTTTTTGAGGGACTTTTTGTGCTTGCATTCGAACGAAAATATTGAATCAACAGTTGAATTTCAAGCATTATCTGCACGGAGGCTTGACAAGAAAAATAAATAACAACAGTGATTGTGTGGAGCTATCTACAAAATAACCTTAAATGACTTCTACAATAGACTCAAGCTCATCCTCGCCTTGGCTGGTGGAGTGGGAGGATCCCTGGCTGGAAGCACGTCCATTATGCTCTTCAAAATCGTCAATGACAGGTGGTGGAGTTTCTTGATTGTCATTTCTCGATTCTGCTCTTGTTGCTTCTTTTTCTGAGTCCCTCCTCAAAGAAGTTCCTTCATAAGGATCTAAACCTTTGGATGCTAAATATTGTTTGAGATATTTGTTTTCGATTTTAAGCTTCTCATAATCTTCTGAATCAAAGTCCATGTTATGTCTGACAATTCTTTTCCATCTTCGGTTGTCTTCTGTTAACAATTTGATTTTAGCCTTCAGTTGCGGTATTTTCTCCAAGTGCATGTGTCGCTCTTCTTCCAATAGACTTTTAAGGCTTTCAATACTATTGTGAATTTGGGCCCGTTTGATTTCTTCATCTTCATTGTCATCATCATTCCTCTCTACGATCTTCAACAGACCATTTAGACCTCTCACGTCGTCCTCCACCTTTGCAATTAAATTCCGCTTTTCTCCACTGGAAATAAGAGGTAACTTGCTTTCAAAAAGCGGTTCGTTGGTTATCGACTCCATGTTTTTAGCAGACACCCGTTTTCGCTCCACCAGAGGAAACTCAACAACAGATGATTTGACCTCGTGCCTAAAACTTTTTTCTGTTTTGGGGGACACTGTGAGGGCTTTCGCTTTGTATAATGCAACCTCATCTCTAAGTAGTTTAATCTCTTCCTTTAGTTTCAAAATATACTTTTCTTTAGGGTCCATTTTGGAGATGGGAATATTCTTGATTTTTTTAACTCTTCCAGCATAAATTAAGGTTTTTAGCGTTTCTTCAGCATATTTTGATGAAGGGGTTAAACATGCAATCATGAGTGTCTTACTTTCTCCTCCTAGAGAATCCATAAGCAATTTTGTTAATTTGCTGTCTCTGTAGGGTATGTATGGATTGTCTTTTTTTGGAGAGCTTAATAAACTAATAACTTTTCCGAGAGTTAGTAATGATTTGTTAATACTTGAGGTCTCTGTCACAGATTTCGATTTCGATATTTTAAGCTTTTCACTTCCAGCCAAATCAACAAATCTTATCGATCCATATCGCTTACTATGGAACCCATCAACTGGATCCGTGGATGAAATATCGAAATGTATTGAAAATATAGAATGACTTCTCGAAGAGTCTCTATTAAGCTCATGAGACGATACTTTTCTGTTTGCAACTCCTTCATTGAACACTGTCATTAATTCGTCAAGATTTTCAACTTCAACTAGACATAAATTCTCTACGAAAAATCCATCCTTATTGCTCCATCGCACTGGTAAATTTACAGATCTTAGATTAAGTAAGTCGTTCACTTGTTCTTGATAGATTTCCAAGCAAGATGCTCTCATCCTTACTCGAATTTGATGAGTTTCTTCAGGTATTGACATCATTTGATTCAAATAATCGAAAATATAGATGGCTGATCGAGGCACAATCCCAGGTGCATCATCCTCTCCGACAATAGTGTATGTCTTAAATATGATATGTTAAAAATGTATCGAATTTCAGAGATAGCTTCATACCTTACCACATCCGGTTTGACCTTCAAAAGATTTAAGATTTTCAAAAGTAAATGATTTTTCAACTTACCATACGCAAATACCGTAGATGCATAGCCATCAATAGCATATTTTAATAGATCCGATATTCCAGACTCTGAAAAAACTTCGTCTTGTGTTGAATCAGGCCCAAAACATCGATCAAAAGTGAATCCCTTATCTCTGTTATTTCCCTTCGGCTTGTGTGTTGCATTTGAATTGACCTATGGCAATGAAACATTAGCAAAAAGCAGTTTGAAATTTAGTAGTCACGTACATTGACAGAAACATTGTCATACTCGATGGCGAATTCATCACCTCTCTATATTTTCAATAATTAATTTAATGATGGTCAAAAGGTCTACTACATACTTTTTTCTCTTTATTGCTCATGGGTCGTATCCGAACACAAACTTTGATGGCCTCTTTCTGAGCAACGTCATTATCGGAGAGATCTCCGTGCTCGCCGTTATGATTGTCGTTTGAGTTATCAACAGACGGCAACATTTTATTTGATGTTTTTACCGTCAACATGGCGCCCAATTTGTAAAGGGTTTGTGCCACACATGAAAGCAGAACGATATTAAGATATGGCGGCGCATCCGACGTTGAAGCGCACTAAAAACCTGTCAGATATTCGTCAAGTCAAAAATGAACATGAAAGCACAAAATAAATTTATTCGTTAGCTGTCATGCAGCAGAAGAGGTAATAGTACTGGTTTAGGGTTGCAAGGTATCTGTCTTCCACAAGCTGTTCGTTGGAAGAGGTACGATAAATTCTCGTGGGATTTCCGTTCCCTCCAAACCTCATAGTATGAGCGAACATATCTTTGCCATACTTGTTCAGTCGTTCATGCACTGTCATGGCAAATGGGTACAATGTTCTGTAAATAAATAAATACATGATCACATGTTCTTGGAGAATGTGTAAATAATAAGGCATTTTCCAATACGTGCCTATTGTGTCTCCAATAACAGGGACAATGACAGAAATATAATGGTCAATTTTCTTTGCAACGTTGTGTAAATCATTGTCTGAGCAAAATGTTGGTTGTACCAATAATTTAACGAGTTCAGATCCTGCTTGAAATATTCTTGTCACCTTTCCAATCCAAACGTATGCAAGAGTAGAGAGTTGTTGATTACTTGCGTGCTTTTCCATGATTTGAGTGATATCTTCAATAATTTTGTTGCCATATGTTTCCCATACATCGTCTCCCATTAAATTAATTTTGTCATTTTGGCCATAATATCCTTTGTCCTTGTAGTATTGTTTCAACTCTTTTTGACATTGCTTTGAAATTTTCAATGCAGCATGCAATGCAATCTGTAAATGATTTTCTCCCAATCTCATGAATTGGTGCAAAATGTCAGGAATTCTTCGTAAAATGGAAATATTGGCGAAAATAATATCACCTAAACCAGGGTGTCGGTGTCCCTTGTCAGTAAAAAGTTCAGTGAAACAATCCCAGGTTTCAATTTGGATTTTGCCTTCAATTGTCTCTCGTAATGATTTTCGTGTGTTTTCTTTGGACTGAAACAACATTTTCAGTATTTCTTGAGCTCGATTATTGTTTTTCCACTTGAGCGAAAACAAGAATTGTTTGTGTGTTTCATAATCAATAGGGCATACAAAACATATTCTATTCTTATCATCCGTTTGCAATGCAAGCATGTTTTTTAAATCTCCACCCATTGCTACATTAAATTGCAACCGAATAATAATTTTCTCTGAGGTACAGGTTTTCACAAAATTTTTCAAAAACGAATCTTTCTGAAATAGAGCAATTGGTAATTCAAATATAAACCGATGGCTTTCAAATTTTGCAATCAATGATTCAATTGGCTTGAATGAGCTCAATAATGTACAATGATTGTCGCTGTTTTTAGGTAACGCTGCCAATAATTTGTAATTACTATGATGTTGTGCAGCATCGCAAATAACAAGCCCTAAAAAGCAAAGTATTTCATTCACTTTCCTACTTAATTTATGGGCATCAGTGGACACTCTTGCCATTGAATAAACTTTAAATTCTCCTTTTTTGTTAAATCCAAATTTTCGGCTTCTGAATCCAGAAATCGGAGCATGTTCCAACCATTTTCCTGTCGAGCGTATCACTTCTATTACTTTTGTATTTGTTAATAATTTTGAAAAAGACTGAATTGGATCAATCGCAAAGCCTTTGATATCGTTGTTGCTTTTGATGATGATCATCTCTTTTGCTATTTCATCCTTAATCCCTTTCCGATATTTCGAAATGGTTCGGTCACTGAATGGAATGTATTTTGTTTCATACAACTTTTTAATTTGTTTTTTGCTTAAACCAGTGTTGATGATATTACGTTCAACTTCTTCAATGGACAATCGATTATGTTTCTTTTCGACCATGTTGTTGTTTTCGTCAAGTGTTATGATTCGGAATTTAGTGTACCGCATTGTTGGGTGTATTGGATCAGAAAGCGTTAACGAGATATTTAATTCTGCATTAGTTTGATTGATGTAATTGAATTCCTGTAATTGCTTTGTAATTGATGAAATGATGGAGGACCATAATTGAGAACAAGCTGTTGTTTTACTAGCTTCAGCTAAAGCGACTCCCTATGGCGGCGCAATTGGTACTAGAAACCTGTCAGATATTCGTCAATCCCACGTCAGCTGATTTGAGTAAACTCCAAAGGAATCAAAAATAAAATGAGTGAGTCTCTTCCTGATTGGTTTGCAAGGGTTTGAAGAACCGAAGCAACTTGGGTTCTTACTGCAACAACAGACAAACTGAAACGAAATATAGAGGCCATAGGACGTTACACCATTATTCGCTTCAGCTGAAGCTTGTAAAACAACAGCGTGCCAACGAACAGCTCACGGAAGACAGATCCTTGCTAGCACCCTAAACCAGAACTATTACCAATTCTACTGCATGACATTCAACGAATAAATTTTTTTATGCTTTCATATTCATTTTTGACTTGACGAATATCTGACAGGTTTTTAGTGCGCTTCAACGTCGGATGCGCCGCCATAGACTAGCATTGGTTACTTGCGCTTTTCCTATTGTTTCTCTCTTCAAAAACTCTTTTTGAAGGGAATTTGGAAAAATTGACCGTTAAACAGGGCTTTCTTTTAGAGAGGAAGTGTATCAGCGTTTTTCATGTATTTAGGTGAAAATACAACGAACCCAGTATATTACTACTTCAAAATGATAAACATTTCGCCAATCTGTTTTTCACTTCGTTCTCCCGCCTTTTGGCGCCTTTTTTCCTATTTTATTAATCAAAAAAAATGTATGCGTTTCCACCATCACAGCAACAATACACTTACAAATTAGAAAGCGCATCATCAACAGCAACCGATGACGCCACACAAGAACAAGTGCTTGTGAATTTATGCCAAGAATTAAAAATTTTATACAACGACACTCTGATTGAAAGAGCAAAATTGATATATCAAAAAGGAGCATCACTATCGCAAGTGTTAGAATTTGGCGTATGTTTATTTGAGCGTTTGTGATTATCACTAACATCATTAATTACTACAACAGTCTAATAGACAAGTTTATCTTGCATTTTGCTCTCTTTTTATTGCATCACGATTGGAAAGCCCAAATGATCTTTACTCAGACGAACAATTGATAGAATATAACAAATTTTCACTAAAGACTGACAGTGGTGTGTCGATCGGAAGTTTAATACACAAACCAAATATGAAGTATGTATTACATTTGTGGCGATTGGTAATTTTGTGCTTACAATGGTGCTGATTTTCAGTTTGGTTGAAACATTTGAGTTGTTAAACAACACTTTGGTTTCGCTTCAGTTTGAAAACTCTACTTGCTATTCTGTTCTTCAAAAATCTCAAAAGAAACTTATTCTTTGTCATTATTTATTTGAAAGATATCAGGAATGCTTTAGAGAAGTTATCACACCTACCACAAATACAGATCTATTCAAAGTGGGATGGATTACATTAGTAGTACTGTGCAGACATTTACCATCGACACTACTGGATTTTACAGAATGTGCCAACTGTTTAATCAATTTTATGATCATTTTTTGGAAGACTGCTAAGGACGTAAGACTGTCCGAAACCATTGACGAGTTATACTCAATATGCAACATTGCCAAGGATAAGGTGGACCCAAAGTATGACGAATTTATCACAAACACACTGAGACAATTCAATATTTCAGATTTTTCCGAATATGTGATGGGCCAAGACTCCTTAACTCAAATCAATTCAGTGTTTGAGAAGGATGTTGATAGTACTCTTGGCGCTCTTGGGTTTGACGAAAGAATATTTATGTACACCAATGATATTAACGTCGTTGGTGATATTACAAAACTAACCTCAGCACCAGTATTCCAACTTAATCCCCCAAGACTGTCACAGGTAAATGATCCATTCAGATCTCCTCTGAAATCACCAGGCCATGGTGGCTTTTCTATCCCACTAACACCTCTCCAAGCAACTCTACAAGTAGTACAAGTTATTGAAGAGTCCGTTAAAGACACTTCACAATTACCTGACGAGGCTTTGTTAACATATTTCAAGTCGTGTACACCTGATCAAACGTTGACTATTGAAAATAGGTTGGCTAGTCTCCTGGAAAAAGTGGATCTTAATAATCTTTTCGAATTCAACACGTCCAAACGAAAGTCAGAGATATCAAAGATTTATTACAAGACTCTAAAACACATGCTACAAGCAGAAGAAAAAAGATTAGGTGGAGCTACCAACTTTACCAATCTATTAACCAACGAAAATTTCCACAGATCATTAATAGTGTGTGCAGTAGAATGTATCGCCTTTGGATATAATTTGAAAGATTCGATTGGTCTCATTGATCTTCTGAATCATTTTGCACTTGAACCTTTTGAATTATCCATAGTGATTGAGAGTTTTGTTCAAAATGCAACATGGTTAAATAGTGCTCTGAAACGACACTTCAAGCACATTGAGGAACGTCTTTTAGAGTCTCTTGCTTGGAGAAGAAACTCTGTTCTCTATTCAAAACTTTCTAACTCTACCATTGTACAGCCTCCAAAACCTGGAAGTGAAACACCAAGCAAACATCACTCTCATGAAACGTTTGGAATGTACAGCCCTATTGCATCCAGAAAACAACCAGTTTCTAAAGGATCTAACTCAGTACAATTCTTCTTCCGTAAGATGTATAAATTAGTTTCGAGACGGATTCAAGAACTATGCTACAACTTTAATCAAACTCAACAGAACACGTCTGATGATCCAATGATCATTACTATGGATTTAATGGAACAAGTGTGGCATATTGTATACTATGCACTAAATGAGGCTAGAACAATAATGGTAAATAGACACATTGATCACGTGATTATGTGTTCAATGTATGCAATTTGTAACAAGGTTAACAGAATGAGAATTTCATTTAAAGATATCATTTTCAATTATCGACTAATATGTGAAAACAATAGGTCGATATCACCAGTAGAAATTGGAAAGATATTGTGGCAGGTACCTTTAGACAAGGAAGGAGAGTTTGGAGATATTGTGAAATTTTACAACAGTGTGTATATTCCAGCTGTGAAAAGCTTTATTCTTGATAAGACATCTGGCAACTCTCAATTCGAAAGACCAGAAATGCCCTATGTTGAGCTATTCGCCAAGACAAAGATTGCTCCAAACTTTGTGCTTTCTCCAAGAAAGTCTCAATATCCAAGGAGTGCCCTATTGTCACCTTCTAGAGACTATCCTGCTATTCAACTCACTCCTAGAACAAGGGCTCTCTATGAATTTGGATCGTCCAGTACAAAGAAACACTTTGATATCATTTCATCTTCTAATAATGATATATCTCAATCGGGTACAAGCGACTATAAGAGAGGTGTAAAACGAACATTAGATTTTGGAGAAGATACAGAAACGAGCTCGCATGATCCTGAACAGCGTAAGTTTGTTAAGGTTCATCAGCAGGAACAATAAATCCATATTGTGAACTGAAATTCTGATTGAGATTATCTCTAAATGATAACCTCCCATCTTGGTGTGCTATTGTCTCTTTTCCCTTACTACTACAGTACAAGTATTGACCCTGTGTGTTGATCTCCTTCTTGCGCATGTCCCACGAATCATTTGAAAATTTACAAAGAAGAGCATAGGTCACCTATACAGACCGTTGCGGCCAATTTCCTCTGATCTCTTTCCTACATGTCCATAAATGGCTTTCTCGCTTTCCTTACTGTTGTTGTTCGACGTTGTGTACAAGTTGGTTTTTATTGAGAGAGAATCCTCAATGTTGATCAAGCAAGGGCTCTTATTCCAGCAACATGATTTGAGAGAGATGACTCGTCATCATGCTGATGTGCGATAAAGAGCCACCACCGACTGTCCTCTCGCTGCTAGTCGAGACAATCATCATGGAATCTACAGGAATCCTTCCAAATATTCATTTTTGAGAGTTATTGGTTTTCGCATCGCATAAAAAAAAGCTCTCTTGAGCGCTAACTCCATCTACAGTTCTCCTCTGTGCAGTGGCCACTTGTCTCATCATCTCCCTCAAGACCTTTCTTGCCAAACAACAGTCGCTAACGTCTTTAAAAAATATATGGACAACAAGCTCTAAGGATACATCATTGTTATTTATTCGTAAACGAGAGAGAGAAAGACAACAACAACATCATCGAGAGTACAGTGCGTATATTTCCTTCGACTCAAGTCTTTTTGCCATCAAAAACTTGCAATAGCATATCATCATTAAGATAGTTTTCATTATCGCCATTGAAACCATCAACCCTCAACCTCAAAAACAATCACCACTTGAACACCCTAGGAATGTCAGAGTCACCAACAAAGTTTTTCGATGAGTCAGACACATCATCTACAAAAAGCGGAGGAGACGAGTCCAAGAAAAGGTCAACGGCCATGAAAGATTCCAAATCTAATGTTAGCCTTGGGGGTGATACCTCTCGGAAAAGAGAAGGATCGCTGATGGATCGTCTTGTAAACTCATCGAGTTCGGCCAATCTTCTTCAAAGCAAAAATAGTATATATGCTGTTTCTACGTCGTCATTAATACCCCAAGACTTTTTCAGCCTTGCCAGAACAAACTTCTCTGATGGAAAGCAAAAGGACATGACCTTGGCCATGTATCAGTTCAGTGGCCTGAATGGACTCAACAGCAATGACGAAAATGTCTTCATCAACAACTGTTTGACCCTTATTCACCCTATAATACAGAAATACCACGGCGTATTCCATAAATATTACGATGAATATCTCATAGTAGTATATGAAGCACGGCATTCGCAACAAGCAATTGAATGTGCTTTCGATTGTATAGAGGCCATAAGGAAGAATGCACTAGAATGCTCGAAATCCAGTAGCTATTCAGCTCCTGGAGCCGAAAGGAACTATATTCTGTTAGAAAATATCAATGTCGTTGTCCATACCTGTCCTTGTAAAATTGCTCCAGTTCATTTCAACGAAAAACACTCAGATTTTACAATCATGACACCTTCTAAGGATGTTCTGAGAAGAATGGCAAACCTAGGCAGAGTGTATGATATTCCGATTGTTATTTCTTCTCAAGTTGTACAGAAAAGCGAAATACTCAACGCTAAAACATTCAACAACCCAGCCATGAACATTACTCCAATAGGAAAATACTTTCTTGCCAACTCGTCGACTGAACTCTATCAAGTTTTTGATACCAATTGGGATGTTTTCCTATATTCGCCTGATAGAAGGAAGGATTTTAGGACCTCGCTAGATATGTTCCAACAAAGAAAATTCATTGCTGCCATGAACATATTCTCTAAGTTACACAGAATGAATGATAATGACAAGCTGTCCTTGTTATTTGTCAAAGTTTGTAGAATGTATCAACAAAGTGAATTACCTCCACAATGGGATGGTGTCATTATGTTGGATAAGGACAGTGAGCCCTATCCTATCAGCAAAAAACCAAAGGGGTTCTACATCCAAGCAGGTATTAGTGCCTCTTTCCATCTCGGTGACGAGCAATTCATGTCGCACGGCAAAGACAAGGAAGAAGAAATTCGGCTATTAACTGAATCCCTCAATCAGAAAGCTCTCATGATCAAGGACATGAAAGAAATTCTGTCGGTCAAAGAAACAGAACTTGCCAAACTTCATGAAATTACTGAGCTCTTGATGAAGGAAAAGAAGCAACTGAGCCAACAACTTAAACAAAGCAATGAAAGAAAAGCAACGGATAAAACAGCTCAGAAAAAGCTCCAACAACAAGACAGCAAAAATTTACAGGCCATGAACAACACAGGAGGAAATGAACATCAGCCAGTACAACCTTCTTCGTCAACAAACAATACACATAGTCGTGATGCTGAAGCTGGATGTATGGGAGGATTGTTTTCGTGTTTTGGAGGCTCAAAATCTAGTTCGCAACGAAACGCTCGTCATCGAAATGGAAGAAAGAAATATGTTGGAAATAGAGTCACACCAGTAAATCAATAATTATTTTGTTATCGTAACATGAAGGATTATGTAATTGGGATATGGACTCCTTTCGTCAATCATTTTTGTTTTTTGAACTTTAAAAATGAAGCAAAGTGTTCGAGCCTCGCACCTCTTGCGCTTTCCTCGTCATCACCATTTCATCGGATCTACTTTTTCCAAGATACATAACAATGCTCTTCATCATGAAACATTCCACAATGTTAAATCATTGATCAAAAATAATTTATTTAATCCGCAATTTTTATACAGAACTTATAATTCCAAAACAACTACAACAATTCCGAACTTTGAAGTTTTATTAACTGAAAATGAACAACCTTCGAACTTTGCGTATAAACATGTTTCGGATCCGTCCACCGGTTTAATTGGATTAAACTTAAAGTCTTTGGAAGATTTCCAAGTTTTAATGCGAAATGCTCATAAAAATTGTGATGATCTACGAAATAGTATTGTGAATTTGAAAGAAGAAGATTGTGCTTCTAAAAAAGACTATGCTGAAAAGATTTTGGACATGTCTGATGAAATTTCCAATCAACTCTGTCTATTTCTTGATGCAATGGAATTTATTCGATGTGTTGATCCTAGAACTGGTTTTAGACAAAAGGCTGATGCAGTACACACTGAATTCTCTCAATATCTCCACAAATTAAACACAGATGTGGTTTTGCATCAGAAAATCTTGAGCGTAGTCAAAGACAAGTCGCTCGTTGATACTTTAGATCAAGTTCAAGAGAGATGTCTTCGCTTACTTCAAGAGGATATGGAAAAACATGGTGGTGTCCATCAACAAAAAGAAGAAGACAAAACTGTTCAACTAAGATCATACATGGACACTTTGTCCTATTTATTCAGTGAATCTGTATCCAAGTACAACAACCTTGAATCGAACGATATGAAATTTATTGAAGTGAACCCAGGTGATGTGTTATTCAAGAAAGGAGCCAAATACTTGTTTAAAAGTGATAACAAATTTTATGTCAATCCCAGTTATTATACAAATTTATTAGTGAATCAGAAAGATGAAGCCACTCGAAAAATGATTTATCAAGCCAAATTCTCTTCTTCGGAAACCAATCTTTCAATTTTAGATGAGCTACTTACTGCCAGAGACGCATTTGCCAAAGAGCTCTCTTATCCATCCTATGCGCATTGGTTTTTACATGATCAATGTGCTCGTACTCCAGAAAATGTAATCCATTTCCTCACCGACCTCTCACAAAGTATAAAACCAAAGGTAGAACAAGAGCTGAAAGTTTTGAGAGAAATTAAGAAGAGCGATGACATTTATGAATGGGATCTTTATCATTTGAGAAGTATTGCCGTTCAAAGGATTGAATCACCATCCGTATTTGTTTCTGACTATTTTCCTCTTCATAAGGTGATGGAAGGAATTTATCATATTTGTTTGAGTTTATTTGGAGTACACTTGGAACCAATGAAATTGTCATCGGATGAGTCTTATCATCCAAGTGTTAGAAAGCTTGCAGTAGTTCATGAAACAGAGGGATTACTTGGTTATATTTATTTGGATCTTTTCAGTCGGGAATCCAAGAATGTGGAGGCTGCCAATTTTAGTATTCGATGTGGAAAAACAACCATTCATCAAAAACCAGTGACAGCCCTTGTGTGTAATATTGATCCAACAGTGGTGGATAACTTCTCTGCGGATCGTGTGTATCTTCTCTCTCACTCTGAAGTCACTACTATCTTCCATGAACTTGGACATTCTCTTCATGTGATTTTTGGACAAACACCATACCAAAATCTATCAGGTACCAGAACGAGTATTGATTTTGTAGAGACACCTTCACAATTCATGGAACATTTTGCATGGGATTATAGAGTCCTTCAAACATTTGCAAGGCATTACAAGACAGACGAACCATTACCACTTTCTCAGTTTGAATATTTGAAGAAACGAAAGCAAATGTTTACTGGGCTGGATATTGAAGAGCAAATCATGTTTGGTCTTATGGACATTACCTTCCATTCAGGATGGCCTATGATAGACTCTGTGACAAGAACCAAAAAGTCAACCTCGCAAGTTTTTGCCGAGTTAAAACAGAAATATGCTTCCATTCCATGCTGCGAAGGCACATCCTATCCAGGGCAATTCATTCATTTCAGCAATTATGGAGCTGGATATTATTCGTATCTCTATTCCAAAGTTTTTGCTGACCACATGTGGTACAAATTCTATCATCCACTCGAAAATCCTTTGAACAGAGAAGCAGGAGAAAAATTCAGAAAAGAGGCGTTGTGTGGTGGAAGTAAGGATCCAACCTTAATTGTCCGAGATATGCTTGGAGAAGAGCCAAATCCTTCCTATTTCTTGAAGCAGTTCGATTAAGGTTTTCTTTATTGATCGTCCATTTCTCCTACAGAGAGTCTCTTTCTCTTCATATCGTCCACATTTTGTAAGGTGGCCAATTGTGAAGAATAAATATTTCTAAAGATTGCTAGAGTATCGAGTGGTATTTGGTATAGCTCCATTCCTTCATCCACAACATGAGCTAAAAAGTTTACCAAATTTGGTGAGGTCTTTGTGGAAATTGCGTCTCTAGCATGATCTATACACAATATTTCAACAAATTTCTTAATAAAATCTAGTGAGAAAGGAGGTTCAATCATATCAAGAATAGAGTTAATAACATGTCTCACCAAAGACATGTCCATTCTCTCAACAATAAGATCGTGAATGGTTTGAAGTGTTGGTAGCACGTAACCTAGTTGCATTAGATAAATAATAACGTCAAGGAAAATTTTCTTAATTTCAATGGCTTGAAGAGGATCCAAATCTCCATGATTTGCATAATAACATTTCTTGACAATATTCAACACTGTGACAGAAAGTGGCTCATGTCTGAAAGCAATTTCCTTCAACAATGCCATATACATCTTGGTGTTGTTTAAAGTGAACATTGTGATAGAGAATTGGGAATCTGTAAATATAATCCCAACCCAATACAAAATGCCTGCACAAACTACATTGTATATGAGACAAGGTCTAAAAATTGACACACTTTTAGGAAGTGTTGTGTTCGAGCAAATGGAGATAGCTTTTTCAAGTGCTGCGGAGAGTGGATTCAAATTTGTGTGGTTGCTCTCTCCAACAACGGATGAAGCATATGCCAATACATAAACATATTTTGGTCTATGTGCTGGATTCACTTTTTTGGAGGGGTTGAAGAGGTCTTGTATGAGTAAATCCAAAACGTCACTGCTTTGAATAAATTCTACAGGAGGAGCATTTGAATTGCTATAATATTTGTACAATTTTAACACATCTGTAGGATTGGTTGCGTTATTATTCAGCATAGAAAGCACTATTGTGGAAATGTCGCTAATCGCAGCTGATTGGGCATAGTCTGTTTGTTCTCTCTTGTAACGATACTCGTATTCAAGAAAAAGATATCGTATCTTTCTGATAATATATTCTGAAGCTTTTCCTTCTTTAAGTGCATGGTGTTCAAGCTCTTCTGACAAAAGTAAAAGTTGATCCTTAAAGCTAGGGACTTGTGAAATGAGAGACTTGATGATGCATTGCGCATAAATGTAGGTATATTGAGAGTGACAGCAAATCTTTTTGAAATCAGAAAATTGTGGGCTAGCATAGAGACTTTCTTCTGTCTCTCTAATTAGATTTTCAATAGAATCTGTGAGAATTCTATGAAACACTTTGAGAGACGTTGTTGCTGTTGTTACAGAAGCAATTTCATTGTGGAACCCTGATTCACTGATTCTCTGAATAGCAAAGTTTAACATGAGGCAATTTGGATGCTTTTCAGAGAGTTGATATATCAAATTTCTCCATTCAACGTCGTTGATCATATACTCCAACCATTTGGGTGGATCTTGCGAAGCAGTGAATATAGCATCGGCCTTTTTTGAGTCAAAGTTATCAATTATCAAATTTTTTAGATAATCCATTAATATTTTGTTAATTGTGTCATGATCAATATTGGCCATAGTCATCCAATCGCATAGAAGTGAGGTCATTTGTGGATATCCTCTGTAGCTACTGCTCAACATTTGTACAATAGTTGACGGCTTGCCTCCGTTCTTGATGTATTGTTTCAAGTAATCAAAGATGAACGGATTAGTGATGGCATCATTCTCAGAAAATCTTCTCTCACACTCATCCAGGATCTGTTTTGTAGGGTCCACAACACTTCCGTCTATTGATGATGATGAAGAAGATGCTCCTCCACCCGAAGTGTTGCTTTGACCTCCAACGTTTGGCGCAGTTGCCGTTGTTGTTGGTGGAATCATTTTTTATGAAATAAAAAATTAAATGTTTATAACGGTTATTGTGTGATGATGATCATGTGGACGATTCATGTTTGCTTGCCATTGGGTGATCGTTCCTATCTTTTATTTCATCATCATGTGGTGTAGATAGTCAATAAAGTCTTTATATTTTCTATCAAAATATTAAAATATCGCTTTTAAAGTTGTTACAATTACTCTTGTTCAAGGATTTGTAAAAGCTCACGACCATGGCTTGAACTCTTTAGATGCTCTTTATCCACCGTTTCAAAACTTTCAAACCATGTGTACCAAAGAGGCTCAATGTTCCAATCGCCATCAAAGAATGTTCTTCATTAGCCGGCAAAAGGAAAATATCTATCAAAAAATTAGCAACACTCAGTCGGTCACATTAGCGCCATCATCAGCAAAATTCTTCCCATCAGAAATTGGTGCTAGCATACTTTTGTGCGCAAGTTGGATTGTTCTTAATTTTGTTAGTGGAAATTTCCATTGCTTGCTTTGAAAATATTGGATTTTGAAATTGTCATTTCATCATTGTAGCAATAATTATTATTGGGCTTTCCGTGATTGAGTGCATGTTTTCATCAAAAACACGATTTAATTTCAACACCACATTCGACTTGTTATGTGTATGCTCAAAGAGGAGAAGAGAATAATTAGAGTATGAATACATCAACACTACCGAAACATTCAACTACTACTGCAACAACATCATCAAATGGATCACCGACAACGATAACGAACAACAACAACCCCAGTACTGCAAATGCCACCAACAACAATTTATCCACATCAACAGCAACAAGCACAGTCCTTTATACAGGACTGTTATACATACCTGTAGTGGGAAATAATGGAAGAAAGCCATCACAAACACCAAATCTTCTCTATAAGGAATATTATTCGGAATTATATGCACAAGTTTCGAGTAGTAACAATTCTTCAAAATCTATTTCACTCAGCTCTCTTGGAACAATGTTTGCTTACTACACAGGAACTCTTTCATCGTCTTCCGCTCCACAAGTACAACACTTTTTAAATTTGTTTGAAAAGGCTCCACAACAGTATATTGATAGCTTGGGAGGGTCACTGGATCCACAAGAGGTGGAAAACATGAACGGTTCTTCTATATCGTCTTCCAATTTAACCAGACCTCTTTCCTTTAATGGTAACACGAGCTTTGCCACTCAACCTTCAAACTCCAATGATGGCCCAACATCATCAAACACAGCCAATAATCCTAAACTCCTCATGAACTCATCTTCTCTTTCTTCTCCAAACCTCTCTTCAAATTTAAAATCCTCTGTACAGACATCCCAAAATTCATTGTATACTTTTGTTCCGGGAAAAAAGTCATCTCTTCCAATACTTTCTGAAAGCATGAAACCTTCCATACAAATTCCACTTAACAATGTTTCTGTTCGAGTAAGTGAATTTATTTTCTTTTTTAATTTAACACTCTTTTGCATTGTAATTTGATAGCTTGACCCAATGGAAGGATACTTTTATTATTTTGAATTAATATCACCCTCTGTTATTTATAAATTCTTTTGTAGATCTGATCATGAAATGCGAAGATGGACCGAGTTAATTGAAAAAGTTTCTCCCATATGTAAAGAAAATGCATTGATCGAAGAAGCAGAACGAAAAATTGTGGAACTTGAGCGATCTTGTAACACAAAAAAGCAGCTCACTCACAACAATGAAATTAAGCACTATAGAATGAAATATTATCATCATATTCTTCCTTCAAGCTCGAATGTAAATGCTCCTCCTTCAAGCTCATCCGGAATGCTTGTCAACAACAACATTCAGAGAAGAACAACGCCTACCATCACTGGAAATGATGCTGACACAAGCCAATTCAAATAGATAGTGAGCTAAATCAATAATATTCAGACAGAGGGGAGAACATTCCATTTGGTCATGTACATTTTATTTGCATGATTGCTATTATGCTTCGTACAGCCACATTACATTTTTGAAAATCGTAAACATATAAATTATTCTTTCACTTTGAGTGTTTTTAGAAAAAGACACTGTTTTTCATGAATTTAGCTCTGTATTTCCTCGTCTAAAGTTAAGGTACGACAGTGCATTGAATTTTTGGATGTCAAACCAAGTTTTTAAAAGATTTTTCGTTCCTAATCCAAATAGTATATTTGATCGAAAGTAATAATAAGGATGAGATTCAATCTTATTGAAACAAGGAAAGAAATGAGAAGCAAAAATTGGAAAGCATGGGTCTTTAGCAACGTCTTCCAACTTTTCTGGGTTGATTTCTGCCGTGAGTCCATGTTTGGTTTGACAATCAGTCATTAATTTTAATTCCTGTCCACAGGGTGTGTGCTCGGCATGTAAGTAACTTGTTAAAGAAATCACAATATTAATTGTTACATTTGTATTTCACAATCAAATCACACACAATATTCACAAATTCCAACACCGTACCAAAATGAACACTTTTGCAAATTCTCCTTCTCAATAATGTCTTCAGGAGCAACTATCGGAAAAGGTCTATCATTGACCACAAAATAATTTGACACAATTCTGGGCTTTACATGATCAATCATTTCCAACACAAATTCCTCACGCGTTCCTGTTTGTTGCTCTTTCAAGGACATTTTTTATGCTGAGGAAATCTGTTGTATCCTTTTTGTTGTGTTGTTGAATTTGCAGTTCTTTGGATTTCAATGATCGAGAGAGTTCATCCCAAGAATTTCAACGTTTCTTGGATGGAACAAGGGCAGATGAAACGTTGCACTACAAGGCTAAAAAATGTCTGCCAAAGCATCGGCCCCAATTAATTTTCAAAATCATCATCATGAAACCGAACCTGGCGTGGTTGATGATGGTTTATTGTCGGTGAGCACAATGGAGACAAGCAGGCAGAGCGGAGAAGGCATGCAGTCCTCTTCTTCGTTATCACAGCCACAACACATACGATCCTTTTCAAATCAAGGGATTGGTTCTACCTCTCCGGGTAACGGTGATGGCCTCTTTTCTAAAATAACCAAGTACTTTAAACCAACGCCTCCCACACCAACAACACAAAACGGATCATCACAATATTCTCCTTCATTGAGCAGTAGCACCAGTTCATCAACCTTTTCGTCCTCCAGCATAACAGCAAACAATAGTACTAATAACGGAACAATTGGAAATACAAATACTGCCGATTATTATCAGCAAAAACAAAAACAACTACAAAAGAAACAAAAGAAAAAGGGTCCTCCTAAACCTGGCACAATGACAAAGGTTATCGGTGCTTCATTTCCTCTGGAGGCTATTTCCGAGCAAATTGGAGTCTTCCCAACAACAAGCAACGAACAGAGCGAGAGAAACTCTTTTAGCGAATTATCTACTTCTCAAACAAGTTCTTCAAAGAATGGAGTCTTTGATCCCTTTGCTGACTCATCAGAACAATCTAGATCTTCTATAGGAAGCGACAGTGCTTCTACACCAACTTCTTTTGTAATCAGAAATTCAGGAAATATCAGCAATTATCTTAGTGATGACGAAGGTGTATCTGAATCAAAGATTGAACGGTTCAGACATATATTAAACACACAAGAGGACATCGATGTTGACGGCTTAAGAAAGCTCAGTTGGAGAGGCATTCCTTCTTCTGTTAGAGCAATGGTTTGGAAACTGCTATTAGGATACATACCATGTAATCGAGAACGATCAGAAAAAATTATTGCAAGAAAGCGAAAAGAATACCTAGATTATGTGGCAAAATATTACAATGAGGAGCATTTACAAAAAACAGAACAAGAGACTGCACTTCAAAAACAAATACATATCGATGTACTAAGAACAAATCCTGACCTTCAACTCTTTCAACACCCAAGAATTCAAAATTGTTTGGAAAGAATATTGTATATTTGGAGCATAAGACATCCTGCCAGTGGTTATGTTCAAGGTCTTAACGATCTTGTGACACCTTTTATGAGTGTATTTTTATATGACATGATGAGTAAGTTTTCACTGTTGTTTAACTTAATCTCTGAACAACATTTCGAAATAGAGTGTGACATTTTATCATGTGATCCAGATCAGATCCCAGATGAAATTTTGGAGTCAATGGAATGCGATAGCTTTTGGTGCTTCACTCAATTTATTGATTTTATACAAGACCATTATACGTTTGCACAACCTGGAATTCAGAGAATGGTAAACAAACTCGAAGAAATTATTCAAAAAATTGATGCGCCCTTATTCACACATTTACAAAACAATAATCTAGAATTTATTCAGTTTGCTTTCAGATGGATGAATTGTCTTCTCATGCGAGAGGTCTCTCTTAAATTAGTTGTAAAACTTTTCGATGCTTACATTGCAGAGGGAGACGACTTTGAAGGTCTTCATGTGTATGTTTGTGCAGCCTTCTTAAAATCGTGGAGTGATAAATTGCAGAAAATGGAATTCACAGAAATGGTTCTATTTCTCCAACATTTACCCACACGACAGTGGACATTTAACGAAATGGATCTTCTCCTTTCTCAAGCATACATGTTGAAGGTTCTTTATGATGGCAATAACCATCTAAACTAATCTATTTATTCTTGAATGCCAAACATTAAACACACATTGGCAAGCACGTTTTACACTTTCCTTTTCGAAAAAATGAATCAATTCCGAGGCCTTCTCACCAACAACCATCTGTTCCGAAATAACCATTCACCAATTTCTCTGATTCCGAAATTAAATATTTTCAATTTCTCTTTAACATCATCAACACTTTTTAGCAACAATCTTAGTAGTATTTTAGCAGCTAACAATGTCAAATTCTTTTCAACAGTAAATCTGCAACAGGCCACTAAAAAGAATAATAATTTTGAAAAAACTTTCAAGTCAAAGTCTACTCGGAAATCATCGTCATATCATGATAATACTGATTTAAAAGATAAAACAAAATCCAAATTGGAAAAGAGGCTTGAAGATATTCAACGTATGCAAAGATGGAAACAACATGCTCAACAAAAACATGCAGAAAAGAAAATAGCTCAAGTCAACAACCTGTTGAGCGACAAATTGACAGATTCCCTTCTCCCCAAGTCTTCAGAAATTAAACCTCGCTCTTCAGTTCTTGCGAGAGTAGAAAAAACCTCAGTAGGAAGAAGAAGACATGGTCAAAAGGAAAAGAAATTTGAAATCAATGTATATTTCCCAAAACTATTTCGATCCAAAGTCATGAAAAAAGTTTCATTAGACAAAATAGATAATTCTCTACCAAAGATTGCATTTGCTGGACGTTCAAATGTTGGAAAAAGCAGTCTCATTAATTCTCTAGTAACTAAAAAAGGGTATGGAGGAAAGGCAATTGTGAGCAGCAAGCCAGGAGAAACGCAAGATATAAATTGCTATCAACTTGCCAACGCCTTAAATTTAATTGATTTTCCAGGATATGGGTTTGCATTTGCTGACGATGAAAAACGATTGCAATGGATTCAGAACATGCAACAATTTCTTTTGAACGCTGTGAAAATGAAAAGAGTGTTTATTCTAATTGACGTAAGACACGGATTTAAGGAAAGCGATTATTCATTTTTATCATTTCTCAATCAGTAAGTACTGTAAGCATATTAATTGTTGTCACGAATATTTACTTGGAATGAATTATAGAAATAAGATCAAAAACCAAATCATTCTCACGAAATGCGATCTATTGTACCCCGATGAAATTGCCAAACAATACGATTATTTGAAGGCACAATTACAGGCACGTCCATTCAATTACACCTGTGAAGAGTTGATTGTTGTCTCTGCCAAGAAAATGAATGGAATCAGAGAGCTGCAAGAAGAAATTCTCGCATTATTACCTGACAAGGGAGCACAATTCAGAAGTACAGAGAAAAACATACCCAAAGTTCCAGAGGTGCCAATAGCACGACCTCCTCGACCCATGACTCTTAAAAGTAATGATGAAGACCCCTTCATGGAGAACACAACGAAAAAATCAACAAGCTCCATGAGGTCATCCAAGAAACGAAATGAAACCATTTCAAAATCACCAACAAAGAGGCTCTCCACAAAGAATAAACGCACAGCAAGGAAGTAACAGAGAGTTTCTTGTTTCTGTCAACAACATTGCCATTGTTTCTTACATTATTTATTTTACATTTAAGCAGCAGGTGTTGGACATGGTGGAACATTCTTCAAAAAATATGGAGCGCATACATCTTGGCTCTTATTGGCACAAGCCTCACACCAAGGAGTCGATCCAGTAGTACCGTGCAATTCAGCACCAGCCTTAAAGGTGGCCAAAGGACAGAATTCACTCTCACAGCCCAATTTAGCCAAAACTAATGGAGTCAAATGTTCCGAGTCATACTTCTCACCATACAACAAACGAACGGTTCTATTTCCATCATTCATTTGGTGCAATTCCAACACAAAGTGAGCACCATACTTTGGAAGTCCCATTGAGAAACCAGAGTCGGCATCATTCAATCTCAAAGCAGCAGCTAAGGCTTGTAAGGTAGAATCGTGAGCCGAGTAATGAATGTACTTCTTCTTAAATTGAGCAATGTTATCCAACAAGGTGGTAATCAAAATAGAGGAACCTTCCTTTCCAATGACATCATAACCGTACAAGATTAACAAAATTTCATCACGGTATTGTTCAAGCAAGTGCCAATTCTCATTCACCCAATCAATATGGATCATGTCATGATACTTTTGAACTTGCAAGAGGTCAATCAAAGTAGAAATGGTGGCATCTCCTCCAGTCCAACCAGTTTCATTGTACAATCGATCAAAGAAGGTTCTACGAGCAGCAATGTATGGGAATACACGAGTGATGAAGGCAGTTTGAGTTCTCTTTTGAACAGTATTGCAATAAGTGAAGCCCAACAACAAATTTTCCATATTATCTGCAACGGTATGAATTGGAACGGATTGAACACCATGAGGAAGAGAAAATTGACCACGGTGCAAATCTTGCTCTGGATTTCTGTACTTTTTAATGGCTCGGTTACCAGTACCAGGTGGGAACAATCCTTGTGCAATAGAGACCATACTATTCAAAGCACGATCGAAATTAGTGCTACGGAACAAGTAATGAGTAGCATTGTAGTGTTCGGTGATGCCTTGAATTTGGCTTGGACTTCTATCTCTCAAATATCTTGCTCGAAGCTTCTTACCGAGTTTATAACATTCCTTTTGTCCTAAGCCTGTCAAATCACCCAAAGAGAAGCCAGAAACGAGTGGCCAATTGACTGGGTCTTTTGGAATTTGAGCAGAGGAGGTTGGTAATCTATCGCCATGACGAGAAATGACTTGTACTTGGAGGATGCCAGTCGAGGAGACTCCTTGTTGGCGTTTCTTGGCACCACGAAGGGCATGACGGTTGCTGGAAGCGAAAACGGATGCGACTAGGAGCATCGTCATCACGAGAGCACCCACTAGTATGAAGGTCTTCATGTTGATTGTGTGTATTTTGTTTTGATGAATCTTTAAATTGTTTAACGCATGTCATTTAAATGTTACAACAAGTGTTCAATAGTGGCCACAGATGTTTGTTGTTTTGGCAAGAGTTGTCAGGATTTAAATAACTCATGCCATTTATGTCAAATGCAGCAAGTGAAGGTATGAGAAAGATTGCATGCCAAATTCGCACGGATGACAAAAACAAGAAAGATCGTCCGGAACATGTCTTTCTTCAACACATCGGAATATGTCAACACCATCCTTGAGAGTGAAATTTGTTTCAAAAACGAAATTAAATCATCATCATTCTGCAATTGTTACGGTATTTACAGTTATCCAAAATATTTACAGTTGTGTGTTGGATGCACTTTCAAGTTCATAAGAAAAAGGTGACATTTAGTAAGGACAAATATTGTTTCCATGTTTGTCCCGTCCTTATCATTTAAACAAGGTTAATGCTCACATAGCGAATAAAGTCTCTCTTCTTTGGAATACACTTGCTCATATTCTTCATTTTCTTCTTGTAGGTGATACTTTCTCTGGTCCATCAAATCTAGTCTGCACTGTTGAGCTCGCTTCAGCGTCATGTGTGGCAAAAATTGCAGGATGTTATTCCTTAAAAGGTGAAACGGAATGATTTTACACAAAATCAAATATCTATTCAATAAATGATCCAACCGTTGCACGTCTACATCTCGAGTGGAAACAATTGGGTTTTCAGGATCGACAAGAAAGAACACAAGAATTTTTCGAATGGCTGGTTTTGTAGGATCTGTTGGAAAGAAATGCTTCACACGGTGTTGATTGGTGTTGGGAAATGCAACACAACGGTCTTGTTTGGTTTCCACACTGCCCAGTATTTCGAATTTGAGATTTCCTTCTTTGGCCTCAGTTCTTTCATCCATGTCGTCATCGCTTAGAGATTTTCGAAAATCTAACAAACTTGATTTCACATTCTCAGATTCGTAGTAATAAATTCCTGTCGCCACAATATTTTCATAAAGCCCCTCTGTGTGCCAAGTACCTCCTGGATAATAGGGTCTCTCAGGTTTCACAATAATATTAGCCGCTTTGACAATGACTTGAAATCGATGTGGTAATTGTTTCTGTAGCACTACTTCCCACATGGGCACAAAATATTTCATAATTTCACAAACAAGTTGAGCTAATTTTTGCTGCTTCACTTGACAAATGTTGTTAATGTAAGATTCATAGGTGATGCTTGTGCAACTATTTCTTTCAAATTTCATGTCATCCTCAATTGTTGAATTGTTCTTGTGATTAAGAGATGGGTTATTGTTGCAGTCTTTCTTATCATTCAAATGGTCATGTAGTGTATGGGGTGAGAACGACGACGATGATGATGATGTATTCAAATGAAACCAAGTGGGTAGCCATGAACAATCTGGAAGATCGTCTTCATTCTCTCGGAAAGGAGAATCCTCTCTAAGAGTGCTATGCAAATAATGAAAACAATACAATGAGGGATGAATTAAATCCAACACTTGTCCATTACTTCCCGGATGGTAATCCTTCTCCGATTCCTCCATGCTATGCTCCAATTTGAAAAGTTCTTGCCTTAATTCATTACCCAACTCATTTGGAATACGATGATCTTGAATCAAACAAATATTCGGATAACCGGAACCGTCCAATAAGGTATAGTCTCGAGTGCATTGATGGCATGGACACCAACAAGGTCTGTCCTTTTCGTTTTTTTTGCGTTTCTTATGGTCCGAAAATTGTAAATCATCTTCTTCTGCATACACAACAGAAATTGTATTGCACTTGCCACAGCAAGGTACCACTCCTAAAAAATCATTCCTCAAATCTTCAAGAATTTTGAAAGCGACTTGAACGCTCTCCTCTGAAATTCGTATGGTATCGCTTAAACATTCCGATTTCCATTTCTCGCAATATAATGGATATTTGGAAATCCAATCCGATTTGTGTTTGATTTGTTCAACAATCCACTCGACATCACTGGGTGATATTTGGAGTTTCTTTGTGTATTGAGGCTGATGAGTGGGAGGCAGACCATTCTCATCATTTTCATTAGGGAGAGGTGGTAATTGGATTGGAGAGGAACATGAAGATGCTGAGATTTTATCATCATCATCATGCTCATGATCAGAACTCACTCTCTCCGAATGTTGAGTTTCTTGTTGAGTTTCTGGATAGTCTTCATAATCCAACAAGTCCTCATGTTCAAGGTTAAATGAGTCGTCATAGTGCTTGAAGAAAGATGTGATTCGAGAAGGCTGTTCTTGAATCATCTCCTCCTCCTCAACAAATTCATCATCAAATGGATCTTGGTCATGTTGAGAATCATATGGTTGCTTAAGAGGAAACAACAGGTCATCATCATGGTGGTTCATTACTTTGACCTTCTTTTCATTCGATTCATATTCATGATTCCAATCATTGAGAATGGATTTTCTCTTTTTATACTCCTGGACCTTTTTAACAAGGAGTCGTTTACAATCTTCATGTTTCAATTTTCTTGCCAATGCGTAAGGAGTTTCTCCATTCTTTTTTGAAAGATTGTTGCAAGAATTCATTGTCAACCATGAAATCAACAAATACAGAACTACCTACATGATTTTTAATCGACCATGAAGCACGGTGGTCCAATAGAAGAGAGACCATCTCAGGAAAATCCATTTCAACTGCCACATGTAGGGCTGTTTCATGTGAAACACAACCGGCTTGACTATTTTCTTGTTTGGTGGTGTTTAAATAATTCACGTCCACATTTCCGTGTCGTAGCAAGTGTTCCGCTACTTCAAGATTACCATTTGAGCAAGCCCAATACAGAGCATTCTGCTTGTTGTCAATATTTAAGAATAATTTTGAAAAGAAACAACGAAAGAAAAATTTTAATAACTAATGAAGAAGAATATCGAACACATACACCTCCACTATTACGTTCTTGATCAATCATCGATACTTTGTTCTCTTCAATGATTCCCTCTACTGTCTCCAAATCACCCGATTCGCAGGCCTGTATTAGGTTTTCGATTTGCTGTTGGTCTGATGATGACATTTTTTCACACAACCAGTGGCCAAATGCAACGTCTTTGTTCTCTGGTTCCTCAAAGAATACATGACGCTAATAATGTCAAACACTCCATCTCAGCATCATCATTCGGAGTGGGATGTCCTCGTGCAAAGTCGTCTCACCAACCTTGCGATCCAATTGTTTTCGTTGTAAAATGGAACGAATTTCGAACTCAAAAAAATATCTTGGAATCCCTTCCAACATCCATCCTGTCTGCCTCCAATTGCGATTCGTGTAAAGCTCTTGCTCTGCAATATTTGTACACGTACTCTGTTACTGTTGTTATTTGTGTGTGAGAATTCATTGCAGCCAACTGTTCATCAACTCCGAGAATCAATTGTTACTCTTTGAATTCTTCAGCTTTTTACTTGTACGCGTCTACAGAACTGAGACTCTTGTCCGTTTGGTATACCATTTCCTGTTGGTTTGGATTCAGTGTGCATTCATTCCGCTCCAACAACTATCATCATTTCTACAAAAGAAGGATTCCTATTTTGAGTGATTAGCAAGAAGCCTTTTCGGATTCCTTTTTTCAACTCTACCAAGGTTTGTAATCAATTTCTTTATTATTCTAACATCTAATTGAACCCAATGATGTCCTCCCACGAACATCGCACTCATTCTCTCTTCCTTCTTGCTTCTAACTTGTAAAAATAGGTATTAACGTACTTTTTACTTTTCCGTTTTGTGAGTGACCTCACCTGTTGTTTTCCGTTTGCAACGTTTGTGGTGTTTCATCCTTCATTATGAAGAAATTATTGAAAGAAAGGCAACAAACCTCTCCCCATACTCCTGGTGGAACATCGAGCACGAGCTCCACGAATTCTTCATCAGTGATAACAGCAAGTACGATCTCTAATCATCCTCACCATCATCATTCATTCGGAGTCAGTACTCCTTCCGTAGTATCCTCTCCGTTAGATTCTTCGTTTTTTGTGACCTCACCTGTTCCAACAACCCCAGGCGTTATTTCTCTCATCTCTGCGTCCTCATCTCCGGCAGTAGCAACCAATAGCAGCAATCACCACAGCACTAGTAACAACACTGCCAGTGTATATAACAGTATTGTAAATGCCCAAATGAAAATGGAACCTAATACCCCTACATCGGCATTGTCAGGCATGAGCCATCTCAACTATTACCCAACAGCTGCAAGCATGATGCAACAACATTCTCTTCCATCCATGAGCTTTGGTAGTAATAATGGAAGTTCACAAAAGCAAAGCAATCATTATCCTTCGACTTCATCTCTTAGTTTCTCACACCTGCCTCCAATTCAAAGCAATAGTCAATTGGACAAACAGCAACCATCTATTTATCCATCAAACAGCCAACACTCTCTTTCTGACATGCCTCTTCCAAGCTTCTCAATTCCATCTACTGTTATTACTCCAACTACTTCCCAACTTTCATCATCTGCTGATCAACTCCACAAAAAGTTCTCAGCGCCAAACTTGACTGGCAGTAGTATTGCCAATGTTTTCCAACAACCATTGACAGAACCAAACAATTCTGCGTCATCAAATACACAAACATCTAAATCACCACTCCCTCATTCATCTACGAGTTCTACCATTGCCAGCGCTGACAGCCCTGTTGTTGAATATATGGATGATGACGATGGCTGGATTGTCCAATGGTTTAATGAGGACAAGAGAAAAAAGTGGAAAGTTAAAGTTCCTCAATTCAAGTATTGCAAGAAGAGAAAGGAGCATTTTGATAAATCATTCCCTGATACATGGTATAAGGCTCCCTACAAATATCACATGCATCTTGAAGTAGCCAACATCTTGCGAGAAGAGAATGTGATGGCTCAAATTGACCTCAATTATGAAGATGGTCAAAAGGTTCTTTCTCAACAAAAAACAAAAGAGTCTAAAAAGGGAAAGAAGAAGAAGAAACAAGATGATAAGGAATCAGGAGAAGAAGAGAAAAAGTCAGAGGAACCTGTAATTACCAACAATGAAAGCTATTTCAACTACCAATCGACAAGCAAGTCTACTGTGACTATTGGACCATTTATGTACAACATTTGCAGCTACAAACAAGAAGGAAAGAAATTCCGTATGGTTGTTTACCTTTACACCATTAATAATACCACCCCTTACCATCCATTCCAAACACAACCTGTAGATATGAACAACAATGCAGTTTTGTGCTGTTGCCTGATTTCCCCAAGTTTTACAATTAGAGCTAAGAAGCCAATCGTGAAACCTGGAATTAAATCAAAGAGAAAGAGAGGCGCTGAGGACGACGACTCAAAGAGTGGCGACGAAGAAATGGATTATCCTCCTTCCCCTACTACAAATAACCACAAAAAGATGAAAGAACCAACCAATGATAGCTCAATTCCTGTCAATTTCCATCCTCGACCTCACGAAAACTCCCTTACACAAAATGCAACTCAAGCCATCGATGAATTACTTGAAAGTTTGTATCGAAACAATGCTGTCTTTGACCCATCTCTCGTTGGAACAGCAAGTAGTAGCGCAGCAAGTTCAAGCTCTGCATCTGCCTCATCAAGCAGACAAGAAATCAACCCAGAGGAAAAGATTAAGAATATTACTGAAACATTCCAAAACATGGCTGACTCTGAGAGAAAGAAATTACTGAATAACATTATTGAAAGCTGCTATCCACACGAAAAAGAATATCTTTATAGAAAATATTTCGAGAATGGATATTCAGATTTTGGTGACTCCTCCTATTATCAAAACCAAACTCAGCCTGCTCACATGCAAACCATGCTTCAACAATATCAAATGATTCAACAGCAACAACAAGATTTATTTGCCTACTTTGCAGCTCTTAATAACAACCCTGCAATGGCTGGATCTTCGAACATGCAACTCGTGCAACCATCGGCCTCTTCCACAGTGGTTAGCGTCGGCTCCTCTCAACCTCAATTCCAAGCGGTTCAAGTGCAACCAGTAATTATTACAAATGCTGCTGCCGTTGCAAATAATTCAACAACCATGCCTCACAAAGCAACTGCTGTCATTGTGAATCCATCCTCTTTGTCCTTTGCTTCAAATCATCAACCCAGTGATGTCGATCAATTCTTTACTGAACTATTTGATTAAATAAATTCATAAAATTGAAAAAAAGTTGATGCCTATCACACGTCAGCACAAACAAACAAAAAATGACGATCACCAGTGGAGGCTATCCAAAGCGCAAAGCAAAGAGCACAATCAAGTTCTGTACAAACTTGTGCGTTTTCTTCTTGTTAGCCATTTCTCTACTCGGAATGATGGTTGGAATTATCGTACTTGGAAGTAAGTGATAGCAAATGAAATTGTGGGATGTAATCAACATTCGAATCCATGTTACTTGGATCTGTGTGGTGTCAAAACCAACCTGATTGCTGCTATACTTCTAAAAAAACCTATCCTTGGCAACGGTTCCATTCCGTTTGATAATCATTGATTGATCACTTTGATGATTGAATAATGAAAATTAAATGATGAAATAATTGATGATTGAAAATTCAACAGCTAGCGAAAAACCAGATCCTGATTCACTCACCAAACTAGTCACATGTAACGTCAAAGAAATTGCTCCAAGAACATGTACTACTTCTTGCACGCTCACTGTCTATGTTCCTGTTTTAGGAAAGTCAGTTGTCACTGAGCCATTTTCTTCGAGTGACAAGGCCTTCAGTTACACATCAGGTCAAAGCATTGATTGCTATGTCAATCTGTACTATGAAAATTATGAAAATCAAAAAGTGAGCGTGAATGAAGTTCAAACTAATTTTTCTTATGTAACCTCAGTAGTTGGAGGAGTCATGATTGGATTTTCCTTTTTATTATTAGTAATTACTTGTGGATTGAGTTATTATTCTTGCGCCATGTTGATTAGACCTTAACAGTACTTGTTGGACACTTGATTCAACTCTCACTTTTAATAATGTAAAAACATTATTTTCCATCATGAACATCCTCTCAATAAACAACAACATTTACTTATTGTTGTTTCAAATAAATCTTGCCCTCGTTGAATTCGTTTTAAAAATGCTCAAACTGTTTCGGCCTCTCGTTGCTTCGTCCTCTCAGCTCCGAAACGGAGGAAAAGCCTTCTCATCATCATCATGGAATTCTCTCTCTATTACGGTACTCCATCATCAGTCCAAAACTAATACTACAGCATCATTACTAATGAATTCTAAAGTGATGGATGTCAATACAAAGAGAGGAAGTGCAAAAAGAAGTGTCGGAATTGTTGGAATGCCCAATGTCGGAAAATCAACACTGTTTAATGGTAGGGTTGGTTAGAATATTTTACATTGCTAATGTACATATTGATTGAAATTTAATAGCATTGACAGAATCTCAAAAAGCTGAAGCTGCTAATTTTCCCTTTTGCACTATTGAACCTAATGTGGGTATGTGATAATGGCTATCATCAAGTGAATTTCAATTTAAATAATTTGAATTAATTTGTTGATGATATCTTGAAACACAAACACGGAAACCTAACAACAATGTTGCTTTCAAAAAACTTTTATGAAATTTAACAATTTGCAACAGGTGCATGTACAGTTCCTGATGAACGTCTCGATGTATTAGCTGCCAAAGCAAAAACAAAAAAGAAGGTACCAACCTATATTGAAGTGATTGACATTGCTGGACTTATTAAAGGAGCCGCTGAAGGAAAAGGATTGGGAAATAAGTTTTTAAGTCACATTCGAACAGTTAATTGTATTGCTCAAATGGTGAGATGTTTTGAAGATCCAGATATTACTCATGTCGAAAATTCAATTGATCCAATTCGTGACGTTCAAATTATTGAGCAAGAATTAATTCTCAGTGATTTAGAAGTTGTTGACCGAAATAAGAAAAGAAAAGAAAATTCAACTTCCAAAGACAAGATGGATGTTTTGACCAAATGTTATGACACCCTAATTAATGAAAAACCATTATATGGAGTGAACTGGACTGCAGGAGAGCAGCTCATTTTGAAACAATTCAATTTCTTAACAACCAAACGAGTTTTGTATATTTGTAATGTGGATGAAAAGGCGCTTGTGGATGGTGGAAATAATTTCACTCGTTCTCTTCAAGACTATCTCAAACAACGAGGAAACGATATTGATCCTGTAATTGTGTGTGCACAATTGGAATCTGAGGTGGCTCAATGCGAGCCCGAATCAAGACTGGAATTGTTGAATGAATATGGGCTCAAGGAAACAGGCCTTCAAAAGATTATTACATCCTCATACAAACTCTTGGATCTTATTACTTTCTACACTGTTGGTGTTGAAGAAACTAGGGCATGGACTGTAACAAAGGGGAGTACCGCTCCTGAAGGTAAGTTCACTTGTTTTCCAAAAGGAAGTAAGGACACATTAGTATTCAAAATTCATTATTGACCTTTTTCACTGTAAATTTATGTCACATTGTTGTATCTACTGTAGCTGCTGGTACCATTCATAGTGATTTTGAAAAAGGATTTATCAAGGCTGAGACCATTAATTGGAAAGATTTCTTGGCCTGTGATTGTGATGAAACCAAAGCTAAACGAAAGAATCTCCTTAGAGCCGAAGGAAAGGAATACATTACCCAAGATGGAGACGTTTATCACTTTAAATTCAAAGCATAAATTTGCAATTTTTTGACCCTCGTCCTCTCCGCACATTCTTTGACATGGCAGCTGCATGGGCACGAACACACGTTGAAATTATTACGATGCCCTTCTGTGACCACAAATGTTTGTTGCGTCAACTTTGTTTCCATTTTCAACATTCTAAAAAAATTCAGTTCGAAACCTGAGAACGACACATAAACGAACACGGGTTGTGTTTGCGAAATAATATTATCACACGACGACCCTGAAGTACTAGTTGTAGCAATAGCGTAGTGCACTTGGAATACAGTGAGCACACAGTGTTGTCTTGTTGTTATTGGTATTTGACAACTCTGTCTCTGATTTCAAAGGAGGAGCAGATTTTTTAATTCGGTCTTGCTTCTGAAACATTCCGGTCTATATCCAACCTCAAATATATGGACTTTTTGGACTACATTGGATTTTCGTCAAAGGACAATAATATTTCTAATGAGTTAGTAGCCATCATGTTTTCATCCATTCAATTCTGATGATTATTTTAATATTGTTTGTGGTGATGATACTTTAATGCTATTAATATCAAATTCGTGATTAATTCCAACATTGGACCAACACCATCGATATGAACATCAACAGATCTATGAAAGCTGCAAATACCATTGATTTTTCTGAAACATCTTCTCCGATATGGCTGTTAGGCTTGATGTATCAGCCTTGCCTGATTTGCTCGGACGAACAGGGCGGATCCATGTTGGATAGCTCAATGATGATGACCTCAACGGCGTCTTCTTCAACTGGTACAGGTTTGGAGAACTCTTCCATGTCAGTTTCTTCATTACCGAATTTTGCAGATCAACCACAACAACAGCTTCCAACTCCGAATACAATCAATAACACAAATTCCATGATGAATCAGCAGCAAATGTATGGACAATTTCAACAACAACAGCAAGTTTCAAACAATGATGAAAATTCACCCAAAACGCCCTCAAAACCAAAACGATCTTTCTTTTCAATGCCAAAGAAAAAGAAAACGTTTTCGGATAATGATTTGGTGAAAATTTACCACAACAAGTTACAATTTGAGAGCTTTTTATCAGATTTTGAATCAAGATTTTGGTTAACATACCGAAAAGATTTTGAACCAATCTCAAGCAACCCACTACCAATGGAGCAGATCGAATTACAAACTGTCAATAGCTTGGGAAATTTAAGCTCAATGAATAGCAGTGGCATTATTAGCAGTCAGGGAAGCGCATTGAGCTCAGGTGCAAGTCATAATGGAGATGACACTCCATTCTTGACAGGATCATTTACTAACTCTCCTCCACACGCTCAATATTACTTCAACAATTCTAATGGCGGAAATCAATCAACGAAATCTGCCTCATCCTCCTCACTAAGCAAACTGTACAGATATGTGATTAACTACACGGCACCCACCTCCGATACTGGATGGGGTTGTATGATGAGATCAGGTCAAATGTTATTAGCACAGGCCTTTTTAACACATTACCTTGGCAGAAATTTCCGATTACCAACTACAGATAGGACAAGAGGAATGTATCAAATTATTCAAAGTTGGTTCTATGACTTGGACGCATGCCCTTATTCCATTCACAAAATCGCAAGAGCGGGAACCTACTTTGGAAAAAAGGTTGGAGAATGGTTTGGACCTTCCACAATATCCTATGTTTTGAAGTAAGTATTTTGTCATTTTCCTACGAGTAATCAATATTGATCGGTGACATCTTTTTAGATTGCTTGTTGAGCAACATCTGAGAGGTGAATTTGTGGTTCATGTGGCGGATCAAGGAGGAATTTATATCGATGAGTTACTTGGTAAATGCGAGTATGACTACGAGGAGTTTTCCATCGATGTGAATAATGTACAGAAAGAAAATACAGAATCTATTTATCCACAAATTGAGTGCATAGGTCCAAGACTGCGTGTGACAAAGAAATGGAGACCCTTAATCATTTTAATTCCCTTGCGATTAGGTCTAGAAAATTTTAACACAGATTATATACCCTCAATCAAAAAAGTGTTTGAAATTCCTCAAACATTAGGGATAATGGGAGGAAAACCTAAATCATCGCTATATTTTATTGGATATCATGACAATGAAGTTATTTATCTAGACCCTCACACCACTCAGAAATCATCTCCAAAAGAAGAAACCTATCACTGTAAAACGCCACTCAAAATTCCAGTTTCCAAGATTGATCCTTCTATGGCTCTCGGATTTTTGTGCAGCACAAGGCAAGATTTTGACGAATTCTGCAATTTAGCTAATCAATATTTAACTCATCGATCTCATCCTTTGGTTTGCATTCGAGAGCATAAGCCCCAAGAGAAAGATTTGGATGTTTTGTCATTCGACGACATGTCCGACGAGAATAATCACAAAGAACATCACGATGACGAGGATGACGACATTGTGTTTGTGTAAATAAACAACTGTGCAATAAGTAAGGAACTTTTCAAGATCTTTTGTTTGTGTGTAGCAAGGTAAGTAGGAGAACATAAATTTGCATTCGTCATCATTATAATCTGCCAGGTGTCAATTCACAAGTTCAATAATAAAAAAAATGGCTACAGCACTGGACTATTGTTTCAAGTTGATTGTCATTGGAGACTCCGGAGCAGGTTGGTTGAATATTTAAAGTTGGATATTCTTATCGGACTATGTGTATTTTCGAACCGTTTCATATTTTCAACAAACCATGCAATGAACATCATTCGGAACAAATCTTGTTATTTTCAACAAACATCAGGAAAATCTTGTGTCATGAGAAGATATCTCGAAAGCAATTGTATGTTTAAATGTTACATTGACAATTGTCATGCCATCATAATGTATCGCTTTAATTTGAAAAACACATTGGATGGTCCATAACCTCCACTGATTGTTGGATGATTTGAAATCAATGGATAATATCAAACAAATGAAATTTTCAACAATACTAGTCTATGAAGACCAAACGCACACCATCGGAGTTGAATTTGGAGCTAAAAATATTAACTGTGGAGGAAAGAAAATTAAATTACAAATTTGGGATACGTAAGTTCGAGTCATCGAATCCTACTTGTGAATTTATGAAAATTTCAAATGTAAAACCTTAGAGCCGGTCAAGAACGATATCGATCCGTAGTGAGGAGTTACTACAGGGATGCCATCGGAGCAGTTGTGGTTTATGACATTACCAATGAAGAAAGTTTTAGAAATGTGAAACGATGGATTGAAGATGCAAGAGAATTGAGTGATGATAATGTGACATGTGTTTTAGTTGGAAATAAGAAAGATAAAGAAGATGAAAGGAAAGTGAATTTTATGAGAGGAAGTCAAATGGCACAAAGTTTAGAAGCAGCATTTTTTGAAACGTCAGCTGTCACTGGAGGTATGTTTCTTGTAATTTACAGTACGATTTAATGTTTTAAATTGAATTTTTTCAATGAAAAAACAGATGGAATTGAGGATGTTTTTGCTAAAATGACGAAATTGATTCTAACAAAAATTGAAAATAATGATTTAAAACCAAAAACAAAGCAATCCATTCTACTTGATGCTGGAAAAAAGCCTCAAGAAATTGAATCGTCAACGAATGACAATCAATCGTGGTCATCTTATTGTCAATGTTAATATTAATCTAATTCCAACATTATTTTGTAAATTTTCAATTTTCTCACATTAAAAAAAATGCAAACACTGAATCCAGTCACACTTCAACTCTGCGACTCCGATTTCACGTCCAATGCTGTAACAATCAACAATTATTTAATTCATCTCCTTTCTATGAAATTCGCGCAAAATTCTCAAAAATCTTTTTCAAGAAAATTTACATTAATTGAAACTTTGGGATCTCCATTACAAATCGGTTCTGACAATTTTCATTTTGCTCGTCCCAATGATGTAAAATTATGTTATTCGACTCGTTGCATTCTTGTCAGTGACACGCACAATCAACGAATTCAATCCTTCGATCTCGATACGAAAATATTCAAAGGAACGATTCATACACCTCATTGGCCTCAATTTTTATGTGTGATTGAGTCGAATTTGAAATATATTACAACAACAACAAGTTTTGGAAAATATGCAAATAGAAAACGTGAAAATAGTGAACATGACGCATCCGTACTCGTGTCATGTTCGGATCATTGTGTCTACAAGTATTCCATTCGAAAATGCATCGATTCATTTCAACAATCCAATACAATGACCAAATTCTTGAAATCATTCGTTGGAACACTCATTCCCCAATTGAAATTAACTGAATATATATGGAAGAGTGGAATTTCAGGAGAGGATGGAAATTCATTGCATCATTTTTCACAACCCTCATCGATGGCTTTGGTCGAGAAACAACTCTTTTCACACACCAATGCATCACTCTTTGATAAGCCATTAATTTTACCAAGTTGGGAATCACAACCATCCAATTCTATCACCAATGATAGTAGTAGAAGTAGTGAAGAAGACTGTAAACACTCTAATGAATCGAATTGGCTCGTCTTGGTATGTGATTCCCTTAATCATCGAATTAAGGTTTTAAATCCGACAACAGGACAAGCACTTGTTGCCATCACTCATTATCATGAAATGATTCAACGAATGAGTGGACCTCAATTGAAACTTGTGCGATTTTTTACACCAAAATTCATTGTGGTTTCGCCTCACACGCAAGACATTCTCTTTGTGGAAAATTTAAAATCAAGTTCAAGAATTGTCTTATTGAGGCAAGGTGATTTTTCCAAAAATGGAATTGCTCATTGTGTACATGTTCAAGAGAAGTCTGTCACCATTAAGGGACTATTAGGGGATTTAAATGTTTCTGGACTCATGTATATAGCAGATCGCAATGGAATTTCGATTCGAAATGTGTTAGGACATTTGACAGATGAGTCTCCATTCAATGGAAATTGTGAAGTATACAGTCCGAGTGGTATGTGCCTCAATGAACACAATGGAGAATTACATGTTGTTGATTATGTCTATCATACGCTCCAAGTGTTCCAATGAGCTTATTTTCAATTTGAGGACATGCACAATTTTTCAATTTTCGAAAATCCTCACTCCTACTGTACAAATGTACCTTTAAATTCTTACATTCATGGCACACACAAAGATCGAGTTTGCTTTGTGTATGAATCAATGATATCCAAAGCTTTTCCTAATCCGTCTCATGAGTCATTTTGCGAAAAACCAACGAATCATCCTCCTCACTCGAGGAACATTCAAAAATTTCAGAAAAAAAAAATGGATCGCCATCAAGTCCTTGAGGAATTTGCTGACTGTATGAAAGATCAGGAAGCGATTGAGAGTACGTTTGATAAATTAGTGAAAGAGAAACGAGCGGATCTGTACAAGAGTGAAACGGATTTGAAGAAGAGAACGGATAAACATAAGAAGAGAATCAAATCTTGTTTGGCCATGTTGAACGCGTTAGAATCAACATCCTCATCATCGGATAATGGTGCGGCTGATGAGAATTTACAATTGGCTGAGAAGAAGGCTCAACTCAAACACAGTTCAAAGAAGCTCGAGATGATCGGTAAACAAACGTTGAATACGGGTGGATTTTTTGTAGAGCAATTTCTCGGAAAGGAGTATAGTGTTGTTTTAGTGGGCGACGATTCGAGAAAGTTTAATTTCAAAAAGGAGTATGAGACTTTCAAGTACAAGTGTACTGTTCTGAATATTCCAATCACGTTATTGTTAGCCTTCTTCTTTCATTCCCGAGTGTTGGACACTTTTTATCACTTGTATTTGACATACTTTTATTTGACATTGGCCATCAGAGAGAATATCTTGGCAGTGAATGGATCTAATATCAAAGCCTGGTGGATTAGACATCACTATTTGAGTATTGTATTGGTCATTACGTTGTTGACTTGGCCAGAAACTGTTCTTTATCAAGCGTTTAGGCCTTACTTTTTACTTTATGCTCTCTATGCTTCAATTGTGCAGGTTTTACAGTACAAGTACCAGAAAGATCGTCTCTATGTAAGAACAGCTATTGGAAAGTCAAGTATGATGGATGTGGCAAATTCTGATAGTTCCCAAGTCGTTGTTGAAACTTCTCTCGCTCTCTTCTTCCTGTTACCTTTCATTTTCTTGGGACAATTATTCCAACTCTACAATGCATATCTGTTGTTAGATATGGGATATTTCAATACTACGAACTGGAGAGATGTTGAGTGGCAAGTTTTTGCAAATGCAGCACTATTCCTCATCTTGGCTGTTGGTAACTTTGTCACCACCGTCGAGGTTTTAGTTAAAAAGGCAAAGAGAAACAAGAAGAAAAAACAGCAATAATCACAGGATTAGTCTCACAACCCAATATTTATTCCCCATTTCCACAATCATTCAATGAAAACCGCTTAATATTACCCACATTTTATCTTGTTGATTTATTTTGTAACTTCTTCAAAACAAATTTCATCGTTATAAGGCGAAACGGAGGAAACCTTAACATCAACAAAATCACCAACTTCATAGTTGTTGGAAGACTTGACGCTTGCCCTGAATGCTGACTCCATCAAATAAAGTGACAACACAAAAGGAAGCTCATCTGGGTCGAGGCTTGTCACCACATTTTTCTTTGACTCCAACACTAAGGCCTTGTATCTATTATTTCTTCCAGAAAGGGTGGTCAAGTTTTGTTCGAAATACTTCAACAACCAGAACCTTTCACTCTTTTTTTGCAAGCTTGTGATGGCTCTAGTAGTTGGTTCAATAGCAAAGAGAATTTCCTGGATTTCATCCCAAGAATAAGGCTGTTTTTCTCCTCTCATTTGGGCCTTCAGTTGATAGTGAACTAAGAGGTCACTGTATCTTCTAATTGGTGAAGTAACTTGGACATAAGTTGAACTACCAATACCTTGATGAAATTTGGGAGATTGATTGATGCAAACTCCAGCAGTTGGGAAAAACGAGTTGTTGGATCGAACAACCACATCACATAGATCCTTTTCTGATATTTTTGGTGTTAGAGAAAGCATTTGATCAATTTCATCATCTGGAAGTGGAGGAATATCCATTGTAACTGTTCTTGTTCCTCTGTAAGGAACCGCTATGTCATGTTGTAATGCATAGTGACCTCCAATTTCATTGGCTGCAATCATAAACTCCTGCACTAATCTTCTGGATGAGCTAACCTGTTCCTCCCAACTAGTTCCAATTTCGAGAGTTTGTTCAGAGTTAGAAACATCAATTTTTGGCTTGGGAGAAAGAGAAGGTGGAGTAGCTCCTTTTCTCATACGGTACGCAAATCTCAGATTTGCAACGTGAAGCATTAATTGAAATGCGTCATGAACCTCTGCGTCTACTTCGACAGTTTTGTCAATAATTTGATCAGCAAGAGAATAATCAATCTTTTGAACCTTGCCAAGAATTGCAGGAAATGCCTGCCATTCAGATAGAGAGCCATCACTGCCAACCTTTGAAGAAAAAGTGAGGGAATAGTTTTCCTTCTTGTCAGATAAACTTAAAACATCTTCACTCAGCTCCGATGATATCATGTTAAACTTTCTTTCTGGGAGATAAATGCTAGACACTCGTTTTTGGGCCTCGTAGTCAATCGATGAACCTTGGTTGATGAATCGAGTTACGTCTGCAATGTGTACATACATGTAAGTGGCTCCATCTCGTACTTCAACGCTCACTCCGTCATCTATTTCTGTGGTTTTTGGATATTCATCAATCGTAAATACAGGTAGATGACGTAAATCTCTTCTAATCTTACTATCTGGATCTATGGAATTAATTATTGCCTCAATATTCTCGTGTACTAATTTTTTGAAATTATCCTCTTCCTTCATGTGACACATTTCATCCTCCATTGACCGCAACAAGTGAATGTTCTGTGTTGTGAAAAGTTTCAAGTCTCTAGCCACTCGGAAAGCTTGAAGGTGATCATCCGCTCCAAGAGGTTTGAAAAAGGTCTCGTAAACTCTCTTCTTGTTGTCCAAGTTGGCGTACATTCCCAGCGCATACTGTCTAAATAGTGAAAGTCTTTCTTTATCTTGTTCCTCGTCGATTTCAAGAAAGTCTCGAGTAATTTCCAGGTCAGGACGCATAGCTTTGATTTCCTTCATTATATTATTTCGCAATTGCTTGTAGAATAAACTTCTTTCTTCGTTTGTGGCTAATAAACGGTTAGCGATTTTAAGTAAAAATATTTTATCTTTCAAAATGGTTTCCTTCTCTTTGGATCCCATTTGTTTGAGCTCTTCAACTTCTCTAAGTGAGCGACACTCAAAATTGAGATTAGAAGTATGTTTGAAGTAGAGTGGGTTTTTGTAAAGAAATCGGTAGGCAGAGTAAAGGGAGGCAGGTTCTGTTGATTGGAATAAATGTTCAGCAGCATCTTTTATCGTTATCTTAACGCTCTTTCGTTGGAGGAATGCTTTCCACATGTTATCACAATCTTCTGATGTTAATTTTTCTATCATGGCACTGCTTTGAGCTTGCAACTGTCGAACGTCATCAATATTGAAATTTTGATCAGTATTATCTGAAGAGAATTGATAAGTTAGTTGACTTGAGTTTACCACTCTGTTTCTTCCGTTAATGTCAATAATCACCCATTTGTTGTTATTCTCGTCCAACGATTCTGGACCTGTAATAATTGCTAACCTTCGTTCAAATTCATCATCATATTCAACAATGACGTTTGTTTGTTTGGATTCTTCTTTGAATGCTCTTGAGAGATTCACAGAGCCAGGAGAAGCAAAGCTACTCATGCTATGGAAAGCCCTCTTCCCAAACTGGCTAGTTGTTGACTCTCTCATTCTATTCTTGCTTGGAGAGGATGGGCAACTTACTGAAGGAGTTGATGATGTAAGTGCAGATGATGTACTATTTGTCTTTTTATAAATTCGAGATCCAATATATTGAAGCTTCTTTCGAGCTCCATCATTTTGTTGAATTGATGGTTGAGTAAGAATGTTCGAAGATGATGTTGCAAAATCAGCTCCTCCTGGTTCCTGTTGTAAGAAGAAAGCCTCTTCATCATAATATGGGTTTGGTGCGTTAGCGTTGTGGTGGTGAGGTTGATATCGTTGTTTTGGAGTTTGACCGGGCGATGCGTAATAGGTGTAATTGTTGTAGTGATATGTTTTGTAGTTGAAAGCATCGGTTTGGCATTGGGAGGTATTTGAACCGAGCTCTTGGTTGTGTAGGAGGATGATAGTGATGTGGCAGGTGAAGCATTGGAAGTAGTAGGTGATGAAGAAGATTTGGGAGTAAAAGGTGTTGTTGATTGAGAAGAGTTTGATGGAGAGAAGGATTCACCATAGAATTTTACCGAAGTAGGAGGATTAGGTAAGCTCTGGTTAGAAGTGAGCATGGAGATGGATGACTGGGAAAGTCCTCCTGTGTACTTCTTGAAGTGATGATGATTCTTTGACATTTCTCTGTGTTTATAAATTAATGATTGGATTTGATAGTTTGGTCGGTTTGTTGTTCTTTGAACCTTGTAACGGCTACCTCAAATATTTCTTTGCTTTCGACAAGCAACTGGTTAGCGAGTAATACCAAAGAGTGATCAATAGCTAAACAGAGAAAAGAACGTGTTGGATGATGAGGTGTTTGTTATTTCAGTTTCTGTTTGCGCAATCCTTCAGAGTGGGTCTTCCGGTTGCTTCAGGGTGGATGATGAAAAAGATGCAAGAGGATGGTTGGTTTATTTTTTGCGGTGGTAAGGCAAAGATGGAAATTTTCTAGCTGCTTTACAACAACGCTTTTGATTGCGTTTCAACTTGAATGCAAACAAAAAATGATTCAAAACAACAACAATTCAGAAGTACAAGAAAGTTACTCTGATCACACGCCAGAAATGCATCATGATGATGATGAGGATTTTACAAGTATTGTACAGGAACTGTTATTTGTTTAAACGTTCCTGAATTATTTGAATTCGGAATTGATAATTATTCTCATCGGCTGAAAAACGAGTTCCGAGGTATTAATCAAATCCCTCTCAATGTTCCACATTTGATATATTATAACAGAATTGAGCATGATAAGTTTGGAAGCGGCCAGGGACCAAGAATAAGCTTTTTTCACATATTTACAAGAGAACATCCAATATTAATTTTAATTTTTGATGAGACTGAAGAGGATTTCACAATTCTCTCAGAGGACAGCGATGATAGCAAATTTAAAGAGATTGCCAGTCAATACAAAAGTGGATTATTCATCAAGCAAATAGCTCCATACTCTGAGGAAATGAAAAGAAATTGGGCGGAGCTTGTTTCATTCATTGATGAACCATTCTTGCAACGGGTTGAGCCTATTAATCGAAAAATTACTTCCACTCTGCATCAAGAGGAGCAAGAAGATCCAATGAAGAAGAAATCAAACACAATTTTTTACACTCACATCCCACAAAAACTCTCACGAAAAGGTCTCACTCCTGAACAAATTACCAAGCTTAACTTTGATAAGTCCCAATTGTTGGAGGAAATTTTACAAGCTTTCGTACAACGTGGGTCTACGATGGAAAGAGCTGCAAAGGAAATACTGGCCGAGATTCAATTTTCTTTTATATGCCTTCTTCATGGTCAATGCTTGCATGGGCTAAATCAATGGAAAAAACTCGTGCACTTGTTTTGCAACTGTGAGGATGCTCTATTAGAGCACAATGAGGTTTTTATTTCATTTGTTAGTGTTTTAAGATGTCAATTTGAAATGCTTCCCAGAGATTTCATTCAAGATATGGTAGAACATGATTTTGATCCCAATGAGGAGCAATTGTTGGAGATGACATCATCCTCAAGCTGCTCCTCAGAAACCAAAGAGCAGCCTCAACGAAACCAAAAGTCGAAAGTAAGCAAACGAGACCACTTTCTTCAAAAAACTCTTCTTCAGCTCTTTCTCACTGTTAAATCTATCGAAGATGATGATGATGAGATAAAGCCAGCATCTTGGTTTTTATTTTGTAAAATTATTGGTAAATTCAAAGAATTTTTGGAACAAGAGTTTGAAGGTTGTAAGGACATGTTGCACGAGGACGAAGAAGACGAACCTGTATATGTATACAATTAATTGGCAAAGATGATGACAGTACGTTGTTTTTGATATGGTACCAATTCATATCATCAATGACGTGACAATGTGATTAAGGAACAAGAGTTTATTTCTTCGCAGACATTAATTCATCATTCTCGTAAAATGAACTCTCCAGATTTTACATATTCTCGAACGCTATATTTTACATTGGTTAAACATATGATGAGGATTATTTCAAAACAGTTCGTGTAGATAGTCTCTGTTTGAGCATTTAACAAGTTCGTCAGTAACATTTGGAGTCCATTCAAAACATTCCATCATACGATTAACACGTTGAATTTTAGTTTTGACAAACAACCGTTCTTAAGGGTTAGCGGCTTGCTGTCCTTATTATTATTTAATCTTGTTCTTGAATTCTTAATAAAGGATACATCAAGCAGCTGTCATCTGATTCATAAAAAAAATATTGCAACAAATGGTGAACCATCATCATGGCAGTACCATCAACCATTTAATAGTACCTTCCGTGAGCGTCAAGAAATGCAATTGGCTGATTTTAGCATGTCTCGTCACGTTCTCAATCTTGCTCACCACTCTCATGATGATTTATTTTAAAAAACGAAATATATATTTACATTCATCTCACAACGATTGCACCACACCTTTGACAACAACAATTAATTTAATCAATCGATACACTCCTCCGAAAGTTCCCAATGAATTTCAAAATTTTATATTCAGCCACGATCGTCATTCAAAAAGTAATGAAAACATTGTGATTCCTTCGTCACAAAAGATTGAACATTATAATACTCGAATGAACAATCCTTCACTCTTTTCGAGTCATTACAATTGTATCAAACAATTACCGGATCATGTCAATCGTACAAGTTTAAATAATCGATATTCATTGAATTGGAAATCACTCTATACTTCATGTGTATTGGAAAATGTGTGTTTAAATAGAAGAGGAGAATGGATATTATATTTACATCATGAACATGAAAGAGAAAAATTCAATGAGCAAATTCTTGTACTTACGAGCTCTCTGAGATTAATCATGCATGAGTCGATCAAGTTTAAAATTCACACCAAATTACCTCCACACAAAGCTTCGACGCCATCCCATCAATATGCTTCAGAAAAAGATGACACGTCAATTTTTAAAATGTCAAAACAATTTAGTTGGATTCAAACACCAACATTTGCATTCTCACGATATGCTACCTCTAATGTGGGTCATTTGATTATGGATAATTTATTTTCAGTGTTTAATTTGATGGCCAATTTCGAATATGTGAACTCGAATCATTTTTTACTGTTTTTAGATGATCCATTTAACAAAGAGACTGGGTCATTACCGAGAGCAGGTCATTCACCAGAGAGAGCAGAGGAAGTATCATTGCAATGGGCAAAATTCTTCTCTTCCCAAAAACCACTTCAATTATGTTTTGATCGCTTCACAAATTCCTATTATATTCATTATGCTCCATGTCGGCAAGATAATGTGGAAAAATCAATTAAGGAACAGTTGCCACGAGAAGAAGGAGATGAAATACAAACATGCTTCTCAAGTCTATTCATTGGATCCGTAGAATCGCATTATTTTGATTTTTATGGCAGAGAAACGATATTTCCCTTATTTAGAAATTATTTATTGAATCAAGTTGGATTGTTAGAGCCAAAGAAATACAGCCACGAAAATCATCACGCAGTGCGTCGTCATACTCTAAAAATTGCCATTCAGAAAAAGCCAATTTCTTCCAAACACAAAGATTCCATTATTAACACGTTTGAAATTGCACAACATTTCAACGAAAAGAAGAATGAAATATTGACTCGTTTGAATACCATCTATGGAAATGATATCGACTCTTCTCATCGAGGCGTTGCTGCAAAGAAATTTCATTCCATAGAAATTATCGAATTGAAATTAGAAGAATTGAATGCCATGGAACAATTACATTTCTTCAAAGAATTAGATGTGTACATTACTACTCAAGGATCTGCTTCATACATGTCCATGTTCATGCTCAATCCAACCTCTCTTCTCTTCTTCTCACCTCTGTGTCGATCTGAAACTTTCCAATGTAGTGATTACAACATTAGAATTCACAAAACATTTTCCAACGTTCGAACCATTTCATTGAACGATCATTTGGACATGATTGAATGTGTCAAAGAGAATATTCCCAACGGAATAGGATACAAGGTTCAAAAAGTGGAACCACCTGGAACTGTTTATTATTATGGAGATTGTCATTTGAGATTGAATGTTGAAAAGTTTTATGCATTGGTGTTGGAAGAATTGGAAAATATTCACACAAGTTCTCGTCATTGGACCTAACGGAGTGAATGCGTTAGAACAGCTAGGATGAAATAATTTTTAAAGAACTTGTGTCTGATCCTCCTTAACAACGAAATGGTGATCATATCCAATTTTAGGCATTCCAAACCTTAACATAATATTAACCCTCAATTAATGATCATGCCATGATCAACATTGGATTATTCTCACACCTTGTGTCAAACTCACAATTTTGTACTTACCCAAGTTTGATCTGCTAAATTCATTCGGCAAGACTACTTCCCTTACTTCAATTAGAATCAAGATCCTTTTTCCACTCAAAACAGATAACATCTGCCAGAGTAAATTCAAATCATCTAGATATCAGGAGGAATTCTTTTCTTGGGTGTTATCCATTCTCTCAGAATGAATTGGAGAACAATAAAACTCAAAGATTAAACGGCTCCCAAAAAAAACAAAAAAATGTCCCAGCAACCAACATCATCATCCTCTCAGGCTCATCGTCATCACCATCCACAACTCACTGATACGGTACTTATGGTGAGACCCGTAGATTTTGCCTTTAACGAACAAACGGCTGTGGATAATGAATTTCAGAATAGAATAGAGGACAAATCAGCTTCTCAAATTCGGGATGATGCTCTCTCAGAGTTTGACCAGTCCGTGAAGAATTTGCGAGAGGCTGGTGTACAAGTTTTGGTTTTGGAGGCTCCTAAAACTCCACTCTCTACCAAGGTTCCTGATGCTGTGTTTCCAAATAACTGGTTCTCAACATGTGCTGATGGGACTGTATTTACCTATCCAATGTTCACACCAAACAGAAGAGCCGAAGTTGAACGCTTGAATGATGTCTTGGAATTGTTGAAAGGCGCCAATCTCACAGTGTCTCGTGTGATTGAAATGCACAACGTACCTTCATCATTGGCTTTGGAAGGTACTGGTTGTATGGTCTTTGATCATTTGAACGGTGTGGTGTATGCAAACTTGTCAGAGAGATGCAATGCCAAACAATTAGAACAATTTGTTCAACATACGAATGGAGCTAAAACCGAGTTGGTGACTTTTAGAACCAAGAGCTCAAATGGAAAGGAGTTTTACCATACAAACGTCATGCTCAGCATTGGTGAAGACTTTGCTATTGTTTGCTCGGCAGTCATTGTCGAAGAGGACAGAGAAAAGGTAATGTCTGCACTGAGAAAAACAAGAAAAACAGTGATTGATTTGACTATTGAACAAACTGAAAAGTTCATGTGTGCCAACGTCTTGCAATTATGCACCAAGACTGGAGGAAAAGTTATTGTCATGTCTGATTCTGCATACAATGGATTTACGGAAGAGCAACGAAACTTGTTGGAAAAGGAACACGGAAAGTTGGTGCTGTTCCCAATTAGTAAGACCATTGAAAAGATTGGTGGTGGAAGTGCCCGATGTATGGTTGCAGAAGTTTTCAACCCTTCACAAACCGATGTCAAATAATTTTGGTTAAAAAGATTGCCGTGACATGCTCTCCCCTTTTTCAGACTTCTCTTCATGCTATTCAACCATAACCATTCACCACTACTTGCCATAGCAATGATTGATTCTGGCCATTTTGAAATCATTTGGTAGCAGAGTAAATTTTGTGAGTTACTCTTTTTACGTTGATTTTGAAATAGGCTCATTGTTTAATAATCTAAATCTCCTGTTGCTACCTTGTAGGGATGTAGTTCCCAAATAAACGCCATATATAGCAACAACATTCCATTCATTCTTGATATAATTCATCACTAAACTCCAAAGCATATCCATTGAATGCCTCTGTCACAAGCTCTGCATCTTTCAAGTCATCAATTGCAAAAGATAGGGTATTATACTTGGCAAGGGCAATTGTTTTGCGTGAAATCCTCTCACATCCAACCCTCCAACAGGAATGACGTTATCGCTCCAAAGTTGTTCAGAAGCGCTCTCAAAAGTCTTGCTATCTTTCTTGATGGCTTCTAAAACAATTTCTTGATCATCCGATACATGATGAAGAAAATGTCCATCCTATTTGGTAAATTCCACATAATTCTTTGTCTCTTCTTAACCTTTTTGAACCGCATTCAACACAATGTCTCGTTTTTGAGTTCATTGCTTACGTATGCAAGTAAAAAATCCAAATTCTCTAACAACGTGGAGCATTATTTCTTTCTTTGAATCATCAAACTAATCAATAGTTTCGAGCTCTGTAAATATTAATTTTACAATCTTTAACATGAAATTATGATCTCTTAACAAGATACATGATACAATTCGAAGAGCCTGCTTATTTTGTTTGATGGCTTCAAAGATTAGTTCCTTATCTTTTCTTAATTCATTTCCAGCCATCCACAAAGCCATCCCATTTTGACGAACTGCTTTCTTAATACAAATTCTCTGTCGTTGTGATACATATCCCACTACATCCACTGTATTCTTTATAGCTGCCAAAAAACATTTGTTGATCGATGCGAATCATAGCTAAAATTACGTAATTCTGATCCATTGTGTTGAACACACAATCTCTATTTTCTTGAAGTTGTCTTGATGCAAATTGTAACCCATAACCACTCTTTTTGATATGATTCATCATAAATTCTTGATCGTTCATAAACTCTATTGGAAAGAAATTTGAATATTAATTCCCAATTCAACCCTCACTTCTTCTTTCCTAATGTTGTAATGAAAATTTCTTTTTTAATAATAAATTAATCTCTTTCATGATCCAAATTTTCATCACGATGTTCGGTTAATGAAGAAGAATTTAAAAAATCAACAATCATCACTCTCGCCATTCCACCATTTTTTCTTGGCTTGCTAGAAATCCTCTTTGTTCACTGGGTCTTGTCAATATTGTTCATTCTTTCTTGATGTAATTTCTGTTCTTCTTTCAAATTGTTGCAATGAATAATACTAATTCCAAACGATGAAGTCCGAATGTCATGACATCAGCACGACACGTTAAGACTAACAATTTTTTTCTTTCTTCCCGCCAACAAAATATCATCCATTCAAAACGAAAAAAATATTCATGAATCGTAGTGGAAGCTTTAGGAGAAGCCTTAGCTCAACGTCCATGCAACAAGCAGCAGCTTCGGCCAACAAGAGTATCAACAGTGTCAATAATAATAACAACCAACAAAACATCAACAACCACACCAACGACTATGAAGATGTAGATGAGGAAATTGAGGATCAAATCGATAGTGCAAGAAATATTGAGGATGATTTTGATGCTTCGAATCAACAAGAACATATTACTGTTGTTGTTCGTGTAAGACCACCGTTACCTCGAGAAATTAAAGCGGCTCAAGAACGAGGTGAGCCCTATGTGAGCACTATCAAAATTAACGACTCTCATAAGAGTTTGACCATCTCCGATGCCCTTGATAATGATTATGGTGTGGGTCATTCTTTTACTTTTGATCATGTGTATGGTGAGGACAGTAGACAAGATGAAATTTATGAGAATCATGCAAGAGGAGCAGTTCTTTCGGTTTTAAAAGGCTATAATGTAAGTTGATGAAATAATTACAACATGCATTTAGGTTGTTTTCAAACAATTTACAACAATAGGCCACTCTGTTCGCGTACGGCCAAACTGGTACAGGTAAGGTAAGTATAATTTCAAATGCACTAGCCACATTACAACATCATTGATGCATCCTCAGACTTTTACCATGGAAGGCTTTAGTGGAAAGCGAGAACTGAGAGGAGTAATCCCGAGAGCAACTGAAGACATATTTGATTGTAAGTTTCTCTCGTTTTTGATCAAATAGATCACTCATTTACCATCTTTGACTCCATTAGATATTGAAACCAAAGGTTCTTCGAATATTAATTTTTTAATCAGAGCTTCCTATTTACAGATTTACAAAGAGGTAATTTACGATCTACTGGACCCATCTAAGAGCAATCTTACCATAAGAGAGGACAAGAAAAAAGGAACGTGTGTTGAGGGTCTCACAGAAGTGGTCGTCAGAACTCCAAAAGAAATTTATCAACTTATCGAACGAGGCCGAAAAGGAAGAGCAAAAGCAGCCACCAAGCTGAACGAAGAAAGTAGTAGAAGTCATGCTGTATTTATAATCGTTGCAGAACATCTTGAACGAAGCGTTTCCAATGAGGAAGATATTGATTGTGCCAATGCTGATGCGATCACAGGAAAGCAAGGTACACATGAGGTAAAAGAGTCGTATCGTATCGGAAAGCTTAATCTAGTAGATTTGGCTGGAAGTGAGAGAGTTTCTGTGAGTGGAGCTTCTGGAGATCTACTAGAACAAACAAAAAAGATCAATCTTTCTTTGACATGCTTGGGAATGGTCATTTCTGCTCTCACGAAAACATACAAGAAAAAGGAAGTATATGTGCCATACAGAGATTCCAAGTTGACAAGATTATTGGCTGACAGCTTGGGAGGCAATTGTAGAACCACCATGTTGGCCATGGTCTCTCCAGCTCTTGAGTTTTATGGAGAATCCTTGTCAACACTTAATTTTGCAAAACGAGCAAAATGCATCAAAAACGTTGTAACAGTCAATGAGGATTTGGATCAACGAGCTCTTCTCAGAAAGTATGAAAAGGAATTGAAGAGATTACGAATTGAGCTATCAAAGAAGAACAAGACTGTAGTGGGAAAGCAAAGAATTCTAGAATTGGAAGAAGAGAAAAGAAGGGCTGAGGAGGATAAACTCGCAGCCATTGAGGCCTTGGAAGCACGATCAAGAGAATTCCTTCACGAAAAAACTCTCAAGAGAAAACTAGAAGAAAAGATTGCCCATCTTCAATCTCAATTGCTGGTAGGAGGTGAGAAAATTGAGGAAACACCAGCGTTCCGAAAGCTTATCAAACAAGAGTATGAACGAGTCCATAAGCAATACGAGAAAAAGTTAGCTGAATTGGAGCGAGAGCGTCAATCCATAGAAGAGGATAAAGCACAGGTTGATAGATACAAGCAATTGCTACTTAAACAACGAGACATCATGATTGCCCTCACAGCAAGACTCAATGAAAGAGATGAAACTATATTGTCACTCCAGGAGGAACTTGATGCTTATGATCACCATCAGAAAATGTTGGAGGATGCACTGGATAGAAAAACAGCAGCACTCATCCATCTACAACGAGTCACAGATGCTGGATTAAGTACTAAGGAAAAAGAAAAGCAAGCTCTCAGAAAAATCATTGAAGTCAAAATGATACCGTATATGAACACTATTTACAAGAGTATGAACGCCTTTGAAACTCCAGAAATGGAAGAGACCACAAAACAAGTCAAGAAGCAGGTGGCCACCGTGACTCAACTCATGAAACAAACGGCCAATGCTCTTTCGTTGAATTCCGGAAATTCCACTGAAGAACAATCCTCCACTTCCGAAGCCTCCTTAAACCAATTCCAAACTCATGAATAAATTGTACCATCTTGCTCCGAATAACTCTCTTGTGCACATAATCTCCTGACATCCATGCTGTTGTTGTCGAACCCAGTTGCGAACCACACTGGCACTGGAATCTTTTTTCTCAATCAAAACAATCCAATCAATTCAATTAGGTTGTGAAGAATTTTTGCGAAACGAAAAAAATATTAATATTGCTGCTGCCCTTCCTCATCATCACGATACATCAATAATTCTTGAATTTTCCAAAAAGATGAGAAAAGCAGCAACAACAACATCATACGTACCACCAACAACATCTACTACAACAACATCAGAACCGGTACCTCCTTCATCATCTTCTTTCATTAATAGTGTAACAAATTTCATTAGAAATTTACATAAAGCAAAAGGCTTGAGGGAGCCTCGTAAATATGAAGATTATAACAGAGAAGCAAAGGATTTATTTGTTACCGATGCTGGAGAGGGCTTCACTGTCCAATTAAACAAAATAATTGGACAAACAGCTCAACATGAATTTGGTTTGTCCCACTCAGTCTTTGTTGGTGGGAGCGGAATGAGACCACCAGATTATACCACTACCGTATCATTTGCAAACAAGACAACTAATCTTCTCTCTCAAATCCAACTTCCACATTATATTCACTTTTTCATGTTGAAACGTAAATTCTTGAATGAAAAACTTACGACCGAAGTGAATTATGCAAATGCAAATAATAACCTTATCGCAAAAGCAGATTATTCAGAAAGGGATTATGTGATTGATGCTCAGTATGATCTTGAGAAGGGCAAATTTCAAATTTCCTATATGCAAAGCGTGTTGCCATTCCTTCAACTCGGATGTTCTGGCTTCTACAGAACCTCAGATAGAGTGAGTGGTCTTTCTACATGTGTGCGTTATCAACCAACAAAGGAAGCTATTGTTACTGGTGAAGCTAAGGTGTCTGGTCCACTCTCTCAAGCCAATACCTATAATTTGAAGGCTTCCTATTATCAACAAGTAGGTGTTGATACATTTTTGTGCACGGAAGCAACCTATGATGTTTCTGAACGCACTCTCAATTTCATTTATGGATTCCAACAATTGTTCCAACAAGCTAAATTCCGTGTTACTGCATCTCAAGACTTTAATATTAAGGCTAGTTTTGATATCATGCCAACCATGTCGACTAATATTAACACCTCAATTGATGCAAATCCAGCCAAATCAGAATACAAGTTTGGTGTTTCCATTCAAATTAACTAATAATAAAAACGCTTATGGTGTAGTCCTTGAGAAAGTTTTATGTGAGGATGATGGAATTGGGTAATTCTAATGAATTCATAGTTCAACAACAAGAAGTTCCATCCTTAAGCTGTCTCTTCACTTTTTAGCTTTTTTCTGAGAACTAGCAAGTCCATCATGTCCTCTCTGACACCTTCCATGTCATGGTCAAAGGAATCGTCATCATAGTCAAATATACTTTCTTCAATCTCAACCTTGGGTTCTGCAATGTCAAGATGAGGCGACGAGTCCAAATTATTGTTCATGTTAGGCGTGGTAAGAAAATTGGAAGGAACTGCCGGTGGTTTCGGTGGTGAAATCTTCTTTGAGGGTTGTCCAAGAATAGTTGTATCATCATCGAACGTCAGTTGCTTCTTGACTCGATCAAATGATGGTTCCTTGATCATGTGGTTGGCTTGTTTTCGACCCTTATTCCCCAGTGGCGTTTCCTTTGTGCTTTGCTTTTTCATTAATATTTTACCCATCACTTTTCCAACAAAATTAGAATCCAACTGTACAGAAGCTGTGGTATTCGACGACAAACCAGCCTGGGGTGACACCATGATATTCGGAGAGACAATGACAGGTTTTTTCTTATTCCTTACATGAGGATTGTGATCTAGGGCAGCATTGGTACTTTTTGGTCTACTCTGGTGTGTATGTTGTTGTTGTTGCTGTGACAACCGTTTAGGACTTGGAGTTTGTGGATTCAATAATATCTCTGGAGAGGTGGTTTGTTTTTTAATGGGTGTCGAAGGAGCTGATTTTGGTCTCAATAGTGGTTGACCAGTCGGTGAAGGAGTAAGAAGATGTTGTCCATAAACCTGTTGTTGTTGAGAATTCGGTGGTGGTGGCTTGTGTGGATCATTGTGAAACATGTTATAGAGCTAAAAAAGTATTGTAAAAAGATTGTAACATTCATGTCAGGGTCAATGGTTATGCATTCATTCTCTTACTTACATTATAGAATTTCTCTTGAACCACTTTAGTAGTTTCTGTTTTGTAATATTTGCTGTCCAGAGGTTTTTTCTGAGGTGTTGTAGAGGGATCTCTTGCAATATCTTTCGAAGGTGACGCAAATGGTGATGTGGAGTGATTGGGAGTAGAGGGCTGGGTGGACAAATTGGAGGGCGTGTGGAATGTAGAGGTGGTTGCTGTTGTTGTTGTTGTTGTAGTAGCATTGACACTAGTCAACGTTGAAGTATTGTTGGATCTTGGTGAAACAGATGGTGGTATTGGAAGTGAGGGTGTAATAATGACATGACCATTCTTGATGAGCTCATTCAATTGGTTTTGTTTTTTCAAGAGTCGTTCTTCCATGTCTTTGAGCTCTTGCTCTTTCTTGTTGAGCGCGAGAGATTTTTCATTCTGTTCGCATCGTGTGAATGTTAATTTTGTGAGTCATTCAGTTCAACAACAACAGGAGGAGCATACTTACCAAATCTTGACATTCTTGTTGATGTGTGGCTTCCTTTTCTTCAAATTCTCTCAGTTTTTTCTCCAAAGCTTGAATTTTCATTTCATATTCTGTCCTTATTTGTTTTTCAAGAAGTAAAAATTGTTCTTTTAGTTTCAGCTCCTTGTGACGCAATTTCGCCTTTTGAATTCTCAATTTTACAGCAGAGTAATTTAAAATATGGTTAATATCTGGTCGTTTGCTTGGATCCTTTTCTAACATTTTGAAAATTAAAAACTGTAGCTCCATAGAATACTGTTTAGACAGAGGTTTAGGAGTTTCACTCACAATTTTCCTTAATTGATCGGTTCATACAATTGTGTTTTCATCAAAAATTAACACTTACTTAGCGAGTGCGATTTGATTCGTTGCCAGAAATGGCGGAGAGAAGGATGCCAACTCATACATGAGGCAACCGAAAGCCCAAACGTCACTTTTATGATTGTATGGCTGTTCTTGGCATAATTCTGGACTTTGATAGAGTGGAGTTCCTACATTGGTTGAGGCGAAAGATGATTGAGGACCAAGTAATCTTCCCAGTCCCATATCTCCAATTTTTACATTATCCTCGGCGTCAAGAAAAATATTCTGTGGTTTAATGTCACGATGCTATAAACGAGTTTGTTTGTAAGTATCCAGTTTTCGTACATTCATACTTACTAAAATTCTCTTGTCATGTAAATATTTCAAACCTTGTGAAATTTGTATGAGAAAATTCCACAATAAATCTTCCTTAAACGCCTTTCCTTGCTGTTGTTTGATCTTTTGTGTGAGATCTCCTCCTGATGCATATTCCATGATAATACACAGAAAATTATTCTCAAGAAAAGAATCCAAGTATTTGATAATGTTAAAATGTTCACATTGACTCATGAGTCGTGCCTGGTCGATTCATAAAGAAATGCATGATGACAGAATGAATACAAAAGTTGGTTTGACGAGTTAACGACCCATTTGTTACATTCAAAATTCTTACCTCATTCAAGGCCTCTTCTTTATCCCTCTCGTCAACTCCATCCAAGTTTACCACTTTTTCAACACAAATTTCACCTGTAATTCTATTCCGAACCTTATAGACCTTTCCATATGATCCGGACCCTAATTCTTCCAGAATTTCATAATTCTGAAGTACCATTCTTCGTTATCTTGTAGTACTACAACCAACTTCAAAGATGATCACTATATTCAAAAAACAATAACAACCACTTTCCGAGCGAGCTCTCTGGTGCCAGCTGTTTTGGTGTTTCAATTTTTTTGTATGTTTCAAATTTGGTTTTGGCGGCACAAGTTTTTGAAAAAAGAAAAATGGACAAGACCAATACCACACAACGAAACAGAGGATGAATTCAAAAAAATGTCGGAAACATCCAATACTAACAACACAACAACCAATGCATCAACACCACAGCAAGATACCATCATTCAATACATTGTCATACGTAGAGACCTTATGGAACCTCCATATTCATACGCAATAGGATCCATCGTAAGCCAAGGTAGCCATTCCAGTGTTTCTATCATTTCGGAATCCATCATGGCGAAAGATGAAGTAACATTGCAATATGTGGATCCAAATGCTTCCTCTCAAATGCACACCATTGTGTTAGAATGTCCGAATGAAAAACAATTACTTTCTCTGAGAGATTCATTAGAAAAGGCTCAATTGAGATTTAAATTATGGATTGAACAACCAGAAAATATTCCGACTGCAATCGCTTTGAAACCATATCATCGATCACTTGTAGCAAAATTTGTAAAAAAGTTTAAATTGTTTAAATAGAGATTGAATGAATTTTCGGAGCTTGTGAATGATTATTCACCCAGAAAGCAAAGACATTTTTTTGGAAGATGTCTACCACTCCTCTCAAAATGAACTCAACAAATAATGTAAATCAAGGATATTCGTTCATAGCTAGCTCGTTGTCACACTCATTAGACTCGTTTTTTAGAACAATTGCTGTTCCCTTCCATTTTCAATTCCAATTCATATTTACCATTTCCAAAATAAAAAAATCGCTCATCATCAACTTGATCAATAACACCATCATCATCTTGTCATTCAAAATGGTGAGCTTTAAAGTAGTTTTTGCTCTGCTGGTTACAATGGCAGCAGGAGTTTCAATTGGATTAATGTTAGCAATTGTTGGATGTGCTGTTACGTGGGGAACTCCTCATCCCGAAAATTGGTTTGCACTCATCACGCTGCTCTGTTATGTGATGGCTCCATTTCCCGATATTATTGCAAGAGCCTTTTCATCACGAGTGGAGAAAGAAGATGAAGATGATGCCACCGTTTGGGAACATTTTGGAGCCTTCTTATCTGCTTTCATCGGTACCATTGGATTAGGATTATTATTTGTGTTGGCTCATACTGGAATTATTCAATGGGAAACATTTGCTTTTGAGATTAGTGGTGGAATAGTCATTCTTTTGACCATGGTTGCCTCTTTCATTGTCTTTAAGGTTGCTAAACGTAGAGAAGAAGCCTCCGATAGTTATTATTGAACAATATTCTTGTGATCTAACTTTTGAATCTTGGTTTGAATCATCAAACAAAATTCCTTGAAAGTAGTTGTATTATTGATTCGCATTATTCCTTGATTACCAATATTTATGTCATCAGAGCTTAAAAATTATTAAAAAACAATTAAAATCAACAAGAGAATAAATTGAGTTCAAAAAAAAATGTATCTTGAATGCAACTTTCCTATCAAAGCCGACACTTCGGACTCTTATTTATCAGCACTTACACACCGATGTAACTTTTTGAGAAATTGTAGGTATTGAATATGATAGATGGTTAAGAAATATTATTATTGTGGAAATTATTAACGGTCTAAAACAAATTCCGAATTATTCTGAATCATTTATGAATTATTGAACAATGAATTTTCAGTGGGATGGCAAGGAGTTGCTCTCAACATTACCATTGACTCAACTAACATTGGACAACAGAATCAAATCATTCAAGAGGTTTTTCCTAAAATTGTTAAATATGTGAGCGACGAGTTGGAACAACACAAAATTCAACTCAATTCTAAAATTTCCTTCATTGCTCCTTTTCGTAAAAATTCAAACGCAACCTCTTCCATTTACAATCAAGACGGAGGAAAGGATTTCAAGATTTATACACGCTTGACCTATGCATCGGATCTCCATAAGAAAATTGTGAATATGAATTTTGAGGAAGATTTATATCAGAGCATTGACATTATTGCTCTTGATTTGTCATTAGGGCAGCATTTAACAGCAGATAATATGATTACATATTTAAGCACAATTTGTACAAAATCGAGTGTTGATTTGCTAAGTTTTAAACCTCCCTTTGATCTTACGTTAGATACAGTCATTAGAAAGTCGAAAAACAAACTGAAAGAAGCCATCAGAAGAAATGTTTGTATGGAATTTTGTTACGGAGATGTTGTAAATTCTAAGGAGTCTCTGTCCAAGTTTGGAATTTCAAATTGGATTCAATTTTTGATCGTTCTTATTCGTAATTTTAAAACCAAGCAATTAATATTCTCGAATGGAAGCTCGAAAATGTTAAGCACAGCTATAATGCAAGATGTCAATCAATTACCATTTATTAGATCACCGCATGACGTTGCGAACATTGTTGGCTTGTTCGGCCTTAGTTTTGTAGTAGGAAAGTCACTCATTACAACCAATACTTTGCATGCACTCAAGCACGCAGAAATGAGAAAAGCCATTCGAGGTGTGGTGAAAGTGACTGAACTATCTCTCGATTCGAGCAAAAAGAGATCGTTGGATCAATCCATGGAGGATGAATAAAGCAGAGCTCTGAAATAATTCGCGACTTTCAACTGAACTTATAAGCAAGATTACAAGCTTGCTTACAACCTTCTTTAACCAACTTTCATGAAAGGAGATGATTCCAATTGCTGCCCGCAAGGGTTAGTTTGGGTGGTTTTAATCCCTGTGGACTGTTCTTGAGATTTGTTGGATGTTGTTTGAAGAAATACATAACCATTGTCATCATCGTAACCACTACTACTGTTTGCATCATCTTCGTCGCCACTGTCATACTTGCTGTTGAAAAGGTCTGGAATGTGTGAAGGCTCTTTTTGCATTCGCTTCCGCAATACTTCTGTTTGTAAACATAAGCAGAATTTTGGAACCCACACCTTCTTTCGATGTTTAAATTTTACCAAAGGAACGTTCATGTCCACCGATTGCATAGAAGCGATGGATGCTGAATTTTTCGCCTTATGGTTGTTTTGTTGTTCACAATGTTGAATAAACTCATGAGAGGTGCCAATTCTTTTTTGTTTTGCCACACCGACGAAGGGTCAGCACAAATAATTTCATTCAACTCCTTAAACAATAAACTTCCTCCAACAACGACGGTGGGTGACGAGCATGATACTACCAATTCAACCTCTACCTCGTCCTCATTGATCGTCAACACATTACCTATTTTACCATGCAAGTATGGATCTAAAGGTTAGGTTTCACATGACAGTTACCGAACACGCTGACTTGAAAAGAAACATACCTACAAAGGCACTTCCAGTAATTCCCAGCTCTTCATCATCCACCACAATCATTACCAAATCACGTTTCCTCAAATACATTGCTGTAGTTCGATCTAATAGCGTGTACTTTCGATCGTTGTGATGATGAAGGGGAGAATTCGGGCTATTAAGGCTCAAAGAAGAGTCGCTAGAAGTGAATGCTCCCAATGGAGTTTCTGGAGGCGATGAAGAGAGCAATTCTAAATTCTCAGTGGATACTTCATTTCGGGCGAGTAAAAACTTCTTTCGTTGTTGGGCATAATCATTCAAAAAGTTAGGAGGTTGATGTTGTAATTCGGGCTCAGTCTGTTGCTGAACACGAGCAAAGCCAGTTTTGGGTGGACGAATGGTTGGAGGTCGTACCTTAGTCGTTAATGGAATTGGAAGAACCTCTTTGTGTTCTTTCTTTTCTTCATCATCAAATGCTTCTCGTGTATGAGGAGGTAAGGCCTTATTGGTGCTGAGCTGCTGTTGTTGCTGGTTGTTATTATTATTGGTTTGTTCTGAACATAAATCGTTGAGGATGAAGTTGTCCGAATAATTGAGGCAGACGGTTGTTGTGGTCGCAAAGCTTCGTTCAAGTTTTTTGGGTGTTCCAATAAGGCTGCTCCATGTGGTTGATGTTGAGGATGTTGTGCCTTTACGTGATGATGCGTATTGAAATGATTATGAAATGTTGAATGTTGGTTGGCAACATCATGATGCGAAGGAAAATGGAATTTCAAATTCTGTGTATTCATACCAACACCGTTACCTTTAAGGGTTGAGTGATGTAAGTGTGAGGGATGATTCAATGGATGATGATTATGATGATGCTGAGCTACGACTTTCTGTATTCTATTTTCTTGCGTAGGATTCAGATGAGAATGAAGCGTTGTGTATGCGTTGCTGGTAGTTCTCAATTTTAGAGTTTCATCGTCCTCATCACTGCTATTTCTGAGGGGGGCTCCCTCATTTCTCGGATGCGTATTATCGACTTGAAAATTCTCTTCAAAAGGATCTTGATGTTGTTGCATCCTTTGTAAATGATAATGATGAATGATTTTCTTCATGGATGACTCTTGTTGTTCTTGCGAGCGGTGAAATGGTCCAATTGGCTGCTGTTGTTGTTGTTGTTGCGTGGCTGGATTCTGTGGTGGATTGAGGTTTATCAATTTTTATGCAAATCATATATGGTCTGTAAGGTTTGAAATTACTTTGAATACTGTGGATGGTTGTTTTGGAGGCTCTTTTTGATTGGTGCCGGCATCCATCGAAAAGCCAAACAATTGAGTGGCCCGTTATGTCGATGGAACAATGTGCTTACCTTAATGAGCTCTTGGACCAAAACATACCTACCATTAAAGGGATGCTAATATAAAACCGCCAAGACAGTTTGTGCCCTTACCTCAATTCGTTCAATGAGTCATTGTCCTGACATGTACCAACCTTAATTCAAATCCAGCGAATGAACTTGTAACTGCAAATTCAGCAACACAAGAACTGATCTCACCACAACACAGGTGCACATGTTGTTGTATGTTGGTTGTTAAATTGTAAATGAAGACAAGATGAATTCCTTTCCTTTTGAAAAGCAAAGGACGGTCTAATTGAAGTCGCACTTTCAATGATAAACAAGCAGTCTTTATCCTTGCTGCGACAAGATAATGACTTTGCATCACGACCTGCTCTCAACTTCATGGTACCAATCTTCTTTTCCACAATCTTTCGATTTAAGTGCTCCTTCGGACACCGAACACAGCAATTCCAATCACCTCCATAAAAAACACCCACACACTTTGTTGGCACAGACTCACAATCTGAGTTCTCTTCTCATACACACACCACGAATCTTCAAGAGCTTATGCGTTGTTGAAGATTGAGACCTTCCTCATCATCCAACTCACTCTCTCAACCACCAGCAGCACTGTAAATATTTTCCTCTCGATTTGAATTTTTAACACCCTTCAACACACTTGCCTTTTCTTCAAAAGAGAGAACACGACCTAAAAAGCACAACACTGGCAAATTTCGCGAATTATTTTTTGTTGGACCCCATTCCATTTTGGAACTCACACATGCGTAGTGTCATCTTTTAGAGTCATCACCAATTGAACAAACGCTCCACCAACTGAAGCAACCATAACGGAAAGCTTACAATTCTCCATTCGATTCAAGTCTTCGACATTCCTTTCTCACCATTCCCGTTGAAAAATGCAGCAGTATCCCTTTACATCGACCACTGCTCGCTCGTGAGCAGTAGTGCACGAGTCAAACGGAACGAACGAGTAGTAACAGCAACAATAACACGGGTTCAGCAACAGGAACCATAACGACCACACCCTCTTCCTATAATTCATCACCATTACCTCCAAACTGGCCAAAATCAGAAACTTCATCACCTTCTCTCTCAAATTTAGATTACGGCTCGTTACTTCCTTCTTCACCTCTTGTTTCACCCAATGCTTTCCCTTCTTCTGCTGTTTCACCATCCATGATGATGGGTGTTTCTACTCCACCACCACCTCCTTCGCAAGTAAACTCTCAACCACCTCCTCCAAGTACGATGAACAACGGCCATAGTAATATTCCTAGTTATTCGGCTCATCCCTATTCCTACACGGGATCAAGCAATAGTAACTACTCTTCTTATCATCATCCGGGCTACCATTATTATGGTCATCATCATCAGAATCAAGCACCACCTCCTCACCACATGAATCACCACTTTATGCCTCCACCTTCCATACCTCCTTCTCACCAACAACATCATCCGTATGTGGCTGGTCATGAACATGGTGCAGCAACACACCAACAGCATTTACCACCCACTCAACAACCACACGCCATGATGATGAATAATAATACTCCGCAGCAGCCAACCATGTCGTATCAACAATCATCTTTGCATCATAATCAACAACAGAAGGGATCTTCTTCACCTTCTACCTCATCCGATTCAACAACCTCTTCCTCATCGTCTGGAGATGCAACACCAACGATGGGTAGTCGTTCCAATTTAGCCTCGCAACACCAACGTTCTAGTAGCGATAACACCACACATAGTAACAAAACAAACAAGTCGCAACAGCACAATGCAGACATGACCTCAGACATGATGTCATCAGCAGCTACACCTTCTGGACCTTACTCTCCAACAAACACGACCTTTTCAGAGTCAGTAGCAACACCTGCAGTTGATGATACTCAGGGAGGTCAACTTGCTCAAATTGCCTGTACAAATTGCAGATCTAGACACAAGAAGTGTACTCGTGAGCTTCCTGTTTGTACATACTGTAAAAAGATGGGCAAGCCATGCATCTATTTGAAGAGTAGAAAGGGTCAGGATCAACAAAATAGAAAAAAGAGAAAGAAGAAGAAGGACGCTTCGAATGAGGATCCTGCTTCGAATTCCACAACATTGCAACAAGGGACTGCTGACAATTTTGCTATACCAACCATCACATCGACCAGTAGTAATGCATCAGTAATGGTTCCACAACAGCCGCATCAGCCACCATCGAATCCGTCTACGAGTATGGCGCCACCTTCTTCAGTAACAACGACAGTTATGGCATCTGGTACTTCGGGTTTGGCACCTCCACCTATTGTAACATCATCAAGTAACAACGCCTCCACAACACCGCACAGTGTTGTTGCAAATTCATCCTCATCGAATTCTTCAACCTATAACGACATGCATTCTCCACTTCCTTCTTCTGCACATGGTTCTTCTCCTCTTTTAACACATCACTATAATCCAATGGCATATTCTGAGAGAGACGTTCAAGATCCTACTTCTATCTCAATGGTATTTTCATCATTTATTCACTCCATGAATTTTAAAATTACAGCACATAAATTACTGGACTTGTATTATAAGGAGTTATGTGCTGGATTTGCTCTAGTTGATAAGGGGCTTATGGAAGGGCTCATTGATCAATTGATGGGCAATGACGGCTCTTCGAATAACTCTACCATGATTTTGAACCACATTCAATTAGATTCTGTGACTCAGGACGGTCTCATTTCCATTCTTTACTCCATTCAAGCATTGGCACTTCAGCAAAGTGGTGAATATGTGCTCAAGGGAGATTACAGACAACGATTAATGGAATTTTTACATAACGCTGCGAAAGAAAAAATTTCAAAATACTTTGACAACATGGACAATATCTATGTTGCTGTAGCATTGCACTATTTATCCGACTATTTATGCGGTGAAGGAGATTTCAGAAAAACCTCACTTTATTTGGCCATGGTAAAACAAATGATTGGACTTCATGGTTATGGTGGACCAAACGATCACCAAGTGGGCACGGCATCTGCTTGCTACTCTTCTCAGGACAATCCCTCTCTTCCCAAGTTTTTATTAAGAATTTTGGTACGATATAAGGAAACTTTTCTTTCTGACTACATGTCCAAACAAAATGGAGGACAAGCAAACAGTGCCTCCATGAAATTATTTGGAGTGTTTGCATCAAGAGTTAAACTTGATACTAGTTTCTTTGACAGGGAAAAGGGCTTCATTGGTAGTCAGTATTTACCACATATCGAACACGTGGTACAAATCGCTCACACATATTACAGTCTCTTATTCGAAACCATGTATCAAGCACAAGGAGATTTGTTCTGTATTTTCTCAAATGTTTTTATTAGAGAATTTTACTTGGATTTGTACAGCAAAGTAGAAAAAGTGCCTGCAGAAATTTTACTCTCATTTGCGAATGACATTATTTCATATACCAAAATGGAAAAGTACATATTTGCTCCCTATGTCATTGCGAATGGTATTGCAAAGGCAGTTTCTGTTCGTTTGGAGTATTGGAAGCACACTTATCATCCAATTGATTTCAGAGACGATTTGCGAGCATTGAAAGTTCTTTCAACACGTTATGGTGTCGTTCAAAAGCTCTATGGAGACCTTATTAATCAAATTGAAAATGCAATTCTTTTGCAGTATAGTAGTAACAGTTCTACAGAAAGACTGTTGACAAGCGGACTTCAAGGCGTGAATCCTCCTCTCGTGGGAATGCAAAACCCAATTTCTTTTGCTTCGTCACAATCATCATCCATGACTCAAGCAACGACAGAGGCAACATCATCAGACGTTGCTGCTTCGTCGTCGACAACACCAACCAATACCACCGAACCTGAACAGGATGGAACAAGCATTCCTTCATTCGATGACTCGGCTCCACTGACACCTCTACTTGATCCTTTCAGTGCTGCTGGAAATGCAAACATTCTTACCATGTTGTTTAATGAAGTTGGAAACGAAAGGGGTGATTCACTCACTGAAGAATCGTACTTTATGGATGAGCAACATTCTGAATCAGTGGCACAAGAGAGAGATCACAATCCATTCATTAAGGGATATCATCTTGTCAAGATGATGATTAAGCAACTTTCTCGACTGAAAGATGCTCTGCATATTCCAGAAACCAAAGTTAGAGAGGAATCACTTAAAAAGGCCAAGTCTGAGCTCATTGAAGAACTCAGCAAAGCTCTACCAAATGATGTTGAGGCAAAGTTTATTTTAGAGTTGACCAAACATCAACATCCCCAACAAATCCATCCTTGCCAATATTCTCACTTGGCTCTGTTGTTCGAGTAGTGTGTGTAAATATTTTGCTCTTGAATAAAAGATCAGTTAGGCATAGACGTTTGATTTCATTTCCGAATATCTTGCATTTCACAATTTCTCGATCAACAGGGACTTTTTGTAACCAAGTTGTTTTTCACAGGCTAAGCAATATCCTGTCTGGACGTTTGTGGAGCCATCAAATGCCCAACCATTAATTTCTTTTAGTTGTTGGACAAGTTTCAGAAAATTGATAATGTTTAATAGAATGTTCCTCACTCATTCCCATTCAATAGTGGAAGGTGGTTTAGTACTAATATCATACACCACTCGATTCACTCCTCTTACTTCATTAATAATTTTGTTAGAAACTTTACCAAGGAAATCCCATGAAGGAAAGTGGAAAATGTCAGCAGTCATTCCATCAACCGAAGTGACCGCTCTCAAAGCCACAACTTTTTCATAAGTTCTACTATCGCCCTGAACTCCAACACTTTGAACAGGAAGTAAAATTGCTCCAGCTTGCCAAATTTGGTCATACAATCCCTCTTCTTTCAATGCTGTAATATAAATATGATCCACTTTTTGTAAAAGAGTAACTTTTTCAGCAGTAATATCTCCTAAAATTCGAATGGCAAGTCCTGGACCAGGAAAAGGATGTCGATTAAGAATTGAATCGGGCACACCGAGTTCCTTTCCAACTCTACGAACTTCATCTTTGAATAAAAGTCGTAAAGGCTCCACAACCTTAATATTCATCTTTTCAGGTAGACCTCCAACATTATGATGACTCTTAATGGTGGATCCTCCAATCGATTCCACCACGTCAGGATATATGGTTCCTTGACCTAAATATTTCACACCAGTAATTTGATGAGCTTCCTTTTCAAATACTTCAATGAATTTGGCTCCAATAATTTTTCGTTTCTTCTCTGGATCAGAGACATCTTTCAATGCATCATAGAATAATTGCGACGCATCAATACCTTTCACATTAAGATGCAAATTTTCCTTATAGGTTTGCAATACTTGTTCAAATTCATTCATTCTCAAAAGTCCATTATCTACGAAAATGCAATGCAATCGATTTCCAACTGCTTTTTGCAACAAGACAGCTGCCACGGTAGAATCGACGCCTCCACTCAATGCCATAACGACATGATCACTTTCGCCAATGGTTGACTTCAAATTTTGAACGGTTTCATCAATGAAATGAGCTGGAGTCCATTCCAATTTGCATCCACAAGCGTTCACTAAAAAGTTTCGTAACAAAACACTTCCATAAATGGAATGATGGACTTCTGGATGGAATTGAACACCGTACATGTTTTTGGACTTGATTTTAAAAGTAGCGACTGGAATGGAATTGGTTTTAGCAACGACTTGTAATTGGGAAGAGGATGGTTCATTTTCAATGAAAATGGTGTCACCATGAGACATCCAAATTTGTGACTGATCAATTTTGTCACTGCATTCATGTCCTTTAAATAATTCACATTCAGGATCAGTGACATGTAAATGAGCTCGTCCATATTCTCTGACAACTGCAGAAACAACCTATTGACATTTGGCCGTCATTCATGAATGATTTTGGACAAGAGAGAATTGAAAAATATTAGAGAAAAAAAGCTTGTCCATATTGAAAATGCAAAATACACACCTTCTCTCCATGCAAATAAGCCAATAATTGAGCACCAAAACAAATTCCCAACAATGGTACCGACTTGTCTTGAATATATTTCCAAACTTCATCGTACACGCGTGGAGAATTTTCGTCATCGACCGAATGATGAGATCCCGATAAAATTACTCCTCTCACTCTTTCAAAAAACTCATCCAAATTCTTCTTTTCCTTGACGTGTCTTTCCAATTTATCAAATGGATAAATTTCTGAATAAACATTCAATTCTCTGATTTTTCTTGCAATGAGTTGAGTATACTGTGATCCGAAATCAATAATAATAATCTTTTCATGTTGTAAGAGTGGTGGTAGAGATTCCGAAAAAGTTGTTGTGGTTGTTGTTGAATGAGAACAAACAGAGGTTTGAGGTTGAGACATTTTTTTTGTAATCTTGAGGTCCAGGTCATGATATGGAATGTCCTCCAGTATGAAAATTACAAGTACCCACCTTTCATGATCACCTGGACCTGAAAAAGGTGGCTTATATTCGAACCTGAATGAATGAGAAGTGGGTCCTATGAAACCCAACTGTCTCTTTTCATTGAACTGAGAGTTGTTCTAACCTTACTTTGTTAAATGGTCCTAATAATAAAACTCAAATGTAAAGGTAATGAAACGAGTATAAACTTATTCTGAACAAGTGGTTCAATCATCATGTTCATCATTTTTCAAATTTGAAAAAAATGATTTTAAAACTTCGAACGTTAATGTCCATCGGTCCAGATGAACTTGTCTCTATTTTCAAATATCTCGATTATTCCCACATGTGCACCATTTGTTGTGTTTGCTCGGAATGGAATCAAATCGCTTCCAGTAATTCTCTATGGCAATATTATTTTCAATTATTGAACATGAACCATCCATCCAAAGTTCCGAATGAAATTCTAGAAAAAGATGATCGTTTTTGGAAACATTTAATTCGAAATTATTTCTCGGTGGAATTTGTATCGTTTGGTTCTTCTGCGTGTCATGATCGAACACAATGTTTTGTTTCATCCAAATGTTTTGATCAGGAGCATGATAGATCAATAATGAATTCGAATTTAGAAATACAACAAGAACAAGAAGAACAAGATCCAAAGAGCTTTTCATTTCTAATGAAACAAGATCGATTGACTTGTTCCAGAATTCCATTATTTGATTTTGATTTGAATGGTTTTCGAGTTCCTTTTGTGAAACATTTAATTCGATTTGTTTTGGGACGTATAAAAGTTGTACGAGTGTGGAATCGTTTCTCTCCAACTCCTGGATCCGATTTGATTCTTGTGGATTCTGAGAAAGACCTGTTAGCAACGACCTACTTTTATGATGAATACCACTCTACAGATTTGAAAGTGAAAATGAAAATTAGTGGACTTGAAGAAGCATTGATTGGACGAACGAGATTAATTCCCAATGACTTCATGAAGAAGCTTTATTCCTCTTGGAGATATCGAAAATTGGATGGATTTTACTTGTATTTTGCAACAGAGAGTCATGATCGAATGAATGAGAAGCGAATTGATGACACTACTAAGCATATTGTGTTGAATGTGGACACAACGAATAGTAGTAGTAGCAATAGCAACTCGGAATTGATTCAAAATGCATTTCTTTACACTTATTCACAAAAAAAAGTGACATGTAACGTTGAAGACGAGCACACGATGGATCCTTTCACATCTGAAGTTCTCTCGAAATTAATTCCAAATATGCCACATTTGAACTTGTCACCCAAAACATTCCTTCCCATTTGGTGTATGATCTTTACAAAAATTGTGACGGGATTGTGTCGACTTCCCTATAAGAATGTTAAGGAATTGACTCATTATTATCCTTGCTGGAAAGAAGCTTCTCTTCTGTATGAGTACAAACGTCATTATTACTTTAAAAAATTACAACACAAAATGGAAGAAATTAGAAATTTGATACTCTCCAACAAGAATTCCAATGAGAACAAGTTTTCAAAAATGTTGACAAGAAAACCCAATGGATATTCCATAATTGAAGCACATAAGGTCACCCTTTATTGGGAACTCACAAAAGAACGAATTGAACATGTCATTGCACAGGACAAGCACAATCTATTCCCTGATTTAAAGACGAAATGGAATCACGCAACCTCTTGGCGTTTTTCCAATGCACAAGACCAAAATGAATTATTGAATCAAGCTGTAAATGATTTGAAACAAGTGTTGAATCAAACCTACAATGTGGAAAATTACTTGGATCTCTACATGGAGTTCAAGTACAACAAGTACCTACGTGAATGTAATATTTGAAACCAAAGGTGTGATATCTCATTAATGTTTCAATAAAATGTTATGATAAACATATTTGATTGAACCAAGTGAGACTTGCCATTTTTGAACGCACCAAGTTGTTGTTGTTAAAAGGTTACACTGAAACGCGGTTGTTGTTGTTAAAAGGTTACACTGAAAACCAGTTAATGAATAGGTAACCTTTGAACAACAAAAAGAATTTGAAATGCCAGACATTACAAGATGCAACATGCTCAGAGGACGATCGTTGTTGGAGTCTGAGCGTGCAGGAAGAGGAGTCCTTTTGCTTGTTGTTTTGTGGTGCAGTATCCTGTTGTTGTTGCCAAACCATTGGCCTTGTCTGATGGCTCATGTTCTTCTTCCAAAGAATACGTTCAATGATGATATAGGTGATTCTTCACCAAGCTCGGAAGAGGCTTTTCATTCAAGTCTTTATATGAATTTTACATTTTACGTCAATGACTCCCATCCTGATGTTTTATCATCATCATCATCATCATATATCGATTGCTCACTTTCCAATCCCTGTACCAATGTGAGTCAAGTCGTTCAAACACTCAATGCACTTCTCTCCAACGACCAAAAAGATACAACAATCAAGAACTTTCTGAGCCAGCCCGTAGTCGTCCAGAAATTCGTGGTCGTACAAGTGATCCTTCAAACCAATGCCATAATGACCACACATTTCACTGAGCTTTCATCCTTTCCTAACTTGTTCTATGTATTTAGATTTTCATCTGCTGTGTGGAAGGATGGAAGAGTTTCACTCGTTGGAGCTTCCATCATTGACACATTTCGAACGGATATTTATTGGATGCAATTTTCAAATTTGGAATTACAATTAACGTTATATTCCTATGCAGGTACAAACTTGGGAGCTGTGAATTGTACATTTTCAAAATTCACCTTTGAAACAACTGCTGTCATTCGCTCGTTTAATGTTGAAAACTCTTCTTTTGAGGATTCTTCGATCACACTTGCAGGATGTGACATGGTTGTTTTCAGAAATGTAGAACTTTTCAATCGTTTAACGGTGAAATGCAAACAAGCAAGTAATTTTATTGTAGATCATGTGACATCAAAGCCGTTTATGGAAATTGATATTAGAGTTGATTTTTCGAGGAAAACTCTCTTTAAGAATGTGTTTTTTGAAGACTTTTCTGGAAAGATTACATTGACAAGCAATATGGCTGTAGCTTTTGAAAATTGCAATTTTAAAAGAAGTGCAACATACTTGCCACTTGTCACGATGAATGTTGGAGATTTGTTAATCATGACCAATTGTATATATCAGCAAGGATATGCATTCTTATTCTTAAATAATGTGGTTCGAGTGGTCATGACCAACGTAAGAGCTCTCAACAACACAATACTCGCACAGAAATCCTTTGAGATAACCTCTCCTATCAGTGCTGTGATAACTCTCACCATTTCCAAATCAGTTTCCATCAAAAACTCTTACTTTGACAGAAATATTGGTCTGGATCAAGGATCAGCCATCCATTCTCAAAATATAAGAGAATTTAAAGTGTCAGCAAGTACCTTTACGAACCATGTTGGAACAGCAATCTATTTCACAAGTACGGCCACCATGGAAAGAGGTATAGAAATTCAAAGCTCTCATTTCGAAAACAATACATGCAATGGATTTGGAGGAGCATTGATGTTGACTGGACATGTTCAACAAGATACCTCTTCCTATATGGTCGTGTCTGCCTCGACATTTATAAGAAATTTTGCAAAATTATCTGGAGGTGCAATTTACGCCGAGCATACTTCCTCCATGCTAATCACACGTTCCATTTTCGAACATAATCATGTGGAGGTTCAACACTCATATTTCACAGATGGTAATTACCAACGAGGAACAGGTGGAGCTCTCTTTATTGGTAAGAATACTCACACGGCTTTGCTTTTTCAATCAACATTTAATGACAATTCAGCAAGCTATGGTGGAGGAATTTTTTATGTGAAGAATTCCGTTCAGAAAGTTAATTTTTGTAATTTTTTGAATAATAGAGCCACTGTCAATGGAGCTGCCATATTTCATTATCTGCCAGACACTGCAAAGACAGCAATCAGTTTCACCAATTCAAGTTTTAGAAACAATCTAGCTCAAAGATATGGCCACAATTATTTCACATCAGTGACGTCGGTCCATTTTGACAGAACTAGAACGATTGAACTCTATCCAGGACAAGTCATGAATATTGATATGAAAGCATTTTCTTATGATCAATTGGTCCCAACAAACGTGGAGCAATTTCAAATCATTGGCAATGATAATTTTCTGGTCCATGTCCATATGCTTAATCATTCATTGGAAGTGACACTTTATTTAACCAAAGAAAACGAACCAGTTGGTACATTATTCAACACTACACTTCAATATGAAAGTCAAAAGACAGAGCCCTTCTTACCTTTCAAACTAACCTCATGTCCCTATGGTACAGCATTACAATATCGACCATTCTACAACTTGAACAACTCTGCAGGATTTGTATGTGCTCCAAAACCTGATGTACTAGCCATCTCTCTTGGAGTGTCCATTCCACTGTTGCTCATATTCTTTGCATTGGGATTCGTATTGAGCTATCTCTGTATAGTGTTAGGTCATAGACTCAAAAAGAAATTGAAACGTTTAGCAGAGAAAGAAAAAGCTGAAAAAGCAGTTGAACAGAAAATTCTTGATAAGCATATTATATTTGGTAACGGATGGCAAGAACATGACACGACTACAACGTTCAATGGTGGTTGTACTTCCTATAGCCGATCTTTAACGTCACCCTTACTTGGATCGCAAGATGTAGAATATTTAGAATTGAGTGAATACACGACGAATAGAACATTGTCTGAGAGCAAGAAACAATCCTTCCTCATTTCGATCAACGACTTGGAAATTGTCAAAAGAATTGCTGAAGGAGGAAATGGTGTGGTGTATCAAGCCAAGCTATGGAAAAAGTTGGACGTGGCAGTCAAATCATTGAAACAAAATTGTGATGATGACGAAGAGTTTGAACAGGAAGTTTCATTGTTGGCCAGTCTAGATCATTTGAATATTTTAAAGTTTTATGGTATTTCAGTCACTGAAACGAGCAAATACATGATTACAGAATATTTAGAAAATGGATCATTGGACAAGATGATTTATCGTGGGAGAATTGGAAATGAAGGAGCGCTTAATTTCATTCAAAAATTGCAGGCACTCGAAGATGTGAGTTGTGGAATGAATTACCTGCATTCATTGAAACCTGCCATTGTTCACAGAGATTTAAAACCTGGAAATATTTTACTCGATAGGTAAGTAGGCTGATGATTTCATTGTTGAAATGAGTGTTGTTGGATGATTCACATATATACGAACAGTAAAATGACATGTAAGGTGTGTGATTTTGGACTGTCACGTATTGTTGGAAATTCAAGCAATACCATGACAAAGAATATTGGTAAGTATTCATTATTATCATCTTCAATACAAATTACGATCAATTGGATTTATTTAAATTTATGAACCATCCCACAACCATGGCTACGCTGAAAATACCTTTCACAGGTACATTGTTTTATATGAGTCCAGAATTGATTTCAGGAAAAACCACAAGCTCCTCGACAGATTCTTATCAAGACAAACTTTTGAAAGCGACAAAAATTGATGTTTTCAGTTTTGGAATTATCATGTGGGAATTATTCTTTGAAATTGCTCCTTATTCAAGCAGTGAAAAAACCAAAACATTTGGAAATGAAATTCCCATTGTCAATATTTTAATTCACGTCATGAACGGTGGAAGACCATCCATTCCATTCAAAAACAAACATGAATTGTCAGAGTGGTTGGATTTATATCCTTTACAAGGTTTTCCAAAGAGTGAAATACTTCTTGACATCATTCTGGAATATTTTGAATGGACTCAAAAATGTTGGTCTGAAGAAATCTTGTCACGACCATCCTTTGAAGACATTCACCATGCATTGAAAATACTGAAACAGAAACTTTCTCAAACTGTTGTCATTCAGTGAATTTTTAATGAGATTTTTCACACCACAATAATTAACAAGAATCACACACTACCAAACAGTAATTTTAAAGATGTGGTCTAGAGTCATTCATTGTAACTGAGACACCAATTAGTTCAATGAACAATCATCCTTTTTAGGCGGTTGTTGCAATGTCAATTTTGAGATCATGTTTTTCAATTCTGAAATACTCTCTTCCTTTTCCACTTGTTCCACAAATTCTTTTGTTCCTTTCTCTTGCAACAAAGCCTTCTTGGTTTCTTCCAATTTATCAGAATAGTATTTAATTTTTTGTTGAATTTTCACTTGTTCATCTTCATCCTCGGATGGATGATTAACCTGTAATTGTACGAGTTCAATTTTCAATTCGATCAATGCAATTTTTCTTTCGGTTATTATAGAAGATTCATCCGATGATGAGGAGGTAGAATGATAATTGGAAAAATCCTCGACAATGGCTTCATTTCTTTCTGCTTGGGGTTGTCGTCGGAAGGCACTTGGAGGACCATAAGGAATTAACTGACGATACAACATTTTTTTTGTGATTGTTGTGAACTGATTTCCAAGTTCATAATAGTAGATCAACTTACAAAATTATTGGGCAATCATGTAGCTCGGTAAATAAAACACTTCATTTATGAATAACAAGGTTTATACACTCTTGTCCTTTGAAAAAAGAGGTCTTCCAAAATGTAACTGAACCAGTTGCGACGTGAGTTTGGTCCATAGTTTACAAAAAAAATGAGCTCACTTCTCAAGAATATTGCGTTTCATCCGTTTCATTTGGGAAATAATCAACAATCATCATCAAATAACAATAATAACACATCAACTTCTACAACTACTCCGAGTGTAACCACCTCTCCCGTGAGGAAAAATTCAATAGCAAAAGAACATCACCACGATGAAGGACAATCAACGACATCGGGATTGGAAGTTTCATCAACCAATACCTCCAAACATTCCAGGCTTGGATCGGGAATGGCACCAAATGCTTTGATCAATGAAAATAATTTATCACAACATTTTCAGCACTCAACTTCCTTGTCCATGCCGAAACAGCAAGAGGATCAAGAAATGAAAAAGAAATTAAAAATTCTTAAAAAGGAATATTTAAAACAAAAAGCAGAGATGGAAAGATTGGCACAAATAGCACTCGGACAACAGGAAGAAATTAAACATAAAGATTTTCAATTGAAGAAATATAAACAACAGTGTGAAGAACAAGCTTCAAAAATTGGTGAATTGGAAACGCAATTACAAATTGAGAGGGAATTATGTGAGGGTGCAATACGGATGAAAAAACAAACAACCTCCACTACCGAAAATAACAATAATCAATCAGCAAACACACAACAAACAGAAAATGATTTGTCACTTTTATTGGATGAAGGTCTGACCACAAAAGATGTTATGGAAAAAACGTATCAGTTTTTGAAGGATGATACCTTTACGTTTATGCTCAATACCGAAGAATATCAGGAAGAAGAAACAATATCCTCGCTGAAACAAGAAATAGCAGCTCTACGAGAAGAAAACTTTTATTTACGAGAAGAGAAGCACAAGCTCAATAATGAGAAAGTTCACTTATTTGAACTAGTTCATCAATTAACTCAACAACTTGGTCTCGGGAATGAAGACAAAAATTGAGTTAATGACAAACTTGTTCATCAGATTCGCAACCAAAGAGTTCCAATTTTGATGTATTTTGCGTGATTTAATAAATTATTGCAGTCGTTTCAAAATATTTCCAGTTGTTTGTATGTCACTATCTAGTTGTGAAGCTTGCTGCTCAATCCATTGCAAACAAGCCAAGTGGTTGTTCATCACTTGTACGATCCGAGTAAGGTCTGAGTTTGGATCAACAGATTTGTCAAACGTAGTGTTTAACTTCTTTACCATGTCATCAATCACGAATTGCATGGAATCTAATTGCTTGTTAATGGACTCTGCTGTTTTGTATGTTTCCTCACGCTCTCGATCGGATTGAGATAATTTAGATGAATCATAAAATGATGCATTCTTTTCAATATATTCTTCTAAAGACTCGACAATTCGTTCCAAATGATCTTGTTGTGAAGTGACCATGTCAAGTTGGTTTTTAACTTCTGTGAGCTCGCTTCCAATTTCGCTAACTTGTTCATTCAACGAAGAAATTTTTGATTCACCTTCTAAAATTTCTGCATCCCACTTTGATACTTGATTTGCCAGTTTATGAAATTCCTTAATATCATTATTTAAATCCTTGTTCCATTTGTTGAGAATTTCCTCCACTGTATGATTATTTAACAATGTTTGGATTTCAACTTGGGTGGTGGATTGAGCAGAAGTTGGTGGTTTTGTAGTTTCTGAGGTTGGAGTACCAGTTGTGTTCACCGATAAAGCTGATTTCTTGGTATCAAAGGCAAAGCCACCAGTGCTGCCGCCAGTAGATGGAGTGATGTTGGTGGTAGTGGCTTGTGTGGTCGAGGTTGGTACTGCTGTAGTGGTTGTTGCAGTTGTTCCAGCAGGAGCACCGAAATTGAAACCACCTGTTGTACCACTTGTAGTTGTGGTAGGTTGTGTTGTTGCTGTGGTTGACGTGGTTGCTGTTGTTGGTTGTGTTAATGTTGGCATCTTAAAACCACTTGGTTCTGTGCCTGCTGATCTTTTTCTACTAGGTGCTTCTTCATCTGAAGGGCGAGTAGATCCCGAGTCACCAAAGTTAAATCCTCCTGTTGTGGTGGCTCCTTGTGTTGAAGTAGCAGTACTTGATGGCTGTGTTGCTCCTAATTTAAATCCGCCTGTTGTACTTGGTTGTTGTGTGCTAGTTCCGGTCGTAGTGGTTGGCATTCCCGATGATTGTGCTCCTGTTGTTCCACCAAAATTAAATCCACCTGTTGGTTTGGCCCCACCAGCTGTGGTTGATGAGGTAGTACCACCAAAAGTAAATCCACCTCCTGAGGATGGTGTAGTTGATGGTTGTGTAGTAGCACTAGTACCAGTTGCTCCTGTGGAAATTGTTGGAGGCTTAAAGCCGAATCCAGCCCCAGGTTGTGTCGTTGGTTGTGTGCTTGGCTGAGTGGTGGTTGTACCGCCAATATTAAATCCAGTCGTTGGCTGTGTGGTTCCCATTGTTGATGGTGGCTGTTGAGTGGTGCTTGTTGGCTGTGAGGTTGTTGCTTGAATATTGAAATTAAATCCACCAGTAGTGGGTTGTTGTTGAGAGGTACTTGTAGGCTGAGCAGTGGTTGGAAATCCCGATGGTTGTGTTGTTGTTGGTTTTGGAGCAGAGAAATTAAAGCCTCCACCACCTCCTCCAGTGCTCGTACTTCCAAAAGTTATATTTGATGAACCAGTACCTTGTCCTGGTTTTGGCATGAAACCTTGTCCTCCTGAAGTGCTACTAGTTCCACCAAAATTAAATCCACCACCTGCTCCTCCTTGTGGTTGTGTTCCGAATGAAAATCCACCACCTGCTCCTCCCTGTGTGGATGATGTAGGTTGTTGTTGTTGTGGATTATTGCCTTGTGGTTGTTGACCCCCAAAATTAAAATTCATTTTTTTTTAAAAAACAAATTAAAAATTCTTTCATCACGAATTCTTCAAAGCCTTTGAGAATTTTCAACTCAACCATGTCTTCATCAAGAGGTTCCGTAACTCTGGGAGTGGATGGTGGCTCAACAGGCACCACTATTGTGGTCTTGTGTAATGAAACTCAAAAAGTATTGGCCATGTTGAGCTGTGATCCGTCGAACAAGAACAGTGTTGGAGCTCAAAAGGCTCAACAAGTCATCTCGGAAGGCATCAAACAAGCCTTGAAAGAGGCTTCTTCTGATAAATCTCTGAGTCTTGAGGATGTTTCTGCCGTGTGCTTGGGAATGAGTGGAGTGGATCGTCCCAATGATATTGCACAAGTTCGTTCATGGATGACTGAATTATTTAGTAGTGAATCATCATGTCCTGAAATTTATGTTTTTAATGATGCTGTAGCAGCCATTTGCTCAGGAACTCTCGGAGCTCTGCATGATGTCATTTGTCTCATTGCTGGAACAGGAAGTATTTGTCTCGGAACGAATAATGATGGTGAGTCTTTCACAAGAACTGGTGGTTGGGGACCATTACTGGGTGATCGTGGAAGTGGTTTCTGGCTCGGTTCTAAAGTGTTATTGAGTGCAGTGGATTACACAGATGAATTTAACACAGAAAAAACAGTATTGGCACAATTGGTCAAAGAGGAATTAGGTTTGAACGATATGAGTGAATTAATTCCCTATGTCTATCAAGATAAGGAATGGAGTAGAATTGCTCGTTTTGCTCCACTTTGTTTTAAGGCCGTTCGTGAGCATGACGACAAGGTAGCAAAACAACTGGTCAATGAAATGATTTCCGATTTGAAACAAATGGTGGAGACCAATGCAAGAAAGTTGCAGTTAGGATCCGAAAGAAAATTCACATTGGTCTATTGTGGAAGTATTTTGACGCATGACAATAGCTTGGTTGGAGAGGGATTAACACGTGCTTTGAAAGAAAGTTTTGGAGATCGAATTGAAATTATTGAACGACCAAAAGTGGATCCTGCTGTTGGCAGTGCTTTGTACTATCTCAACAACAAGAAACAAAAGAAGGATTAGAATAATATTTATACCCAATTGAGTGCTTGTGATCTCTTTGTGTTGTCAGCACCTGTAAACACAAGTGACATGGTTCAAGTCATTATAACCCTTAGAGTTAAGGTAACCTCTTCGCCTCAAACGTTGTTAAATGGAGGGGAATGAGGAAGCTATCATGTAACCCACCGTCAAAAAAAACCCGCCATCCAAAAACTTCTTGCCACCACTCGAACTGTTTTTGCCTCATTCTTTCATCGATTATCTTCAAATTTCACATATTTCATCCAATCAAAATCAATCTACAACAATTCTACGAGCTTCTTGAACGTCATTACGATTCCTCTTTGTTTCTATCCTCAACAAATTCAACCACAAACAATCAATTTGTTGCCATTCAAATTGATTTCCTGCATGGCAACGCTGCCAAAAATATGAGTCACTAGCGCTGCTTTCGACTAATTTGTACAACGGGACGCCATTTCACGAAAACGGAAGGTCCCCCTGAGATAATTTCAACTGAAGATAAAAAGACTCCCCGCAGAGTGCTAGTAAAAATTCAATTTCAAAAAAAATTGATTCAAACAACGAACCAATCATAAAACAAACTCTCGAGCGTTATTAAACGATTCAAGTTGAAATTGAAATTAGAGTAAAATACAGAAATGGTTGTAGAAGAACAACAACAACAACAACCTTTTGGACAACAATATGAAGAAATCAAATTGAACCCCTCATCGGGAGTAGAAATCTCATCATCCTCTTCCAAAATGTTATTGAATAACGCCGATCAGAGCCAGACCAGTCTTTCCCCATCGGGTTCCAACACTAACGGAGCAGGTCAAGGAGCAAATACGAACAATACCACTCCTCAACAACCAGAACGTAGAAGCAGAAATCCCTTCAAACGATTCAAAAAGAAGAAGGAACAAGCAGATCAGGAAGAAATTAAAGATGAAAGAGAGCCACCGATCAAGGCATCTGATAATTTGACCATTTTCAAGATCTTTGGTTGGAATTGGTTGTTAGTGCTCATTGGAAGTATTGGTTCGTTGGGAAATGGTGTGATTCCATTATCATTCCAGGTATGTAAAACAACATGTTGGTACATACGTTGTTATCCTAACTGATTACTTTGTTACATGCTCCTTCAAACATTCGTATTTGTGGTGATACTTTCTCTAATAGTTTGTCATGGGTGACTTGTTAAACATTTTCCAACCTAAAAACGGAGTCATTCCAACTGTAGATTCCATGAAGTCCAACATCGCAACAGTTGCCATCAATTTCGCTATTATTGCCGCTGCAGCTGCAATTGCTAGTTTCCTTTCACAATTCTTCTTGAATTGGGCCAGCGAACGAATGGGAGTTGCATTGAGAAAGGCCTACTTTAACGCATTGACTTCACAAGAAATGGGATTTTTTGACATTAAGAAGACAGGTGCTCTCACTGTTGCATTAAGTGAAGGTACGTTTGGGTTGAATGGCTGTTTTTCACAGTATTAACTCTTGTTTTTGCACTAACCAATAGACATTTCCAAAATTCAAGAAGCCTACTCCAACAAACTTGCTCTCTTTTTACAAAACTTTGCTCAGTTCATTGTTGGAGTCGTTTTGGCCTTTGTGAGTAGTTACCAAATGTCTCTGGTAATGGTCTCTACGAGTCCATTGTTGGTTCTTGGTATTGGAATTTTAAGCAAACTCGTAGAATTTTTGACAAAGAAAACCAATAAGGCAACAGAACACAGCGCTGCTCTTGCAACAGAAGTCGTAGGTGCTTTCAGAACTGTGAAAAGCATGGGCTGTGAAGTGAAGGAACAAGGAAGATTTGCTCAAGACTTGAAAAATATTCACTTGTATGGTTTAATTAAGGCTGGCATGCAAGGAACAACTTTTGCTGCTGTCTCCATCATTTTGTGGGGTACTGTTGCTCTAGCTTTCTGGTAAGTTTTTGTGCTGATGATTTTAATTATGATTTATGATGTCTATACAATGATTCATGTTGAATACAACACACAGGTATGGAGGTGGTCTCGTTGCTGAAGGAACCATTACTGTCGGTGACATGATGAAAGTGTTCGGTATGATGTTGTTTGGTGTTTTGGGTCTTTCCCAAGCTGGTACTGTTCTTCCAGACTTCTCTAAGGCTCAAATGTCTCAAAAAACTCTGTTGAAAGTACTCAAGAGACAACCTGCTATTCCATTCAGAGGTGGTGTCATTCCTCAAGAAACTCTTAAGGGTAATATTCAAATTAGAAATGTTAACTTCTCTTATCCATCAAGACCAAATGTCACCGTGTTGAAGAACTTTAACATGGAAATCAAGCCAGGTACATCTGTTGCTCTGGTTGGTCCCTCAGGATCAGGAAAATCTACCATTGTCGGCCTTCTTGAAAGATTCTATGATCCACAAGAAGGAGAAATTATCATTGACGGTCACAAGATTAAGGATATTGATCCTCAATGGCTTCACAAGAATATTGGTATTGTCACACAAGAACCTGTCCTCTTTTCTTGCACTATTCGAGAAAACATTGCCTATGCTGCTGGTCTTGAAAATGTGACACAGGAACAAATTGAGAGCGCAGCCAAAGCTGCCAATTGCCACAATTTTATTGTTGAAATGCCTGATGGTTATGATACTAAATTGGGAGAGAAGGGTATCTCACTTTCTGGTGGTCAAAAGCAGCGTGTCGCAATTGCACGTGCAGTCTTACAAAATCCTCAAATCTTGTTATTGGATGAGGCTACATCTGCTCTTGATACAGAATCAGAAGCTTTGGTTCAGCAAGCTTTGGACAACTTGATGAAAGGTAGAACCACCATTTGTATTGCTCACAGACTCAGTACCGTTCAAAATTGCGACACTATTTATGTATTGGTGAAAGGAGAGTTGAAGGAGTCTGGTACACATCACGAGTTGCTTAAAATTGAAGATGGTGTCTACAAGAAGTTGGCTGAAAAACAAATGTTGTTCGGTAGAAGTGATAGTGTAGAGTTTGACCGTGTGACGACCCAGGAAATAATTTCAGATGAAACATCTTCGAACATCATTCACGAGTAATTAAGGAAGCTAATTTTTATTGTAAATAATGAAGAGTGTAAAGTTTTGTAATTCTTGAGTAAATAATTTAATTGTGGTTTTTTTACAAAGGTGAAATATGTGAAAACCAATCCTTAATGGCTTTCTCTTTTAGACACAGCTACCTTCAAATTTGTAGGTCTATTCACGACAATAGTTCTAGTACCAACTGGATCCACACTTTCATCATTCATTAATCGAAAATGATACTTTTGAACAAGTTTGGATAACAACATGCATCCTTCCATCAATGAGAATTTGTATCCAATGCATTTTCTAAAAAGTAGCGTTAGAATACAATGCAATTCTAATTCTAACAACAATCTACGTACCTATTACCTCCACTAAAAGGAATCCAAGTAAAATCATGTTGAACGCGTTCTCTGGTTTCAGCATCCTTGAATCGATCAGGATTGAATTCATTCACACTTTCTCCCCAATTATCTGATCTTGTGTGACTGTCCAAAATGAATGCATGAATTTGAGTTCCTTTTGGAATGTTGAATTTACCCAAGGTTGTAGCTTTCTTGGCAACATGTTTTACAATAGTTGTGACAGGTGGGTGATATCTCAAAGCTTCCATAATGACCATATTCACATATTCAAGTTTTTCAAAATCATCAAAAGTTGGATCTCTTCCGTTGAGAACCTTTTGAACTTCTTTGAAGAGTCGTTCTTGAACTTCTGGTCTTTTTGAGATTTCATAGGTCACCCATTGCAACAAAGTTGATGTTGTCTAGTATTGTGTTTATAAATTTTGGAGGTAAATATTGATGTGCCACATCTACTTACCTCATGACCTGCCAAAGACAAGATAAATGCATTGCTTTTGAGTTCACCATCGTTCAGTAACTTTTCGCTTAAATTGGCTTCAACTAATAAACTCAAAATATCATGACCTTGATCTGATTCTTCTGAAGAAGCAGAAAGATGAGATTTTTCCATGAGTTGTTTTCTTCTGGAATTGATTACTTCATCAAGAGTTTCTGAGCACACTTTTGTTGCTTTATCGGTTCCAAACCACCAAGCAAACAGAGGATACAGCAGTTCAGAACGTCTTTTCACAAAATTTCTCAAGGCAATATCTTTGGTGATGAGGGTATCCATGGCCATTCGAAATTGAATTCCTTTTTCGTTCTTTGTGAAAATACCCAAATCCACACCAAAACCTTTTGTATTTCATGGGACAGTCAAATGGAAAACAACAATTTCACCATTAATGAAAGAGGAGAGCAATGAATGGTTACATACCTGCTTTGCCAAGAATATCTAAAGTCACGTCTGAATAATTACCCACTTGCAACATGAATTCCTTCTTTCCCTCTAACTGTTTATCCCATTTTTCAAACAATAAATCACAAGTTTTCACTGCTACTTTGCACATGAATTGTAAATTCACTGGAGAGAATCCAGGACTGCACACTTTGAAATGTTTTTTCCAAGTTTCATTATTCAAACAGGTTAGAATGCTCTCTCCAAAGATATTCAACAACTCGTAGCTTGGTTTGGGCTTTTCAAAGTTATTCGATTTCGTGACCATTACCTCTTTCAACATGTTCTTATCTGAAACGTAGACAATATTCTTATCTGGAAGACTTAGACGAAATGTTTTCGTTTCAGGATCTCCAAATTTTTCAATCACTTTTTGCATTTGAAAAGCACTATTTAAATAAAAGTAAGGAGCAAAGAAGGGAATTCGAATGGGAGAGAATAAGAATTGCCAAGAGCCAGGAATTTCCTTCAATTTGTTCATTTGTTGAAACACTTGATAAACGGAATGTATCAATTTTGCCAAGATCAATACCATGACCGCTACCATCACAGCCAACCACCAACTCGTATTCTGTTTGGAAGAAAACCATCGGCCTGATGAAATTTGATCCCAATCATCGGATCTTTCAATTTCTTGAGCCCATACTTGTCCTCCTTCCTTGATCAACACGAATGAGAGGAGTAGAAAGAGTGGAAGCTTCACAACCACAGAAGAGGAGTTGTTTTGTGGTTCAAACATTTTTTTTTGGTGTTGTTGCCGTAGTACGCTCTGCTGAGCTGTTCCGAACACGATCGTGTTCATTCATTGTTGAATTTGTGTGGTTCGCTGATAAAGATTTGGTTGTGATTCCTTCTCGCAAACTGCACACGGGGATCAGATTTTATTGGAATTTACTTGATTCATGTGGAAAATCCACAGTGTAAAATTTATGAGACTCCTTAATGGAGAGGAACAACAACATTATTCTCTTTTCGAAACAGAGACTTTCAAATTGGTAGGTCTGCTCACCACGATCGTTTGAGTACCCACTGGATCCACACTTTCATCATTGATTAATCGAAAATGATAGCGTTGAACAAGTTTGGACAATACCATGCATCCTTCCATTAAGGCGAATTTGTATCCAGTGCATTTTCTGGTTGTGTTGGTGTGTGAATATCATGATTATGGAAATGGATATAAATCGTTGAGGTAAATGAAAGAAATAGATATATTGAAACGTACCGATTTCCTCCACTGAAAGGAATCCAAGTAAAATCATGTTGAACGCGTTCTCTGGTTTCAGCATCCTTGAATCGGTCAGGATTGAATTCATTCACACTTTCTCCCCAATTATCTGATCTTGTGTGACTGTCCAAAATGAAAGCATGAATTTGAGTTCCTTTTGGAATTTGAAACTTGCCTAAACTTGTCGATTTCTTTGCCACATGTTTAGCGATCGAAGTGACAGGAGGATGACATCGTAAAGATTCCATAATGACCATATTCACATATTCAAGTTTTTCAAAATCATCAAAAGTTGGATCTCTTCCGTTGAGAACGTGTTGAACTTCATGAAAGAGTCGTTCTTGAATGTGTGGTCGTTTTGAGATTTCATAAGTTACCCATTGCAATAATGTGGCAGTGGTCTACAATATATTCACACAGAATAAAACATTTCAATAATTTGAAACATTTCAGAAATACTTACCTCATGTCCTGCCAAAGATAACACAAAGGCATTACTTTTCAATTCTTCATCGGTCAATAACGTTTCACTTAAATTAGCTTCAATCAATAAGCTCAAAATATCATGACCTTGATCTGAAGAAAGATGAATGTTTTCCTGGAGTTGTTTTCTTCTATTATTAATGACTTGATCGAGAATGTCTGAACAGATTTTTTTTGCCTTATTCGTTCCTAATACAATGGCAAATAAGGAATACAGAAATTCTGAATTTCCTTTTACAAAACCACGCAATGCAACATCTCGTGTGATGAGAGTATCCATGGCCATTCGAAATTGAATTCCTTTTTCATTCTTTGTGAAAATACCTAAATCCACATCAAAACCTTTTGTATTTCATTTTAGGAAATCAACAATTTCACCATTAATGAAAGAGGAGATGAACAATAAATGGTTACATACCTGCTTTTCCTAGAATGTCCAAAGTCACATCTGAATAGGTTTCTGGTTGCAACATGAATTCCTTCTTTCCCTGTAATTGTTTTTCCCACTGTTCCAATAATAAATCACACGAATTGACAGCCACTTTACACATAAATCTCAAATTGACAGGAGAGAATCCAGGGCTGCACACTTTGAAATGTTTTTTCCAAGTTTCATTATTCAAACAAGTCACAATACTCTCTCCAAACACATTCAATAATTCATAATTTTCTTTTGGTTTTTCAAAAATGTTCGATTTCGAAACCATCATTTCTTTCAACATGTTCTTATCAGAAACAAACACAATGTTCATGTCAGGAAGACTTAGACGAAATGTTTTCGTTTCTGGATCTCCAAATTTTTCAATTACTTTTTGCATTTGAAAAGCACTATTTAAATAAAAGTAAGGAGCAAAGAAGGGAATTCGAATGGGAGAGAATAAGAATTGCCAAGTGCCAGGAATTTCCTTTAATTGATTCGCATGATGAAAGACTCTCTTGATGCGGTGAATGAAATGTGTCAAGATAATGACGAACAAGGTCATGAGGAGTATCCATAAAACATGTTCTTTTGGAACGCTCAAATTGGATGAAAAGAACTCGAACGCTGTACTGACGTTCTTTTGAAAAGAAATTATGGAAGGAGAATTGATTCCATGATTCGTTGCGGGATGAGTTTTCAAGTCTTCATGTGCGAAAACGAGTGTGAAAAATCTATTTTCCGAAAATGTGAAATCCATGTGTAGCTTACTCGCCACGAGAGAAATGAGTAATAAAAGAAGAAGAAGGATTTGAAGTCTTCTTGTTGAAAAGGATGTAAGTGGTGAGTTGGTCAAGACGCTGTTGAATGGCCACATTTTTTCTCAAGAGTTGAAGACCCGCCAGCACTATCACGACATTTGACAGGGCATCTTTCCACATTCAACTTTTTAAGATTGAATAGTCAAAATTGAGGTGTAACCTTATATATCATGTTAATTATTTACTTTCTCCAGGTTCAACTTTGAAGGACAATTTTTAAAATATTGTGAATTGGCTTCAACTACTTTTAAGTGTTTAGAATATTGAAAGCAATTTATCGAGAACAATAATAGAAATTTAAAAAGAAAATTAATCTTCGTAACCTTTTACATCCTCTCACCGTCAACTGTCAAAGATTTTTGATCCAAACTCATTTTGAAGTCACAAAAAAATATGTGGATGCAAAATAATCACTCCTCTCGAGTAGTAGAACGATTCGTTCCTCTCCTCTCTTCATGTCTTGTTTTCTTTATATTTTCAATTTTCGTGTCAGCTTCTCCTCAACCTGTCAAGTACAAAATTTCCACACTTGCTGGAATTGGCACTCCAGGATACAGTGGTAATTACGGCCATGCTCTGAGTGCTCAACTCAACGAACCCTATTCATTGGCACTTTCCAATGATTCTCAATACTTGTTTGTTGTGGAACATGAAAATCATGTGTTACGAAAAATTGATTTAAATTCTCAATTCATCATTCCAGTGTGTAATGAGAATGCACAACCTGGATACAATGGAGGAGAGATGGATCCGTTACAAAATTTACTGAATGAACCCACTGGAATTGCAATTTCAAAAGTCAATGGTGATATTTTCATTTCAGATTCAGAGAATCATGTCATTAAAAGAATTTCCATTTTGGATCAATTGATTCATGTCGTGGCAGGAAATACGACAGCAGGTTATAATGGAGAAGAATTGAATGCAACGAATAGTATGATGAATGAACCAGCTGGATTGTATGTCAATTCGAATGGTGAAATTTTGGTTGTGGATTCTGAGAATCATATTTTGAGAGTGTTGAAATTTAATGAAAGTTATTATACGATGGAGCTAGTGGCTGGAGTGCCTAATGAGGCAGGATTTAATGGAGATGGACTTGTGTTAATGTCTAAATTGAATGAACCAATTGGTGTGACGCAGGATGGTAATGGAAATGTTTACATTTCAGGTAAGATTAAGTTTCTTTACTTTTTTTGGTAAATTCATTTTCAATTACACATTTACTATTGCTTTTGAAATAATGATATAATACTCATTTCCATTTGAAATAGATACTGAAAATCACATGATTAGAAAAATTTCAGGAAACACCCTGATGACCATTGCAGGAACAGGTGTTGCCGGTTTTTCAAATGACACTTGTCAAAATGCCACTCTGGATTGTCCTCTCAATGAACCCACTTCTCTCGTCTTCTCTCCATTAAACGGTGATTTAATCTTTGTGGATAAAAAAAACAACAAAGTTCGAAAGCTTTCTCCAGAAGGTTCTCTCGTAACCATTGCAGGAGATGGCATTGCTTCCTTTTCTGGAGAAAATGACACAGACAGTTTATTGGCCTCCCTTAACGAACCTAACGGAGTTGCCATTGATGAAAATGGAACCATTTATATTGCAGATACCATGAATCATCGAGTAAGAAAGTTATCTCCATACTGTGAAAATGGTTATATGTTGCGTGAAAATCAAACGGCATGTGACATGACTTGTTTTGGAATTTTGGAAAATTCTTCACAAGTTTGCCAATCACGTGGTTGGTGCGTTTCCGTCAATCTTTGTGAATGTTTTAATACTTCTCAATATGGAGGTGAGAATTGTCAATTCACAAAATGTAATGGAATTTTATCCAATGAAACACAACAAGTGTGTCATGGACATGGAGATTGTATTTCTCCTGACAATTGTCAATGTCATGAAGGATATTTTGGAGCATTTTGTGAAATTACCCAATGTCATGGAATTCTCTCTAATGATTCGAATGTTTGTAATGGAAAAGGAAATTGTGTGGATTTGAATGTGTGCCATTGTACGGATTCTAAATTTGGAGGTGCCAATTGTGACATTGCCATTTGTCATGGAATTTTGGCAAATGACAGCTCTGTGTGCAGTTCTCATGGGGCATGCTTGAACGGAACCTGTGAATGTTCGGGAGGTTGGTTTGGAGAATTGTGTGAAATTCCATCTTGCAATGGAACACTAGCCAATGAAACGGTTGTTTGTTCTGGACATGGTACCTGTCAAGACATCAATCAATGCATCTGTCATGAAAATTACAATGGTGAAAACTGTCAATATCCTTACTGCAATGGAATTCTCTCAAATGCAACTTCTTCTGTATGCTCTTCTCATGGTCAATGCATTTCTCCAAACGAATGTTCTTGTTTCGAATATTGGTATGGACCTTACTGTAATGTCACTTCCTGTTTTGGAGAATTTTCAAATTCCTCACATGTCTGTAATGATGGAAAAGGCACTTGCGTCGATTTCAACACTTGTGAATGTCAACAAAATTCCACGCCTTACTTTGGAGATCAATGTCAATTTACAACATGTTTTGGAATATTCTCCAATGACACTTCCAATGTTTGCAACAATCATGGAAATTGCACTTCTTTCAATGTTTGTGAATGTTTTGAGGGATATATTGGAGAAAATTGTTCCATTCCAACATGTTTTGGAATTCCAGCCAATGAAACGAAATATGTTTGTGATCGAATTGGATATTGTGTTGAGAAGGATCATTGTGTGAATTATACGTGTAATGGAACATTGAGTAGTGACCCATTGTCATGCTCTTCACATGGACTCTGTATTGGAAATGATCATTGTGAATGTCAAGAATTTTATTTTGGTTCGAATTGTGAATTCTCAAGTCAAATTCCAACATGTTATGGAATTCTTGCCAATGATTCACGAGTGTGTAATGACAGAAATGGAAGTTGTGTCTCGCTCGATCGATGTGAATGTCATTTGGGATATTCTGGCAAGGAATGTGAAATTCCAATTTGTTATCAAAAACTATCGAATGATTCCAATGTTTGTTCAAATCATGGAAATTGCATTTCACCAAATCAATGTCAATGTCAAGAAGGTTATTTAGGATTACAATGTGAAATTCCAGTCTGTTATGGTATTGCTGCCAATGATTCTGCAGTGTGTAATTTTGGAAAAGGACAATGTGTCAGTTACAATAATTGTTCTTGTTTCAATTCTCAAGAATGGACAGGTCAAGATTGTTCTGTTCCAGTGTGTTATGGAAAAACTTTGAGTCAAGCATGTTCTGGAAGAGGAAATTGTTTACATAATCATACATGTTCATGTCCTTCGAAGTATGAAGGTACTGAGTGTGAATTCCACAAATGTTTCAATGTGTTGAATACTTCAAGTTCTGTGTGTTCCGGAAAAGGAAAATGTGTGAACGATGACACTTGTCAATGCTATGAAAATGAAAAATATTTTGGACAGAATTGTGAATTTACTTCATGCTATGGAGTCGCCTCATCCAATGCATCCCTCGTGTGTAATTATGGAAATGGTACTTGTGTGGATTTCAATTCTTGTCAATGTAACGAAAATTCATTATATGGAGGACCTCAATGCTCAGATCCAAAATGTTTTGGAATTTTATCGACTCAATATTCAAAAGTCTGCCATGGTAATGGAAATTGTACCAATGTCGATAAGTGCTCATGTTTTTCAGGATTTTTAGGAGATGAGTGTGATTTGTTAACACTCTCAAAAATTTCATTACAATTTAACGCTACCAAAGGACTCTATTCACAAACGTTAATTCAATTAACCATTAACGATGAATTATTGAATTTATATTATTCCAATAGAAGTATTCTTGGAAAATTCACTTTTGAACTGAGTGTGGGAGATGCTGGACGCTACGTTCTTCTTTCTACTAACACGACTTTTAAGGAAATTCCGCTCTCCAATTCCAAGTTGGAATTCTTCATTCCATCTTCACTGTATTCCAACCTCAACGATCACACCAACAACAACACCATCCTTACAGCCTCTGTTGAATTATTCGACTCTAGAACCATGACCAAAATTTCCAACAAGGTCTCTTCTTCCAATTCCTTTATTTATGAAAATCCAAATATTGACAAACAAGTTTCTAACCAAGAAAACAATAATGGAGTTTCTGGTGGAGTCATTGCATTGGCTGTGGTCATTCCAATTGCTTCTCTGGCAGGAATTGCTGTCATTGTAGGAACTATTGCAGGAGCTGTGATGTATTACAAGAAAAAGATGGCCGCTACCAATGCGATGGGATTGATGAAGGCCCAAAATGAAGACTTTGAATTGGCACAGGGATTTTAATCTCTTTCTTTGGCATTGCTTTCTCATGAATTTCAATGAATTTAATAATATTAAAGTAAATTTGAAGAATTTGTAAAAGTTCGAGAAGAAGAAAAAAATTTTCAACAAATCAAAAAAAATGAGCAAACGCACACATGAAGGAACGAATTCAACGACCGTTAGGGATCGTCATTCGGAGGTTTATTTGGTAACCATTGAGGATGAAACTGATGAAGAATTGGTGGATGAAGAAGAAACCGACTCGGAAGAATTTACTCCAATATCAAAAAAAGTAAAAATAGTATCCGATCATATTGATCTTCCTCCTCATGCGAATACCATAACGGCATCATCCTCCCCTTCAACCAATCCAAGCACAAATCCGATCTTTGAAAAATTAAAAGAAATGGATTCAAGTATAAATTTTAAAACCAAAAAAGACTTTGAAGAGGCATTTGCTTCCATTGCTCATTATTTATTGAATCATGTTGAACTGGTTGCGAAAGGAAAGACGTTCCGATTGGCTGAACTTGAATTTTATTATACATGTGCTCCAGTACATAATGATCCCTTTAACCATTGTCATGCGCTTCAAACAACTAAAGGCGAATGGTACTTTCATCAATCACCATCAAAACTCAACAATGATAATTATAGAGGAGGAAATTATAAAGGACTGGATTTGTCGATTGGTTGTGCCAAATTTAAGGGAGGTATTTTGATTCGCTCATTGATTCGATGCAGTGACAACAAATTTATTGAAGGACCGTCGTTGTGTGTGGATGAAATACTGTCTCTGTATTCATGTAACACAATTCATGAATTTGTCATGAAACATTTTCCCAACCAGAAACATTTTAATGCATTGGATGAAAAGTCTACAGTTCACTTGAGAGTGTGTGCAACACCAAAATCAGACAGTTTCATTCGATCTGCACGAGTTGGATTGACATTGAAGCAACAACGTAGCAAAAAGGAGAGAATTGAGTTTATTTTCAGACCCTATCGATTTTGTTTAAGGCCAGAGAAGGTGAAAAAAGGAAAGCATTTGATGGCCATTGTGTTATATAAGGAATTGTGGACAAAGGGCGAAAAAGATATTATCAAAAAAGTGGAAAAATTGATTGGAACTAGTGGTCTTGCAAAATATTTTGAAGTGTTTGAAGAAAAGAAAGCGATTGCTTTTGAATCAGTTTCAAAAATTGATGCTAAAACAGTTAAAAATTATGATAAGGACTTGACGACACAACAAATTTATGAGCTTGGAGGTATTTTGCGTCACATTTTTTAATTTCCTACATTCAACAATTCTTTACTTCAATAAAATAGATAATTGAAATGATCATTGAAATCAATTCTTCTCAAGTTTGCTCCGTCATTTGTCTCATTGTGGCTAGTTTGGAAATCCAATTTACAGCTTTACTGAAAACCAGTAACAAAAGTTTTACAACATGAAATTACAATGAGATTCCTTTTCACTGTGGAATCACAGGCTTTGCAAAGGCTTTAAAAAATTGTAGTTGGACCAACAACGGACGAGCGGGAGTGATGAACAGCTTTGAAACACTTATAAGTTTCTCTTGAACCACCACCACCTTAACACCAATAACAAAAAAATGGTTCCACAACATCCATCATCATCCAATGAATACAGTATGTCCAATAACGCTGCAAGTTACCTAACCCTGAGCGTCCATGAAAAAGCTGCAGTAGACGCTGATAATGAGCGCAATATTGTACTCATTGAGCAGAATGGGAATTCATCAACGAGCTCAAAAAGCTCGTCAAGCAAGACTTCCTCTCCTCAAAAGGGAGATTTGCAGGTCGATGAATTAAGTGAGTCAAACACCGAGTTTGATGAAATGGAGTCTTCCTTAGGAAAAAAAACCATGGTAAGCCTTTCCGGTATCCATAAGGCTCTAGTGGAGCTCAAAGACTACGCGAAAAAGTCTGACGACCGCCAACAGGAGATGTTGAATGTAATGCGCGAGACACAGCAGCAGCATCAGAAAGTGTTGAATGAGCAACGGCAACAGCATCAGGAAGTGTTGAATGTGTTGTATGAGCAACGGCAACAGTATCAGGAAGTGTTGAATGAGCAACGGAAACAGCATCAGGAAGTATTGCATGCGTTGCTCAATGTAATGCGCTCCTCACAACAACAGCACCAGGATTTGATGGGTGTGTTGATTGCGCAACAGCAAGAACAAAAACAGCAGCACCAGGATTTGATGAAAGAACTACAAAAACAACAAAATAATAATAAATAATACAGTTTCTACA